ACCCATCGGCGTGAGGAAGGCCGAGATGAGCCGGGCCCGGTCTGTCATAGGGACGACCCAGAAACCGCTCGCCATGTCGAGGGAGCAGTACCACAGATACTTGTCCAAGTCTTCGAGCAAGTCGTTGACGAGCGGCATGGGGTAAATCAACAACCTTGTCAGCCCGTTGATGAGCCTGTAGTCAATGCAAAGCCGGATATCGACGCCGTTCTTCTTTATGATCACGACAATGGGCGACGCCCACGGCGACTTCGACTTCTGGATCATCCTCGCGCTCAGCAGCCCCTTGATCAAGTCGGCGACCTTCTCTCGGAACCGCGGCGGGATTTTCCGGTTGCGTTGCGCGACGGGTTTTGCGTCGCCCACGTCGATGTCGCAGACTACCCCCAGGACAGCCGGCGGCAAGGCGTTGCCCTTGCCGATCAACCTTTTCCGTCGCTTCCAGATGATCTGGCGTAGCCGTGCCTCTTGCTTCGCGGTTTCTTCGGGCGGGAGCCCAGTCGGTGTGCCCACCTTCAAGTCTTCGACTTTCACCTCGGCAGTCAGCGAGAGGTCGGGTAGCACTGCCAGCTCGGACTCCAGATCCTCTGCGAAGAGATCGGACCCCTCGTGGATGAGAACCGCGTCGTTGTCCTCCTGTTCATCAGGTTTCGCCTCGTCGAGTTCCCGTTCTGTGGGTTGTGGTCCGTCGAGTTTCGGCTCGGCGGGTTTTGGCTCGTCGAGTTTCGACTCCGGCGATTCCTTCCTCGCAGCGCTTTCAGCCACAGTCGGAGGTACATCGGGTTCGACTTTGACTGTCTCCTCATCCGTGTTCCGTATGTGGTCATCAGGCGGCACCTCTACCCTTAATCCCTTCGGCGCTTCCGCGACAGCCGCCAACACTGGTAGGCGTCGGGTATGAGGGGCGATCTGGCTTTGGCCCTTGGAGCTCGGCAGGGATTCAGTTTTACTCCGCGTCGCACGTCGCGCCGTACGCCAGATGCTGCCACTGCTGATATCGGCGTGAGCCAAGTCAAACGAAGCCGCGGGCTCGGGTCAGGGCGTCAGCCGGAGTCCACCATCCCAGCGTCGCATGAGCGTCGAGTGTTATGGCTATGTATCCTACGTTCGTGACGCGCAGGTACGTCTTCCTTCCGACCTTCCCTGTCACAAAGGTGGTGACCCATGACTCTGTCCGCGTTACCCACAGGAGCGGCGCGTTCCGGTCAGGCCACAACGGGACTTCATGCGTGTCTCCTGGCTCAAGTCTCACAGGCGTCTTGACGTTGACCGAGTGCACCCGTGCGCCGTATAGCGGCCTTCGTCCGATCGTCTGGATGTGCACCTCGTCGGGGAGGCACGCTGTGCCATCCGCAGTGTCGATGCGCACTCCAGCTGGTACCATGAAGTTCATCCCCAGGATTGCGTGTTGACCGACCAAGTCGCCGACCCACAGGTGCATGTAGTACACCAAGTTCCCAGCCAAGGTAATCTTGACTCTGTTTCTTCCCACCGTGTAATATGTCTCATCATGAATCCCAACACATTCTTGTGTGATCTCCGTGTCGATCAGACAGCCTACCTCACGAGCAAAGGTGGTGTTCAAGATGGACACCTCGGCACCTGTGTCGAATAACAACACAGCACGGCGGTTGTTCAGCTTCCCATGAATCTTGGCCTGATTGTACCACTTGTGCGGCGCGTAATGTTTCCAATATCCGCGTCGCTCTCCTGGTTGCAAGTCGATCTCGTCCAGGGGCGGTTCACGTGCAAACTCGTCGTCCGTCGTTCGTCGGACCGCCGAGATTCGCGGCGAGCGCTCTCGCGTGGTACGTTCCAGGTTGGATTCACATGTATTATCATTCAGGGAAGTCGTGCTCTCACTAACCACCTCTCGCGACTTCTTGGTCACATATGCATAGACGGAAACAGGTCGCTCGTCTCGTACTGGTTTCCAAGCCAGCGAGCGTCGTAGTTTAACATCTTCTCGGCGACCGGCGGCAGCATTCCCGCATGCTTGTGCGGGTCAAACCACTGGCACAATTGGTTGAAGAACTCCTCCATCGGGCATTCTCCGGCTTCGTGCACATCACCACAGGCCTTGCATAAGCATCGCTCCGTCAGGTGTTGACAACCACACTTCTGACACGTCAACAGCTTCCAGCAATCTCCTTTAGCATGGCGGCGTGAGCCACATTGGCGGCACCGCGGGCGCTCGCGTCCCGCGTCTTCATAGTCGAAGTTGCGACGCGCCGTCTCTCCGGGCGGGGCTAGCCCGGCGACGAACAACTTGACGCGCTCGTCGTTCTCCTCGTCGTGGTCGTACTGACGGTCGTCGCTGTCGTGCCTTTTGCGTTCCGAATCATACTCGTCCGACGCGACGTGGATCGCGTGAAGGGCGCGATCCGGCTGAGGCGACGGGGTCGGCGCCTTTTGGCGGAGCTTGTTCGAGCCGAAGAGAGTTTTCTTCTGGTGGACCAGCCCACGCTGTTGAGCGCGCAGCTTCTTTTCCAGTGCGACGGAGTCCGCGACTTCCATCAGCGTGGGGCGCGACGCCAGTTCTCCATCCTGAGTGTTCAGCGTCCGGATGAAGTGTTCGACATGTTCGCGCTTCTCCTCGATCGTGCCTTCGGCGTACGGGATGTTGGCCCTGAAGCGAGCCGGTACAAGTAGTCCAGCGGGGTCTCGTTGGGGCGTTGCGTCGCGTGGTAATATCGGCTGGCCAACGACATATCCTTACCGCAGTACCGGATACGCAACTGTTCCATCAGCTCGGTCCATGACTTCTTCACCTTCTTGGAGAGCTGGAGGTACGGCCCGCCGCAGGACTCGTCGCATCTTGTCCTGTCACGGCAATCGCTGCATCTTGTTTGACAGACCCAGCGATAATCGTCAAGGGCTCCAGCACGTCGCGGATCGTGCGCAACCAGAAGTTGAGGTCTCAGTCACACAGCCTCTCCATCTCGAAGGCTCCCAGTACAAAGCCCGACTCGCGCAACATCTGGAAGAGGGTCGGCGCGGCTTGGGCGACGGTGGTGATAGTTTCGATATCCGGCGCAACGAAGAGGCCCGTGAAGTTGCTCATCAGCATGGGCTTGATGAAGACCAAGATCAGGTCTTGCTCTAGCAGACGGAAGAGCTCCGTGCGTGCCACGACGTACCGCACCTCCTCGACGGTGTACTGACGTCCCGTGTCTTTGCCTTGCGGCTTGGACAGCGACTCCGTCGCCGAGTCCGGCGCGCGCAGCTTCTTCTTCTTCTTCTTCTTGGGCGACTTGCGCTTGGTGGCTACCTTGGAGGTGGGTTGTTGTTGGTCGTCGGCCTTCGCAGGCTGCCGACCGGTAGGACCGCGACTTGCGTCGCGGCCCTTCGCGGCTCCCTCGTCGGGAGCCACATCGGGAACGGCAAACTGTTCTTCGTAGCCCTCCTGGGCGTCGCTGGCCCCGTCGCCTGTCGTGAAGGTTCCCTCACAGAGCTCCACGACGCGACAGGTCTCTCTCCGTGCTCTCTTGTAGTCGGCGACCTTCCAGCCGACGGCGCACCTGCCTCCGATGCCTCTTGGATTGTGGCCCGTCATTCGAAGTAGTACTCCCGGTTCGCAGCACCATTGTGGAGTAGCGGCCTCACAGAAATCGCGTGAGCTCGTCCTCGCACAAACCCGACCCGTCCAATCTGCGGTCGCGACCGGCAAGGTTCCCGGTACTTGAGAAGCGTATCTTCGAATATAGAGCCCAAGTCTTCGCAAGCTTCAGAGTTGGGGGTTGAGGGACGCGTGTTCCTTGTCTTAGGGCGTCGGTTGTTCCTTGGGCGTGCGGACTTATCGGGCCGGCGTTTCCTGGAGCGTGTTGCGGGGCGTTATCGAGCCGACGCGGGGTCTTATGCACAGCGGTTATCAGGCCGTGCGGTCCTTCGTCTAGGCTGCGCGTTATCGGCCGCCTCCTAACTGGTATACGTTTTACGTGTCTTCGGCTCCAACACGGGGTTTGAGGGGAGGTGAGACCCGAACCAGCGAGCGACGGGGGGCGGCGTGTTCCTTGCAGCTCTTCTTGCCGACGCTTGGTGGTTCTCAGGAACCTGGCGATCTTCCGAAGAAGGGAGAACTCGGTGGTTCAGGGAAATTTCGGGACAGTGTCCTTACCCTATCATATGCCCTTGCTACTGGCTATTCGCTACCTCCTGCTTGCTAACCCTACCGTTCCGTGCCTATCCCTACTCCTGTCGTGCTTACTTAGCGGTTCTTCAACCTGATTTGCGTAACGTAATCACGCCTTCAGCTCGACGGGATTTTCTTGACGGGGTTTAGGGTCGACGGGTTTTACATGACCGGGCGTATGCACCGACTCGTCGAATCAGTCAGAATCGGCCTGATTCCGCAGCTAGTCCGTGTGTTACACGGTCCATCACCCCGTCAACCTCCTCGGCGATCCCGACGCGTCGTGTTCCATCCGCCTCGTCGGTTGTCATCACTCTCGTCTCGGCACTTCCCGTCACTCGCTTCCTGGCGCGCGACATCTCGCGAGGCGCTATTCCTCAATATATCGGATGGGTGCGCTGAGTCAGCGAGTAGGAACTCATCGGGGCTGAAGTAAAGCGGCTTGAACTCGTTCTTAGCAAGCTGTTTTGCTCTGCGTGGAAGCGTATTCAACCCCATCATCTGAGCTAAGAAAAAATGATTGACTTTTAGTAGTCACCACGTCGTGTATTTCGACTCGAGTTAAGGGATTGAAAACTGCCATCGGGAATGCGTAACGAGCATCTTCTCGTCACCACGCGAGCAGTCTTACATAATCTCCCTTTGCGTCACAAATGGTCGCTATCCGTTGCTACTGATCAAACTGCTCAGATGTAGTAATATCATTCCTCTCCCACAAATGCTACTCGGCTCCACCAAGCGCATCTCGCACCTCAGCATTGACGAGCCACTCCAATAGTGGAACAGCTTGCTGGATGCCATCTAGGGCCTTTCGTAGTTTCTTCCTGTCACCCTCGACTACTCCTCCACGACGAACGGAGACGCGAGTTTAGTATCCGTTCTGACCCCTTGCTCGTAAATTGGAAAGTGATGCAGAATTTGGTAGCAGGTATTGTAAAGTGACGAGCATTCCAGAACATTGGATCTGATGGATCTCCCTGGTAATACCATCCTTAGCAACGTCGACCAAATCTTCCGAGGGCAACAAGCATTCGCGGGCCAAACCACCGAAAGTGTAAAACCAAGTCTCCAGAACATCGTCACTGATGCCGCCAACTTGGCTTGACCCCGCAGCACGTAGCGCTCGCACCGCTCGGTGGAGCTCCTTGTACGTCCAGAGAGGCATGACGAGAGTCGTGTAGTAATTCGTCCTGATCAAGCGCTGCCATTTCTGGGCTAGTAAATATGATCATCTGAGAATTTTTCTTCGACCACAGCCTCATTGGCGGTCCATCGCACAAAAAGAGAACATGTGTCTCCTTCGCAAGCGCCTCTTTCAACGCTGTGGCACTCGCAGCTTCCAATTCGCTGGATGTGGCGGTAAGCCCGTCTAATTGTGGCTCTGGCTTGCTCTCATCCTCATAGACAGCGACTTCCGCAATACTTTTATCTTCATACGCCATCGCAATGATCCAAGTCTGGGTTCCTCCCTTCGGTGGTGCAGGAAAAAGTAGGCGTAACGTTAGAAGACGGACATGCCGATGCCTGCGGAACTTACCACCACTGTAATCGTGCGGAGAAGCAGAACTCCACACGGGCGGACACTATTGCAACTTTAGTGAAAGACAGTACAATAATGGTAAAAAAACGCCGCCCTTGCAACCACGGATTTATATCCTGGTTGATGTCCAGGACGTAAGATAATAAATTACACGCAATACTTTCCCCTTTTCGCGAGGACGACACCAGCAGGACGAACCAGCTGGCCTCCTCATAGCTTCAAGCGGTGCTTGAAGCTAGACAAGCGCGCGGCAGTGCCGCCGCGGCATCTACTCGTGCGAGCTTTTCATCCCCGATTTTCGGCTCCGTACATTGCAAACTGATGTGCGTTAGTCGTTTATCCCTGCATGTGCGATAGCAGAACGAAGCACAGATCATTACCTTCATGACTTCATGACATACCTTGAAATCCTTATAACCAAAGGTCGTTGCTTCGATATCCTCAATTCGCACGGGATTCTGTGGCCTTCGTCCTGATCGAGCTGTCTCCTGTGTAGTAGTAGACAGTTATGCCGAGGCAGCGGGCAATTCGACTTTCGCGACGTCGAGCTGGAGAAAATAAGTTCGAAATTGTGATCGTTGGGTGGCGCATCTACATGTAGAAAGAAGTGCAAGAAGTGTACGTGCTGAGGCAGCTACACATTGTATCATGCACCGGCCACATAACTGCATTGAGTCGCATGTAATATACTATATAGAAAAGTTTACTAACTAGTTAGTAGTGCCCCATAGCGAAGGGAAAGCGGGGTAAGTGCTCCTACAACAAAAGCGCTCTATTAGCGTCTCGTAAAGCTTTCACGTGTTAGCATCTGCGTGTAGTTTAGCGGGCGGGCGCAACATTTGCGACTTCGACAAGGAAGAATGAGCAGCCGTGGCCTACAGCGTGAAGTAGTTAGTGGATCGGTACGTCCAAGGCCATTCACAAACCGGCGTAGATGTTCGCTGTGTTTCGGGAGGACTACATGATCGGCGTTGAAACGGAGGTGAGAGGGTCACGCCGTCTCGTCCTACTAGTTTTGCCGGCAGTGGTCAACCGTTGATCGTTGATCATCAATGGGTTAGAGTGCACGCGGTCCAAAAGGCTCGACAGGATGTGGACACTGTCGTGCCCAGGACTTGACTGATGCAGATCTCCATGAAGATGCGATCTGTCGAGTTCTTCGGCTCGAGTCACTGGTCTCAGGTACTACTCGCCCCCAGCATATCAGTCCTACCCAGGGCATTAGTGCCCGAAGATAGTCTGTACAATTGTCGTCCACGGAGAAGGCCCCGTTCTTCGAGAACGAGTACGACAATGAGCTGGGCTTGGGCCAAAACGTATTTAACTCGACTGGAACGAGGAGCACGCCACTCCCTCTTTGCAGACCGCAACGTCGGGTCCCATATCACGCTCGTGGTTGCATTCTCATTCGGTCGTGCTAGTCCCATTGTTAGGATGCTTCCACATATCAAAGTGCGGATGATGATCTGTGAGCTGTAGGGCTCAACAGATATGTGCTTTCGGGCGGACATCGAGGCTGCATACCACGGGCCATGGAGTACTGTACACTTACTGACTGGCGATGCAGTTGCCGTACAATCTTATAATTTATAGCAGAATGGTTGTTGGCGTGCCGTGATTCACGGCACCCCAACAACACGGCTCATTGGATGGCCACTAAGTTGAAGTGCTAAACCTTCATATTTTTATGCGGTCCCTCTAGAACTTTATGTGCGTCCTATACCGAAAAGGCACAGAACGGGTGTCTCGCTCCAGTTTAGAACTTACCGCCGCGGCAAGAAGTAGTAGCCCTGGACGCGCGCATGTGTAAGGTTAAGTAAGGCGAAGTCAGTTCTTACAGGTGCTTGTAATTGGTTCAAATGACGTCTCTAACCGGTTCAACTGGCGTTTGCTTACGCACTTTGTTTGTCAGTGTAAGCCGCTGTTGAACTTCATACCCCGCAGCTACTCCATCCGTAAGCCACCCGTGATGGCGCCCACAGTACCGCCACACTGTGCGCTTCGGTCATGCACGCTGTGTCGCCTGGAAGCCGTCCGAGGTAGTCGAGTTCATCCGGTGGTCAATCAAATGTGCTGAGCAATCACGGCGAGGTCACAAGAGCAGCACGCGAGGCAACGAACACGACGAAGTGCAAGCTTGTCTACTTGCATTACAATCGGATAATGCTTTTGGTGTTGTGATGGCATGGCTGTCGAGCAGGTTATGTCTAAGAACGATTTCGATCGCGTTCAAGGACGAGCTGTCAGCATCGGCCCAGAAGGTGGCGAGGTTAGCAGAGATAAGTTTGTTAATGTCTACGTCAACCTCACACTGCTGCCCTTCATGCGTCGAGTTAACCCCTCCAAACCGGAGCCCCAAAAGTTTTTTTCATATGCAGTATGCAGCATAATTAGTCTTGACGTTTGTATATAAAGGGATCGGGTTGGCGGCAAGCGAAAGGCTGAGCTTTGCAAAAGTGTGTAGAACGGTGCTAAAACTGCTGTATACTGCATGTTGTTTGCCAGCGCCACACAGCTAAGCTGCATTACACGGGTTACCAAGGAAATGGACAGGGCACTACTGGAACAGAACACGTGCCCAGCGGCACTGCACCTTGTCCTCATTTTCTAAAATTTCGAAAATCAAACTTCCCATACAATGAATCATATACAGGTTGGGGTGTCAACCCTAGCTGGTAACGTGATCATACTTTGCTGGTAAGGCAGTCAAAGGAAACGCCACGGCGCGTTTTTGTTGTATACAAATATCTAATGAAGTAAGCATCCAGCATCAACAGCTGCTTGAACACGCGTCTAGCAGTGGCTCGATGCTCATAAACTGGGGTTGTAGGATGCAGGACAAGATTGGCCTGCCCGAACATGATGCCGGTTGAGATGGACGTGGGCGAAAACAGGCGATTGACGCTGCACTACAGTGGTAAACAGAGTGCTTACTGAACAAACAACACGCATGCAATCAGCGGTTATTCTGCATTATACAGCCTAGCATCAGGATAATATGCAGCTTAATCACAACGGGAACGTACGACAACGTTTGCTTGACGCAGAGATCCGTGGAGTGTCAGGCAACGCTCTACCGCCGTTGTACTCGGATGGTGTTGCCTTCAATATGTTTTTCATGTAGGCATCACTCGGGCGACGTCTCAGCAGGTCGTAGCAGCATCACGTACATGGTTCTGGGCCTTCATGAAGGGAAAATCGGACGTCGTCAGCCGCACTTGTCATGCCCGCCCGCAACCCGTTATGAACGCATTAGCAACTTTCACGTTCTGGCACTTGGTACTTGGTCGTGGTGAAAACACGAGCTGACATGCTATCCAACCATGACACGACCGGGAATCCTTTCGCCTAAGAACGTATACTGTAGGAACTAAGTCGACTCACGGAATGCTAGGATAAATATCATTGTTTTTCATTGTGGATATACGCTGTTACTTGGTGGCTACCTAAACGGAATAGCTCCGTTTCCGTTGTCATCTTGCGAACTAAGATGTCTTTCCGCCTCGTTGACACTCCGCACAGTACGCAGATAGATCTTCATGTGATTCCTCACCAACACTTCATCGTTGTCCCCGGACGTGTTTAAACGTTCTTGGCAAACTCAACACAGCTGCGGTCCATCTTTTCGTCATACGGAGCGCAGCGAGGCTCCATGCCTTCAGCGAAGCCAATCGCGCTAGTTTCGGTCGTTGTTGTCTGCAAACAACTTGTGGATGATCCCGCTAGCCTTATCAACGGCGCCTGAACAGCGTATTCAGGGTAATATTCAGTATAAGATGCAGCTTACAACACAGTATAGTACATCCATGCAACATAACACGCAACTTACCCGACTTGCTCAGCGCTGAAACCGTACTTGAATCATGATCAGTTGGTTACGTCCGCTGTAGCAGGGAGCTCTCAGTGGCAACCGCGTAGCTCGTCCGACTGACGTCAGCGGCGGCAGCGATTCGAGCACCACTAGCTGCACACCGAAGGTAGACTTAATCCGAGAAGAAAGCCGTAACAAAGTCGAAGTATGGGAAAGGGTCGTTGCTGGAGTACGGGTTCCGAGTCGAGAACTGCACACAGAGCACATAAGCGCGTAAGAGGTTTTTTAGCTAGCATAAACCAATGGAATCATACGAATTGCGTATACCTCACCCAACGATTCATCGCCACGGACACGTTTACGCCGTTGGTGTTGCTTGCGTTGCATCCAGACCGCAGGTAGAAGTAGTGGTCGCCGAGCCCGTGTCCAGACTTTCTCCAGCAGGTTATCACCAGAGCGGTTAAGCTCGATCTTCCCCCGCACAGCTTCTCTGTCGATGTGTGCTCCGCGCGCGCAAATTCTCGAATGAGGCCGGTTTTCTAAAAGCGGCGAGCGGCCAAGTGCTGAACCACTCGTTTGGAGTGTCCCAAAAGCCTCTAGTATCATAAGCAAATCCGTTGCAGTACGGTGAACCCGCCAGATTCCATATTTTAAATTTAGACAAAGTGTATGTCCTTTCCTATGTTGCAAAAGAAAGGCGCGAACAGAAACCCGACAATTTTTAAACTTAAAGTTTGTATACCCTCGTGTCGGGGGAAAGGACACCCATACAAATTTCAAGTCAAAAATCGCTTTAAACTGAATATATTCAGTTTAAGTGGAAGGCTATGCTGCATTATCCAGCATCCGGGTTGGAGGGGTTAAAGCTCAAAGAGAAGACCTTTATTAGATAGCACTGTCGATAGAGTGGAGTTTTAAGGTAAGTGACAACCATTTATCTGTATGGAAAACAAAGCAAGCGAAAAGACACTGTGGTGTAGTCATCCGCCACGCACTATGAGGCTAAAACACCGCGGGAGTTCATCTTTAATCTAGCAGAATAAGAACAGCTAATACGTGGTCAAACAGCAATGCTTTCGTGTTCGTTGGCTGTAAGTGGTCTTGTGGCTGCACGTTATTCAAGCTAACAACTCCCTGCATGTACGCGAAGATCTCAACACCTTGCATCTAATGTATCTGTTTTTCATCTTCGGAACTGACCTGGGCATATGGGTAAGATACGCACGAATCTTCCCGAGGAGCTGCATCGACTTGTGGAGGTGTTTGGAGTCCTGGACGTGTCCTGGTCACGTCTTGGAAGTGTCCATGATTTCAATCCTGGGTCGCAACTCCTGCCAAAAAAAATCATGCATGTTTACACGAGAAAGAGCAAAACTCACTCAACATGGTCCTAGCCTAAGACTACTAAGCAAACTCGACAATTTCAAAGTGTCCGACGCGCGTAAGCCCTCGAAAGAAAGCGCAGCGTCTAGCGGATTCACCACGGTGTTCCTCTCTTTGACAGCACCTACTTCGGCTACAAGGTTGAGCTGGATTTGCTGATGCCCCGAGCTGGTCTTATGCACCAGCAAGCAAATCTGAAGTACGAAAATGACGCATGTGGTTCGCTCCTTTTTGATCATATCTCGGGCATTTTTCATGCTTTTGTAGTGATTAAAGAAGGAGAGCCAATTGCAGCTCATGGCGCGTCAAATGCAACAATCCGCGGTCCAATTGCGTGCCTAGAAAAAAGTTATCGTCCGACAAAAAAGTCGCTGCAAAAATTTCCACCCAGAGGAAGTATTTTTCAGCGGAAGGGCACTTCTTTCACCAGCGCAACTCCAAAACAATCCCATGCAAAAATATTTCAGCCAATCAAAATCGAATCTGTCCAAAAATAATATTAACCAGTAAGGACACGACGATTGGTCGCTGCATCATAACCCGAAATGGCCAGGGCTCCGCACGGCAGCGCATCGAAGAAGCTGTGCGAGAAGTGTGGCAACGGGATATCGCGCACGAACTTTTCCAAGCACGCAAAGAAATGCAAGGGAATTAAGGTACACGACACCCGGCGCGAGATTCGCAAGCGCTCATGGGTCAAGCACCGCGCCAAGCGCGTAGGAGACCAGCGCAGCCGGCGCGCGTCCGAGTCATTTCAACGGCTTGAGGGTACCGTAAAATTCTTTAATTTAATAAGGAGGACCCAAGCTTACTATTGTATACGAAGCGCTTCGGCAGCAGCTCCGCGAGGTGGCGAAGGTGCCTCTCCCTCTTAAACCCGAGCCAGCGGGGCTAATTAAGCGCCCCCTCGAGGAATTAGGCCGCAATGCGGATTTGTTCGAGTACATTTTCTCCCAGGTAGGCAACAGACATTGTCCATAGTGATGGATTGGTACTGACACGAGTTCATTTAGATGGAGACCGTCAACTTGCTGTCAAAGGCATGGTTTAACTAGACCAATCTACTACTCCACCCTGACAAGCGCCATTGGATGCCTCAGGAGTTTCAAGTACAGCCTGGCCTGAGCGCGCTTGAAGAAACATGCAAAGTGTTCAGTCTTTACAAGGCGAAAATACTTCAAGCAAGTACGAACATCATATTCGGCGAGCGTGTTCGCCTTCAAAAGTACCGGACTTACTTGCAGACGACGCATCAAGGGAAAATGGCGAAGTGGATGAAGCTGGGCGAGAAGGTACGCAACAAAAACAGTGCACTTGAAGCGCCAATCCAGGAGGAGATCGACCAATTTGGAGAAGGTAAAGCTTGTGCGACCCTAGCTGAGTTTGAGGCAGTTTAGAAGGCTGGATTCATCGAGAAGGATAACGCATACGAGGCGAAGATGAAGACCAAGGAAGACCAGCTGGCGAACATGAGACGGTTTAGGGAGACATTTGGGTCTGATTCGGATAGCGAAGATGCCTAAACACAATGTATAGGTCTATTGGAATACATGTCCCACTTTTAACAAGACCCAAAGTACTACGACAAGACTAAAAGTACTAAACAAGACTCAAAGTACTAAGACAAGACTCAAAGTACTAGGAGTTAAATGAGTGGCTCCGACGTTCACAATCCATTTGGCTGGACACGAAGCACTCCGTCACTCTCAGCATGGCATCGCATACAACCTCGTTTCGAGAACTGTTGCAAGGCGGAATTGCTACAGCCACGCACGTAATTAAGAAGGAGACGAGAGATGTTTACGCGTCGTACTTCAAGAAGTTTTGTGAGTTCTGCATCGCGAATGAATACCCCGACCCTGCGGCTGTGCGCCACCATGAGCTTTCGTCTCTTATGGTTGCGTTCATGGAAAGTGTGTCTGCGTCTGCAGCTGTGTCTAACCAAACGGCGGAGAAGATCCGGGCAGCGGTCGCCAATTACTATGGAAGTTACGAACGTCGAGACGCCGCAGGACCTGACAAGTGGATGGTAGTCACGGACGCCAACGGCAACAAGTACGGGTTGGGCAACCCTGCCAAAGATGCTTTTGTTCGCCAGTTCATGCGAGGGTTAAGGAAGCGGAAGAGCACGGAGTTTTCGCAGCGCCAAGCTACCCCAATTTCATTGAACATGCTCCGGGTACTATACTGTCACCTGGCAAATGCGAAAGGATTCTCGGAAGTGGTTTCTCGCCGTAGCTGCGTTTGCGTTCTATGGTATGTGCCGGATCAATGAGGTGCTCAGTCTTCAGTGGAAGAATCTCACGTTAGGAATGACACGACCCAGTACAACGGACCCGAGTGTTTCCATTACATTTGGAGTTTACAAGCTTGATGGAAGAAAGACTGAGGTTGCCAAAGGACGCTGCTACAACCTGCATTGTTTGGACGATAGCGAGAACCCCATGGACGCATTGGCGCATTTGACAGCATGGCTTTCCTACGTGCAAGGGAAGACTGATCACAGCTGGACCGACGGTGACTACGTCTTTCCGGCGCTGTCAAAAGTGGCTAAAAGTGTGCTGAAGCCCGACACTGCATCCACCGGTTGTGAAAATGCGCGTGTAGAATGGGGCAAGTAGATGTCTGAGCAGGCATTCATCACCCTTCTCAACTGCGTTGTGCGAGATCTGAATCGAAACGGGAAATCGACGCGTGGCTACGTCAGGCAGGAGTGGCGTGATATCTGGTTCACATCTCACACGTTTCGTCGAGCTGGTGCGCAATACAGGTTCATGTTTGCTGTTCCCGAGCGTCGGTGGTCACTGCGCATGGTGAAGTGGTGTGCGGGATGGACCCCGAATGAGTCGTCCGAGACGCTTGTGCGCTATCTACTGGACCAAGCGGCTAATGACGAAGAAAAACAATTAGCGGACTGCTTAGCGCCGGATCGCGAAGCGCACTCGGGCTGTCCTACCACGTACTCAGGTCGGAAGCGTAACCTAACGATTCCTGTCCGACAGCCCCCATCCGCCGGTGCCATCGAAAAGCGGCTGAAAATTGTTGAGAACTCCGTCAAAGCGCTCCACGACAAGATTGACTTGCTGGTATCCGTCTTGCAACCGTCTCAGCAGTCAGTACCAGTTCCAGCAAGTGCCAATAGCAGCGAAAGTCACGTGGAGCAGGTGTCAATCCTCCCACTAGCCAAAGACTGGAAAGACATGTACCGAATGTATTGGAAAGCTGATCCGAGCCGCCACCTTTTTAAGCCAGTCAGTGAGTGGACGGCCCAAGACAAGAAGAAGAGTGGAGCCTTGCATAGCAGACTAAGCGTAGCTAAACTGATTGCGGAAGACGTGAAGGACTTTGCTCTCCAAAAGAGGATTCAAAACCCGCGGAATCTTTGTGACATTTCACTGTCAGGCTATGCAGCATATTACACCGATAATTGGCTACAGAACGCTGCCAGCTCAGACGTCAATGTACTCACGATGGACACACTGGCCCGATACATCCGCCTCGACCGTAAACGTCGTCTTGTGAAGTCTAGGCACGCGTACCTTAGAGATTAATGCAAGTATTGTTGGTCTTGTTGTAGTATTTTCAGTCGTTTTGAGTATTTAATGTCTTGTCGTAGTACTTAATGTCTTGTTAGAAAACCTAGTATTTTCAGTCTTGTTACCTTATCTTCAAGTCCTCAGAAGATAATTACCGTCGTCTTTAGTTTTATCAAATATTCTAGCAAAATTGATACTAAAGTGAACCTTAGGACTGGTTAATACTCCGAAGATACTGCGCGATGATTAGTCATGCAATCGGATTTTGCATATTTTGTTGTTTCTAGAGGCGGAAGTTGCTTCTGACTTAAGATGTATACAAAACCCAAGTAAACCGGAAGCAGCTTCAATTTCCTCACATTCACCAGGGCAACAGCGGCCTGATCAGGGTTAGGGTAAATATACAAAAGGCAAGTATATTCATCAGACCTACCCCTTCATTTTGCAAATGGAAGCGCTACTTCCCAAACTGGCGAACGATCACATTGATGATAGCACTCCGCAGCGCCGCGATGTTCCCATTGCACATCCGAATGAGTAGTTCAACCACGAGGGGGAAGCGCATATCGGGCCGCAGTCCGCAGTTTGAATTGATCATCGCTCTGGCTTCGTCCTCGCCCAGTAAGAAATCCTCTCTCGTGATCTTGCTGCGAATACAGAACCAGAACAAATCGGGCGTCGCTGGGTCCTCCAGGTGATGATGAAGCGCACGTAGCTCGGGGCTTTCGGGATCATATTCTCAATCAGCCCGCTCCAGAAGTAAAAGTCGTCGTACTTGCACTGGGCGTCGTCCAGCATGAAGACGACAAGTCCGTCACTGTACGGCACTGAGTACGTTTGCTTCACGACATCAACACCATATTGAGCCAGGAGCTCACTAGCCGACGAGTTCACGTTGCCCAGCGGTATTGGGACGCAGCGGATAGTGGGGCAGCGCAGAGCAAACAGATTCAGCAGCGACGTCTTCCCCGACCGGGCCGGAGACAGCATCAGCACGACGTTCGTTTCGTGCACCGCTCGCAGCAGTTTGTCTACTACATGTAGTTGATCACGCGAATGATGGGGCTGCTGCATGTTGATTCCATCTGGGAAGAGCTGGAAAGTGTGCAAGTGTGGAGTTTGCTCTGGAAGTTTCACTAGGAGGTGGACTTTGCCCTTACGCAGCCTGCGCTGCTTGTGAAGCCATGACTGAACGGTCCAAATCGACGACATCGGCTTTCCGTCGAGAGTGTCTTGAACCTCTTTGCGGTACTACCCTTCCTCCAGCGCTAACATGGCATCGTCCGACAGCCACGAGTTCCTCGTAGAAGCGGAAAAGATCTTGAGATCGCCGGCGTCGCACTTGATTTTGGCTGAATTCTGGGCCTTGATATAGAGTTTCAAGTCGCACACCATGTCGTTCAAGTCGGTCTCAGCGGTGAAGAGGCTCGTCGTGAGCCCAGGCAACGCGCAGATCAATCGCATCATCCTTTAGCTACGCCGAAGAAAAAAAAACTTGTGAAATGACTGCGAGGTGGAGAGATGGAAAGTGACGAAACAAGTTTTGAGTTGCTAAGTCACGGCTTGGATATCGCTCACATCCACTTGAATCCAGATAATCTCGAGGAGATGGCGAGCGTGGTGCAGGGGAAAGCTCAGGTGCCGGGGAAATAATGGCAACTGGAGGAAGGCACCATCCTGCACCACCCGAGTGGGCAAGACTATACCGCCTTTCGATACTAACGAGACGTTGCTGGAGTGTGAGAACCGCGACAACACTGGCATGAGCAAGTTGGTTGACGTGGTAGTTCCAGGCTACGGGCTCTTCAACGTCGCGCGGGAGGACGTGGTGACCTGTCCGGTCGATTGTGGCCCAACCGAGGGAGAACCGGTTAGCTCACTCTCCCTCAATCTCGATGTGACGCTGGTTCATTGGGCATGCTACTGGAACAGATCGGGTGGGCCTTCGGACTCGAATACTTGTGTGACATGGACTATGACATGTTGATGAACGCCATACTTGCATCGTGTCCGAAGCTGACGGACCTGACGATCCAAGCCTCCTACGTGGATTTGAGCCGCCTGGTCACCACTTTTGAACATTTTCAAAGCGTCGAGACTATGGCAGGAATTTCGTCTTTAACCCTGCTCAAGGTTGATGACATCGGGCTGGATCACGGTGTGAGATTCGCCGAGCTGCTCGGCGACCCAAGTTCTCGTCTCGCACGGCATTTGAAGGAGCTGTACATCACGTCGCGGGGTGATTAGGACGCCGTGGACTCCTCGACCCTCCGAGCCTTGTGGTTTGCCCTCAAGACAAACACGAAGCTCAAGAAGCTGGAGCTCATGACCCCTCCAATGTTCTGAGGCAGTGGAAACTGCGCTTCCGCCAATTTCACGGACAAGTTCTGCCACCAGAGCCCTTGGGAATGGCAGCCAAGCTTGCGTTCCTCACCGCGACAAGCATCAGAGCCGAAGTCGAGGATGACAAGGAGCCGCCATCCATTCAACGATTGGATCAACGTGTGCTCTCGCTTGTGTTGACGTTCGCTGCCACCCGAGTGGTTCGATCCGTGACACTGTTTTACCGCCTCTGACCGTGCTAAACCAGCATCGGGTGGCATTGTTTGCGTGGTGTAGTGTATTTTTCATCATTGCGTTGAGACTTCCAGATTTTTTCTACACGTAAAGGAAGAGTTCCTCCACGAGTGCAATACCGCTCTTGTGAGCATGTCCAGTTGGCTTTGACGGATGGCCTTGTGGTCCCAGGCCCCGAATCCGCCCTGGATCCGGATTGTCCCCACCGGAGTCGCGCTGCCGCCAGCGTCGCGCTCAGTGCGTCGCAGTGCCATGGCGTGTCGTCGTCACACGTGACCGAAAGGTGCTCAATAGAGTGCACGCGCTGCTGCAACGGACGAAGAGGTGCTACCAACAGCCCAGTCAGCAACATGGCGAGTGCTTCGCGAGTCACGAAGTAGTTGCCGCCTCTGCATCTCCGATTCAGATTCACGTCCATCCGTTTGATTGGGATCCCAGTGCTGACCAGGTCCAGGAGGCGGGTCACGCACACCTCGGACAACGTGACCCCGACCACATCGAGCGACATGGAATCCAAGCGGTACGTGAACGTGTTGGCACATTCACTAATAGTCTTCCCCATACCAGAGCCAGCCCTCATTTCCTTGGCATAGTAACTCTTCATCTCATCCACCAGGCCGCGCACTTGGGCGACGTGCTCGGCGTACCGATAGGAGCCTCCTGGCAGGAGGTCTCGACGCAGATCGCGACCGCGATCTCCACGCTCCTCGGTACTCGTGGATTCTTGATAAATTCCTCGTCCTGCATCATTAAAATCCGTTGCTTCGCTTCCAGAAAATCCGGACTTGGCTCGTAGTTCGACTTGTGCGAGAGGAAAAAATCCCGCCACTGGACCACCGTCGACGGATTTCCCGGTTTCTGGATGCCGACCGTCACGATAAACGTGAAGCGAGGCGCCTCCCTGTCGTGTTCAAGTTGCAGAGCAAATTTCTTGTCCTCAGCCAGAAAATCCCTTTCCAAGTTGGCGTCGACGTTGTCGTCGTTAGCGTCGAAAGCGTCTACTTCGTCGCTGAACCTGAAGGCGCATCTGTGCAGAAGAAGCTTCTGCCACGCCAGGTTATTGACGCTGTGCACGAGCACCAGCAGCTCCAGCGCCTCGCGTGTGCGCCAGTGACTGGGCTCGTGCTGCTTCGGCTGACTGGGGTCGACGTGTTGCGGCTCCAAGATGTGACGACGGTAGCGGATGTCTTCGGTGTTGAGCACCACCAAGTGGCCGTTGGGGATGATCATGAGGTGGCCTCGCAGTTGCTCGAACCAAGGAGACAGGAAGTCCCAGCGGTCGAGGGCCGTGGCTGAAGGTTGGTGATGGTGGGGGCTGTCTTGGTTGCTTGCTTGACGGTCAAGCGTGCTAATGAAATGAGGAGAGGGATAAGCAACATGCAGAGTACAGTGCCAAAATGTGATTCATGAACATATTCCCCCCCCCTCTGTTTTTCGTACTCTTGTGCATTTGTTTTTTGAAACTGATGCCCAGTAAATACATGGTCAAGTTCTCATGAAGGTTATCTGGGAATTACTACGCGCTCCGATTGAATAGATTCGAATACATTGCCCTACATTCTTCTGGCCGATAACATTTTTTTTCCTTTTTACTTTATGTTTACTCTGTAATGTTTCATTATCGCTGCAGTATCGAGTAGCGGTAAGTACTTTGAAGGAAACGACAATGAAGCCACAGCAACTACATGTAATACGAATTTCTTCCGGGAAACGTACATACGTACGATCACATCACGTACCAGGCACTGTGGTTCACAGTCTAGACTTGCTTAAAATTAGTGTTGTAGTTCAATAGTCTACTATTCACAATAGATCATCGCATACGCTACTGTAAGCAAAACCCTCTTTGGTCTTCATTATCCCCTTTTGGTGAATTTCCTATATTTTCATCACGGGTGCTTTCTTATACGCGCCCGGCCTTTATATTATATTATTTATTTATTTGAAGGATTCCCGTTCACAAAGGTCTACCGTGGAATCCGCTAATGATTCATGACGCGTTTCCAGTCACCCAACCATCGCCATTTGCCATTTCGTCCAAAATGGCGGAAGAAGGTCGAGAGCTCAAGCGTCCGCGCAGGGCCGGCCCTGGAGACCCCGCGCCCCCGTCGACATGGGACTTCCTGGCTCCTTGGTGCGACGTCCTCCGCGGCCAATTGGTGCTTGTGAGTGGCTACATCCGATTCATCAGCGAGAGATTCGAGTCCAGATCAAAGTTGCCGCCCGCCCAACTGTACCCCCGCGTCCGTGAAGCCATCGACCTGTTGGTGCTTGTCGCTCACATCGACAACAAGGTGTGGCACATGCTGATAACGGAACAGTGCAAGCTTGTCGGCGTCGCTCCCCTTGGATACGACTATGAGGAGGACGAGGATGCAAATTATTACAGTGGGGAGGAAGTATACGAAGATGACAGTGAAGACGACTAAGAAGATGAGGATCCAGACGACCTTGCCTACCTGTTTGGGGGGCCTACTGACCCCCCCGACCCGATTTTGCTTCGTTTCCAGTTCACTTTCTGGTTGAGTCGTACTGGTGGAGAAGAGTTTCTTAACAAATGGAAGTGAATACTGCTGACCGAGTCTCCGTACTACACGCCAAGTGAGGCGTACAAGCAGGCGAAGAAGCGGATTTTGGAGATGCAATCTGACAGCTTCAAGAGGCGACCGTGGGTGGATCGCGTGCTGGAAACTCCCCTGAGCCTTGAGATCGACTTTATGTCGTGCAGGAAGGAGGACCTGAGTGGGCTTCTGGTTGAACTGCACGATCTTCTTGAACACATGAGGAAAACGTCTGAGGATCTTCAACCAATTCTGGCTAAGAAGGCCGAACGAGTAGAAGAATGTGCTACAGCATTCGCTTACAAGCCGGATATTATTTCTATACGTTTGACTGGTGTCGCGATCTCGGACGTGAGGATTTCCCATATTCTGGAAGCGGCTGGAGCTTTTGGCGACCGGGAATGCACGCTGGCTTTGGCTGTTAGGGCGGATAACATGACGGAGTTGATCTCTGCGTTACTGTTAGTGCGGGAGGCTGGTGTTCATTTGAACTATCTTGGTTTAACGCTGGAAGATCTCGCTGATCGTGACAATTCTCTTCCATCAAACAAACGACGCGAGGCTTTTGCGAAGTTGCTATATGAAGCGCTGATTCGTCCGACTCAAGATGGCGCTTCAATTGGCAGTCTCAATATTTACTGCTTCAAAGCGGCCTGGTGGGAGGTTGAACAGGTGCTATCGGCCTTCTTAACGTCTCAGCTATCGATTGGAAGCATCCAATTGCCTGAAGGCAAGGACATGTATTCGTCAGATGAGTGGTGGTTCTGGAGCATACTGGCGTCGAATTTTTTTCACGTTCGCTCCTGTGTCTGCGGCTTTTGTACCTCACATGTCGGTGGTGGTTTGCATGATCCGGATATGAGCTTGGCGAATAAAAATCTTTTTGAGCTCAACAATGTTGTGCGCTTCAAAGCCAACCTCCTGGAGCAACATGGTTCTCCTGGTAGCTGCCCGGTGCGTCAAGGTGCAAAGCTGGAATTTACAGACCCATTTGGTGGACTTTCGGAAGAAGGGGGCGAGATGGATTGGAGTCTCAAACTCGACGACGGTGATCCTGTTGATCTTCCTGACGACAGCCGTGCTGAGTTTCTGAATAAGTTCTGCGCCACTGACCCGTTCTCAATCCTTCTTGTCCCGGCGTATGGGCCGTGTCGTGTCCCCCAAGAGTCTGTTGTCCTCATTGAGGACGGGGATAGTGCAAGTGAGCCAAAGGGCAAACCTTTGACTGCCTTGTCACTCTGCTTCCGTGATGGTATTTTGGATAAAGTCGTCCCTATATTCCAAGGAATCGGGTGGTCGCTCCAGACGCTTTCACTAAAGGTTTTCCCGAACGAATGTGGCGACAACAACGTGGACGATGTGCTGCCTGCAATTCTGTCTGCCTGTCCTCAACTCAAAGAATGCACGATTCGTGCTGACGTTATCGATCTGGATCGTCTCGCCGCTGAATTGGAACGATCTAGACACACCAATGGCGATGATGTTTCGACCATCTCCTCACTAAACTTATGTTATCTCAGCGATTTCGGGAGTGGAAGAGGCGTTTTCTTCGCGCAGCAGCTCGGAGAACCCACCGCACATCTCGCACAGAATTTGACGAGTCTCTACATCTCCACCAACCGTTCCACAAACCCATTGAAGAACAAACTGCTGAGCGAGCTGTGGACCGCTCTGCGTCAAAATGCCGTGTTCGAAAAGCTCAAGCTGGTCGTATCGGAACGAAACTTCAGCGCCACGTGGAGGTGGCGCTTCTATCAGCTGAACCGCTAAGTTCTACCGCCGCGTCCACTGCCGATAACGTCCAAGCTTGCTTTTTTGAGCTCGCAGTGGCTTGAAGAGAGGGGCAATCGCAAGACCGCGAGCGCTCCTACTCGATTGGATCAAGGCGTCATCTCGCTGATATTCGAGTTCGCGGCTAAGCGCGTGGTTCGGTCCGTCAAGGTGGTGTACCACACGTAGCGACGTGCTGCGATGCAACATGGAGTGAGAAAGAGACAACATCTGGAACGAAGGCAGCCACTTGGTTGTCGCTAGCACTCTGATCATTCTTGCTTTATGCAGATCCAAGTTTGATATTTCATGTAGGCCACGCTTCAAACGAATACGAATACATGCCTACCGTATAATCGTAGTCCTAAGGGTCACCCGACCTGCGACGTTGATGCAACATCATACCGCACCTTTCGACGCCGACCGCATACATCGCCACCGCATCATGTTCTCCAAGTCTCTGCAGCGCGCCGTCGCGTCCTCTTTCTCCGTGCTCAAGCATGCGTACGTTTCTCCTGTCTTTGACCTGCCTTTCCCGGCTTTTCCGGCGTTAAACGACCTGCAATTGCCCGAGCTAACGCGTCTTTCGTGCTGCGGCCCTGCAGACGCACGCAAACGCGCTCCATCGGCTTCCTGTCCTCGCTGCCGGAGGAGCACAGCACTGGTTCCAATAATCACACATGTTCAATCCAATTTTAGTAATCCGAAGACTAAATTTTATTCCGTGTGTTAGTATTAATTCCTCTGATCGTTTTTAGCTCATTATCATCGTTTTTGGATGTAATATCATCGGTTTTAGATGCAATATCATCGGGTTTAGATGTAATATCATGAATTTCAGATCGAGTTTAGCTACTACCTACCTAATCGTCTACTTCGCTGTCGCTACTACTACCATCTGAAATGTCGGCGTCCGAGCAAACTTCATCACCGGCTAGACGGCATTTCTCTAACTCCTCGACAGTGCCATTCTCGATTTCATCACTTTGAAGCCCATCGGTGCAAGAGCGAGTATCGTTTAAGATGCCAACTCGGGCGAAGCCACTGATGATCGTTTCAGTAGTCAGGTCATTCCAGCACGACACAACCCACTGTGTGATGTCCACTCGGTTGGGAGCCGTGAGTTTAAACGGCTCCTCTTTATACTCGTCTCTCAGTCGGGCTACTTCTTCATCCGCCTCCACCTGAATAAGCTCCTTGCGAGCCACCATGATCTTTTGCCCCAGCTCTTCTCGTTTTTTCTCCATTCGCTTCTCATCTGCGCGATATTTGACGAGCTCGTCTCGAAGTGTGTCGACCCAACGCTTTCACAAAGCCGTTTTAAACGGTTTGTTCCAGGATACGTCTGCCGGTTGGCAGACGTATGTGTACTTCGGTGGCACTTTCAGCAAGATGACGTTCAGAGATGCTGCATACTCCAGGACATCGGCCGTCCAATGGCCACCAAAATCGTCCCAGAGTAGAAGGACGTTCTCATCTGGGTTTTCTCGACCAGCGAAATTGTACTCCAGAAACTTCAGAGACAATTCATGGTTCCACCACGCGGCCTTGTTACCGTATATCTGGCACTCATTCTCCTCTTGTAGCGCGCGAACTTCTTTCCACACGGTGACACCGAATCCATTTCGCAGAATTTTGTTGGCTTCCTTTTTCGGATCTGTCTTGGCAGGTGTGCTTTTAAACAACAAAAAAGGAGGGGCCTTGTTTCCTTCCCAGTCGGCAAGTAGCATCGCAGTGGCTCTTGTTTTGTCCTTGTTGGCGCATTTCACCCAGACTGTCTTGACCCCGCGAGTCGTTATTGTCTGCTTCAGCAATAACTCGAAAAACAGCTACAATATCGACAGTAAACAAAACGAAAACAATTCATACAAAACCTTTGTTACCAGTCTGGTCAGCGTTATACACATTTACACACCGGTTTTCAACGATCGTTCTGCGATCGAGTGCACGGAATGCTTGCAGGGCTTCTTGCGCGTCGTCTGGCGTAGTCTGGCCTTGATGGGTTCGCGTCCGGAGTGATAGTTTGTGTCGACGTAGAAAAAGCTTGCTCCAGGTATCCGAAGCCCCAAATTTGTCACCTAATTCGCAGTCCGCTGCGATTTCCTTCGCTTGGAGTTCCAGCATGAGCCGAGAAACAGGTGCACCGTCCTTCCGAAGGGCATTTACCCACATAACCAGCTCGGTTTCAGCCGCGGCCGGAAGAACAGTGCCTTGACCCAGTTCACGGACGTTGAGATGGCTCTCACGGCCGCTTTTGCACACGGCGCGAATATGACCCGCTTGCTTCAGCCACTTGGTTATCTGCTTCTTTTTGGCGCGCAGTCATTTGTCTACCACGTCTCCATAGAAGAAAGCAATGGTCCCATCGAGGTCGTTACCTTTCTCAATGTAGTCAATTACCTTGCGCTTGTGTGAATAATCGACCGGGACGCGCTCGAACGTTCGTCGCTTTCTACCACTTCCATTGATGCAGGGCCGAGTCATGTGAACTGCTTCGCGTCTCTTCCGAACTGGCGATTTAGCAGACCCATAACTTAAAAATAGGAGCTGGCTATAAAAATCATATGTTGTTTTCAACTAGTGTCATTGGTCAACTAGTTAGTAAGCGACGCTTAAGACTACGATTATGCGGTAGCCGTTTTTGATGTTCTTACGAAGAGTTTCCAGTTGATGCCCCCCCTTTACTTAGATGAATGTGATGCGGCGGTCATCTGACGACAACTCGTGGACCAGTGCTTGGTAATACTCGATGCATGCGCGTAGCTGTTGAGCTGTGTAGCCTCGAGTCAGAAGCAGCGCCTCCAAATCACCCACTGAGATAACCCGCAGATTGCGATCCCTGGCGAATTCAATTAGCAGACGGTAAATCGCGGGCGTGGCGGCAGCGTGTGTTTAGAGGTCCTCTATTTACGTTTGTTTAAACTATAGAGTCCTGATATCGCTGTAGACTGAGCCTAATTGACGAGCGGTGTTGGGATAGTTCCTCCTCCGGCGAAAATTGTTCTTGCAGGTAGTCCCATAGCTTGACAGGCAGGTGCTCTCGAAGTAGTACATCATTGGTAAACTGAGATAGTTGTCGCAATTCGAGAAATCCCCTGATCGCTTTGTAGATGCGTTTGGAAGCTGGTTTCCATGCTATCGAGACAACGGCTTTGAGCGCTTGGTGCGTGGCATTCTGGGCTCGAGCCGACTTGATCATTGGTTGGATGCCTTGGGAATTAAAGAGAGACTGTAGATAGTTGAGCTCGCTGCTTTAGCTGATGCATGGCTCGGACGATGAGCTGAATAGCCATACTAGTTTCCGTGACTGGCTCGTTCTTTTGGGCAAAACCAATGGCAATTATTTCTTGTGGGTCGTTCCCCAACACCACCTAAATACCTCTTCGCCCTGGTAATCCTTCCAATTTCACAGAGTGAAAAGTTAGAGTCCAGCACTGAATTGCGATCGGCCTGTCTGAAGGTTGAATTGCCAAGAAAACCGCGTAGCACTGGTCCAACCGAAAACTCGCTTCTTTGGCTGCTGGACGTGAAGCCATTCCCCGGATGACTGCATGCGACTGGAAATCAGCTGCCTTCCACAAGATTCGCTTAGCTTCTTGTGGCGGTACTTGATCTCCGTCAAAGACTTCTCTATTTCGTACCAGCCAAAGCGTGCATTGAGTACATGTCGTCCAAATTAGCCACAAAATCCTCATAGCTTCATCCTGCCCTTTCCCCCAGCACGTGGCGTGGCGGCAGCAGAGCCGCAGTTGCCTTCAATGCCGGAGCAATTGTCACTGACAATTACAATTTGTCAGTGGCAACGTCGAGGTGTCCGTTCCCCATCAGCAAAATCTTGAAATCTTTTTATTCTTGAAAAGATAGGATTGAAGTGGACCACACTCGTTCATTTATGTGTGTACACGGGCGGGTGCCTTTGGCGTGATTGGATGTTCAATTGTACACTGCTGCATCGGATGAGAATCGCTATAGAAGCGGCGCTTTTGCTGCTTGGTCGTGGCGCTTGGTCGTTGCTGCTTGGGCGCCAAGGATTTCTTCAGAAACACTCATTTCTGAACAGCCTCCGCGGCTCGCAGTCAACGGGAGCCATCAGTTAAGGATCTCACACAAGTCAAGTTTGTACCATGCTGCCAAAATTGTCCAAGGCGCGCAGTGTCAAGTTCCAGACGGCGGAACCGGAGCCAGCCTTTATTACGGCTCGACGGAACGCGCTGCAAGATCTCACGAACATCAACGCTATCCACGTATCGTGTGCGGTTTGTGGTTGGGGTGTTCACCGATTCTCTCCACTGCCGGACGACCGCCAACACCAGTTCGACGAGTTCAAGTGCATCGGTCGTCTACCACGACGTGTCCGTGACCTCCCAGAGCCCGAGTGTGCGGATTGAGCGCGAGTTGGAGGAGTTCATCGACCTCCGTGACCACCTGTACAACATTATGTTTGCAGCGCACTACCGACAGTACTACAAGTTTTGTCTTGGGGTGCTGGACTCGGTAATCAGCGGTGTGGACCCTGGCGGCTTCTTCTTCACGTTGTTCGGAGAAGAGCGCGCCGCCCGCAAGCTCACCAAGTTCGTTGAAGATTTAGTCGAGCCCACCCTCCAGCACGCCTGTGCCAATACCCATAACTGCTGCGCAGCACAGATTTGGGTGCCTCAGTCCATCCACGCCTTCCTCTTTACAGATAACAACTCGCGGCTCAATTCCAATTATTATTTTCATTTACGCTGTATTGTCAGTTTTGGGCAATTTTAGTTTTAACCAATCCCATTTTTTCAATGTTTTGATTTAAAATACGTAGTACTTGAAGTACATGATAAGCATGTCGAACAATGTCGGGCGATGGTGAGGAACCGGACCGCAAGCGGCAGCGGCTGGAGGCCTCCGAGCCGCTCGTGATGGACGTAGATTCCCCCGCGAAATGGGATTTCCTGGCTCCCTGGTGCGAGGAGCTCAAGGGCCAGTTGGTCTCAATCCCCGGTGACTTCATCCGAGTGCTGGGGCCGCGCAGTAAGCGCGAGAAGCCATTCCAGTTTGACTTGGAGGACTCTGAAGAGGAGGAGGAAGAGGAGGAAGTGGACCCTGAAGAGATCGAGCAGGCTTTGTGGAGGACGAGGGAGGCCATCGAGCTGCTGTCTCTGGTGGCAAAAGTGGACCCGCGAGTGTTCCACATGCTCATGACGCAGCAGTGCGGCCTGCGACTCGACGACGAGGACAGCGAAGAGGAGGAATTCAGACCTGTGATCCCTGGAGAGGGCGAAGATGATTTTGTCTTTTTTGATGACGATGACAGTGAAGATGGAGAAGAAGACGATGGTGATGACGACGACGAAGAAGACGTTGACGATGCCACCGGGGACGATGGACAGGGACGAAATGGCAACCATCGCAGAACTGACCAGGGTGATCAGAACCGAATTGAGAGCGACTCAGATGACGCTGGAGCCGAAGTGGAGGACGATAATGCACTTCCAAACGATCACGACGAAGAAGAACGCGATGATGAGCATGAGCAGGAGGAAGACGAAGCGCACGATGACGTCTTTGTACTTCCACCTGATACGCTAAAGAGCGAGCGACGGCGTGAACGGGAGACGTTTATTTCTCCTCGCTTCGACTTTATCTCGTTGCGTAACTTACCCGGAGAGCCGGAAATCACTGGTTCATTGTTCGCAGAGTGGGAAAAGTTGTTTTTGGCCGAGGCTCCAGAGTATCAGCCGAGTGCAGCGTACAAGAAAGCTAAGCAATGCATTTTGGACATGCTGCCAACTGATCGCAAGATTCACCCGCGCATTCAGCGCTCTCTGGAGATCCCTGTGTCGCTAGAGTTCAGCGACTGGTCCAAATCCACAGATGAACTTGCGGGCCACTTGAATGATTTGACCGCATTTATGGAGGAAATGCATCGCCGCGCTCAGAAGGTGGATTCCACAGCAGTGCAAGATCTGCGGGGCTGTGCAAGGACTTTCGTGTACTGCTTGACGCAGCTTTCCATGACCTTGAGTCCCAGGGGCAATATGACTGGTTTGTTGGTCGATCGCTTGCTGCGGGTGCTGGGCCATGGCGTTCTCTTAAGTGAGATTCGCATGTATCTGCGCGATCAAGCCACGGCTGATTCTGACCGAACCCTGAATCGTGACAGCTTGGCAAAGCTGCTGACCGGAATGCTCATTCGACCGACCAGCCCAACGCAAACGCAGCTGCCTTCATTCTCTGCTTTGAACATTGATTGTGAGCGTGCCGCACCCTGGCAATTTGAGGCGCTGTGCTCGTCGTTGGCTGTTTCCCAGGCTTCTGTCGCTGAGCTGACCCTAACTGGAGCATGCAACTACCGGATGAAGGATGAGCTGCGGCGAAGATACTGGAAGTTACTAGCACAGACATTTTTCATACGTGCTCGAGCAAACAAGGCCCCTTTTCATCTGTGCGCGGTTTGCGCCTCCCCGACGCCGAATTGACAATGGATGACACGGAGGAGATCACTGCTGTTCTCCAGGAGAAGGAGCACCAAGAAAAAGTAGCCCAGCAATGGAGTGTCTGCCGAAAGAGTTGGCTATTGCGTGCAGGTACGCTGGTGCAATTTACTGAGATGGACGGAGCTGAGAGAGTTCTGGCTGCTGGTGACCCTGTCGCCTTACCGTGCGATACTCCAGTGGAGCTTGTGGAGAGCAACTCGGATAACAGCAAGGACGACGCCCCGAGCCAGTCGTTGGACTTGATCATCCCAGGCTACGGACAGTGTCGTGTGTGTCATCGCTGTACCCAATGGCGACCCTGATATGCCATCGAAGCCGATCGGAAAGCCTTTAACGTCGCTGTCCCTTTCGTTAAAGTCAGAGGCGGGTGGATTGCCAGGCCTGATCCAGCAAATCGGATGGTCCCTTGAAAAGCTGTCGCTGTCGTTCCACCACGAGGTGGACGTGAACGCGATGGTGGCGACCATACTGAGCTCCTGCCCAAGAATGACAAAGGTGTCCCTGTCTGAAAGCTGCATCGACTTGGATTTCTTCTCCACCATGTACGAAAGTGTTCGTGGCCCTGATGGTGAGATTGCACCGGTCATTAGAACGCTGAAGTTCCTAGATTATTATGGCCTTGGTGGTGGGGAAGGAAAGCTCTTTATGAAGCGACTTGGAGACCCATCGACGCGTTTGGCGAAGGATTTGAGGGAGCTTTCTCTGTTCGCGGAAGAATACGCTGAGCCTTTGGACCACCCGACGCTGAGCGAGCTGTGGGTGGCTATGGGGAAGAACACAACGCTCGAGAAGATCGAAGTGATGGTATCGCGGACGATATTGAGTGCGATCTGGAAACGCCGACTGCGTCAGTTCCACGGACAAGTTCTACCTCCACGACCACTGCCGCTTCCTAGCAAGTTGGCGTTCCTCAGTGTCTGCTATCCTTCAAAGGACAGCGACGCCAACAAGACCACGTCAGCAGCTCATTACCTGGCTCGTCGAGTTTTGTCGCTCATCTTTGAGTTCGCCGCAACTCGTGTCGTCCGATCCGTCAAAGTCTGGGGCTGACGGAGCGATACGATCGATAGCTAACTAGGCTTGCGGTAATAAAAAGAAACTTTTCTTACGGTTTCGTTTCTAACGTTCTTTTACAAAACCACATTATTGACTGAACACTCTACAATAGTCAAGATAAAAATAAGTACCGTCCCCCCCCCATCGCTATCTTATGTCTACCACACCATCACTTTTTTGCGCGCCGAACCAACGGTCTCAGTCACAAGATGGAGAGCTTGATCGCGAGCCCCGCCGAGGGCGCTCCTCGGCGTCCGCGCGGGCGCCCGCCGTCGCGCTCCTGGGCCTTCTTCACGACGCTCGTGGAGCCGCAGAAGCAGCCGTCGGCCACGTGCCGCCACTGCCAGCAGCAGGTGAGCTACCACAAGAAATGGGCCCAGGCGCGCACCCACCTGATGAAGTGCGTCCAGTTCCTGCGCTTCATCGACGCGCTGCCGCCCAGCGACGTGCCCGAGTGGTACCTGGCCGAGATCAATCGCCGCCAGCAGAGCCTCGCGCTGAGCCGCAGCGCGCCGTCCAAGCCCGTCCCAATGCCAGTTGCAGCGGTCCCATTTCCAGCCATGCAGGCCCAAATCCCGACTCCGACGGCGAGTTTCAAGGTCATCCAGCCCGCGATGGTGCCCATTACCATGGTGCCCAATGTTCAAAATGGGTCTGCGAAGGCGGTGGCAACGGGGCAACATGATACCAAGACTTTGGAGGAAAATGTAGCCATGCACTTGTTCACGACGATGAACGTGGACCAGTTGGTGGACGGAGAGAGGGTTCAAGTTCCCTATTTGATGCAAGCTTTCCAGACTTTCAGTGGAGACTTTGGGCTCCCGACCAAGGAGAAGTTGATGACGGAGCTGCTGGACAGGTGCTTCGAGCGTGTGAAAGGACAGATGGACGGCTTCTTCAAGAGTGGAGTGGTGCCTGTGAGTCTCTCGATGGATACGACGCCGTCTGCGACTGCTGAGAATGGGGTTTCTATAAACTACATGGTCAACTTGGCGAGTTCGGGCAATTTTCCGATGTTTGTGGAGTCCGTGAAGTGTCCGAGTAGTGGAGACGCAGGTGCCGATGCGGAGTGGGCAGCTCGTGACGTGGCCCGAGTGGTGAAGAAGATGGCTAGTCCGGTGGCTGGTTGTGTGATTCCGTGCACGTTACCGCAGAGTAGGCAGGCGCGCGAAGCTCTGGAGAGACAGTTCCCAGCGATGTACTTCCACGGGTGCTTGCGAGACGGGCTGCTGGCACTTGTGCGCCACATTTTTGTGCCAGCCAGTGGAGTCTCAGATACCGACAGGAAGCGCAATACGACGCTGCCATTCTCGCAGGATTTACAACAGTTCGCGTTGCAATGCGCGGATTTGGCGTTTTTCCTGCCGGGCCGCCAGGAAAAGTTTTCCTACCTCCGTGAAGTCAGCGCCAGCGCTGCCAATTTGATGCACGTGACTGTGAGGCGACGATTGAAAGTGGAAGACGCGTTTTCCGCCATCCTCCAAGCTGAACCGTTTCTTGACGCTGAAATCATATTAAACCAGCTATTTGCCCCATCGACGGAAGACACCAGTTCTAACAGGTTTCACGCCCACCATCCGGCCAGTATCGCGCATTTGCAGACTCAGTTCACCCGGATTGTGCGCAGCCCGCAGTTCGTTGAGAAGCTACGAAAGTACTTGGAAGTTCTTCGTCCCGTTCACGAGCTACTATCATTATTGAGTGATGATACCAGTTCGACGACGCTGCCACTATCGGAAGTGTACTCGACGTTTTCCCAGCTCGCTCAGCAGTATGCGGCAAGTACGTTGCTACAGCCAGACGAGAAAGCAGGCTTACATGCTTTAGTCCGACAGCTACAAGAGAACGCATTGGGCCCTGCACACCTACTGGCGTATCTATTGGATCCCGTTCTCCTTGGCGAGAACTTACCTGTGGACACAAAGGCAGACGCCGAACAGAAGTTGATGTCTTCCTGCCGTGCTGATGGCTCTCCATTATCTGATACGGACAAAGAAGCGCTATACATGCAGTACATGGAGTTTAAGAAGGCAGCTTTCAACCAGAAGACCCACAAGGCTGAGACGCTGGTTTTCCGGACACTGAAGGAGCGCAAGAAATCGTCGCTGGAGTTCTGGTTTACGGAGGGCGCGAAGTGGCCCGTACTGCAGGCGATCGCCTGCCGGATCTTCGTGATGCCAGTGTGTGCATTTAGCTCGACGCGAGTGATCGCCGAGTCGAGTGTGGAGCCGCTGCTACTCCTTGAGAAGACGGACCCTCTCACGAGCGCCAAACTGACGTATGTACGAGCAAATGCCCGGCAACTCCAGTTGGCTGAGGCAAGTGGCAGTGTACTCGCTCCTGCCGTGCAGAACACTCAACTTGAAGATAACACCAAAGACATCACGGCCAGTATGGTGGTATAACATCACCCGATAATAATATGTGCCACATAGTTCTGATGTTTGGTTACATGTTGTTTGGTCAAAAGAGGGTCTTGCATACAAGTACTACACCTTTGCCCGGCCATAGTTGGCCTAATTCGCAAGCAAAGTTGTCATGAAGGAGGTACCAGAGAGTAACACCCTAAACATCTCTTCTCTCCAAACATCTAAGAGAGAGATCTGTGGGTGTGTGCGCAAGTCCGTGACAACATAATAAGGTGGTCCACATAATCGTACTTAGGCTGCTGAGCGCCCCAATACGATATTGCGGGGCCGCAGGACCCACCCCAGCCTCGGTATTTCTAACCTAACATAGCGAGTAGTGCAGCGAGCCGACGAGGCGAGCTGCACGGGGGCGATTACGTCACCCCGGCGCGACGCTTGGCCTAATACTTTTTGAAACATCAGCTATTAGCCCACCGAGTAGTAGCAGCGATAGCAGAGTTCGCTTAAACATATTAGCACTGCGAATAGTACTGTAGTGGATGCAGGCGTGACAAGCTTGATTCCACCACGAGTGTTCGTCGTACACGCCAGAGGAAGATCACAGGTGACCAAGATGTCCAACGCTGCCAGACGTCGGCTATCTGTTATATCGCTGGTCAGGCTGCCAGTGCCTGACCCAGCTGGCATAAGGAATTAGTGTACGAGGCTACATGTTCTCTTGGGCTCGACTGTTGTGGATCGGAGCAGTTCCTGGGAACTGACCACTTCAGTCCGTCTCTCAGCTTGAAGCCACTTCAAGCTGACTGCCTCTCAGCTGGACACGCCAGCAAGAGATATGCATTTGAGAGAGAGTCGGCACCCGCCACTCGACCTCACTTCACAATTTGCTAAGCAACTACGCAATTGGTTGTTTGGTTAGATCAATACATTCGGCTACTATTCCGTGCGGGTTCAGCCCCCGTATCGCCGGTGTTCAACTTTGGTCTTTCACCCGCGATACACTACAAAGAATTCTTTAGTAGTACATTCCACTGCCTCGCCACCTGAGTGGAACGCTAAGGACCAACCTCAAGCTACTACTACGCCATGACGACCCCTGGACATGGCAACCACGCTTCGACCGCTGGATCGACGGGAACAGTCCCACTCTTCACTCCGATCCTCCCCCCATGAATCGACTCCATCTCTCACGAGGCCCTCGTCAAGTGGATGCGCGACCGCCGCGAGTACGAAGCCAAGCTGCGCGCTCGCTGTCGTGTCTCCGGCGAGGACTACGACGCTGTCGTCGATGCGTTTGAGTCCGACTTGCTCGACGAGTCCTGCGACCTCAAGCTGCACCTGCCTGTGGACGACGTCACGGAGGGCGTGCTGCTCGCGGAGATCAAGAGCATCGTGGACAGCGTGAAGAACTCCACATTACCCGACATCAAGGCTCTGTTCAAGAAGGAGCTGAAGCTGAACATGGGCGAGAGCGACGTTGCGCCCGTGTCCTCGACTATTTCAGAGCATTCAACAGAATCATGATGGACAACGGTCGAAAGAGTGCTTCCAAGGCGTTGATGTGAGCCGTGAGTAGTGCAAACGCCTGATGGCCTCTTTGCAGCCGGCGGCCCTCAAGAAGGAGGTGAGGCGGAGCGTGCGCTTCACGCACAAGGCTGCGGCCACTGAACCTCGGTGCCTCTTTGACCTGATGGTGGAGATGACCACTGAGCACGAGCACCAATACCAGCGTCTGAAGGAGCAGCTGCAGAAGGCCACAGCCGGGCGCATTCAAAGTACGCCACGAGCCCCGAAGCCTGCGCCGGGTGCGCAGAAGAAGCGCTGGGAAGGCAACGACAAGAAGCTGTTGGCAGTGGTGACGACTGCAGCTACAACCCCGGTGGCGCCCCGTACCAGTGCTCAACCTTCGAAGCCACCAAGCGGCAATAGTTCGCGGCCTCCACCTGGACCTTGCCCCAAGTGCAATGAGCTGCACTGGCTCCGTGAGTGCACTCAAGCGACCGCCGAGGAGAAGGAGGAGTTGTTCCTGTTGTCAAGACTGATGTGACGACGCCTCGCCAAGCGACCGTGTGACGCGAACGCGTCATCAGTGAGGTTGGCGTGACCTTCACTGTGTTGTACCGCAATCATTCAGGTGATTACGGGACGATGATTACGTCACGGTGATTACGCCATGATTGTGGGTACAGGATTGTGGGTACAAGATGGGCATCGACGTGGCGTTCTCTGATTGGATAAGGTAACTGTGTATCCAGTAGAGAATCCAGTAGGGTGTATCCAGTAAGAGGTATCCAGTAGCAGGCTTAGAGGTAGCACGCGGTTGCGAACTAAGGACCTGAATCGAATCACTTTGCATTTTGCCAACTACTGCTCAAGTGCTCTTCCTTTAGTTCCGACGCCTGCTCGACGCCAAGAAGTCGAAGAAGGCGCGCGTCAAGCGCCTCGGTGAGATGCTTCCGCCCACGGACCGCAAGGTGACGCTGAACGGAGTGTTTGAGCTTCCGTACTGCCCGGATAGTGGGTCCGACTTTACCATCATTGGTCGGTCTCACTGGCAGCAGCTCTGTGCCATCGATGCCACCCTGGAAGCAGAGAGGCTGGCCACCTCCGTGCGCAGCCAGGTCTTTGGATCGACGTGGGTGACGGCCGAATGGAAGGTCAAGCTTCACGTCTTGATCCACACCGCAGCGGGTCCGGTGGAGCCGATGGATGCTCTGGATGTTCTCATCGCAGATGTGGACGACGAGGATTTCATAGTGGGCAATGACCTGCTAACTACACTCGGCATTAATGTTGACCAGCAGTTGGAGCAGCTGGCTGGCCGTGGTGAAGATGAAACCAGCGGCGACTCATTTGACTTGGAGGCAGACGACCTGCCTTTTAGCCCTGGTCAACCAGAATCAAGCGATGACGACATTTTCGCCGCAGTGGAGAGATTGATTAGTCGCGCTGTGGAGAATGGCTTCCCAGCCGACCGAGTGGAGCAGCTACGCACGATCGTGCACGCCTACGACGTGTGGCGCTTGGAGTTGCGCGCTGATCCGCCGGCAAATGTGCCGCCGCTGGAAGTGCGACTCCGTGACGGGGCTCGCCCGACGAAGTGTAAGCCCCGGAAGTACCCGCCGCACATCCGCACTTTTCTGCGTGAGTTTAACGCTCGTCTTGTGTCTCTAGGAATGGTGTATGAGAACCCCCAAAGTCGCTGGGCGAGTCCCGTCTTGCCCGTCAAGAAGTCAGCTGATCTCATGGACTTGCGCCAAACGACGGACTATCGACTGGCTAATGCTGAGACTGAAGTGATGGCCGCTGTCATGCCGATACTTTCGGTAATCTTGGAGAATGCACGTGGTAAAAAACACTTTGCACTCTTTGACTTTCTTAAGGGCTTCTGGCAATTGCCCCTCGCTGAGATGTGCCAGGAGTTCCTCTCCTACATGACAGACGAGAAATTTTTTACACCGAGGCGAGTTCCACAAAGCTGCAGCGACGCAACCATCTTTTTCCAGAAAACTATGGAGACTTGTTTCGCGAGCCTGCTCTCCTGATCTGGATCGACGATTTGTTGCTTTTCGCCGACGACATTGACAGCTATCTGGACAAGCTGGCCGAGGGGTTTTCGCTGCTGAACCAATTTAGGCTCAAGCTCAGCGCCAAGAAGTGCAGCCGGTACCGGTCTGACGTGAAGTGGCGCGGCAGGTTGATCAATCACCAGGGTGTGCGGCATGATCCAACCCGTATCGACACGCTGCGAGCGATGCCGTACCCCGAGACGGCTGGTGAACTTCAGCAGTTCGTGTGTGCTATCAACTGGATGAGGGAGTCGATTGTTGACTTCGCCAGACAGGTAGCGCCCCTGCAGAAACGCCTCGACGCAGCGCTCACCACCACGAGGCGAACTCGACGTGCCGCTGCTAGTATTGAGCTGGAGCTGACTGTGGAGGAGCGCCAAGCATTCGACAATATGAAGGAGAAGTTAGCGACGGCGGCTACTCTTGATTTTCCTGTCGACACAGCCACGACGTGTTTATTCACGGACGCGTCCGACGTCGGCTGTTCGCTCATTGTAACTCAAGTCGTGAACTTTGACCCAAGGGTGCCTGCTACGGACCAGCAGCATCGTCACCTGTACTGCATGAGCGGCACCTTCAGTGGCAGCCAATTGAACTGGACCGTGATCGAGAAGGAGGCGTTCCCGATCGTCACGGCCTGTGACAAACTGGACTACTTGTTGCTGAGGCCCAAGCCATTTCGCATGTATTGCGATCACAGGAACCTGATCCATGTGTTTGCCCCGCATCAGAGTGTCAAAAAGCACATCAAGGGCAAGTTGCTGCGCTGGTCGACGAAGCTGGTCAATTTCCGCTACGTAGTGGAGCACGTTCCTGGTCCGTCCAATGTCTGGGCGGATATGATCTCACGCTGGGCTGGAAATCACACTCCTACTGTTCGTGTCAAGCGTTTGAAAGCTGTGCGCAGTCAATCGGAGCCTGCGGCATCGGAGACACGAAGCCCGGCACCTCTGCGCCCCCTTGATGCTGAGGATTTTGTCTGGCCTACTCTAGTGGAGCTGTTTGACACCCAGTCCGAGTTTGAAGCGCCCGTGGACGCCGAACGGAACGCCGACGGACTACTCATGATTGATGACAAGATTTGGGTACCTTACGAGGCCAAGGAGCTCATTCAGCGGCTGTGCATCGTGGTACACTGTGGCGCCCAAGGACATCGTGGGCAACACGCCATGGTCGCACACTTGCGCCGTCTGTTTGCTATCGAGCACCTCTCTGCGGTGGTTTCTTCGTTTGTTGGCCAGTGTCTGCTGTGTCTGCATTCGCGAGGGGGGAAGATTATCCCCAGGCCGTGGGGCGAGACGATCGAGTACAGCTCTCGTAATGAAGTCCTCCACTTTGACTTCCTCTACATGGGCGAGTCTTATGGCCAGAGCAAGTACCTGTTTGTTCACAAGGATCACGCGACCCATTACTGCGAGCGGGTTGTGGCCGACACAGCCGACAGCAGCGTGGTGACTGAAGCCCTGCTGGACTGGCACTTTCGATTTGGTATCCCGCCTGAATGGGTATCAGATAATGACACGCACGTCAAGAATGAAGTGGTTGCGGAGTTGTGTCGTCGCTTGAAATCCAAGCAATCGTTCACGCTAGCTTACTGTCCCTGGATAAATGGCTCAGTCGAACGGGCCAACCGAGACATACTGCATGTCATGCGAGCGATGATCCTGGAGTACAAGATAAGCTACAAGGATTGGGTGTACATGGTCCCCATGGTCCAGTCAAGTCTCAACCACACGGCTGTCTCATCACTGGGGAACCGTGCGCCGATGGAGCTGTTCACGGGCCTGCAGTGCCCCACACCACTCAAGGAGTTCTACCTGCCGGAGACGGGTGAGCTGCAAACTGTTCCTGACAGTGATGCGATCGAGGCGTTCCTCGAGAAGCTGCGTGGCAGCATACACGACATGCACAAGGACGTCGAAGACCAGAGGGAGAAGCAACGCCTGCTGAAGAAGAAGTGCCAGCGCGGTGAAAACCTCGTGAATTTTGCAGTGGGTGACTTTGTTTTAAGGTCTCGCGTCGACGAGAAGCACGGGAACAAGCTTCAGGTGACCTGGATTGGCCCCTACAGAGTGGTGCGAGCTGATGCACACTCGTTTCGTGTACAGGACTTGGTTACAGGTGACGAACAGGACGTTCATGCCTCACGCTTGAAGATGTACGCGGATGACAGCCTCGAAGTGACAGAGGAACTGCTAGATCATGTTGCATCTCAAGGTATCCTGCTTGCTGTGGGTAGTCTCAAGGATCACCGTTGGAACGAAGCCACCAGTGACTACGAGTTACCCGTCAGCTGGAAGGGCTTACAGCCCATCGAGGACTCCTACGATCCCATGCTGGACCTCGCCAAGGAGATCAAGGTATTGGTGGGCAAGTATGTGGACACGGCAGGCGACCAGGATCTGAGCAACTACTGATTATGTGCAAGTGGCGGCGGTGACCAAGGTGCGGCAAGCGTCGAGGAGCCGCCGGCTACTCAAGTACCTGTACAGACTGGACAATCGACTGGACGTCGACTTTCCGGCAAGAAGCGGTGGTGTCGGCCTCGTGGCACGTCCCGCAATCGTCAGATGATGGCAGCCTTGAAGCTGCAGCAAGCGGAATCGTGCTAGCGGACACCCAGCCTAATTCTCGGTCACGGCGTGGACGAGGTCGCAGACAAGTAAGTGTTGGGGATGGTGAGCCCCAAGCAGCTCGTGGACGAACCAGGTCGCAGACGGCCAGGCAAGTCTCAATCTCGGAGGGCGCGACGCCTTCACCAACGTCGGCAAGAAGCAGACGCTGACTCGCCGCTCGAGTCGTCTTCGCACGTAGCGGAGCTGAGCGGAGTCCGCCCGACAAGTCTGGTGACGGGCATTTGGTATCTGTGCGATTGGGTCACGCAACCATGCCTGCCATGCTATGTTTTGGTAGTGGTGGATCCAAGCTTCGGAGGCTGTGTAGTGGATGCAGGCGTGGCAAGCTTGATTCCACCACGAGTGTTCGTCGTACACGCCAGAGGAAGATCACAGGTGACCAAGATGTCCAACGCTGCCAGACGTCGGCTATCTGTTATATCGCTGGTCAGGCTGCCAGTGCCTGACCCAGCTGGTATAAGGAATTAGTGTACGAGGCTACATGTTCTCTTGGGCTCGACTGTTGTGGATCGGAGCAGTTCCTGGGAACTGACCACTTCAGTCCGTCTCTCAGCTTGAAGCCACTTCAAGCTGACTGCCTCTCAGCTGGACACGCCAGCAAGAGATATGCATTTGAGAGAGAGTCGGCACCCGCCACTCGACCTCACTTCACAATTTGCTAAGCAACTACGCAATTGGTTGTTTGGTTAGATCAATACATTCGGCTACTATTCCGTGCGGGTTCAGCCCCCGTATCGCCGGTGTTCAACTTTGGTCTTTCACCCGGGATACACTACAAGTGCATAGTGGCAGCGATAGCTGGGCTTGCCCTACTACATAGTATAGTTCTTAATTCAGCGAATTTGGTAAAATATAAGCACATTGTAAGCCATAGCAGCGCATAGTTAGCTATAGCAGCGCGTAGTCAGCGATAGGAGCGCATAGTTAAGCGCTAGCAGCAGGTAGTAAGCGATATGAACGTATAGTTAGCGATAGCAGCACGTAGAAAACGATTGCAACGCGATAGCAGGGCATACATGTAGTAAATGATAGTAAATGATAGCAGCGTATAGTAAGCGATAGAAGCGCATAGAAGGCGATAGCACCGGCGTAATAAGCGATAGCAGTGCGAGTACATGTAGCGAGAGGTACAGTAGCTGAAGACGATTGATTAAAAGTTTCAGGTTAGCTTTTGTGTAATACTTTAGGGACGGATATATTATAGCTGCAGCGGTGCTGAGTGCTCATCTATAAAGGCATATAGCTACATTGGCTTAAACGTGTGGTATGTATCTGTAATTTATAGTATTTAGCGGTAAGATAATGGGTTCTGGGGGTAGTAGATGCCTAGACATGCATTGGAGTAGAGGTTTTATTGTAGTTCATACTGGCATTCCATTGACGCGTTTCCCCACACTCTAACAATACTGATGAGCCGTACAATACCTGTATATTAACGAATTAGCATTGCATGCTATATGAATTTTGAACCCGACGGCGATACTTTCGCTACTCAACTATAGGTAGTACGCAAAAGTGTTAATGTGCATTACGTAGTAGAATAATTTACTGATACGCACGTCTTAGCTCATTAAAAATGAGATTTGAAGCGGGATACGTCGAAATTAACGCAGCCCACAGCTTATTACATTGCTGAAACGATGAAGCACGATATATATACGTTTTTTTAAGAAAACTAGCTCGAAACGTGATGCTGAGAACATGAATACTATTCATGTATAAGTTATACATACAGTATCAGGTGTTCGGTGAGGAAGCAGATTACTGTAAGCACTCTGTTACCACTGTTGAGCAGCTTCAATCGCCTGACTTCGCGCGCGCTCATCCCAGCTTGCATCATATTTGTGAAGGCCGATCTTGACCAGCATCCTGCGACCCCATTTTATGAGCATTGTATCGCTGCAAGACGTGTGTTCGAGCAGCTGTTGAAACAGGATGTTTACTTTACTATATATTTGTATTCAACAAAAACGCTTCCTTGATTGCGCGACCAACCATTTTGATCGCGCTACCAGCTATGGATGACACCCCAACTCCGTATATGATAAACTATATAGGAAGTTTGATTTACTAAATTTTTGAAAATGAGGACATGTTCTGTTCTGCCACTGCCCTGTCCATTTCCTTGGTAACCCGTATTATCATAATCGTAATACTACAGACAACGACGGAAAAATCCGGCAACGCAAAACCCGGCATTCCATAGACATGTCCATACAAAACAAGCGATGATTTTGTCCAATCAAATTTATTTTATTCATAAAAATAAGCCAATCACCGCGATTTAATTTTTGAATGGCTCTGGTAAATCCCCGTGTGCCATTGCCTAATTTGGAGCTGGTCGACAGAGCCGCTCAAACTGTTTTTCGAGCCATGCAGGACACGCCGCCGCCCAAGCAGAAGCAGAAGAGCTACACCGTCCGCGAGAAGCGCGAAGCGGTCCGCCTCGTCGAAGATGTAGGAGTGGAGTAGGCAGCCCGCGAGCTCCAACTTGCTCGGGGCACTGTCCATGGCTGGTGGAAGCAAGCTGAAAAGCTTTTTAGCTTCACTGGCCACTCCACCTCTAAGTCCCTGATGGGCCAGGGCCGCAGGGAAGTATTTCCCGACATTCCTGCGGTCGTCACCTTCATGAAGGACGTGCGGCGCGAAGAGAAGGTAAGTTTGGTTTTTTAGAATCTCATAATTTGTAGCGTTTAACTGTTAAACTTTATGCTATAATGTACAGGCCCTCACTACACGTGGCATTATGTCCTTCATGTGGGCAATCGAGACCGAGTGGGTCGAGGACTACCTGCAAAGGAAGCGGAGCGGCATCTAGGCGCTTGAGCGCATGGTCGAGACTCGCAATTCAGTAAATAATTTTGTTTTTGCTAACACTCCATCAGTTTCCTAACAGATAATTTTATTTGCGTGTTTAGGCATGGTTTTACCTCCCAGAAGCCACAAACGGCAAAGAAAAGCACCGAGGAGCTAGAGCAAACGCGCGCCGAGTTCGCGCTGGACTTCTGAAAGACGCACGCCGCGTACGGGCCGGAGGGCATGTACAACGTGGACGAGACTGCCATCGATTTTGACATGCCTCCGGCTCGGATGTGGGCTGGTAGAGGTCGGCGGGACGCTGCGAGGATTGCGAACACGTCCAAGCACACCGGCCGCATGACGGCTGTGCTCACGATTCGAGCTGATGGTAAGTTTTCCTTTTTGTTGCTCTCTTAATTTTTATTTTTTAAGGCTAATTTGTATTTGTTATACAATTTTTAGGGGAAAAGCTGCCGTTTCGGTTTGTTCTGCGAGGCGGTCGAATCGACACAAGCGAGTTCGAAGAGTATCCGGAAGGACACTTCTACACCGTCCAAGAGAACGCTTGGATGGACGCTGTTACGTGGCGTTTTTTCGTAGAAAATTTGTTAAAATATGAAGTTGATGGACCCGCTGTCCTCCTTCTTGACAACTTTGAGTGTCATGTGTCGGAAGAGGGGCAGCGGGTCGTTGCCGAAGTTGCTAATGCTACTGTGGTCCCTCTACCCGCAAACAGCACGGCTGCTTGCCAGCCGCTGGATGTCGGTGTAATGGGGCCACTAAAGGCAAAGTTGCGCTCGAACTGGTCTGGCATCACGGGTGGCAGTGCTAAGGAAAAGCGGCTCCGTGCCGTTCGCGCTACGATTGCTGCTTGGGATGCCATCCCCGAAAGCACTGTAATTAGGAGCTTTAAGACAGCTATTCCTCATTATCCTGAGATTAGCATTTGAATATAATGCAGCTTTTTTGCAGAACATTCGGATTGTGTTTTGTTTTTTGAACAGTTACGCAACCTTTTAGCCAATCATGTTTATCTTTTTTATCTGTGCCGTATTTTGTTTTACACTCCTTAACTATGGAGGATGGCAGTCTGTCACGCCGGATTTTTCCGTCGTTGTACATGTATTATGCAGCTTAGGCCCTTGTTCAAGTGTTCTGGGCTGAAATTTTCTAGCGATATGATTGGATAAAACTTTGGCGTGAATCGTACGGTTTTTGCTCGTTCGTGTTCTAGGAGCTCCGATTCCAGAACACCTACACGAGGTGTTCCCTGGGGAGCACATTTGTGCCAGGAATCACGGGCAAGGACAAGGCAGGTTTGTCTCCTCCTACGCCAATCAGATCCTAGTCAGGAAGCCCGTAGGAAGCCCGACAAAGTGCTCGACAACCATGCTTTCTGTGCGTTGCCGTGGGCGATGGCAACGTCGAAATGCTTTATATGTGCATCTAGTGGCTACTCTACGAGGTGTTGTTGCATGCCCAAGTTTCCTCACGCTAGGGCCTGCCGTATAATTACAGTTAGCTCATGCACTAGCGAGAGGACTCGGTACATGTGCTTGGTGGCGACTCAAAAATGACGGGAGGTCAGCAGATAAAGTCCTCCGGAATTTACTTGGACAAGCCCAGCACACGTTTTGAAAATCACAAGCACAAATCGTGCCTTAGCCTAGCCCACACTGTAGCACAGAACACATTCCCCACCTGAACAAGGGCCTTAGCAGTAAGTATACCGCAGTTTTAGCACCGCAGAGCCATAGGGTTCCGCTCTCCCCTTTGCTCATTCGCCAAGTCGCCAATTCGCTTCATCAGACCCAGCTTCTCGTCTGCTGTGTCCACCACTGAAGCTATTGGCGTCGTCGTCTGCCGCTCAGGCTCGGCAGCTACTGCAGGATCCGTCTCGCACCAGGAGGAGCATTTGCCTCGCGTGCTCTTCTCTGACGTCAACGTCGCCGGTGCCAGACAACTCCGAGGCAACGAAGACGTGGATCCGGAGGAACGAGCGCTGATTCCCGCGTCGATTAAACGCTTCGCTGAAAAGGTCATGCTTTATGCGAAGACGGCAGTGGGCATCATCCGAGCTGGTGGTCGTGATCAGTTCTTCGACCGCGTCTTCATGAATCTGTACAAAGAGAGCTCCACGACGCCTGCGCAGTTTGCGAGTGAGGTGCGGGCCATGTCAGATGGGCCTCTAAAAGCCCGCTGGGAGAGGTTCGTCGAGTACTACACGCCTTGGTACAAGAAAGCTCTGGAAGAAGGGCGCATTACATCGCTACGGCATCAGAAAGAGAAGAGCGAGAACGCTTAATACACAAGAGTAGCGATGGTGAAGCCTCATAAACCGGAGAAATGAGGGTTAGAATCTACACTTTTTCCTTACTGTCTTCTCTGTTGGCCGAGCTAAAATTTTGTTACAAACAACCTGCACGAGAGAATCGTGTGCACCTACCCGTTGCCATTGTTCAACGCGGTCCAATACTATCCAGAACTCGTCTTCCAAAACCGACTCGGACCGGCAGCATAGTGAATGAAATGTACAGTTGCTGCTGCAAGGATAGTTTCCGCTGCTCGTATATGAAACACTCGGGAATGTGTAGAAACTTTCCGTAGAAACCTTAGTTTGCTGACGATATACCCGCACTGTGCCGGGCTCGCGCGAAAGATAGAAACAGTTGAAACTGTTCCATGTGATGCATTAGCCGTGATCCCTTGGAGAGAGAAGAAGAGAAGGAGGGGTTATGGGGCTGTCCAGTTGCCAACTTGGCGCGAAGAGGTCAGAACTCCCCTCCTAGAAGCTCAATGGTCAACAAGTTCAAGCGGTTTTTCAAGTCGCTGGGTGGGAAGAACTCGAACGCTCCGTCGGGGTCCTCAAAGGCATCAGCGTCCGCCTTGCCCTCGGACACTGGGGGTCAATTCGTTAGCGGTCCCTATGGTTCATCTTCGTCGGTGGCCTTCCACGCGTCCACGTCCAGGAATCTCAGCACCGCAGAGCTCGAGGCGCGTTTGGAGACGTCCGGGTCGCTCACGGGGGCAGGGACGCCCGCCCATACACTGGCAATGATAGAAGACTACGTGAAGGGGGGCGTCGTGGATTGGGCCGCGCTGTTGTCCAGGGTCCCCAAGCTCGTGGCGGAGTGCACCACGTGCTCTAGTCCAGCCACGAAGCGCAACGCGAATAAAGTCCCAGGGGATTTTGCAGACCTCCTTGCTCTGCTGCAGCAAATGGCCGGGCGCGAGAACCAAGAACAAGTCCGACAGTTCTACGCTGGCAAGGAAGCATTCCTCAGCAGTACTGGTACGTACTCTGCAGTCTTTTGTGAGGTATCCACAGCTGACTCATTCTCCACTGTCTTGTTGCTGTAGCTTCACCAAGCTGGAATCAACGCCGTAAGCTGTTTCGCCAATGTCGCCGTGGGCTGCTGCTCTGCTGGAAGTTTGTGGTTGCTCGGCTGAACGACGAGAAGGCGACGCTGCCAACGGAGACCCGCAACATGTACTTCCAGCTCATCGGGATCATCATGGAGCGGGTGGAGTTCCACTTGCCAGGAGGTGGCTTCGAGGCAGACGCACCCGTGAACAGCAGGAACAAGACTCCAAAGTCAACCGGCAACACAGGCGGAGCTGGAATGGGGTGGCTCGCAAACTCCCCCACCGCGACACTCAACGGCATGGACTACAGCGACGAGAACCGCGGTCACGACGACTATGAAAACTCGGAAAACGCCGGCGCCTACACCAACAAAACCCACGGCAGCAGCGACGACAACGCGGACGGGGAGCGCGACTTGTATCTGTATCGCTGTCTGCTGATCGCAACCTTCAAGTACGCGGTCGAGAACCTGGAGGCTGCGCGACTCAAGCAGCGCCCGTACATTTCCCTGGTCGAAACCAGGTTCTACGCGCGTGTGTTCGCTGTCTGCTACTTCCGCGTGCCGGTGCTTCAAAGCGCGATGCTGGAGCAGATTTTCAACGCGTACCGCGACAAAGAGTGGATCAATCTGAGCGCCCACGACTCGCGCGTGGAGGACCTGGCGGAAGAGAACGTGGATGCAGAGCTCTCGCCCAAATACTCTGGACGTCGTCCCTCGACATCTCGACCCTGGAATGGCAACACCTTTGTCGGTTCTCTTGTGAGGTGGACGGAGTACGGCGGATACATCTTGGGCGAGGAGGGGAACGGGAACGGAACCAGCACAGCCAAGGTCACGAGTCGCTACAACAGCCACAACAAGCACTATGCAGGAGCGTCAGCACTGCGCAGCGATGAAGAGGAGTTCGTAAGACAAAACCCGACGCTCTTCAAATGGACGCGCTTCTCGCCGTACCTGGGGCCGTACCCGGACTCCGATATATTTCGCATGGCCGACGCGACGCGCAACTGCTGGCTGCAGAGATTGAGTCACGACGGCGAGTTCTTCTCCAAGTTCATGGGATTCGTGTGTCTCCACGCGGCCAACACGGCGCTAGGCAGCGACGTTGCGTGGACTTGTCTTCCGGGCTACACGCTGCTGATTCGAGTGTCGCTCCTACTGCTGAAGGAGGCATGCTGGGCCAAGTGGCTCTACGTGAGAGACACATCGGGTCCGCTGCCTTCGTCGTCGATGGAGATTGAGCCGGGAAGTCAGGAGGAAGAGCGCTTACCCTTTGAACTCGACTCGATCCGCGCCATTCGTACGGTGCTGGATAACGTGGTGCAGCTTCTGCGCAACAATCAGTTGCTGGAGAGCTGTGTGCTAGCCATGTACGAATGCACCAACGTGCTCCACGCCCGCAGCGTCGAAGTGTGCTTGACGCGCTTCGAAGAGTGGTTCAGCGCCACCGCCATGCTGACCGAGATCGGAGGCGCAGACAAGCGTCGAGGCAGCGGGATGATGGTCTATCGTCTGCCGCCTGGATTCCGCGGCCAAACATTCGCCACTGGAATGCGCTTCATGCTCTCGAGTGAGAACTGTGAGATCCTCGCCAGCACGCTGCTCTTCCTGTACCACCGCATGGACTACTTCGAAGGCGAGCTTAGACAGAGTATCCTCAAGGCGCTCGTGCAGCGACACATGCTCTTCTTCCTGCACTGGAACGCCGACGTCCGCACCAAATACCACCACCTGCTGGTGTACCGCGTCGTAAGAGCCAACCGGTTCGTCCTGGACTCGCCCATGGATCACCTGCTCATCGGGCGCTGCGCTATCTCGTCCCTTGAACTGAGTAGGGCCCATGACGACAACAGCGACGAAGACGACGATGGCTACGGACATTCTTACCATGGCAGAGATCACCGCTTCCAGGACACTGCGTGTAACCCAACCATGACGGCCGCCGACCTCAACGTTCTCCGCACGGAGCAGGCTCTGTGGAGAGCCTTTGACGCCTGTCTAGCGGTCGTCGTCTCGCAAGAGCGCCGCTACGCTCGCGAGGGCAACCGCAAGTTCCAGACAGAGCAACTCGCAGCTCGCAACCGCGCGCTGGCCTTCCGCACCTTGAACCGCAACACGACCGAAGACTCGAACGCAGCAGCCACCACGAGTGTGAACGAGGGACTCCCTGGCGGCAAACCGTGTCACGAGGTGGAGTTGCTGGATACCGAACTGCGTCGAGAGCCGCCCTACTACTTGCGTTACCTTCCGGGGGACGAGCTGGCCATGCTGGACGATCTGCGCCGACTCGCCAGCTCGGTTAAGTACCCGCACCACCTCCAGGTGTACGCTGCACATTCACTTCGCTGCTACTCGGACCTCCTCAAGCAATACTATCGCGAGCTCGACAGCACCGGCAGCGTAGAACCCCCACCTCTCGGGTTCTTCTGAGGTCCATCTTGATCAACGTTGTGCATTTCTCCATGTTTGTTCGCAAGTATCTGTGCGTATTGATCAACGACTTCACGAATTTTAGGCTAATGAATAAATTTCATGAATAGCGAGGGGTGTTCGCATGCTGGAGAACGATCCTCTTCGACTTTGTGGCTTCCTTCTCGTAGTGATCGCGAAAATTGGGGTAAAAGCTGCTACGGAGGCCATTTAGTTTGCTGCTCTCTCATGGTGTTGCGTCACGTTTGCTAAGATCCGAAGCTTGCAGGAGACGCCAACGCTTTGAGTAGTCAACCTCGTCCTGCGAGTGTCTGCTGGATTCGCGTAAGCCTTCAATTTCCAGCGACTGTGCGTATGGCAGACGTCCAGCCGGCTGCAAGGTTTGTAGGGACGCCACAGGAGATACATCGACGGAGGAGCCGCCGCTTGCAGTCGACGAGAAGGAGAATTCCAATGCGGAGGGACCGAAACGAGGCGAAGATCTACCATGCGATTGAATCTGCTGCTGGTACCGAAGCTCCAGGCTCGACATTTGGCTCTTGAGTTCTCCGAATTTGGATTTCCAGTCACCGACTTCTTCTTGGCTTTGCTTCAGGCTTTCACGCAGTGTTGCAGCTTCTTCTTCAGCGTTCTGAGCACGCAGGGCAATTTCTTCAGTCATCCGCTCACACCGTCTCTGCAATGCAGCGGACTGGGCAACTTCAGCCTTCTTGGTTTCCAGTTTCCGTTCATGAGCTACACGGTTTGCCTCCTTCTGTACGGCCTCGATTTTCTCTTGAAGGTGCACTTCACACCGCCGAAGCTCCGCCGCGTGCTTCTCCTCCATAGCGTGAAGCTCTGCCTTGAGCCGTACCGTCTCCAATGAAAGCTTCTGTTCACGATCTTCACATGCTGTGAGCCTTTTGGTTAGATCCGCATTTTTCTTCTCTTCGCCTTGAACGCGAGCTTCAAGCTTAGATTTATCATTCTGGAGATCGTAGTACGACGTGCACATCGACACTGTAACTGCACCCTTGGACAGCGCAGCCCCCGAGGACGCAGCGGCAATAGAGGTGGTATTCATGTTGTGCTGTTGATTCATTCGCCAGTGAGTCCACTTGCCCCACATACCGCAGGCAGGCACAAAATGCTCGGCGTCGTTCTTGGAGCAGAAGAAGCACTTGCCCGGCTTAAACGAAGGCAGAACCGACACCATTTTCCGGTCTGAGGGGTCATCCGTGCTAACCAGGCTGCTTTCTCGTTTTGGTAGAGTATCTTCTGTGGCCGTAGGCTTAACAGAAACAGGATCTGGCTTGCTCGATAGAGGTGATTCCGACTTCTTCTTCTCTGCTGGTCGTGGCTCGTTCAATTGCTCATCCTTCTGCTTCTTTTCAGCAGCAGAAGCAACGGCTGAGGTTTTCTTGAGAGTTCTCACTTTCTGTGTCGGGGCCACTGCTACTTCCGCCGACTGTGATCCCATTGACTCAATCGCTGTCGCTGTTGGGACCCGCGCTGATAAAATCTCAGGATCAAAGCCAGCAGTGTACTCAGATACGATTCGCACGAGCAGGGGGTATTCCCTCTCCATACCCGCCTGCAGCTGAGGGTACAGGAAGCACGATCGGGTCAGGAACGACACGAGCTCTCTCCATGCGCACACGAACCAGCTAAACACGCCCATGGCAATCACCACAGAGGCCAACAAAAGGCCGTATCCCACACTGTGAGCCGAGAAAATAATCCACGACGCCGGCATCGCCAGCGACATCACCCACAGCACGAAAGCACCGACAACCGGAACGACCAGCAGCCACCGAAGCCGTCGTGTCATCACCAGCAGAAACACAGTCACACCAGCGCAGTGGCTGAACCAAGCCCACCCAGTCGCTTCATCCACAAACTTGAGCGTGTCAGGGAGGGACGTCCAGCCACCCAACGTGAAAGCTCCCCAGAGTATCACAGCGACGACGAAAGACGCCGTGCTGTTGGTATTCGCCGCCATCAAGCCGCGCAGTGACAAAGTGTGCAGCAGCAGCCAGCCGTCGTCCTCCCCGCCCTGCAGCAGCGCTTCACCGCCCGCAGACGTGCAGGCCACAGCGAGCGTGATACTTTCCCGCCTCAGCCGTCGACGCAGCGCGAACCGCTCTCTTGAATTGTACTCCGAGTAGTACGCGATGGTGTTGAAGACCCAGACCATGGGCACGAGGAAGAAGATGCCCAGCACGCCCTCCGCCCTCCTAGGCGGCGGTCGAACCACGAAAGTGAGCGCCGCATACACCGCCGCAGTGGTCCAGCTGCCGTAGAACGACGATACGTAGCCCAGCGGCGTCACTTTAGGAATCGTGTAGAACGACAGCCCGAAAGTCACGAACATCGCGTCCTACCGCACAATAAACATAAATTAAAAAAATCTAGGCATCTCTAGAAAATTAAAAAAAACTCGTACCCATTGGCAGAGACTTGGGCGCTGCAGAGCGTACAGCAGCAGCGTGGGGATGCCGCTGGCCACGGACACGAGGAGCATCGTCTGCTCCCTGGCTCGCACCAGGTCCCACCGCACCAGCAGGAACATGGCAACTTGAAGCATCTAATAAAAATTTAAAAAAATCTGTTAGTGGCTAGTTTATACATTATAAAATTATATAAAGTATGGCAAGATGCACCCACCGCTATCAGCACCCGCGTCGGCACCGTCACCAGTAGGTTCTCCACCGGGTAGTCGAGCCCGTCGGCCAGTGCGAATAAAATCTGAGAGGCGGCGGCCGGCAGCAGCGAGCGCAGCCACAGCGCCTTCTTGCGCGGGTGCAGCCCCGCCTGGTACGCGCGCTCGAGCGCCGCGTCCTCGAACTGCAGCGAGAACTGGTTCAGCCGCACCGTCGAGTGCAGCCGCTCGCCGCCCTCCTGCTGGGCCTGCGCCATCTTGCTGAGGCTTTGGCTTGGCTTTGCGGACGACAAAATATGAGCGGCTTCAAGCAAATCGCCGTTTCAGCCAATCAGAGAAGAGAAAATATTTGACAGACGGAAGATCGCCATACAAGTGGAGAAGCTGTATAATATAAGCTCCCCAAAGGGCTCTCGCTCTTCACCAAGCTTCTGTCCCCTGAACGATTGTTACGAAGTATCGTATAAAATGGATGATCCAAACTATTTTGCGTTTTGATCGAGGCCCCCAAGACCTTGGCAGCTCTTACCTGGCAGCTAAAGATAACGGGGATGACGTTGTGGCTCGAAAGGTCCAAAAAGGACCGACAAAAAGTGCAACGCCTGGTGATGCAGGCGTTGACCACAAATAGTGTGGCTAGCTAGGACTGCCGTCCCGCCGTCGACACTTGTCGGCATTCCTCAATTTCGACGGCCAAGATAAGTGTCGGCTACTGTGTTTGATCACCAGTGACTCACGGACTTGTCATGGGGAGGTTTTCCGACGTTATCCAGCGCCTCTGGCGAGGCTGGACTGCTCTCCAGGTCGAGTTCCAAGGCCGCTGCTCGATCGAGAGGCTGAGTAAGCACAAGAACTACATGGAAGGTGTGACTGTAGGGCGAGTGACTGTTTTACTGCTGCTGTCACCACTTCCCTGCCTCATCCTGGCCATTATGGTCGAGTCCGTCCCGTTGGCGCCGCCTGGAGATGGAGTGCGGGCAAACTGGGTCTTCCTCATCCGCTTCGGCTTCGTGACGGGTTTTATGGTCGGCTCGTTGCTTTACCAAATGGGCAAGAACGTCCCCGCTCTCGTTGTCAAGTGGCGTCACACGCTTAAATTGCCTTCCTGACGGCTGTGGCTGCTGTTGCCGCCTTGTATGGCGTGGCGTCGGCGACCACCTTCCCGGTTCCATTCAGCATGCTGCTTGCGTCGCCCCCTTCCGTCCTTGTGTAGGCGATCTGCTTCGTGATTATCTGGGGGGAGAAATTCAAGTCAAGCCCAACGATTCAAAAGGAAATGGAGCAGCAGACGACGGTGCTAAACTGCCAGTTATCGCTCACTTTGGTCTACCCGATGTACATCTACGGGTTCACATCGTTCACGGGCGTCTACCAGACCATTTTCGTGATTGTTCTGCCGATTATCAAGCTGATAGCCAAGAACTGGATCAGTCGCGCGCTTACAGGCCACAACGACTTGAAGCCCGAGGCCGTCATTTTCAACGTGGAAGTGTTCAACGCTCTGTACATCTCGAACGCTCTCCAAGTTGCGTCCACCCAAGCGTCGACAATTACCATCATGGCGGTGGATTTTCTACACTTTGGGCTCTCAATGTACGACGTCTTGGAAATCCTTCACGACGTGAAGGCTTTGATGGCGAAGATTCCCGAGGACCACCCGCACGCGAAAGACAATTTTGTCCAGTTGGCGATACACTTGCTGGAGATCGAGACGCGACACATGAGCAGGACAATGAGCCACTTTGCGGACGCTTCGCACCCGAACTGGCGAGCTCAAGTGGAAGACTGGGTAAACTCCAAAGCCCCCACTGAAGAGCGTAAAGTGGAGCCCATTGCTGAAATACCGGGAGATGAATCCAATGATGCGATACAGGACCATTCGAGGCGACCATTTCGTGGAGTACGCGTGTTTCCTGTTGGCTCAAAGGAAATTAAGGGCTGGGTGCAAGCGAAGCGCCATTCGCTTAGAGATACGCTGAAGCCGAAACGCCTTCAGATATCCAGTGGATCGCTCAGCCTTGACACAATTTTCTCGCAGGAAGAATGCGCACTTTTCATTCGCGAAACCGCCCGCGTCCTGTTCATAACGGAGTAAGTGCTGCTGGTGGAGTACGTCGAGGTGGTTCTACCCATGGTTTACTGTGAGTATCTTCGGGCATACTGTAATCCTAAAACGTTCTTATCTAACGAAACTGTGTGTGTTCCTATGACAGGTGCACACCACTACATTGTGTACAACCTCCACAACCGCGCGTATTACCCTATGTTGGAGAGTCTTGCACCGTCGGAGTTTATTTCGACTCTCTCGCATGTTCTCATTTACAGCTCATTGGAGTTCGTCTCGCTGCTAGTTTCGATCGTCGTTCTGAAGCGCACGTTGGGCTTTTCGTCCTTGCGCCAGCTATCGTTCGTGTTGGAGAACCAGGCAGGCATCATACAGGGGAAGCTGCTCATTCATCTTATTTACATTATGCAGATTTCGTTGGTGCACATCGGTAAGTGTGTTTGTGGTTTGCCTGACATGTTAACCGTGTGAAAATCTAACTGCAACATTTGCCGAATGTTTGCTGGTCCAGGCGCAGATTTCAGCTTCAAGTTTGCGTGGCTGCATGCATCTCGCCCGACCGAATGAATATTTGAGGATAGAGCTTGTTAGCTTATTTTATATAAAAGTACGCTATTAAATACGGGTTGGATGCTGGTGTGAACTGATAATATGCCCGATTTTTTTTTCTTTCTTCCAATATCGTCATGGTATTGGTGTGTGGCACCCGGGTTTCTTTAAAAGTTCGTTGAAAGTGAATAAATCTGCAGCGAAAGTGCTCAGAGAAAATGGCCTCGACTCGTCGAGCCGGTCTCGCCTTTTCAGTAATCGACGAAACGTAGTCACTGCGATAGTATTGCACGAATTCGAGAGCAGCTTCATCGATGTGTTATCACAGTTTTTCAAGAACTATTTCACCGCGCGCACGCATCGAATGAGGAAATTTCTTTTGAAGAATTCTTTTAAGACTCCATTTTCTACTTGCCGCAGGAACTTACCTCCCAGTTCATTATGTACAGTACTAAAGTCTCTCCGGGGCGCATGAACAGACTATAGGGTATTTTGCTTCAAAAAGTTGGGGGCAAATCTCGGACTTGCAGTCTCAGTTGAATTCACTGGGAAGAGATGCGGTCAGTGATTCCTAGAATAGTATGGATAGGGATGGGGGGGGGCAATAAGACAAATAAAATAAAAGTACTACTATGGCGTATAATCGGTCAAACGCAGAAATACATAATGGCATATTCGTAATTACCAACATACATTATGCATAAGTGAAATAAAACACAAAAATACACAAACTGATTGGCTACAAAATTATTCTACCAACGGCCTTCCCTCAATTATGGCAAGGAGATTACCAGATTCCAAAACGCATTATTATGAGGGGAATTATGGCAATTATTGAAACCACCATGTATTATTAGGAATCACTGGATGCGGCCAGACATACAGTACAGTAAAGATCGACACAGAGACTTATATCAACGGTGCTAAGTACATGTATGTTTAAGAGTTAGATGCGAGAACAGGCTGGCAGTGTCTGTTAAGTTATTTATTGCCATAAAATTCGGAGAAATTGCGATCGGCAATCCCAGCACAGTGAACGGAGAGGGGTAAGCTCTCAAGGTACTAGTACAGTATGAGGATTGGTTGGAGCGATGGGAGTTGCGCACTATCTTTGGCTGTAAAAGAGATGAATTTTGAATTTGGTCGCCCAACCATGATTCTTTGTTTGAGCTCCAGCCGTTTTCGCGCCTGGTGTTTGCAATGCAGTACAGTATTTCAACTTGGACGGTACGTTGCTGCAGATATTTGCAAATATCTCATGGAAGAGATCCGGCGAACGTGCAAGCCAAATAGCGTCTGCCACTGTAAAACATGGTGAAGGCATCGCGGCATCGTTTGGCCACACAAACACAGCATTGGTCGTCGACAGAGTGTCAGCGGCAAGAGCTCAAAATTGTTGGCATCGTTCGGTTGCAATGGCTCACGATCTTGAGATTGTCCAAAGCTTAGTTTCTTTTGGGGCTGTACTTTCATGTAGAAAACACTTGCTTCAACTTGGAGGTTGCAGAGCCAGCTGACATGATTAGCTAGATAAGTTGGCGAGGAAAGCATAGTTTCCCAATGTCGCAGTTAGTAAAGATAGAACACCCGCGGGAGATCGGTGGGCGCTCAACGAGGACGCCCACTTTCGAATTCGTCTCCTCGCAGCCAACCCGCCACGCCACGCCCCCGGTGTGCAGCAAAAATGGGAAAGATCATTTCCCCAACGCGACATCGCTGGAAATGCCCGATCGACCACGTCTTTTCATATTTTTTTAACTGATCAGCACGGCATCCGAAGAGTACATGTAGAGTCACTGTGATACTATCACACGATTTGGGATCAGCTCCATCGATGTGTTATCGATATGCGTTCAGCACGGCTGACAGCCGGGCTGTAGCTGTAGAGATGTTTTCAAGCTCTCACTTTGCATTTCTCCTGCCAGCACTCAAGCGTCGAGCAAGAAGGAATCACCCCGAAGCCATGCGAGTTTACAGCGTCTTCCTCCTCGCTGCTTTCGCCTTCCTTGCCGGAAGCAGAGCTCTACCAGCAGCCGCGGTTGGTGATGCCGCAGAGGCTTCAACCTTCACGTTTACTGAACGTCCGCACGGTCGCTCGCTTACAAGTGAGAAGAACGGCGGCGACTACAAGCGAACCCTGAGGAAGCACGAGAAGAGCACGGTGACCGAGGGAGATGATAACTCGGAAGAGAGGTCAATGTGGGATACGCTCGTGAAGAAAGCACAGTTGCAGTATTGGTTCCAGAAGGGGAAGAAGCCGGCATGGGTCCGCGCAAAATTGGGAATTCCGTCGTCAGGAGCCAATCTGGAGAGTCACAAGTACACAAACTCCTGCAGGCCTACGCCAAGGACTACAATGGTTACAAGCACTTCCGATTCATTGGCAACTAAAACCATCACTTTGGACGCGACTAGGGCGACAGTAAATTGCATGAATCGCCGGTAACGAGTGGAAAATATATGTACAAACACTACGGAATAACTCTTTTGGCCTCGCTGCGGTGCACGAGCCCGTGCTGAAAATCGTGCGCTCGACCACGTTCGATTCACTGATCATGCCATCGAATTACAGTACTTCCAGCCGTTTTTAGCGAGCGTGAGTGTATTATTCACGCATCGGATGGCAACATGGTACAGACAACGACGGATAAATACGGCAACGCAAAACCCGGCACACTTTTTACAATAAGTAATTCAGATAGCGAATCAACTTCGATATTTACACTTGACATTTGTATGCCATATGGTTTTAAGTGCTTCTAAATTTGTGTGTACTTTATGCTCTGTTACGTGTATTTTATGCCATTGCCTTGTACAATCTCTATCGTTCCTGACAGAGAATTCTGGCACATTTACTATGGAGGATGCCATTCAGTGGTGCCGGATTTATCCGTCGTTGTCTGTACAGATACTACAGTCAAAAGATACTGCATGCTTACATGTGGAGCAACAGGTACGAGGAAGCCCTCCTCCATTCCGATCAGCCCGCTGTGGGCAGCCAACATGTTCCACTTGTAACGTTAAAAATTAGAAACCCAGTAAGTTGGACAACCTACTGTCGGTCAAAAGGGGGGCTTTTTCGTTCTCAGCTTGTGCAGCGGCGACTCACGAACTCGAGATAGTCTTGAGGTTGCTCGCTAGCCCCGCCTTGCGATTGATCTCGTCTTTCCTATGATCAATGAAGCATACGACGGGTAGGATCACCGCTGCGATACGTCGAGCCTTTGATGTGTTATCGATCGGCGAGAATTGCCAGTTGAATTTCGCCAGCCAGCACTCAAGCGTCGAACGACACAAGAAATCGATCACCTGAAGCATGCGATTCTACAACGTCCTCCTACTTACTGCGGTCGTCCTTCTCGCTGGATCCAACGCTCTCACCGCGTCCGCGAATGCCAAAGACGCGCGGGTGTTGTCCTCGACACTCACGGCAACTCGCTCCACTAATGACCCTACCTCCGGAATAGGCACAGTGAGAAGAGTGCAACAAACACGGGCGACAACGACGAGGAAGAAAGGTCGACGTGGGATACGCTCGTGAAGAAAGCACAACTGTAGTATAATATTGGTTCCAGAAGGGGAAGAAACCGGCATGGGTTCGTGCGCAGCTCGGGATTCCGACGTCAGGAGCTGACGTGGAGACTCACAAGGACTACAAACTGCTGCAGGACTGCGTGAGGGACTACAATGGCTACAAACACTTCCGCTTCAGTGACAATTAAGACTAGCAGAGGGAAACCAATTCCACACCACTAGAATTAAATGGACCGAGTGTTGATTTTTCAAAAGCTAAAAAGGCTGACCCGGACTATTTTGACTCTCTCTACAGGGTCGTAGGAGTAACGAACCAGCCAAAGCCCTCGCCGTCACCAACGAGCTCTTTCAATGCAGCGTCCGCGTTCAGAAGGGAGACGCCCCGGTTCGCACTCTCAGAGTCGACCCTCGCTGGTCTCACGTTCCCTTGAATTCGACGCAGGTGGTCGTCGAGATAGACATCAAGCTAGCGGCCTGAATCAGCCTCGTCGCCCGAACACTACTCCAGTACGCCAACTTTTCTTTAGTAAAGTACACTTTGAATCACTTGATGCTCATGTTTTGGTATCTGTTATTCCTTTTTGCAGAAGCCCCGTATCCAGCGACTACTGCCAGCTCCAGGCCAAAGCACAGCACAAGATGGACACAGCTTGCGGCAACCAGTAGCAACAACTCTGGTCCACCTGCCTGACTCGCCACCGCGAATGCTTTCAGTCCGTTCAAGAGATCCGTTGAATGGATCGAAAGAGGCAAAATATACCCGCGACACGGAGACGATGCCTACTGTGGCTAGCAACTCCTGTAGCACGCTGACAACCGAGGATAAAGTTCGTGATGGAGCAGAAGAATCCGTCTCAAATTTCAAGGCAGTGCACCATAACAACAGCGACGATGCAAGCCCGTCCCAAGTACAGGTTACTGAAGGTACTCGCTGCAGCAACAACGAAAACGGTCTCGAGGAGCAGTGTTTCATTACGAGCGAGTCCGAGAGAAGAAGTTGCTCGACCGAACCTGACCAAGGTGGCGAGTGGCAACAAGAGCAAAACTCTGATGTAATAATCGGGCCCCTTCTGACCGATATTAACAGCGAAAGCGTTGTTGATAGCGCTGAACCAAACCAAGGCGATCGTGAAGATTCGAGTGATGAAGATCTTGAATACAAACAAGCGCTCGCAACTAGGAAGCAGTTGCTGAGTGACGAGGCGAATCGCCAGCGTATTCGTGAGGAGCTGGAAACGTACGTATGCTCACTAAGCTCGCGTACGGACGAAAACGGAGAGCACCTAGTCGAGTTTCCCCGAAACTACCAGCAAGTTGTGTCGCTCATGACGCAGAAGGATGTGAGCGAGGAAGACAGCAAGTCTCCAGAAGGAAAGCACACACGGCAAAGTTGGTCGCGCGTTCTGATCGAGTCCGGTCTGTCCAAGCAGCAAGCGTTTGTAAGTATCCAGGTCGTATACCTGTGTTCATTCCTCTACCTTACCGCAGATTGTTTTTTTGTTGTTGTTATTGACAGGGAATCTTGGAGGATGTAGACGACGACCCTGAAGGCAGCAGCTTGGCAGCCAAGATCGCGTTTAAGATGGCTCGTATCCGACAGCTAGACACCATTCTCGAAGAGAAGCTGGGGAAGAACTTGTACGCGAGTATAGTGCCAAGGAAGCAAAAGAGAGCGCAGTCACCACCCCAGAGAGATGCAGCCAAAGCGATTCCTAGTAGTAGATCAAGCACGAGCAAGTCTTCCAGCCGAACGTTCGTGACACAGTCTCAGTCAAATTCGGTTGTCGCCGCAAATGGAGGTGACACCAGCCGTAGTGATACAACCACCAAACCGCCAACAGCGAACCAAGATGAAGTTGTATCCGGAGGCAAGAAGAGCAACAACTTCATTGAGCGGAACAAAATGGTGGTAGCCAACGGGATGAAAGCCAACATGACGAAAGACGAGGAAGAGAGGCTCGAGAAACTGCTCCGAGAAGAAGCCACTTTGCCTGGTGGTAGCGCTGTCAGCGAAGATCCTGCAACGAGCGACGACATCAACGCTAAGGGCAGCACTATACCTGAAGAATGCAACGAATTCACGATGACAGAGGCTGAGAAGCAAGCCATTGAAGAGCTTATCGCAGCTAAAAGCGGCGCGTACCCGTTGTTCACGATTGACGAGCTACAGGATGGCCCAACCGACGAGGCTTTGCCTCCATCAGATACTCGGCCTGTAAAGGACAACATCATCCAGGAAACGAAGCGGGAGCGCCTGCAGAGACAGCGCCTCAGTCGCGTCGAGCAGGAGCTGCGATTCCTGCAAGAATCCCCGTCGGTGGTTATCGTGGGAGATGATCACGACGGTGATGAGAACGACGACTGCCGCAGTGAAAAATCTTTTGTCACTGTAGCTTCATCGACGTGCTCTACCCGCTCGGGGGTGATTTCACGCCACGACTTCAAGTGCTTCCTCGCCCAGCAAAAGGAAAGCTTCCGTTCTACGCCGACTGCAAGCGCCGAAGAGATCCGACGACTCCTACTGTCCATCGACCACGGATCTGCTGTTTCTTCGAACCCCATGACTGCAACGACAGGCTAGAACGGTGCCACCAAAGACCAGAGTTAAAAAGCAATGCGTACATCTTTCTCAGAAAATATACTTGAGCGGAGCTGATGTTGTATGTATACTCGTCAAACGGATGTAGTACCCAAATACTACTTTGAAGTTAAACCTACTGCTTAGGATTCGTAGATTTTACAGTACAATTTGCTATAGCTTTATTGTGGAATCGACAATTTTTACGATACAAATTTGCTATACCTTTATTATAGTCTTAACTAAGGCCTAACGTGTGCTTATTACTTCTCCTGGCGACAAGGGATGCTGTGCACTAACATATTATACATAAGTTTTTTTTTCAGTGTTCGTCAACAACTGCTTACATATTTCCGGGCAAGTTGAAGTTGCCTTTCTGCATACGATCTGCAACATTTACTTTTTGATCCCCAGCCTCTAATACTTGGAAGTAGGAGGTGTGCGTTGGTACGATTCATGTTTAAGCATAGGAGACTAGGATATGATAGTTAGTTTGGTCTAACTCATTCTAATTCACTTTCGGATTTCCTTCCTAACCAACACTCGACCACCAAGCCTCGCCCGCATAATCTGAAGTGGTTATGAGCCCAAGCTACGCAGACACCGTGAAGTTCGTGGAAGACAACAACTTCCACTGGGAGTTCAACATGCGGATGAAGCTGTCGCGCAAGGGACTGCTGGCCCACATTGTCAAGCCAGAGTTCGACCAGCTGAGTGACCGCTCCACGGTACAATGGAAGACCGACGATCTGAAGGCCCTTGGTGTGATCGCTGGGGACGTGAGTCTCACATACCAAGTCTACATCCGTGGAGCAACAACCGCTGCTGAATCGTGGCGCCTGCTTGAGGAGCAGTTCAACCGGAACACTCTCAAGAATCGGCTCGTCGTGACCAAGAAGATGCACAACTTCAAGATGGAGCCCGGGGCGCGGTTCGCGGCACATGTGGACCGGTTCAAGGAGCTGGTGCTGCAGATGGAGACGATTGGTGAAGCTCTGGACGAGACTCGCCAACTCGTGCTGCTGCTGGGCAGTTTGACGGACGAGTACCGGATGATCAGCACCGTACTCGAGAACACGCCGAACATGACGTTGGAGTACGCGATCCAAGATCTGTCTGGTGTTGAAGTCTCGGAGGATTCGACATCGGCTTGGGAGAAGGCATTCGCAACGAAGAAGTAGTTCCGCAAGCGCGGGTTCTCCGGGAAGTGCTTCTACTGCAAGAAGCTCGGGCACAAGGAACAAGAGTGCCGCAAGAAGAAGGCCGATGAGGGACGTGGACAAGTCGCGCAGGAGGCGTCGGACTTCGCGTTCACGGCTACGGGTGCAATGGCGAAGTCGGAGTGGCTTGTGGACTCCGGTGCGAGCTCGCACATGACCAGCGTCCGGGACAAGTTCATGTCCATGAAGGAGCTGAAGACGCCAGTCCGCATTACGATCGCGGATGGCACAAAGATCGACGCAGTTGCAAAGGGCACCGTCGAATTGAAGTTGATGGACGGGACGTCCGTCACATTGTCGGATGTTCTGTACATCCCGGAAGTTGATGGGAGCCTCATCTCGGTGTCGAAGCTGGCCGAGAATGACGTCGACGCGCAATTCAGCAAGGACAAGTGTGTCTTTCGCTTTGGCGGCGTGACGGTGATGGAGGCCAAGAGCTGTGGAAACGTCTACAAGATGAAGACAGTGGGGGACGAGGTGTGTCGTGCGGCGACGACATCTCGTAAGGAGCCATGGGCCGTCGTGCACGCCCGTCTCGGCCACACCCCGTACAAGCGCTACGAACAGCTGTTAAGCATGGCCGATGGGTACCGCGCATCGCGGGCGACGTGTCGATGGATAACGTGTGCGCCGGATGTTGCATGGGGAAGATGCGCACTGACGACTTCCCACGTCACCCTGACAACTTGGTCAAGAGTGCAGGTGTACTCGACTTGGTGCACACGGACGTCATGGGTCCGATGCAGACCAAGACACCTGGAGGCTGCACATACGCAGTGACCTTCATCGACTACTATTCGAGACACGTGACGGTGTACTTCATGAAGGCGAAATCGGAGGTGCTGTCGAAGTTCAAGATCTTCAAGGCAGCAATGGAGAACGCAACGGGCAAGACGATCAAGCGCCTGCGTTCGGACAATGGCGGCGAGTACACAGGCAAGGAGTTCAAAGCCTACCTCGGCCGCAACGGCATCAAACATGAGAAGACGGTGCCGTACACGCCTCAGCAGAATGGATTGGCTGAGCGCATGAACAGAAGTTTGGTGGAGATGGCGCGCTGCATGCTCTACCATGAAGGAATCGACAATAAGTGGTGGGCAGAATCTGTCGACACGGCGGCCTGGATCATGAACCGGGTCCCGAATTCGGTGACCGTCAAGACACCCCCCGAGATCGTGCACCGAGCCAAGTCTCAACTCAAGAACATGAAGGTGTTTGGTGCACTCGGCTACGCCCACATCGCCGATGAAAAACGTCGGAAGCTGGATGCGAAGGCGTTCAAGTATCGATTCCTGGGCTACGAAGATGGTGTGAAGGGATACCGTGTTCTCAACGTGGCGACGGGGAAGGTGCAAATCGTGCGCACTGTGAAGTTCTTGGAGACGACTGAACCCGACCACCTGATGACACGCCTGGAGATCGACGACGATGAAGAACCGATTGCCACGGGCCCAAGCTCGGAACGAGTACCTGCATTGGTGCCTGTTCGCGACGTTTCGACTGAAGTTGAGGTTGGCGGCCCGACTATGTCACCGAATGACGTGACGACAGGTGGAGCAATCGTTCCGTACACTACCCATCCGATGATTACTCGGTCGCGTGCTCGTCACATTGAAGAGACCAACGATCCGGAGGAGCCCGGAGCTCGCAAGAAGCAAGTCGTTGCGCCATCCGAGGTCAGGACAAAGCGTCAGAAGGTGGACCAAGGTCGCGCCAAGTCGGACGAGAACCAGCTCACTATCCACGGAGGAATGCTGATGACTGCAACGGAGGAGGTGCCAAGGTCGTATCAAGAGGCGATTAAGAGTGAGGATCGTGCTTAATGGAAGGAAGCGATTGCAAGTGAGCTCAAGTCGGTGATGACGAACAAGACATGGAAGTTGGTGCCCAAGCCCAAACACCAGCGCGCGATTGGCTGCCGCTGGGTGTTCACGTTGAAGCGCGATGAGACAGGGAGAGTCGTTCGGTACAAGGCTCGTCTCGTTGCCAAGGGGTACTCGCAGCAACATGGAATCGACTACGAGGAGACCTACTCGCCGGTGGTGTACCTGAACTCCGTCCGTGCGAAACTCGCGAAGTGCTGCGCCGACGGAATGGAGATTGATCAATGTGACATCGACACCGCGTTTTTGTATGGAAAACTCGAAGAGGAGATCTACATGGTGTTGCCTGAAGGACTTCGAGAACTACTAGATTTGGCTGAAGCTCAAGGTGAAGATGACGTCGTCTGCCTGCTACTGCAGAGTTTGTTTGGACTCAAGCAAGCGTCTCGCGTATGGAACGGGACGATCGACGCGCATCTCAAGAGCATGGGATTTCAAGCTGCCGATGCCGACCCGTGTGTCTACACGAGAGGTGCTGGTGACGACGAGTGCATTGTGTGTCTCTACGTCGACGACATGCTGATTGCATCCCGCCTGCGGACTATCATTGACTCGGTGAAGGCAGGCATCGCGGACAAGTTCGCATCAAGGACCTCGGACGCGCTCGATTCATCCTTGGCATCGAGATCGACTACGACATGGAGGCCAAGACGATGGGTATCTACCAGCGGGCGTACACCGCGTCGATCATCAATAAGTTCGGCCAGGAGAATGCGAAGCCGTGCCTGACTCCACATGACCCAAGTGTGCAGTTGACCAAGGCGGACGAACCCCAAACCGAGGAGGATAAGGCCAAGATGAAGTCGAAGCCGTATCGCTCTCTCGTGGGAAGTCTGATGTACCTGGCGTGCGGAACTCGACCGGACATTTCAGCTGCAGTGGCCAAGCTGAGTCGTTTTCTGGAGAACCCTGGTGAGAAGCACTGGGATGCTGGTATTCGTGTGGTACGGTACCTGTTGAAGACCAAGAATCTCGGAATCGGTCTACGATGGATTGCTTGGCACGGAGCTCGTCGCGTATTCGGACGCCGACTGGGCTGGTAACCGCGACGACAGACGCTCTGTCAGCGGAATGATGCTGATGATGTGTGGTGCTCCCGTGGTTTGGCGATCGCCTTTTCAGAAGACGGTCGCGCTGAGCTCGACTGAGGCGGAGTACATGGCACTCAGCGAATGTGTGAAGGAGGTGGTGTGGATGCGACTACTACTCAAGGATTTGGGTGCGGAGCAAGATGGACCTACGGTGATCTACGAGGACAACCAAGGTGCCATGGCGTTGGCGAAGAATGTCGGCTACCAGGCTCGCACCAAGCACATCGACATCCGCTATCACTTCATCCGCGAGAAGATCACGAGTGGTGTTGTGGAGCTCGACTACGTTGAGTCCAAGAACCAACTCGCTCATTTCCTGACAAAGGGACCCTCAACGAAGACTCTTCGCTATCTGCTCGAGCGCAGTAACATCACTGATATGCTCGGGTAGACTGCGAGTTGAGTGGGAGTGTTGCGATTGTACACTTCGCATCTAGCTATGTGTCTCCGTATCGAGGCACGAAGTTGTTGCAGACGGTAGACAATTGTGGTACACGTGGTGGAATACTGGGATCTGATTTGCTGAGCCCCAAGATTTGACACTTCTGATTGGCTGAGAGAAAGGCAAGTTGAAGTTGCCTTTCTGCATACGATCTGCAACATTTACTTTTTGATCCCCAGCCTCTAATACTTGGAAGTAGGAGGTGTGCGTTGGTACGATTCATGTTTAAGCATAGGAGACTAGGATATGATAGTTAGTTTGGTCTAACTCATTCTAATTCACTTTCGGATTTCCTTCCTAACCAACACTCGACCACCAAGCCTCGCCCGCATAATCTCAAGTGTGCGCATCCTCGGAATATCGTCCTCGTCACGTCCACCATCGTCCAGACCTCTAAACCACCTGTGTGCCGCCACAACGATCGACTCCTAGCGCACACGAAGCCCCACCAGGCAGAAAATATTGCTGCTGCCGTGGCTAAAGCCCTAGCTGCTCCCGTAAAAATTGCTATCCCAGCCTAAGCGTAGCCCTGGTTTGTTTTTTAATTTAGGCGTACTAGGCGTATGCGTTACAATGGGGAAATTGTGTTTCGGTAAAATAATTCTGAATCGGGTCCGTTTATTTTCAAATCGAACCTTCATTTCGTGTTTTTAAAAGGCTAGGGTACCCTGAATAATTCCGTACTCTGTTGCCATCCGTACACTATAGACCAATTGCATATCTTACAGTGCATATCTTCTCAATGTACAAAAATATATAGGTATGTACAATGCTAAAGCATTTATTGTTTAGGCATATGGTTCCTTTGCAAACAATCTCGCTTTTATAAATATTGGTATATTCAAAGACTATAACCAGAGGTCAAATTTTGAATATGTGTGGGCAGATCGAACTTTTGTTCTCAAGCCCCTCGCGACTGTCGATAGTCCCGGAACAGCACCTCTCCCCTCGCTCTCCACATCGTCGATTCTCAAAGCCCTTTTTGGGTGTTCCTTGCCAGCAGCAAACAATGACCGACCAGCCGTGTCTGTAGCGGAGCGTACTACCGCCGAAGTGTCCGCAAGTAAGACGACTGCCAACCATAGCAACATAAAATAGAAGCGCATATTCTTCGGCTGGGATGCTTCAGGCTAAATTGCGAACTGAATGTCGTGCAGATGAAGGAAGCGAGCGTTGTCCACCCACTTCCTGCCAAGATGATGAGGGAGAGAATCGAACACCATAGTTTTGGGAGCGGATCACCAGAGATTTGGACACCACCACCAGAGATTTGGGCGCTACCACCAAAGATCAACGAGAGATCAAATCACCAGAGATATCGTACTCCACCACCAAAGAAAGGTGTTCTATCACCACAGAAAAGGGTTACATCACCACGGTGGTGATCCCCTGGTGATCCCCACCCCAGCACTGATCAGCAGTAGTAGCAGCAGCAGCTTCAGACCGCCGAGCGTTTCTTGATGCCTTGGTGGTCGCCGTCCAGGCTTGAATTAAGGCCGTGCCCACCAGCAATACCTAGTTGCTCCAAGCGCCCCGACGAGATGATGCTCGTCGACACGCATCGAGAAGATGCACCTGGTGCCGCTGTTTAACCTGGATCAGTAACTGCTGGAGAGGGACAACAATGCCTACAGAAGCCGCAAGGACACGCGGGCCGTTCCGTTGTGATACATTCATCCCTATTCGTAACGACAAGCGAGCGGGGTATGGAGCATTATACCGTAGTGTTCGTTGCATTTTTTTTAATCAAAGACACCGCGTTCTTCGAAGCACGCTGAGGTGTATGGCTGTAGAGCGAGAACGGCCTGAACTTGAACGGTTCTAGCCTAATGGTGAAAGCGTTAAGAAATATAATATTAAGAAGTTTTAGTGAGCGCATTTATCAAATGCACCAGCATCTACGGCGTTTAGATTGCTCGAAAGATTGCCAACTACTTGTTATCGAATATAGAACGTGAAGTTCTTCTGCTACGTAGTACTTCACACCAACCGTGACCTCCTCAGCACTAGATTAACCGTGGTGCATACATGGATCCAGCAACGCGCTCATCGAGACGTCGGGCCCAGTCTCATTGCTCCAAAGCACTCTCCAAGGCCTTGGAGGTCTTGGGGGGGGGTGGGGGTGGGGGGTCTTGGAGTTGCTGCGCCTGCATCCGCGGGGGCCATGAAAGCGTGCTGGAGACAAAGCAGAAGTGTGTGAAGAAACTGGCGCGAGGCGACACGGTGAAACCTGACGCCGTACACGGCAAGGTTGAACAGTCGATCCAGATCAGGCCGAGTACGCCATCGCTGTCATTGGCGAGGAGACGCACGCTGAGAAGCCCGGTGACATCAACGACCTGGTGCTCCCGCTGTGGTGAACGGACTGCTGGCGTGTCAACTGGGCGACCAGGCGGTGGCGAAGATTATCTACGGCAAGGTGAATCCAAGCGGCCGAATGTCCATCACGTACCCGAAGCAGCGGCCAACATCGAGATGCCGTACAACCCCGCCGTGACGACCCTGTGCGAGGGCTCGGACAAGAAGACCTACGACTGCCTCATGCAGTGGGACTTTGGTGCCGGTCTAAGCTACACGGACTTAAGGTACTCAAAGGTTCGTCTAAGCCGCTCGGTGGTGGAGACCTCGACGGAGGAGGTGGTGGCTTCGGTTGACGTAACCAACTCTGGCAACATGACCGTCTCCTTGCCGGTGATGCTGTCCTGATCCAGCCGTACCGCTCGCTGAACCTGCCGGAGATCAAGCAGCTCAAGAAGTTCAACAAGATCAGCCTCGAACCGGGCCAGACCTAGACCGTCAACTTCACGCTCACGTCGGACGACTGGAGAGTGTACTACCCGCAGATCGGCCACGGCCTCAAGAAGGTGGCGAAGGACTGCGACTACGTCGTGGCCACCAAGCCCGAGACGAACTGCGACGTGTACAACGAGACGGCCGCGGCCAAACCGCTGTGTGCCACGTCCACGGTGAGCACGGGCGAGCGCCCGTTCGAAACGCTCGAGCAGCCGTGGTAAGCGAGTGTTCTCCGTCGCGAGTGTCGCTCCATTTTAGGGCAAAGTTACATCGTGAGTTGATAATGAATGGTACACATGCATATTGACAATCGACTTCATGTGTTATTCAAGTCGCGCTAAGGGAGCCAAGCCAAGGGCTGGTGGTTTCAGTCTTGCTGTGTAGCAAGAAAGCAGGTATGATCGTCTATAACGGCAATACTTTTGAACTTTATTATAGTATGTCATGAGCGTACAGTACCATCAATACGTTCTAGCAGCTGTGGTGATCCAGCCCAAATCTCTGGTGTTTTGATCCAAATCTGTGGTACCCAAATCTCTGGTGATGAAATCCTGTTTTTGTGGTGGTGAGTTCCAAATGGCTGGTGTCGAAACCCCCCACTCCTGCCACAGTACCTACCGGTATGTCATACAGCAAAGATCCAGACTACCGGTACTACAGTTATACTGTACAGAGAGGATAGATGCAGTCCGTATACTTACCATCATGAGAAAGTGAATTGTGCTGGGGAATGACCAAATCGGTATGAAATCGTATTTTAAATGCCAAATCAGTAGGTGTTGCCTATCGCTACTCCGTCCATGTGCTACTATACATTTATGCATACCGATCGAGACAATCACGGCATATCTACATGCGGAGTCCTTTGTGATACCGAACATGTGCGAATGCCTTCGTTGAGTGGCGCTCTAGCGATAGATATGTTCTCGTTGTGGTTCAATTCGCTGCCTTTTTTTCGTGTAGTGTTTGAAAGCTCAGCTTGGATGATATTCATCACGAAACGTACTGGTCGGGAACTTGAATGCCTATTACTAGTCGATAACTACAGAGCATAGTGTTCAACTACCTGGTCAAATGCACTCCAAGTCAAACGCCTTCCTTGAATGAGTCTAGCGACCAGTTTACTCCAGATTCTTCAGGTATTGTCCGTTATACCAAATTCACCTCCAAACTTCACCAGTGTGTTCTTTTATCTCGTTTCATCTGCAAAAAGTCTCGACCACCGCTCGCCGATCGGATCGAGCTTCACATGGCGAATCTCCGCATCCTCCTCGTCGTACGAAATGTAGACTTCCAACCTCTCCTCCGGCGCGCTCTCCACATCCAGACGCTCGGGCCACTCCACCAACGTAATACCTAGCAACGATACAAGCCCCCGTTAGCATCGACAAAGCTGGCCTCCTCCTACCTATTTCGTCCAACCTCGCTCGAAAGCCTCCGCAAGCCCCAACGCGGCAACGTCCTGCTCCGTAACAGCATCCAACCGGTACAGGTCCACATGATAGACGGCCGGCAGCTCACGAGCCTCATCGTACGTGTTCACCAGCAGATACGTGGGCGACGTGACCGCCAGCTCCAGCTGCTGCGTGTACGCGCGCACGAAGCCCCTGGCCAGACACGTCTTGCCGCAGCCCAGGTCGCTGCATTAACCGAATACAATACGCTAGCGTAAGACAATATCGACTAAGTTAACTCAACGTTGTGGGTCTGTTACCCGCGCAGGAAGAGCACGTCGCCTGCTTGACCGTCTCGAGCCAGTCGCTGGCCTAGAAGCTCCATATCTCGGGCGGATGCCGTCGTATGCGAGCGAGACAAACGTGCATCTGCTGCAGATTCATCACTCTTGGTGGTCGGAGGCGTGGACGCGGCGGGAGACAGCCAGCGGCGCGTGTAGCCGACGTCGCAGCAGCGCCGAAGGGCCGCCCCTCGTTGCAGTAGCATGTCTTTTAGCGGAGTGATGGTCTGTGTCTCTCTAACGAGGCTGAAGTCATATAAGCGAGGGGTTCTAAAATTTGGTGTGGTGCACTCTCCGATTTTGATAGTGAAGAAGAAGATCGCCAAAAGCTGAGCGATGTCGGGCTGGGTGAGCGCGTGGCTGCAGGGCAAGAGCGAGGGAGACGAGGAGGGCAAGACCGAGGAGGGAGGCTTCGGCTCGGCGGGCAACACGCTCTCGGATGGCGCGGCGCCCGCGTCTGCCGACGAGATCCGGCGCAAGCGGCTGCAGAAGCTGCAGGAGGCCCAGGCCGCCGTTTCAGCCAATCCGAGCCCGCCAAACCCGAAAGATGACGTCATAATGGCCAATCCGGAGGCGCCGTCCGACAAGAAGCAGCGCGTCGAGGCTGCAGCGCCTGCAGCGCCCGTGGAGGCCCCCAAGGAGGTGAAGAAGAAGCCAACGAAGGTGGGCACCACGCCCGAAGTTTACGTCAACGACATGCTGCAGCGCGTGTTGCGCGTGACGCTGACGCCCGCCAACAGCAGCAGCGACCTGCTGCTCCTGCCGCAGTTCGCAGCCCAAATGGAAGGCGAGCAAGATCTGCTGCTGTCAACAGCCAACGCCAGTGAAGTGCTCTACTCTCGGGTCATTATGAACCCTGCTGACCTCCCTGGAGGCTCGCAGCACCCCCTGGCTGCTCTGGCCTACCTGGAACAGGTCTTCTACCGCTGCCGGGACGAGATGCAGAAGCTGCAGTCGTCCTTTGTGCGGCTGTCGGCGGAGCAGAAGCAGGAGGCGCAGGAGTGTCTGAGCAGCATCCGCGAGATGTGCATCAACTACAGCGCCACGGCGTTGACGGACCCGGAGATTTTCCCTTTCGAAGCAGGGACGATCAATGCCGACGCACTGGAGAAAATTGTGAGACTGCAGGGCAATGCGCAGACGCCAGAGTTCGTGGACGGAGTCGTGGCACAACTGGAGGCGAGTGACGGGACGCTGGCTGTGTTCGCCCCGATATTCCAGAAGTTGCTGTCCGAGCTGTTTTTGATCAACCCGCCGTCGCTCATGTCCAACTTTTACAACAACATGTTTGTGCTGACGGTGCTGTGCCGCAACAAGGCGCTGGCCACGGCGTTCACGCAGATCCCGGGATTTTTGCTGACTCCGGGTCCTCCGATGACGGGACGACGTCTCCAGGATGCGACTGCGCTGGGGTTGCTGCTGCGCTTCAGCTGTGGCCAGGACGCGGCCATCACGCAAATGTTTACCAACATCACGAAGCGCACCAAGAACGATGTGGATAACTCAATCCTGACTATTCGCAACAAGTTGGACAGCGTGCAGACCACGGTGTCTGACATCATCACGTTGCTGCTGAAAGCTGGTGGGATCGCTCGTGAACAGGTGCTGGTGTGGTTGGAACAAGCGATGCAGGTTAACGCCGAACGTGCCAAGGAGAACCCGGATGCTAACATCACGGCCACGAATGGCATGTTCGTCAACTTGACGATGGTTCTGCTTAAACTGTGTGGTCCGTTCCTGGCCGCAAAGTCGAAGAAAGCCCAGCTGATCAAGGCCGAGTACCTGACAAAGCTGAACCCGTTGTTCCCATTTAACGAGACAAGGTTGATCGGTGCTGGCTCAGAAATTGCAGTCGCACAACAAGATGATCGCCAGCCGTTGAGCCCTGCGGAATTCAACTTCATCTCCCGTTGCTATTTCATTACAGCTCGGGCAATGCACCTTGGACCTGTGGGCATCATGGGGCAGTATATGCGTCTGCTGCGTCAACTTTCGTACTTCCAGAGTCGTATGAACGCTCCGAACGCGGATCCACGCTTACGGGCACACTTTGACCAAATGGCCGCTGCAAAGATGATCATGGACGCTGAGCTGCTTCACCCTGACTTCTTGCACGAGATGATTCGGTTCTCGCTGCTTACTTGCGGCGTTGTGAACTCCATGTGTACTGGATCGAGTGTGTATGGTGAGAGTGCCTCACTCCAGTTGCCTTTGCCAGCACCTGATACCAAGGCAAATCAAGTCCTCAAGTACATTCCTGAACATTTAGTGGACGACCTGTGCACCGCACTGAAGTTTGTTGCGAGACTACAACCGAAGGCGCTCAATGCGTTCGAGCTGAACGAGTTGCTCAAGATGATCATTGTCTTCCTGTCCAGCCCGGGATATGTCCATAGCCCTCATTTGCGTGCCAAGATGAGCGAGGTTCTGTTTCATATTTTCTTGCCGTCCGAGGAGTCTGAAGAGCGTGAGACCGCTGGAACCGCTTTCGGAGTGGAGCTGCTTATGACTAACTCGCTGGCACAGCGGCACCTCGCGCCGTGCCTTTTGGGGTTGTACGGTGACGTTGAGCACACGGGTTTTTACGAGAAGCTTGAGCACCGCTACAACATTGCTTGTCTGCTGAAATACTTGTGGAAGCTGGATGGTCATAAGCCGGCATTCCTTCTGATTGCCGAGGATCGAGAAAATTTTGTGAAATTCGCTCACGGACTGATGAACCACATCAACAGTTTGGTGACGGATGCGCTCATCGCTCTCCCGGAGATCAAGGTGCTCCAGGAAGAAATGCAGGACGTTGCGCGTTGGATGGCTCTTGATGAAACTGTACGCGAGCAAAAGCAAAGCCTGCTTTCAGACAAGGAACGCACAGTCACATCGAGTTTGCAGCTGGCCAACGAGACCATCCACATGATGTCGTACCTGACGTCTGAAATCCAGGAGCCATTCGTAAAAATGCCGGAGCTTGAAGACCGCCTCGTGAGTATGCTGAACAGTGTGCTGGTCAAGCTTGCGGGTCCTCGTGGTGTGGAACTGAAGGTGAACAACCCTGAACAGTACAAGTTCCGTCCCAAGACAATGCTGAAGGAAATTGTGGAGACGCTGCTGCACTTTGCCCACTACCCGAGCTTCCTGGAGGCTGTGGCTACCAATGGCTTCTACGATGGCCAGGTCTTCCGGAAATGCGCTCACATTGTGGCCCGCACTCAGTTGTTGGTGCCAAGCGACGTGCAAAAGTTTGAGGCTTTCGTTGCGGACGTGGAGAAGGCTGCAGAGGGTGCAGCGAATCTGGAGGAGACGCTGGGTGACATTCCCGAGGAGTTCCTTGACCCATTGGTGTTTACGCTGATGAAAGACCCCGTGCTTCTGCCCAGCGGCTACACGATGGACCGGTCGTGTATCACACAGCACTTGATGAATGATCAGAGCGACCCGTTCACTCGTGTCCCCCTCACCATGGAGCAATTGCAGCCGAATACGGATCTGAAGGCGAAAATTGAGCAGTGGATTCAGGAGCAGCAGCAGAAGCAGAAAGATGCTGCTAAGTAGAAGAAGTGGTAACGATCAAGTAAAGCTACAGCGTCTTCGTCTTGTGCTCATTTTACTAGGTACACTGTAGGCATGGCATTGTTGTTGGTGAGTGGAAATGCAGGACACACTATGCCCATCGATAAAGCTAGTTTCCAGTACAGTGCAACGCTCCTGTGCATCGAGAGCTCGGGCTAACCTCTTGCCAAACGTCGACAGTGACGTGAAGCCATCAGCAATGACTGCAGTCGTCGACTAATTCGATGCGTTGATAGCCCCAACAGGCCCCGGATTAAGGACAAATAAATGGACCAAAAGTTAGAGGCTTATACTGGCATTGATTTTGCGAGATACACCGTATTATTGCTATGACCAGAAAGCCCTTGATTCGTTCTACAAGGGGGGTGCCTTGCACACTGTCCTCTGTTGTCCATCATGGTAAAAATGCAGATCGAAAAGGGTCATATATAACATATCACATTTCGGTTGTTTCCTTAATTCTAGGACAAAAATCGCACATTGACTTGATTTCATTATGTGGATCCAGACGTTACACCTCTCACACAGTCTATGTACTTGTTACAAATGACACTTCGTACTTACCCGGGCGTGATTACACTCAATACAAACGCCAAGTCTATTTTGGCCCTTTTTTGCGGTTTAAGGACAAAACCCCGGAAACTACCTCTTACTAAAGCGGATTTTTGTCCTTAAATCAAGGACAAAAAATGTTGGGGATAGCGACAGTACTGTACCTTTCGTCACCTACACAATTCCAGAACGATACAAAATACTTTGAAGTCTACACTCGATGATCGTTTGTCCATTAACAGCAACATGCTTTCAGTCACAGAGTGAACGATTCGCCATTTGACCCAAGCTTCGGGACTGCATTGATAAAAGGTAAACTCCAGAACCATTCGACCTTTGAATGCGGGGGGAGGGGGGGTACCCCTTTCGACATTTCTGTTGACATGTGAGCGGGCAGCAAAACTGACATGTGAGGACGAATCTCCTTCCGCCTCTTTCTGTACCAGATCGCTCCAATCGCAAGTAAGATGACCAAGCCCCCACCGAGGCTCCGTCAATTTGAGGCTCAAGCTCTGGCTGCCGTATGGCTCGAAGCGATATGAGACTCAGGCTCACGCTTCTACATGTACGGACTGGGGAAACGCTAAAACATGCCTATTTCGGCGAAGTGTTCGCAAAACATGCTGTCCACTTTAAAACATGCTTACCGACAATCAGACGATTGGTAACGTTCGCAGACAAAGGCGTGGAGTTGCCGTTAATGCAGGGCATGGTCGACACAGAGCCGCTCCCTGCGGTCCGACCGGTCAGTCGTGGTAGAAAACGAAAGCGGCGCTACCCAAGCAAAGGTGAGGGCGAGGCCAGCCATATTCAACGATGCGGAAACTGCAGACAGGTAGGTCACAACAAACGTCGCTGCACAAACCCAACGGTTAGTTGAAGTGCAGTTGTTGGAAGTTGAAAAGATTAGGCTAGATGTGGCGAACGCTTAGGGCGTTGTGATCTAGGGACTTAATCTAATACATGCATTCCATTTAAAGTTCTTATAAATTGTTCAAACATGAGTATTGTAAGGTTCTGGTTGTGCTTGTTGTGTTGCGAGTAAAATGGAAACTGAATTGATGTCTTTGTCTGTTCGCTGCTATCCATCTACCCGAGGGCGCCCTCATGGCGCTCGGTCCTAAACATGAAGTGGTTGGCTGAGGCGTGCCGGAGCAGGAGCTTGCGCAACTGGTGAGAATGCAGACGACGACTTGGGCTCTCTGCGTGCGGACTCAACTGATGATGTGGTTGTGTTCTGCTCTTGCACGTGCAGATCATTACACTCCCCCCGACTTGAGCGAGTCCCGGCACCTTGAACGTTGAAGTCGCCGAAGTTGAAGTTGGTAGTACTGTAGACCCTCGATGTAAGGAACAGTACCGTGAAAACTCTGTTCAAGAGAATTCCACTAGGCCCGTGCCACTCGATTGCGTTGGCGAAGATCTTTTAGCAGCGCTTGTCAGTGGCTGACGTGTTTGATGTCGCGCTCGCGTTCCCACGTGTTCTCATGGTGAGGGAGCCCGTGCCACTTGACCAAGTACTCAGGTTGGCAGTTGAAGATGCGCTTCTTGATCAGAGCTTCGACAACGTGTAGTGGCTCGCCATCGTCGTCGAAAATCACGGGAGTCGACTTCGGGATCACACGGCCGACGAAGCGATCAGGGTTGCTGTTGTATACCTTGAGCTTGTCGATGTTGAAGCGTGGGCTGATGTGCTTCAAGTTGGCCGGTAGATCCAGCAGCCCGACGTTGCCGTGAAGTTCCAGGATCGGGTACGGACCGATGAAGCGCGGGATGAACTTCCGTGAGCGAAGCGCCGTTTCCGCGGTGGCGTGCGAGATGTTCAGGCCCTGCGTCGACAGCAAGGCTAGATCACCGACCTTGAATGGGTTTGCTGCACGACGCCGGTCGTAGAACTTCTTTTGAGCCTCTTGCGCATCCAACAGATTCTTCCGAGCACGTTCGATCACCTCTTGACGATACTGAACAAATCGAGACGCGTACTCCACACGAGACCTCGCCACCGGCTGATCGCTCTCCACATTACCCAATGGGTTCTTAGGGTGACGACCGGTGTCGACGAAGAAGGGCGACAGCTTCGACGAGCTGGACACCAGTGTTGCGTGCGCATATTCAATCATGGGCAGGTGCTCATTCCAGTCGTTGCCATGGTACGAAACAGAGCATCGCAACGAGTCCTCGAGAGTCCGATTCTGACGCTCAGTTTGGCCATCGGCCTGCGCTCGGTGGGCAGTCGTCATCGCTGTCTTGATCTTCATCAGCTGTACCAGTGCTTTCCAGAACTTCGACGTGAACTTCGGGCCCTGGTCGGAGATGATGGTCGATGGGACACCATAGTACCGGATGACGTTGTTGAAGAACAGCTTGGCAATGTCTTCCGCAGTCGCCGTGGTGTGCGTCGGGATGTAGACTGGACGCTTTGACAACTTGTCCACCACGACCATGATCGCATCAAAGCCGTCGGATACAGGCAAATGCGTGATGAAGTCAGTCGAGACAACATCCCAACACGCAGCGGGCAACGGGATCGGCTGAGCTTTCCTGCTCTTCGTCCGGTGCTTGACTTGTACCTCACAACTCTGAACGTAGGCTTTGATGTCCAGATCCATGCTCGGCCAGAAGTACCACTGTGCCGCAGCAAGCTGAGTGCGACGGATGCCTGGGTACGCCATGATCGCCGCATCATGCGCGTTGTGAATGACATCGAGCCGAAGTTTCCGGTTGTTTGGCACACAGAGGCGGTGTAGGCTGTCGTTGCTCTTCAAATAGATCAACCCGTGAATGACTTCGTACTCTTCCGACGAGCGTCTAGACTTCCACAGTGGCTTGAAGACTGGATCTCTGCCGTATGCCTTCTGAAACGCCCGCTTCGTTTGGTTATCCAGCTGAAGTGAGCTGATCACCGTGCTGTCCTCCATTGACGCTGCGTTCAACCTCATGCGCCTCTGTGCTGTGCCAACTCCGAGTGCCTTTGTGGCTGGCTGTTTGACGGCCAGCATCACAGCTTGATCCCGGGACGGTATGCTTTGGAGCTTCGCCGTAGCCATGGTACGTCGCGAGACCACGTCTCGAATGTTCGTGCATGTGGTAGACGTCAAACACGCCGTACACACTACAACCAGCTCGGGCTTGGACTCACAATCCTCCTGCCCCTCCCCCGGACTCGATGAAGCATCAGGGGGGCGCGACAACGCGTCCGCAACGACATTCAAAGCTCCTGGACGATGATGCAAAGTGAACTGGAAGGACGCAAAGAAGTCGAGCCAGTGGGCCAGGCGACCCGACAGGCGTGGATGCTGCAAAAACCACTTGCACGCCGAATTGTCCGTGTACACTTCAAACGAGACTCCATGGAGGTAATGACGCCAACGTGTAAGCGCCTGCTCGATCGCAAAGAGCTCCTTCTCGTGAACAGGCCAGTTCAGCTCGTGAGGTCCCAGCTTCTTGCTGAAGAAAGCCACGGGGAGATCGTTGCCATCATAATCTGAGAGAGCACTCCACCAATGCACGCATGGCTGGCATCCGTTGTCACGATGAATGTTTTTTCAAAGTCCGGCAGACGAAGCACCGGAGCGTGCTGGAGCGCGAGCTTAATGGCATTGAAAGCTTGGCGTTGGTGTTCGTTCCATACCCAAGCGACATCCTTCTTGACCAGAGAGCTCAGGGGCAGTACCAACGTCGCAAACTGGTGGATGAAGCGACGATAGTACCTGGCGAGGCCCAAGAAGCGTTGGAGGTCCTTGATGTTGCATGGCTCGGTCCACTCTGCGATGGCTCGAGTCTTGCGAGCGTCCACATGCAACCCATCAGCAGAGATGGTGTGGCCAAGGAAGTCCACCGAGGCTTGTCCGAAGTCGCACTTGTCAGGACGGGCGTAAAGCTTGTTAGCGCGCAGGACTTCGCAGACTTGTCGTAAGTGCTCAACGTGGTCAGCCATCGATCGCGAGAAGATGCAGATGTCGTCAAGATAAACGACCACGAACAGTAGATGACTCAGCAGCTTGCGCATCAGGCGTGTCCACGTGCCTGGCATGCCGGCCAGACCCATGGGCGCCACGTTCCAATGATATATCTCATGGTTCGTCCTGAATGCCGTGTACTGTTTTGACGTCGGAGACATGCGCATTTGGTGGTATCCACTCGCGAGGTCGAGAATAGAGAAGACCACTGCGCCCACCATGCGATCGAAGAATTGTTCGATGTGCGGTAGCGGGATCTTAGCCACATCCGAGGCGGCATTCACCAAGCGATTGTCGATGACCCATCGAATCGGCATGTGCGGGTTGTTCGAGTGCAACCACTTCAAGCGGGGTAGGAACTTGCCCGTCGCGGGATCCTCTTTCGGCACGCCGAAGATGTTCGACACCCAGGGAGAGTCCGACACTTCGACCCAGTTCTTCTTCAGCAGCTCTGCCACAAAGATGTCCAATGCTTCCTGCTCAACCTTCGAGAGGCGGAAGGGAGCTCGGTTGCTTGGCGTCGCCCCTGGTTTCAAGACCACTTCGTGCTCGATGGAGCGGCTTGGTGGTAATCCAGGTGGCAGCTCTGCTGGAAAGACATCTGCGAACTCTTCAAGAACCGCTTGAAGCTGCAATGGCACGGACTTCACCTTGGGCGACGTCTTCACCGTGACATGATACAGTTCGACGTACTCGTCAGCCTTCACCTTCTTCTCAAACTCCGCAGCCGCAAGAACACACAGCGGCGACGCGTCTGTACCATCGTCACCGTCGTCAAAGATGCGTGGTAAGGTCTGGTGTCCCAGCGCTGCTAGTGAGCTCGGTCCCAACGGCATACTGAAGTAGCCTGCCTGCACATGGTCATCGAGCTGCTGCCGCAGGTTCGGGGGAAGCGGGTGCTGAAGAAATTCCGGTTTCACTTCCACTGAAGCCACCGTCGGTCCCGCCACCTCATGACTGCTGTTCACGGACCCGAAGTCATGTACTACACGCTGGTTGGGGAAGCGCATCACTCCGGTTTGCCAATTGGTGATCGGGTTGAACTGCACTAACCACGGGTGACCGAGAATCATGTCTTGGTTTAAAGATATCTCCCATTCAATGAGAGAAACATCGTTGAAGACTCTGCCATCAAAGCAGACAGTCTCCAAACATTGCTGTGCGGTACGCGCCGGGGTTGTCGTGCCATCAAAGCGCTCGGCCGCGACCTTGGTGGCCTCAACGTAGTGCTGCGCGAGGCCCGGACGCACAATGTTGCGCTCTGCACCACTGTCGATCAAGACTCGCACTGCCTGGCCGCTCATCGCTCCCTCGAACCTCAACAGTTCACGATTGGGCGACAACTTCGCGTCGAGAGACACCATGTTCAGCTGCAAACTGTCGATGACCTCGACGTGGTCGTCGCGGTTGTCTGCGTAGGCGTCGTCATCGTCGTCGGATGCGTCGTCGTCTTCAACAATGCGGCGAAACGAGCCCTGGTTTGCGCGGAACGAACCGCGCCCTTGTGGAGGACGAGATGAGCCTCGGGGGTTGTTACGCGCTGGCCGCTTAGGACACGTAGCCAGGCGGTGTCCGGTCTCCTTGCAGTAAAAGCAAAGATTACTTCGCAGACACTCGTCGCGAGAGACGAAGCGCGAACTCCCGATCTCCATTGGGGTCGGCTCCTCGACGTGATGTGACGACTGCTGAAGGCGTTGTGGACCTTGGCCTCCGCGGTTCACGTTGGTTCGACGCGATCCTACAGCGTGCGTGCGGTCGTACATGAGTGCAAACGAAATTGCGTCTGTCGTGTTCCTGAACTGGCGCAGCTTCACCTCTTGTTTGATCTCTACGACCAACCCCTTCTGGAAATGCATGACCTTGTCGATGTCGCTCATCTCCTCTACCTTGCAGATGATGTGCCGGAAGGCCGACACGTAATCTTCAAGAGAGGTGAAGTTGTTCTGGCGCAGGCGTAGGAGCTGGTCACGCAGGTGCTCTTGCCGATCGGGTGTCGTGAACTCGCTGGTCAGCAGCTCCTCGAACTGCGTGACCGAGTGCAGGGAGTTCCCGTCGTGGGAGACGTACTCGCGGTACCAAGCCGCTGCTGGTCCCTTCAAGTTTGCCACCAAGAGCGACAAGGGGCGCTGCTGCGGCGAGTCGGCGCCGTACTTGATGTTCTTCGACTCAAAGTAGAGCTTGGCGCTGAAGAGGTAGTCCGCGACGTCGTCGTCCTTGGTGCCGGAGAACTTCGGCATGGTGATGCCCTCGGCCCGGTACTCGCGCGTGTCTGGCGACGAACAGTCGGCCACCGACGGTTGCTGCTGCTGCGAGGTGGATTGCTGCTGCTGTTGCTGTTGCAGTGTCGCCGCCATCTGGCGCTGCAGCTCGACTGTCTGTGCCATGAACTGCTGCTGCTCGCGCATCATCGCCGCGAGCGAGGCGAACATCTGCTGCACGCTGTCCGCGGGCTGCATCGCTGCTTCATCCATGTTTGCGCCTACGCTAGACACGTCGTCAAAAGATGGCTGGGGCGCGCAAGCTCCTCAGCCAAATCAATCAAAGTTTGAAGTCGCAGGCACTCCCAGGAGCGCTGCTTCCGACAATGTCTGTAAGCCCCAACGAAGTCACAGAAGCTCGTCCTGGAGCTCTGTTTCCGACAAGTACCAACCACTTGCTCCAGCGTCCCGAAGGAAGCAACTGGTGCAATTCCGTCCGGCGCTAGCTCGAGCCCGCCTCGGAGCACAAAGACTCCTACTACTAGACTCGTAACGGCCACCGACGCGGATGTTACACTCGGCTGCGCACTGTTTGCAAGTGACAGCCGAGGCGACAAGCGGATGGTCGAGGTGGGTGTCGCGTATGGACACGCGGGAGTGATTGGGCTAAATGCACCAATGAGATGTCGACACGAAGTGACGTGTGACAATGCGCGTCGCCACTCCTCCCCCAGAAAGAAAAGGAGCGAGCCCGGCGAAAATGGAGGTCCCGTCGGCGACGAGCGGAACGAAGCTGCGGACGAGGCAACGCACGCGGCGCACCCGGAGAAGCTGAACGGCGAGAGGTACAGGTGCGGCGCACCGAAGAACGTAGGCGAGGAAGACGGCGTGCGTAACGGCAACGCGGGATGGACTAGGCTGGACGGCGTGAACACTAGCGACGCGTGGCAGGACTGGACTGGATCTGGAACTGGAACTCGAACGGAGACTGGAACTGGAACTGGATGGAAGCGCGCGCTGGAGGCGCAAGTGCTACCAAGTGTAAGGTTCTGGTTGTGCTTGTTGTGTTGCGAGTAAAATGGAAACTGAATTGATGTCTTTGTCTGTTTGCTGCTATCCATCTACCCGAGGGCGCCCTCATGGCGCTCGGTCCTAAACATGAAGTGGTTGGCTGAGGCGTGCCGGAGCAGGAGCTTGCGCAACCGGTGAGTATGCAGACGACGACTTGGGCTCTCTGCGTGCGGACTCAACTGATGATGTGGTTGTGTTCTGCTCTTGCACGTGCAGATCATTACAAGTATGGTACCCCAGTACTGCTTTATTGAGCGATACCGTGGTGCGTTTCATGAGAGAACGAGTTTGGTGCACCACTTATAAGTGCTTCGGGGGTTCACACGTTTCACATGAGTTACCGATATATAGTGAAGTGGTGCAGGACTTCTTTGTACAAATGAAGCACCAGCAAAAGTTGTGCATGCAGTAGGGTGATGTTGCAGACGTCTTCATTACAGTGTATCAGTGGCAGCAAGTATTGGATGTACGACTCGCGTGTAATGTATACATACTAGCTGCCCTCATCAGGTTGATGTAGTGGCTGCGCGTCGATGGCATATATCAATGCCTGTCCTGGGATCACCAAGGTCGTGCCGGCGTTGGTACAGTGTACCCAAGCATGTTTTAAAGTGGACAGCATGTTTTGCAAACACTTCGCCGAAATAGGCATGTTTTAACGTTTCCCCGTACGGACTCGAAGACTCGAGCTGCACAATGCCTATATTGTACCAAAACGGACACCGGAAAAGCGGTCTTCAGCGACCAACTTACAGTAAGTAAAACGATTGACCGAAACCACGTACACAGGAGAACCTGCTTCAGGCCTTGTCGCCTTCACAAGCTTCGAAAGAATGAATCACTCGCCGAGGTCAGGCTCATATTGCACAGCCTGAAACGAAATCCTCCAACCTTTCCTTGTTCATCGCATCAGAGAGAAGGGATCAGCTCACGCTCTTACAGTCACCAAACGCGTTAGTCGATTATCAGAAGATTTGAACGCGTCCCTCCTTGAGTTTCTTTCGATTGACTCCAGCCGAACGCCAACACATTCTGCTGTCCGTTCAGTTTGCAAGTTTCTCTCCGCAGCACACATCCCGCCATGCGTGTGTACCAAGTCGCTCTGTTGGCTGCCGCCGTTCTCTTCGCCTCCACCAACGCCGCCATGGAGGTTGCGCAGACCGAAGTGTCCAAGATTGCCACGCCTGAGACGCTGAGCTGAGGCCGGGCCCTCACTGCTGATGAAGGCGTGGCCCTGCGCGCTGAGAAGACGACTACAGACGAGTACGACGATGAAGAGGTCGCTGAAGAAGAGGAGCGAGTGCTGCCGGGCACCGATTTGGCTGCCAAGCTGGCCCGAAGCTGGAGAAGGTTTTGAGCAACAAGCAGTTGGTCAGTACGACGGCGACCAAGGAGCGGTGGCAGTTCGCCCTGTGGTTCATTCAAGGCAAGGGCCCCCGGTATGTGGTGGAAAATGTTCTGAAGATCAACCGTCTCGGCAGCACGGGGAAGGGGTCGCCATGTACCACCGCTACGTACAGTACTTCCAGAAGTACAAGTTCACAGGAATCCGGTTCCACACGGGCGCATAGTAAGTGTATCGTACAGGTGCCGCCCCTTTGCGAGCAGCCGGAGCTCGAAGTTTGAATAGTAATAAAGATCAAACTGGGTGATCTCCATTTTTGATTCTGTGCGTTATCTTTCAGAGCACAAGCGTGCAAAGTACTACGACGTACTTCGCGGTGCAAGTGTTACGCATGAAAAGTCACTGTGTTGCATCATGCATGCAACTTGCATGCGTAACTTGATCACTTCAGAGGTATCGGGTCGCAAAAGTGCAAGGCTGCCGTATTTGACTTGCGGCCAGTGGGGACTGATGCAGTCGGGTCAGTCGTCCATGCATGGTAAGACGCAGCGTCGCTGGCATACTCGCCTTATCAGTCGTCTAAATCGAACAAACCGGAACTTAGCGGCACTTCAGTATTCTCATGTGTTGTTCTGGACACAAAATGTTTTCATCCTGTCACTTCGCGATTTTTTTTTGCAACATCTTCTCTTGAGAGCATCTCCACCGGTGCTGAGTAAAACTAAAAGCAAATTGCCCTCAGATCCGTGCCTACAACGGCACAACCGTGCTAAAGACAGTGCGCAGCTCCACCGGCCATTGAGACTCGCAGTGAGCGCGTTAAAGCTCTTGATTCGGCGCCAGCAATGGGGACGGCGAGTCCTAGCCGTATAGCCCTATAAAGATGAAAACGGACTCGACAGCACGTTGAGGAAGACCCTAGCAAGGGCGACACTGCGGTCTGTGACGCTTGCGCTGCTTAGAATGCTTGACTTGGCCCTACTACTGGCTGGTCGACATTTACTCAACCTTTTACTCAAAGCCACCTCCGTTGGCAAACTTGTGCAAAAATTTGATCTGCGTAAAAAATGGAGCAATTTGCTCAGCACTTATTGTGCCTTTCTGGCAAAACGCCCTCCGATTTGAGGTCCTACGTAGGACTTTTGCTCATACGTAAGACCTCATAAAAGTTAGTACTAGGGCCAGTAAAACCATGCATAAGCCAAAACGGATTCATGCTCTTTCGTAAGACGATACTTAGCCCCAGAGAGCCTACCGTAAGACAAAGCGTGTTACGTTTTGCAATCAACGCATTTTGGCTACATCTTGGTTTTAGTATACCAGTGGCTACATTGTATTTTGTCCGTCAAAACGTAAGACAGTTTGTCGGACAACAATTTGCACCATGCGATTGGCCAAAACTTTCAGAGGGTAGTGTCGTTGCGTGCGTTCCTCCGTTGAGCATGTAGGAACCCGAGGACAACCGCTTTGCCGTTTTTGAATTGCTCGTGCCACCTACAGTCGAGCCGACGAAATAAGGCGCTCACAAGCACGAACATGTAGTCGGTAGTGCGGCCCTACTGCCAACTACAATGTACACGCTTGTTTGAGAATGGTTAAGAAATAACTGCACCCGAACCATTAGCCCAGCTTGACAAACAAAACGTTCAGGGCTTTATAGTGAATTCTAGTTAATGCATAACCAAATAGAGCCCCTCTTCCTCCGGTAGTGCGGCCCACGAACCCTGTCGTGTCCTCTGAGGACGCCTCCGAGCGAAGCAGTGCACGACGAGCGCGCACACATGCTCCGCACCGAGGCGTTGTCGGAGGATGCGAGGGAGTAGACAATCAATACATTATGGGATCTTACCAAAGTCATGAAATGAACTGTTTTGTAGTAGCAACAAGGCAGCGTCAGCCAGTCTTGGTATTTGTATTTGTATTTGTTGCGGTTTGCTTGGCTACCTTACTCCCGGAGGCGCACACTGCTGCAGCTCCACCTACGTCGGTAGTGGACACCACCGACATCACCCGCGGCCACGTGTAGGTAAGCTGTTGGTGGTGTCGCAAACAAATAACTACAAAACGACGTGAGGGCCTCTAAGAGTCAAATGAGCGGCGAAACTTCTCGGGAATACATGAAAAATGCCAAAGCTAAAGTAATTGATCAGCCCGGCTGAAGGCGCTTACCAGTTTTCTCGGCCTGCCACTGTAGTACTAGGAAATCTAAACGATCTAAGCTCGCCGTGGTGTTTTAAATATGTAGAGGGAGTTTGTTGGTGTCGCAGCGCTCCTCCGCACAGTTCTATCGAACCGCCAATCATTACTACCACCACTATGCTGCGCCCGATATTAGTCAGGATACGAAGTGCAACGAAATGCATCAAAAAGAGTAGCAAAGAGGAACGCGGGCCTTCCTAGCAGAGCCTGCGAGCACTCTGCGCCTGGAAGTGCCAACAGAATTGGCAAGTCGTACTATTCGCCAATCAAATCACTAGATTTGATTTGTCGTCAAACTGTCTTACGAATGCTCGACACAAGTGAATGTAAACTGAGCGAATGGCTTGCAAAGGTAGGCCGACAAGTGAGCGCGTTCAGTACCGCTATACCTGTAGCGCACGTACGTAGCTCCACGCTGAGCACGGTGACCTGGTTGCGGTGCTGCCTGAGTCTCCGCCTGCACGAATCCGTCCAAACTATGCATTTGTCACAGATGCTTTCAGGCGCACTGGCCTGATCTAGTCCTACGAAGGACTCGTTAGTCCTACGAAGGCTCAAATGGCCAGCTTAACATGGCCAGTCGGTCCTTATTTCCAAAAAGGTACCCTTTAGATGAAGACAGAGCTCCTACGTAGGACTTCCGTAATCCGATGCCAGGCCAACAGCAAATCCTAAGTCTAGCCCTACCCTCTCCTTCTTAAGACTACCTTTTTGAGGTCAGATTGGCCAAAGTTTCGGAAAGGCACAATAATACTCAAACCGGTGGAGCTGCAGAAAACTAAAACTATAATTAAATGTTGACAGAAAAAGGGTAAAATTTAGTTTTACTCACGACCGGTGGAGATGCTCTGAAGCGAACAGATATTGCAAATTGTCTAAATATTGAAAAACATCAAATATAACGCCATAGACAATATAACGCCGTACTAATCGGTACGTTAAATTTGGTTGTGAGTGATGGTGTCTTTTGTAGCCATTTGTCTTCTGCATGAAACCCAAGCTCAGTTCCACATTTGCCACTTGGCCAGCACCGATGGACTTCGTGGAAACCGATCACGCCGTGTACTTCTACGGCCAGCGCGACCCTGCGTTCGGCTTTTTGAGCAACTTTTACCCGTGCGAGTTTACGGACGCCAAAGGGCGTCGCTTCTTCTCTAGCGAGCAGTACTTCATGAAGCGAAAGCAGGAAATGTTCGACCCGCAGAACGAGCAGCTGGCCAGTTCCATTCTCCGAGCGAAGTCGCCGCCTGTTGCAAAGAAGTTGGGGCGACAAGTAAGAAACTACGACGACGAAGTGTGGGGTCAGCACCGGTACGAGGTGATGCTGGAGGCGCTGAAGCTCAAGTTCTCGTCCGACGAGGAGTTGACTGCGAAACTGTTAGCGACGCAAGACAAGCGGCTCTATGAGGCTTCGCGGCGCGACGCAATCTGGGGCATCGGACTCAGTGTGGCCAACGTCGTCAAAATGTTCCGTGAAGGTGAAGCTTTTCGACGCACTGGAGACGTGAGCGAGGAGATACAAGCGCAGTGTTTTGGTACGAATCTGCTGGGCAATGCGCTGATGGAAACTCGTACCTGGCTTCAGCCACAGGAGTAGTTACTGTATTTTTACGCCCACTAGATATAAATGCCAGCCCTCGAAGGTTTTTTTTGTAAATCGCTGCTGCATCAATCGAAAGACATTATTCCTTACCGGAAACGTTGAACTTTATTAAATGTCTGGCGGTGCTTACGCTAGTGAACCGATAGTGACTAGTACTTCGTGTTAAAGTGGGACCGGATTCCGGTAAACTTGTACTTTTGGAAGTACTGCACGTAGCGGTGGTACATGGCGACCGCCTTGCCCGTGCTGCTGAGGGGGTTGACCTTCAGAATGTTCGCCGCCACGTAGCTCGGGCCCTTTCCCTGAATGAACCACAATGCGAACTGCCAGCGCTCCTTGTCCATCGTCGTTTTGGCTAGCTGCTTGTTACTCAGAGCCTTCTCCAGCTTCGGGGCCAGCTTGGCAGCCAAATCGGTGCCCGGCAGCACTCGCTCCTCCTCTTCAGCTTCTTCATCTTCTTCGGACTCTTTCTTCTCCTCCTTGCTGATCTTCTCGGCTCGCAGGAATCGCGTGACAGCGCCATTGTTTCCCTCGGCAGGCGCGATGTTGCGATGTTGGCAGAAGCGGAGGTGGCGGCGAGAAGAATGGCGACAGCCAGCAGGACGACTTGGTACACACGCATGGTGGGTCTTGGATTTTAGGCGGGGGGTTCCTTGGAGCTTGGCTTTCTCGACGGCAAATTGAGAACTGAAGGCTGGCAAAAAGTCTACTGGTGTGTGAGGTCATGCCCCGGAGGACAAATCGTTTGGTACAGAAGATCAAGATTGTGCTGGTGACCATTACCAGCTTGTACACATTAAACACAGTAGAGAAACAAGGGATGGAAGGGGTCACGCTCCACGAGGTCCAGCACGGGAAAAAATTCATTTAGAGTAAAGTTTGGGGGATGTGCGAGCAAGATCAAACTATGGCGATACACCGAGTAAGATATGGTTACAAGGATGTTGCGCAAGTAGTGTATGTGGAACAACGAGTAAGGGAAATATTTGCTCCCTCGAGGACACAAGCGATACCAAGTGTAGCAATAGGGACAAACAATGAATAGAGTGGATGTATTCTAGTCGGAAACAACTTTACTTGTATTGAGAACGACGACTCAGAAGTATATATCCACGGCAATACATGTATTGGACACCTTCAGACGCTTAACTTTCAGCGCCAGGGCCACCGTTTACTACCCCGCTGGTTCTGTTGTGGTCTATTAATCGTCTCGAAAAAAAGAAAACACTACGTCAAATGCCTAACACGTATGCTCGTATCTATACCATCAGCTACTGAAGCGAGGCATGCTAACTGACGGCGAAATTGACGCGGTATGAACGAATGTAGCACTGCATGACGGGTAGCTGGTATGGATATGCCGTGCGAAGCTGCCATGGACTTTTACTCATCGTTTTTTTTAAACAAGGTCATTAGGAGGCTCCTAATAGGAGCATCATCTTAGCATGCTTGGCGCTGAATAAATTGTTTGTCCAACTGACACCGCATGGATATTGGTCGAATGGTAGCACCATTGATATATACTGCTACTAGTGATGATCTGCGTGCTCACTACACCGTCACGCTTGCTGGCTTGCACTGATGATGCCCCTCAGTGAATCCGTATCGCAAATCTTTTTGTCTATCCTTGATAGACAAAACGATGACCCCATCATGACATATCATAACGCCAGACGTTTACTAGACCTTAAAACGAGTTTGTCAGCGCTCTATCAGACTCTTTAGCACTACACGATTTTGCTATGATACACTTGTCGAAGACTGAGGTCGTTCCAGCCGAGATTAGCTACTCGCTATTGAAGGTGATCTTCGTTAAATACTTTAGCAAGTCTGAATAGCTTAGCTCGGGGCGTAGGATTGATCTAATCGGTAGTTTGGCGCTATATCGGAAATTTCACAATAGACCTGGGAAAATGCTCAATGACTTCGCAACCACCCAGCACGCTGTACTTGTCGGTCAAACTGGACACTTCTGGCCTTACTTGGCGCCGGTCTCGACATCACCGGCAGTGGCGCCGAGTCCACTTGTGTACCTAACAAACGACATGCCTGCATACAGTTGAGCTCGAGCGCCCCGCGAAGAAGCAGTCGACAGTTGTCTGGTTAATTCAGCTCAATGAAGCCCAGCCTGCACGGCGTGCGTAGCCTGCCGCGAGCTTCGATGCGAAGAAGCGTGACCGCAAGCGTTGCGGTCCTCATCCGCAGCATGTTCCGCATCCGTCGCGACATCGAAGGAGCAGGATGATAATGACGCGACAGTGTTTAGCATCTTAAACAAGTGAGTCTAAGTAGTCTGCCCGAAGAGATTAAGCGACTTTGTGTGTGCCATGCACTCGATTAGAACCGAGTATGGTCGTAAAAAACTGAGTGACTTCGGAAATATCAAATCTCCGTTGCTTCGTTGCTTTCCCCACCATTTCACTTTGCAACGAACCAAATCACTGAGTGGGCACAAATACAACAACGAATTTCGCAATAGATCACCTACTCGGTTTGAGTTCTACTCTAGGATCCACTTCAATGGGTGCATTAATTTGTCTTGACATCCGAAATGAAAAATGCTACTTGAGCTTCCATCATTTCACATTCTTACTTGCACATCGGTCATTCGTTACACTCGAACTAAATCCGCACCCGTCCAGCACAGCGGGATGCTTGGGCTTTGCGCCATTCAGGCCCTTGTTCAGGTGTTCTGTGCTACAGTGCGGGCTAGGCTAAGGCACGATTTGTGCTTGTGATTTTCAAAACGTGTGCTGGGCTTGTCCAAGTAAATTCCGGAGGACTTTTTCTGCTGACCTCCCGTCATTTTTGAATCGCCACCAAGCACATGTACCGAGTCCTCTCGCTAGTGCGTGAGCTAGCTGTAATTATACGGCAGGCCCTAGCGTGAGGAAACTTGGGCATGCAACAACACCTCGTAGAGTAGCCACTGGATGCACATATAAAGCATTTCGACGTTGCCATCGCCCACGGCAACGCACAGAAAGCATGGTTGTCGAGCACTTTGTCGGGCTTCCTACGGGCTTCCTGACTAGGATCTGATTGGCGTAGGAGGAGACAAACCTGCCTTGTCCTTGCCCGTGATTCCTGGCACAAATGTGCTCCCCAGGGAACACCTCGTGTAGGTGTTCTGGAATCGGAGCTCCTAGAACACGAACGAGCAAAAACTGTACGATTCACGCCAAAGTTTTATCCAATCATATCGCTAGAAAATTTCAGCCCAGAACACGTTCTCCACTTGAACAAGGGCCTCAGCCATTCAGCCACACAGCTGGTTGCAGTGATACATGATCGTACGATTTGAAACTTGACCTATTCTCACAGTGAACGATGTCAACAGCAGCGTGCCTTCAAAATAGTTATCCTGCATTCCTTGCATAAAGTTTTTTTTTGCCTTCTAGAAGCAGCACCGCTGGCCACAGCGACTGACTTGGGCCTTTGGCGGGTGCGTCCATTTTGCCTGCTTGGTGTCGTCCGAGATAGCATACCAGTACCGGTAGCTGGTTTGCTACTGACCTCGTCTGAGATTTGAAATGGGTACCGAATTTGTTTTGTAGAGGGATACACCCACGTATGGGATACAGGATAGTATTAGCCAATCACAATTGTGTCTTCAGATTGACAGGGCTTGACTTGTTGAGGGATACACCAGTTTCAAGCCAGTAATTTTTGCACTTTCGGCCGCTCAGCGCGCGATCATTTCTGCAACGGCGCGGGCGCCACCAAGTCACCCTCGCCTGTCTGGAGGTCAAGGCAGGTGGAAAACGACACGGACCCTACCATTTTACACTGCTGCAATGAAGAAGGCTATGGTCGAGCACCTGAGACTACACTGCAATGTTTGTTTCGCTGAAGATACGTTCTTTCCGGGTCTACCTACAGAAAAGTATCAAGGGGGAAGAGTGGTGGTGGGGGTGCTTCTGTCGGCGGCAGGAACAAACGCAAAGCTTGCTCTACTGAACTTCGATCTCAAGTTGGGGTGGTGGCGGCGAACAAGCTAATAAGTTGGGCTGTGTCGGCAGCCGCATTGGTGAGATTCGGCCTTGAGAGACTTGAGGTAGAGTGCTCAGTTTAGTAATTTGATAAATACATCTGGGCGTCTGGTGCCGATTCGTTTTTTTAGCAAAATCGGGCGTCTGGTATTTTAGCTCCGGTAGGGTGTATCCCTCTACAAAACAAATTCGTTACATACCTTTGCAATGTAGTGAGAGAAGGGAAGGAGAAGACGTGCTACCAGATCTGGTACGACGACTGGGACAGCGGGAATACCATTCCGCGGCACCTGCTCCAGCAGCACAAGAATCGTAACCGCCCGCCGCCATCCCGTCTAGGAAAGAAGCGCTGACGCCGTGCTGCGCCAAGTGAGGCGGAGGAGGCGATGTCGGACGCTGCTCATAGTGCTGGCAATGAAGAAGAGGGAATTGCTGACGATGAGGCGTAGGCTAGGCATTCGTTGCAGTGCAGGAAGTAATCAATTGAAAGTGTTTTTTGCTTTGTTTTCATTGGGTGGTGCATTTCAAGTCATGATACTGATCATGTGTAACTTTTCAAAAATCGGACATCCCGATAAAACGGACGGCTCTTATGTTCTCTTTACCACCATAAGTGTCTTGGATCGCTAAAAGCCAGACTACATAGAGTCCATTATGTTGGAACTGCCAAATCTATACCCGACACGAAACTTGTACTATCCCGCTGACATAGATGTAGCGACACTTCACTGCATACAAATTCCTATACATTAATATATGGAGCAGGAAAAAATATACACCTCGTAAATAGTCTGGGAACTAAGGGGTTGAGTATGAAAGGCATGATACAGCACAGCACCAGTGTTCTAGCTGTCGGCGAAGTCGTGCTGGCTTTCAGTAGGAATATGCAATCTGCAGGAAGATGCTGCTGGCTCTCTGGGATTCTACCCAGGAATCCTGGGTAGGCCAGGATGTGATCACAGTGTGTTCACTCAGGAGTGACTTCCCAATCCCCGACACTGACGCGGCTCCCAGAAACAAATACCGGCAGCATAGCGGGGAGGTCCAACATATACAGTACAGTACTTGGTAATAAAATACTTGGTAAAACACCTGAAGTTCGTTTTCTATAAGTTTTGTGCAGAAGCACAGCTGGATACGTATGTAGCTCCTGTGTTTCGTGGAAAATTGCTCAGTGCTTTCACATCGAACTCGGCGCGTTTAAGTGCGTGCAGTTCAGAGAACGTTTCGGCCTGAGAATCTCCCTCAAGTTTATCCCCCCCCATTGATTTAAATGTTTTGCTAGCTACTCTAACAGGTAAAAAAAACTGAACTCGAGGTACATGTACAGTCATCCTTGTGGCCGTGTATAAGCTACGTAGGTCGCGTTCGGAGTTGATGGCCGCCATCTGTAGGTGCAGCCCCACCCTGAAATGCATCGCGTGATGATGAGCCCAAGTTTTCCATAAATGTTTTGCCATTTCCAACTTGGATACAAACATCCCATTGCTAATTTCCAGCACAGCGCACACTTACTGCATTGGCAATGCCGTATCGCTCCAATACGTCCTATGATCGCTGAGGAGTAAGTATAGCAAGGAACACAAACAAGCTTGCTCTAGTGCAGCTCAAACAATGGCATGTCTGTAGACAGATGGCTACATTTGATATTACTTGTAGCCATCTCCTGATTCGTACCTAGTCGGAAATCACTAACATAATGTAGCCATTCTACGAACCAGTCAGCGTGTCAAGAAATGGACGTAGCCAAGATGGAGCGTTTGACGCGGCCCGCCGGCGCGCCGCGCGGTGCTCCGCGCGTACTCTCAGATGCATCCATGACCATGAGCTTTGCGTTGCCGGCTTCGTACCTACAGGCGCGAGCTGCGCGCGCCGCAGCCACCACATCAGTCGAGGAAAAGAAACGTGTCGAAAATGCTGTCGAAAATACGAACTCGTGGGAGGAGCGCGACTGGGAGCACGAGGGTCCAAAAACTGTCGAAAAAGCATCAGCGCAGGCGGCAGAAGATGATGAATGGGAGGAGGACGCGACGCCTGATCTCCCCGACGACTTCCCGCGACTTATCGTGAATTTGACGCGGGTCCAGCGCCATCACTTTCCTTCCGAGTCGGGTGAAGACGATTCTGACATGATGGAGGTCTTCCACCGTGTCAAAAATACGCTTCATGCGCACTTCTCCGAGTTAGCAGAGGTGCTCTTCGAACAAAGTAAGTGGGCGGTGCTGTCTTTTTCAAGAAAGAAGAGAAACTTACTATTACTTGATGCTTTTTGACAATTTTGACAGAGGCATGCTTCCACTGCACGTACGGTTCCTCGCGCGCCATGATAGACGGACTGCATGTGGCCTACCCGGAGGACTTTTTCGCCATGGTGGACTACCCGACAGTTATCGACGACGTGCCGCTGCACGAATATCTGCACACTTTGTCGTACCCGTCCAAGTGGAAGAGTGTCGAATACCTGAAGGACTGCTTGCGTCGGTGCTCGCGGGATATTCGATGGAAGAGAGACGTCATCACGGAGCTGAAGCTTCTGGCGGAGCAGGAGTTCGCACAGTATGAAGAGCAGCAGAAGCGACTGAGTGACGAGATCGACGAGGTAGGTAACTTGTTTTTTGTATTCTTGTTCGGGGGTTGCTGATGGTTTGCTGTTGTTTTGGGGTTGTGTAGTTGACGCGTCTGCGCGACTCGTTCCGTGAGAAGCTGGAGAAAATGACAAAGCAGGAGGGCAAGCCGAAGGGCCAGTACCTGATGCTGCGCAAGCTGGAGGACATCGAGAATCGGTTAATGCTACTGCTGGATGATTATCTGAAAGAGCCTGAACTGGAGGAGGAAGAATGCTACAGTGCGTTCGGCAACCCTGGTGGGGAAGGAGGGGTGACTACTGGCATGAATGTGCTGGATATGGTCATCGCCATGGTGTTCGGCCGTCTGCCTCGAGACTTCAGCCAGCAGACCACGACGGAGGAGCATTTCCAGATGCTGTTCGACCACCACATCTACATCTTACGACTGTGGAAAAAGGACTTCGGGCGGCTTCCTCCCAAGTCGCGAGTCGCTCCACCACCGGCGGCAGATGGCTCAGACGCTGCGAGTGTTGACGAACTATCCGGTCAAGCGCGTGACGACGCATCCGATGGTTTTGATGAAGAGGAACAGGCCGAGGAGTTCTCGTCGTACTGCCGAGTGGATGGTAGCGACGCGTTTGGCTCGGATGAACCAGCTTTATCGGGGGGCCTGGACGATGACTGGGAGAACTTGGGTGCAGAAGAGAACAGCCGCAGCTACGACAGTCCGGTCGAGCGAGAAACACGCGATGGGAACGATTCAGACGGCTATGGAGCCGATTTTGACAGTGACGAGAGCGAAGACGAGGAGGAGTTGGCTGAGGCTGCGGCAGCACGGCAGAAGCTCGAAGCTGCGAAGCCTGAGGAAGCAGTAGCAAAGTCCTCGGCGCCTGCTCGGCCGCGCCGGAGACGTATTAGGCATACGAAGAAATCCAAGAAGCTGCAGAAGGCGAAGACTGAAAGACGCGATAGCGACGTGGAGCAGGATGCCGTGCCGTTCCAGCCGTTTGCTTGCACTGGAGCTGTTGGCCTGCTACGCCTCGCCAAAGAGAACGAAATGTTTTGAATAACAAAAAGAGATGTGTAACGCAAGCGAAACATGTACTACAGCTTCAATTTTGAAGAAATCTCAAGTTGAATTCGGAAAGAAAAACGATTTTCTCGCGCAGACGAAGCCCACGCACTAACTACGGATACGTTCTCGGGTCCCTTGCCGTCATACGTTTCGTAGCTTCTTCCACTTCTTGGTCCCGATCGCGGCCTGGCCCCAGATCTTGGTAGAGCTGCTGCGGGGTTTTCCCACTTGCCTTCCACAGAGCGGCACTGCAGCTAAGGGAAGGACACATCTCGAGATTCATGAAAAGTTCGACGTGTTTCTGGGGCACGAATTTCATCACGAAATACTCTTAGTGTGCATAATTGTGCTAGTCGCAATGCTGCGCGTGCGAAGCAACTCGAGCGATGAGCATTGTTCCAGCCAGCCTATTGCTTCATCCAACTGTTAGTGTTTTGCCCCAAACCAGCCTTTTGTGCTTCGGTTTCCCCGGAGCTACATGCCGAAAAACACTTGTACAGCACAAGATTTTCAACAATTTGCGTGCGCATTACTACAGTAGTACCGTGTATCTAACCTGGAACCTGCACACGCGTTGAGGAGAGGATAGCTCGGAACGTACAGAGCTTTCGGTAAAAGCCGATGCTTCCTGGCCCACGGCTGGTGCCTTTCAGCCTCTTGCATTTCATTAGGCAAGCAGTAACAGCACGATCTTACCAGCACGAAAAGCGTATCTTCAGCGAAATCATCGGCATCACACACCACCATCTCTCAAGCACCTCGAGCAATCAGCGTAATCGAGTGAAGTAGACGGCGTACAGGTTGGATAGCAGCTACATGTACAGCACCTACCGAACTAGAGTACAGTTCTTACAGTTCTTCGCCAGCTAAGACAAAAAGTGTTGGTGCTCTATTATTGAGTGGCAGCTCTAGTAGATACAGCAGTCTGTTGCACTTACCCCCTCGCTGCCTTCTGGGCGCGGTAGGCCGCTTCCTTGCCCTCGGCCCGGTACTTGGCCTTCTTCTCCGCCTTGTGCACGCCCTCGAACTGCTTTTCCTCACGCTGCTTGCGCTTGAGGTTCTCGGCGTTGCGCTGGCTCTGGCGCTCCTTGCGAGTCGCCTCGCGGTCACGACGCACGGTGTTGACACGCAGCATGAAGCCGTACTTCTTCTTCTCCTCAGGCTCGAGCACCACCGCGCGACTGGCCAGGTAGCCCTTGCCGCCCTTCTTCTTGTCCTCCTTGGGCTTGCTGGCGAACGGCAGGTTGGCCTGCAGCTTCTTGGGCACCTTGAGCGCCGAGAACGTGCGCTCTTTGCGCACGATCGGCTTGTACAGCGAGTCCGGGTTCACGGGCACCGCCAGCTTCTGCTCCTTGCGCAGCTCGTACGTCGTCTTCATGAGTCTCATTGCGCTCTTCTTCGACGAGCTCTTCACGTTCGTGAGCAGAGACGTTACGGGGTTGTACAGCTGCTTGGGCTCCACAGGCACCCACGTGCGGCAGAAGACCAGGTCACTCTTGAGGATTTTGTCCTCAAACGTGGCACGGAAGTCGCCCTTCTCACCACGAAGCGCCTTCTTGATGCGACCGCGCACGCCACTGACGGTGCGGACACTGGCACCCTCAAACTTGGCAACTTCCAGCTCCGTGTTGAACATGCCCTTGATGAAGGCCGTGTTCTTGTGGATCTTGCTGGGCGTACCAATTAACTTAAGCTTCTTCACCACGTTGAACTTGTGGTCAAGCTCCAGCACAACGCCGGTGCCGCTCACACGGAAGCCTTCGGCATTGTTAGAAAGCGTCTGGAAGGCCACCACACCTGTGTTAGGCGGGCACATTGGGCCGAAGATGGTAGCGTGACAATGCATGTGCTCCGGCGTGTACTTTAAGTATCGGTGACGCTCGTTCGTGTCCTCGATAGAGTACAGAGGAAGACTCTGGAATCGGCGCCAACCGATGGAGAACACCAGCGGGTCGTTGGTCTTGAGGATCTTCTTGTGCCAACGGTGCTTCTTGAAACGCATACGAACCAGACCCAGAGTGTCCTCCATGTTAGGAAGACCGCCCACAACGATCGGGTTCTTCGGATTGTAGTAGCGAACGAACTCAGCAGGGACACCCGAGAATTCAATGCGGACGTAGAGACCGTTGCGGAAACCTTCCAGCTGGAGACGCATATCCTCACCTTCCTCACCGAACTCCTCAGCGTTGCGCTTGGCCTGTTCCTCGCGGAGGCGCTTAGCCTCCACCATAACCTCCGTCATCTCTTCGTCCTCATCGTCCTTGCTCTTCCTCTGACCTCCAACTTCGACATCGTCGTCGTCCTCGACTGATTTCTTTGCGGATTTCTGCGCACGGAGACGCTCACGGATCTGCTCATCCGTCTCCTCCTGCTCCTCTTCTTCGTCATCACTACCATCGTTGCTGTCGTCATCACTGTCAGCATCAGCAGCGCCCTTGTGGACCTCGCCCGTCTCCAAGTCTTCGAAGGAGCCGTCCATATCATCATCGTTCATGGGGTCCGCATTGTCATCGTCAACATCCTCCTCCTCCTCCTCGTCGTCGTCGCCGCCGCGGCTCTTCTTGTTAACGCGCTTCCACGAGCCAGTCACAAAACGGTTGCGAATACCCTCAAGCACATCCGGCATCGTCCAGTCGCTCGTATCATCACTGCCCAGGTGCAAGCGAGAGCAGTCCATAGCGTTGATAGTGTTGTACTTCTCGGAAGCTGACGAAGATTCTCCAGTTGCGTTCGACTTGCGCTTCAATTTGAAAAAGTCGTCATCGTCGTCGCTGTCATCCTTCAGAGCACGCTTATCGCTCTTAGCCTCCTCTTCGTTCTCAAGGTCGCGCTCCGTCATGTGGAGCTTCTGACGCTCGCCGTACACGAGCTCCATAAGGTTCACGTCGGCCTGTTCGCGCTCCAGGAAGTTGGCAGCAGCGCGGGACACCATGTTCTCCTTCCACCGCAACTGCGACTGCTCCTCGGTGACCACCTCCTCCTCCTCTTCGCTGTCGTCCTCACTGTCGTCATCATCGTTGGAGTCCGACTCGGCGCCAGTCTTGGTGGTCTCAGGAGTCTCCTCACTTTCTTCGAACACAGCGCGACGACGCATTCGGCCGGTGCTGTCACGAACAATGGCCTCCTTCGGCTTACCGACGTTCGGCTTGCCATCTTCATCCTCGTCGCTGTCAACATCCTCGTCATCGCCATCCTCGTCGTCGCTGTCCTCTTCCTCCTCATCACTGTCGACTTCGTCGGCACGGATAGCAGCGGTGTTCTTGAACAGCGAAAGGCTGGCACCCTTCAACCTCTCATCAAGACCGACATCCATCTTCTGCATGCTCTGCACCATCTCCACGCCTTCGCCGCCAAGACCGATGCGCATGCCGCTCTTGCCGCTAGTGTCAACTCCATCCGCGTCCTCGCCATCCGGCACGACATCGCCCGTGTCCGGGTTCGTGTAGTTCAGCTGGCTCAGGTTAATGTACATGGCGTCCTTATCGTACATGATGTTGCCCACGTCCGACATCGGTGCGTAGAGCAGCGTGTCCTTCTGGGTCAAGTGTTTCTTCTTGACCGTGCCGTCCGCAGCCTTCTTGCTCGACGGGACGTTGCACGGATCGGGCATCGCAGTGACGCTGTCCATGTAGAAGTCTCCAGCGCCGGCAATGTGCATCTTCATGCCCGGCTTCAGGTGCGTGCCGCGCAGGTATCCATACAGCGTCACGCGTCGGTCCACGAGCGGGTTGCGCTGGATGTCGTCGGGCGCCGTGACGTCCTCGAAGCGGTCCGCGAGCATGTACGGGTGCGAGTTCCGCCACGTGAGCGGTCGGAACTTCATCCTGGAAATGTACAGCGACAGGTTGTGGATCTCGCCCTTAGGGTACTTGTTGGCCGAGATGCCGGAGAAGTAGAAGAGCTTGGCGCCCTGGTAGATCTCGGTCCAGAAGCGCGCCTTGAGGCGCTTCTTGGTCTTGCGCAGGCTCTTGTTCTTCTTGAAGCTGTCCAGGTGCGTCAGGATGCCCATGACCTTGGGGAAGCCCACGACCTGCAGGACGTTGAGGAACTCGAACGTCTCCATCTCGAAGCCGAAGCTCGCGTCCACGAGCAGCAGCACGAGGTCGGCGATCTTGGCCAGGTCCAGCATGGCGTTGAGGTCGTTGGGGCACTCGAAGAAGGTGATGCGGCGGTCCTTGCCGCTCACGACCGTCACGGGGCCCTTGACCTCCACCAGGTTGTGGCGCGTGTAGCGCTTGACGAGCGAGCGGATGACCGTGCTCTTGCCGCTGCCCGGGGGGCCCATGACGACCACCGAGATGGGCGGCGGCAGCTCCTCGGCGCGGCTCTGCTGGGGCACGTACTCCTTGCGGTGCGCGCGGTCCAGGTTGCGCTGGATGGTCTTGCGCGCGCGCCCGGCCTTGGCCACGCCGAAGGCCTTGGGGTTCTTGCGCTGCTCGGCCAGCGACGGCTGCTCCTTCTTCTGCTTTTCATAGGCCTTGCGCTTCTGCTTGTTCACCTTGGCGCCGGCCTTGGACTTGCGGTGGCCCTTGCCGGCCGCGGCTCCGGCGAGCGCGTCCATGGGTCGTCGAGGCGAGGAAGTGAAAGGCACAGTGACGGTTGCCGGCGCATTTTGGTTGGCTGCGACGATGTTGGTGTGGCGTACATTGATTTTCAAGGGACTGGTGTGGCGCACATGAAACAGGAGTGATGGTACGTTGAAGTGCAAAATGGCTGCACTTTTGTGCGCATTGCGCGCTATTTACAGGGCAAGGGCAGCCCGTGAGTGTACTCGGCGAGCTATTCGCGGGCAGGGAGGGAGGGGATCAGAGTGCAGAGCGCGAGTGTAACAAGGAAGGACAGCACTGTCTGTCTGTGTGAGTCTGGCTGCACGTACTGGTGAGAGGCTGAGTCAGTGGCTGGAGCCTGCAGGCGATGGGCGGTGCCGCGTCGGCGGCCAAGTACGGCCCGGACAACAATAAGATGGTGGTGGACACGCTCAAGAAGCTGCCGTTCATGCAGATGATGGACGACCGCCTGCTGCAGGAACTGGCCAAGTGCTTCCAGGTCGCCAAGTACGCCAAAGGCGCGGTCATCAAGAACGACGCTACGTCGCGATTCTTCGTGGTGGTGGCCGAGGGCTCTGTCGACATCAGCACGATGCTGCCCAAGCCCAACAGCAATCAGCTCATGTCCGAGCTGCTCTGCCAGCGCAAAACGGGCGACTACATCTCGTACGTCGCGCGGGACCAGTTGGTCGCGCAGATGATGGGCGACGACAGCGACGACGCCCCACGCACCGCCAAAGAGGCGAGGAAAAAGCTGGCAGCTCTGCTTGAACTGAACAAGACCACGGCAGATCCGTTCGTCGGGTGCACTCTGCTTAAGTTGAATTTCGACAAGTTCTCAAAGCTCAGATCGCGCTTGACGGTGCACTCGGTGGGGATGAAAAATACAGCACGATTCTCCGGTGGGAGGAAAGGCAAAGGCGGCATGGGAGCAATGACAGCCCCGGAAAAGCTGCATTTGATGGGGTCGATCGTGGAGTCAGAGGTGGTTAATTACCTGGTCGAGATCCCGTTCCTGGAGAGAGTGGAGATGACGCGCCTTGTGATGCTCGCCAACATGTGCTCGTATCTTTTCGTGAGGCGCGGGGAGTCTGTCTGTGTGGAAGGTGAAATCGGCGACAAGTTCTTTGTCTGCATCAAGGGTACTTTGCAGGCCACTCTGCAAGTCTCACTCAACGCAGCACAGCCAACATTTACTGCTCTGACTCCAGAAGGAGGGCCTGGACGGAGAACGAGCATCGTAGCGCTACAGGAAAATGTCGCCGGAGCTTTCGGAGACAAGAAGATACAAGCTCTTAAGCGCATGGGTACTGGGTCATATTTCGGCGAGATATCACTAGTGTTCAAGATTCCGCGCGTATGCAGCATCACTGCTTTGGACGATGCGCTGCTAGTGTATGTGGATCGCACCGCGTTTTGCAACTTTCTCAAGGTGGCCCCCGACGCTGCCGTGGTGTTGCTTGAGCACGTGCGCCTTAACTTCATGGACACTCTCATTAAACAGGGCTGTGCCTTCTTGAACGCGATTCCACCCCTCAAATTGCAAGAGCTAAGTTATATGAGCGAGATCGTAGACTATGAGTTCGACTCGATGATAATGCGGCGCGGCGACCAGAAAACAGCATTCTACGTGCTTCTACGCGGCGTCGTTGAGATCGACTACGGCAGCACAGACACGATTGTCGAGGCTGAAAACGAGGACATTATGGGCGATGACGCTAGTGATAAGGGGAGCGGACTCGTGCTGGTACACCCAGGTGGGTACTTTGGTCAAGAAGCGCTTCTGCTAAACTGTGGGTCACTGGTGGATGTCCGATGTTTGGACCATTGCCTCGTGCTAAAGCTGATGCCTGAGAACTTCCACGAGTTCTTCTCCACTCTGCCTGAGTTATTCGCCGAGTTCTGTATCAAGTGTCTGCGTGAGAGAGCGCACCCAGATCACATAATGCAGCACTATGAGGGTCACAAACTGTGGGCGGCCGATTGTGTCACTCGACTTCGGCATCACGAAGTCGCACTTTTCGAGTACATTGAAGACTTTAAGTGGGAAGCTGACATCTCGGAGGATCGCATCCACGAGCGAGCACTGGTGATTTATCTCAAATTTCTAGCGGATACTGCAACGACGCCAGTGAATATCTCGCCCGGTGTGCTGGCCGCAATAGAAGACGAATTGTCTTCGGATGGCGTAGGGCGAGACGTTTTTGCGGGCGTTCGAGAGGAGATTCTCGATGGTATGGACGACGAAGCGTTCTGCGCCTTCAAGGCGTCGCGCGTTTTCCAGGAGTTTCTGACGGTGTTGCACTGTCCACGGGCTGTCTTATATTCACTTACCCCCGAGATGGAGGTTATGTTGAGCATGCGGTCGCCTCCCCCCCTTGCGGCCAGAAGATTTACAACCCACCGTGGCGAATACAGCCCCAAAAGCACCCTCCCGCCCCCTAAACGTGCGTTCGGGTCGGCGTTGTCGGGTCTCGGCCCCGACAGGTTCCGGCGAAACTCGGCGACGGTGTTTGCAGTGGCGAATTCCATGGGCACAATAGACGACGACATGTTCGCGCCTCTCGCTGCGCACTCTCGGCGGAAAACAAAGGGCGGGGGCGGCACCTCGCGGAAGCTGTCGACGTCGTTCGTGTTCTGATCAGTACAATAAAACTAACTTAACCGCGATGCCGAGCTCTTGCTTGTCCAAGTTGAAGTGAGTTCGGTGGTCGTCGTTTCTAAACAGTATATACACTGTTTAGAAACGACAATTGCTACACACAACCTTAATGTAGGATAAGGAAGCTTTCTCCCAACTTGGCATTCCTTGCGCTTCTCTGTCATTGCATCTATCCAATCAGGACAAGTCTTCAATGAATTTAGCCAATCACGATCGATTCGTGTGTATCCCAACATCCCAACATTTTCCCAATTATTTTGGGAATTTACAGTCTTGCTAGAATAATGTCCAATACAAAAGTTTAGTGTAATTGTTGCATTACTCATATTTGACCGCAAATTCCCAATACAAATCATGATTGTATCGTTGGTGGCTGTGACTCGTCTGCTTTCTCTCCTCTCCCATTTGAAAAGATGCAGCGGGCGCCGAGAGGGCTTGACATCCCGCAAGGGACAGCAGGGCAGGAGGCAGCGGCCATGAAGTGCTTCAGCGAATTCTTAGCTCTTGCTAACATGAATGAGGAGTCAATTGCTAGTATTGCGAAGTCGCTGTATATTCCTGATGCTCTACCAAGTCAAAACTTTTACTTTTTGCTAACCGCCTTCTCCATTTTCTTGCAAACTAAGCCAAGTGCTCGAGGAGGCCGTCTTGCTAAGGCTACTGCTGTGGGCTATATGTCCCAAGTTGTGAACCTGCTCCGAGAGCGGTACCCTCTGTACTTGTCAGACAGCAAGCGAATTGCGAAAATACGTGACAAAATGGGTTCAACTATTGAGGAGCGAAATTTGCTAGCTGGCGTGCAGACTGGTGAAGCTCCAGGCTGCACGCTCAGCGACTTGCGTGTTCTGGTGCAGGAAACTGCGATTAAGGGGGTTGGCTCAGGTTATAAGAGTTTGCATGACGCTGCTGTACTAACGTTAATGTGGCACACGTTTGGTCGAGCGATCGATACCTGTTTTGCTAGGAAGAGCCAGCTATCTATGGCGGCATCGGGGGAGCTCTTTCTGCATCTAGCTTGAATCAAGACTTCGGTGGTTCAAGGCATCTCAATTTACAAGGCCGCGACTCACTGGGAGCAGTGTATGCTGCACGGCCTCGGAATGCTGTTCGTCGGAGCGTCGGAGCCTTCCAGCTATGTGTTCCCGCTAGTGCCGCACGCGGCGGCATCGGATTTGCCAGGGGAGAAGACCTACAGCCAATACGAAGCTATAATCTACTGGGAGAACCTTGAAGAGAAAGCTGAACCAAGGAACGAGCCACCAACAAAGCGTGTGAGAGGAAGGCCCAACGTGTCCAAGTATATTAACGACGTCATCACCATGGTCTGCGAGCGCCAAGCCCAGGCCTCTGCCCCGCTGCCCCCGACGCTCACCGCAGGGCTGAGCAGCCACTCCTTGCGCCGCGGCTCCGCAGCGTATGCAAACGCCTCACCGCAGCTTGCGATCCAGTGGATCTCGACCTGGGGAGCTTGGCTGCTGGACTCGCTCACGAAGGCGTTCGTGTACGTGGGTACCACGACACGCGAGGACCAGAGTGTCGGCAAAGTCCTCGCTGGATACCGAGACCCGCACCTGCCATGCGTCACGCCCACGATTGCCACCTTGAGCGAGCTTCTTCCTGCGCTCGAGTACGCCCAGCTGCTAACCCTGCGCGGCCAGCTCTTCAAGAACGTCAGCGGCTTCACGGACACCACGCTCAACGTTGACGCCTTAGTCCTGGATGCGGCGCTCGCGTCCCTGCTCATCCATCTTGACGACGTCGCGACGGCAGTCCAGCAGGAGCAGGCTGCCACAGGCTTCACATCGCATTACCTGTACCGCTTCCACGAAGCTCTGGACGCAACCAACGTAGCGCTGGGAGCTCGGCTCTCGCTGGACACGTGCATTGGTTAGGGTCGGCAGCTTCGCACGGCTTGGCAAACGGAGAACGTCGGACAGCTGGGTGAACGCAGCAATGGAAACACCACCATACTTGCCGCAGCCGTCACCCAGATGCTATCGTCCATCGCAGCAATGCAGCGCACACTTCAGAAGCGCGTCGCGGTCCACGAGAGCAAGTCCACCAGCGCTGACGGTCCTGCTCCTTGTCGCTGTGCTGGCCAGGCCCCGCAGGCGAGTACTGACCGTCGTTGAAGCGCACTCTCTTGCCGGCTGCTTCTACAACTGGTACACACTGGAGCTGTGGCACACGGCAACCCAAAAGAAACAACAGTTTGTTCGCGCTGACCTCAAGGCAGGCGTCAACATCATGATCATAGCAGCAGGGCGAGAGGTAGACGTACCAACGGCGCCACTGGACCGGGACGGCGTCGCGTACCGGCTGTGGAAGCAGCGTGTCTGGACGCTAGCGGAAGACTTGGACAAGAAGGTCAACGCTGCGCTTGGGAGTATCGACGGTAAAGGCCGATCCAAAACCGCGGGGTCGCTACGGAAGCGCTGGAGAAAGCTGCGCGTTGACCACCGCTCTGCGTACGACGCGCTCTGCTCAGCATTTATCACCCGCAAAGCGAACGGTGGCATCGTCGACCGCTGCACACCAGCTAGTCACCAATGGAAGCAAAAAGACTTGGAGTCGTAGGATCACGCAGCTTGTATTAACGCTTAATACATTCCTATTCATACAACATGGATAATCGAATTCAAGGCGCAAATGTACCCGTCATCGCCATCCCACAACTTAAGCACAGCGCATGGATTCCCGTCAGTCCCGATACAAAGTCATACACAATAGAAAAACGTTCACATACCGTCAGCGAGCGCGCACGACCTCGTGCTTGGCTGACAGCTACCAAAACCGGCAGCATAACACCCGCCCTGCCGGGTTTTGTAGCTGCTTTCGACGGGTCCTTGCGTGGGGCGCGTGGGGCGCGCGTGGGGGCACTCGGGTCTGGGGTGGTCGGCGGCGCTGTCGTGTTGGAGATGCGGGGCGGAAAGTGTGAAGGCGGAGAAGGCTGCGCAGCCGGCCAAAAATAAAACCTTAAGGTTTTTTCTTGGCTTTGGAGCCGATAAACCAGTCCATACTTTGTTGAAGTCATTTGGAATCTCACTTATGATTGGCTCTCCTCATTGGGAGCGGCGTTTGGGACCTGGTCGATTAATGTATTCCTGTTAATGTCGAAGAAGTCTGATGGTCGTCGTTTCTAAACGGTGTCTGTACACCAGTTCTACACAACGTACATTTCTAATCGCGCCAGCCAATCAATCCGCCGTCACTTGACCATTGCCACCATGGACGCGACGTCTTCCACGCTCAACGCCAAGCAGCGCCGCAAGCTGCTGCGCGAGCAGCAACGCAAGCAGGCGGAGGGCACTGTAGCAACAGCGACGACCGACATCAAACAGGAGGCCTCAGAACCAGTGAAGGAGGAGGCCGTCGCTCAGTCGAAGCCCGTCAAGAATGAAGCTCAAGATGGCGGTGCGCAACTTAACGCCAAGGAGCGTCGGCGGCTGGCGCGGCTAGAGAAGCAGGTTGCTGAAGAGTCCAAGGAGGAAGCTGCTGCAGCTGCTACTACAGCTACAACTACAACTACAGGCGATGATGGCGAGACGCTCAATGCGCAGCAGCGGCGGCTGCTGAAGCGCCAGGCCAAGCGCAAAGCCGAGGGCGTCGAGGAGCTCAAGCCGCCAGTGAAGAAGCAGAAGAAGGCGAGGAAACAGAAGACGGACGAGGATGGCAAACCGGCCAAGAGCATCCACCTGACTCTGTTCGTGGGCCAGCTGCCCTTCCGAGCCACGGAGGAGTCCATCCGCAAGCACTTCGCCGAGGCGGGCGACATCAAGCTGCGCATGCTCACGGACAAGAAGACGAAGAAGTTCAAGGGCACGGCCTTCATTGAGGTTAAGGACAGCAAGGCGCTGGGCGCCGCGCTCTCCCGCCATCACACGCTGCTGCAGGGCCGCCGTATTAATGTGGAACTGACGGCCGGCGGCGGTGGCAACAAGTCGGAGAACCGTCGCAACAAGATCGACACGATGCGGAAAAAGCAGAGCGACGTGCAGGTGGAGAAGACCAAGGCGCTGATCCAGAAACACATCGACGGCCGGGAGTACAAGCTGCAGAAGGACGACGTGGACGAGCGGATGATCGACTTCTTGTCGTGGTTCGACTACGAGACTGCGAAGAAGGCGCTAGAGGAATACAACCGCTGTGTGAGCGACCGCGTTAACAACCGCAAGGCGTTCTTCATGGGTATCCTGAAGCGCTTCCGCCAGACGGACGGCGTGGAGTAGATTTTGCAGATTCCTTTATCGGACTTGGAAACTCGGTGGCGTTTGCGGCCAGTGGTATAGATAAATAGACAACTTTGACCTCGATTTTCGCTTCGTTCTGAGTTGCAGTCAACGGAAGTACCTTCGAGCTGATCTGCCGTTGCATAGTGCACGAAGTGTCCTGGTATCGAGCAAATGTCGGGGATTGACACACGACTCGATCCATGCAAGTTGCAAGTTGTGTAGACGAGAGTGTGTACTGTGTTTGACACCAACTTACACACCTATGTAGATAATTGCATTGGTTAGATGTGGGGACAAGCTGACCTTGTGGCGCAATGGATAGCGCATCTGACTTCTAATCAGGGGGTTGTGGGTTCGAGTCCCATCAAGGTTGTTAGTTTTGAGTTCGCACAATTGACACGCCTCCCCCCACCGCGGTAACCCAGCTCGATGACTTGGGCAAAAGGGGGCATCACACTGGGCGAATGGGCACTAATATGTACAGTAGCTCCGTGCTGATAAAGCGGATAACAGGGCGCCGAGCCAATGCCTCGCTACGTTCCACCGTATCCGGATAGGGATCAGCGCAGACCTGTTATAGCAACAACTTGCAAGGGATATTGAGATCCGCGTCCAACGGCGGGCTCAACCGACGCCCTACGTACGACCTGAATGTTTTGCGTTGTGATGCAACTGCGGCGGCTGCAGTGGCCCGGTACTATACTTTAACCCTGGTTATCTATACGTGTTTGACTTTGCTCTCGCTCGGTATGATTCCATTGGCTCTGCTTAATGTAACGTTGATCAACGCTACAAACCCTCGGTTGCTGATATTGCTCGCAGGCTTCTTCACGGAAAAGTGACTATCTCCATGAAGGATGCTGATGTCCGTCTGCTTTGTGGAGCGACATCATTTGTACCGGGGGATTTCCTTGCATTCGTTGTTCAACAAGTCCGAGCGGCATATCAATCGACATTGATGTAACGCGCGTGACTGTAAAAAGTGAGCCTGGCTCACTTTCACACATCGCAGAGCTAAGCCACCTTAAACTTCAAGTTTGACTAAAGTGGGCTGCGTTGGTGATCCTGTAATGCATTGCAGCTAGCCCATCGTATTTATTGATGGCGATAACACCGCTGAAGGCGAAACATTCACCTTGCGTTTAAGACGTTCTGGTATGGACTCTGCATCTCCGATCCAAGCCTTTCAAGCCACAGAACTGGTCTTCAATTACGGGAGAAGTTGTCCAGTGGATCTGGAGAATGTCGACCCTACCAGTGCCGACGAGTGGTCGATGCGAGACATGTTCGTGGTCTAGGTCTTGGTTCAGACAAGAAATCCTGGAATACGCTATTCAATAATGGAGGCCTACTAAGGCCCCAGCGCTGCGGGCAAATGCAGCACTTGCAACTCACACAACACTTCGTGTCCTTCTTGACGCAGAGACTATCGACTTCGGGGCACGCAAGATTTTGGGAGCTCCGAAAACTTGCTGAGGACTAACAGAAATAAAGGACACTAGTGGCTTGGAGAGTGTAGATTACCTATCCCTGAGCGTAAGACGCACTAACGTTCACAATACAATACTGGCTGGAATTGCTGGATCTCTAAAATCGTCGTGTAAACACCTCACTATCCGCTAAGTTTCCCCTAAAATTGCATTACAAAAAAACGATATACTGTATTGCTGAAAAAAGAAAAACAAAATACCCATTCCGAACAGAGCTTGGGTCAGTAAATCGCCGGTTGAGCCCGCCGTTGGACGCGGATCTCAATATCCCTTGCAAGTTGTTGCCATAACAGGTCTGCGCTAATCCCTATCCGGATACGGTGGAACGTAGCGAGGCATTGGCTCGGCGCCCTGTTATCCGCTTTATCAGCACGGAGCTACTGTACATATTAGTGCCCATTCGCCCAGTGTGATGCCCCCTTTTGCCCAAGTCATCGAGCTGGGTTACCGCGGTGGGGGGAGGCGTGTCAATTGTGCGAACTCAAAACTAACAACCTTGATGGGACTCGAACCCACAACCCCCTGATTAGAAGTCAGATGCGCTATCCATTGCGCCACAAGGTCAGCTTGTCCCCACATCTAACCAATGCAATTATCTACATAGGTGTGTAAGTTGGTGTCAAACACAGTACACACTCTCGTCTACACAACTTGCAACTTGCATGGATCGAGTCGTGTGTCAATCCCCGACATTTGCTCGATACCAGGACACTTCGTGCACTATGCAACGGCAGATCAGCTCGAAGGTACTTCCGTTGACTGCAACTCAGAACGAAGCGAAAATCGAGGTCAAAGTTGTCTATTTATCTATACCACTGGCCGCAAACGCCACCGAGTTTCCAAGTCCGATACTCGACACCATACAAATGAACCCCTCGATTCATCAATTTCAATGGAGGCTTGCTCGAAATATCACGAGCACTATTCTTTTTTGGGGGGGGGGCGATTTTCAGCCCTAAATGCAATTTTTGATTTTTTAAAATTTATTAAAATAGTAAATTCTCAACTAAAAAACATGCGTGAAAGAATAATCATATTAACGTTAGCAACTGCGGCACTCCTCTGTAGCACCGATTCACAACCGCCATTGAACCAGAGCTGTACGTTAGTCGTAGATACTTCCATGGGGCGCACTATCACTCCATCCTCTCGTCGCCATCGTCACCCCTCTCGCCGAACTGTTGCACCATACGCGTTAGCTCCTCCTTGTACTGCTCCAAGGTCTTCTGGCGATCATCGAACCACTCGCGAGTCTTGGTGATTGTAATGAACGCGTTCTCGCCGCTGCTAGCAGCTTCGGTTTTGAACGACGAGTTGTTCATACGGTTCTCCCAAGCCTCCGCATAATCACGTGCATCCTCGATAGTATCAAACTCGACAGTCATGGACTCTTCGGGGCCTCTCAGGAATGTCTCGACGTCCCTGTTGCTATACAACTTGGCATCCGGCATCTCCCACGTGAAGGGCTTGCTCAACTCTTGAATCTGTTCCTTGAGCCACTTGATGCGACTGGATCTGGCCGTCTGCAACAACGAAGACATCTCACCCGCACGGTCACCTGTGACTAAGGTGTTTAATAGCGTTTCAATAGTCGGTTGGAGTGTGCTTGCGTCGGCTTGCTTCAGTTTATTCTTCAGCGCATCAAAGGTAGTCTTGTCGGCACACTTCATCGCCCACTTCCACAGTAACCCAGCGACCTCGCTCGAACAGAATTTCTCATCTTTACGCTCCATCGCCTTCTCCAGGGCCATTTTCAGTAAAGCTTGCTGTGCTGCTCCATCTTCAAGACTGTCAACCACTCGCAGCGTAAGTTCCACGATGGAACATCCAATAGTTAGAGGTTCATAGTCTGAGACAGCAGTTTCCCCCAACGATGTCTGAAATTCAGAACCAATGTCGTTCCAGTCGTAGGCGTGCAAGGGCGCCACAATGGATGAAATCAGGGTATCGTTATCCTCCACACCGCCAAGACAGGGGCACAGATCCGTGAGGAACGACTTCACCAGCGCTGAATTCCCAACTTTCAGCAGCGACTCGAAAAATACCAGGCAAAACTTGCTGAACTCCCATTTGGGCAACTCGTCGCGGTATTTCTTCTCTGCTTTGAACCGCACTTTCATAGTTCCTCAAGCGCAGCGGAGTCCGCTGGTTGATGAGTGGAGAGAATATCGACCGCAATGTCCATAGGCAAAAACTTCACAGCATTCTCAAGATGGCGGGCAACAGGCCACGCCACCACCGCGAATCTCGAATACTTGGTACTTGCTGTCGGTCCCTCGTTGCCAGTGTACCTCTTGTCTTTCTTGGTCCCGTGTGGCATCCACAGCTCAGAATTCGACTGGTGCGTAGGATTGAGGAAGTTGAACGCCACATTCATTTTCTTCACCTCGCCAATATTCTCGCCGTCTGTCGTGTACCAGTTCGTGCACTGCTTGCGGGCGTATTCCATCCACCCAAGCTTTTGAGTACTCTTAGCGTAGCTGACCTTGTGCGTGAGCTCAGCGAGGAAGAACACGAGCTTCTTGTCTTCAGCCACGATGCCGTTAGCTTCCTCCAAGGCACCGAACCTCACGCGATCGACACCTTTCAGTACTCGAGCACCAAAATCAAGAGCGCTTTTCTGGGTGTACTCGTGTGACAGCAGTAGCACGAAAGACTTGTCGTCGGGCCCCATGCTGCTGATGACACTCGCCAGGTCTTCACCCAGTGGCTTGTTGGTCGCTCGTTCCAGGTGGCGCTTCTTCGGCGGCAGACAGATTGAGTACACCAAAGCAAGGCGAAAGCCACTCGTCACCTTCTCCAAAGCGTGCTCTGCGTCGGCGTAGTGCACCGCGTAGTGCGGGAGATAGGCCGCAGTACCGTCGGCTTTGCCGAAGTCGTGGCGATACCGAACTTCCCCCCCCCCCGATACACCACCAAATCGCCGCCTTCATGCAGACTCGGCGGCTGCACCACCAAAGTTGCAATCATTCCGTCCTGCTTTTCCGTGTCTTGGTGCTTCAGGAAGTGACTACCTTCTCCGTAAACTAGCAACTTGTAGAGAGAGCAGCCCAACTTGATGTCCTTGTAGCCCAGACGCTCCGAGATCTCGAGCATCATGTCACTCATTCCTACGCTCCACTTGGGGTTCTTGAGTTGGACTTTATCGGGCCCAATCTGCCAGCTATTGCGCACTTCATCGTCCATCTTGGTGTCCATGTTGTGACCAAAGGGGGACTTCTCACACTTGGCAATGAGTCTTGCAGCAACATCATCGGAGAGAGGGACCGGGACAGCCCCAACACTGTCAACGTGCAGCCCAGGGGCCGCTGGCAATGAGTCAGCAGGCCCTCCAAACGAATACTCGCCAGCTTGACCGTCGGTGCGCGCTAATAGGTCGCTTATCTCGACGCACTTCGCCCCTGCCGGGGTGGGGACGCCCTCAGGCCCACCTGTGCCACCAAACGGCCACTTGCCATTCTCAAAGTCCTTCTCGAGTTCTCGTTCTTCCGGAACGGCTGCCATGCAAACCGTCAGCAGATCCAAGCCCAGCGGCATTCGCAGATCCATGGTGGAGGAGACTGGTGTGCGCTTCCCAGAGAGAAATTGAAAATGAAAAGAAGCATGGCATCCAACGGTTGAACCGATTTCTCGGAAAACCCCGAAAACGAAGACTGCGATCATAATCCATCAATCCAAAGGTTGTGATTGATGGACTTGATCAGAGTCGGCCTTAAAACGAGAATGGCAGCTTCGTCCCTTGGTGGGTTGGTACAACAACGACCACGGAGATCAGTTCCATGAACCCCAAGTTGGCTTCAGCAAATAGTGGTGGCAAATGACGCGAGAGATAGGGTCGTGGGTTGCAAAGTACGTGTAAGTTGAAATAACAACTAACAACAGGGGCAGCGCAGAGTCATTTGATGCTCTGCTGGTGGTCCCGCAGTTCGCAAACGATTATGTGGCAGTCCAACACAACAACAACGTAGCAATCGAACGGTGGCTGCAGCGTCCAGAGAGCGCAGCTACATGAATCTAGCGTCAACACTGTCCCAGCACCTCCCAGTCCGCACTCAACTCAGTGTCACGGAGTTGTCCTTCAAAGTACGTCTTAATCGTTACATCACCCTGCTCAACCGACGTAACCACTGCATTTGTCACATCTCTTTCAGTACTAGCACTTCTTTCCACTATTGTCCGATATAACCAAGCGATCTTCCAGCAGCTTCAACTGCCGCCAGCCGATATGGCCCTATCCCTGGCTAACGGCCGCCATCCGCTCGCGCTGCAGGCCGATGCGCAGTGCAAGATCGGCCAGCTACATCCTACAGACATGTCCGCCATGACGTCGCGCGCCCCGGACTGGCCGCTGTTCTCGGCCGCAGAGCTCGTGGCCCGCGAGCGGCTCCCAGCGGCGCTGCCGCACGTGACGCGCCGCATCAGCGACTTCCTCGACTCTCTGAGCCGCGCCGGCGTCTTCGCGGCCTCGTGCCGGCGCGGCGACAGCGAGCGCGAGCTGTCCTACTTGTTCCAGCGCGACCCGAGCCCACTGACGCAGACGATGGTGCGTCACGCGGCTGCGGGCGGCCACGCGCACGTGTTGAAGTGGCTCAAGGAGCACGACGACGGGCTGAACCGCAGCCTCTGGAAGGACTACAACTTCAGCCCCATGGACGAGGCCGCCAAGACCGGCCAGCTCTGCGTGCTCCAATGGCTGCACGAGAACGTCGAGGACTGCTACGCCGGCCGCGCCATGAGCTGGGCGGCCAGCAGCGGCCACCTGGACGCGGTCAAGTGGCTACATTCCAACCGCCAGGACCTGTGTGTCAACTACGCCATGGACTTCGCCGCGGCCAATGGCCACCTGCACGTGGTGCAGTATCTGCACGACAACCGCCGCGAGGGCTGCACGACGTGGGCCATGGACGGCGCCGCCACGCACGGCCATCTACAGGTTGTACAGTGGCTCTACCAGAACCGCAGCGAGGGCTGCACCAAGGCGGCGGTGGACGGCGCGGCAGCCAACGGCCACCTCGAAGTGGTGCAGTATCTGCTGCAGACCGTCCGCCTCCCGGACGAGAAGCACTGGCTCGGCTGGGCCTTCACTGCCGCGGCGGCGAACGGCCGCGTGGCCGTGGTGGACTGGGTGCATTCTACCTTTCGCGACAACTTCAGCGACAGCATGCTCACCTTCGCGCTCTCGGACGCCTCCGACAACGGACACGACGAGATGATGCAGTGGCTCAGCTCACAGCTCAAAGAGCGCCGATGACACGGCCAATGTAGAACGAGACTACCTATTCTACCGCAGGACTAAGCATTCAATGCGAGACCCCCCCCTTGTTCTACGAGTCGTCCGGCCGCGTTTCGTGGCGCCTCTCGAAAGGTTACATAGACCACCATTTGGATATTCTCCTTGAAGTAAAAGTATACCATGGCGACCAGCTCCAGCTCTAGCTCGACGACCGAGTGGCCGCTGCGAGCTACGACGGTTGTGGTATGTCGCGAGTGTCTGCCGGGGGCGCTGGCCCACGTGGCCAGGCGGATCGACGCGTACCTCGACAGCTTCTCGCCCTGTGGGGACGCCCTGGTGCGCGCGTGTCGACGCGGCTTCTCCCTCCGGGCGTTGGAGTACGTGGCCGCGAGGGAGAACGACCCCTGCAGAGAAGACGTGGCGAGGGCGGCGGCGCGCTCCGGGCGGGTGGAGATTCTACGCTGGTTCCTGGAGCTCAGCGACAAACGAGGCGAGACCAGAAGCTGGCACTTGATGGACTGGACGCACGCAGTGGCTTTGGGCTAATCGAGAGGAGGTCTGCACGCCACTCGCAGTCATTGGGGCGGCCAGGAACGGGAGGCTCGAGATGCTGCAGTGGCTCGAGCAGAACGTCCCCGTGGACGACTGCTTGTCATCTTCCACGCCGCCAGATACGGGCACGTGCAGGTGGTTCAGTGGCTCTACCCGAAGCAGAGCGACCGCAGGAGCAGCGAGTTGAGGCTGGCGCTGACGTTTGCGGCAAGAAGAGGACACGAAGACGTGGTGCACTGGCTGCATTCGCAACGCACACTGCCGAGTCACGTGTGCTAGAATAGAAAATTCGCTTTTGCGATTGTCAATGGAGGTTTCTGGCTAGGTGGTGACGAGTATGTTAGAGTTTCACGTATTCTAGGGTAGATCACCATTGATGGCTCAATTAACTTTTGACACGGTCTTCTGAAGCGGCAGTGCTGCTAGGAGCCAATGAAAAGTCTCACCTACGAATAATGAGCCCGCACTGAAGCCAGTGATAAATGTATCACAGGGAATCACGACAATGACATCGGGTTTCTGGAGCGAAATCTTTCAGACGCACCAGTGTGAAAATTCTACGTGATCGCTGTTCGAGACTTACTGGTCTGGAGATGATGTAAAACTAGCTTACCTGCATTAGATTAACTGGGCTTGACGCACTCAAGGTACCCTGTAGCTTCGACGACAAAGTCTTCCAGGGGTGGCTTCCGACAATGTGAGGTAGTGTGTCGATGCTAGGGCTTTATTCTTTTGCACGTTTGATAGGACTCGATCAAGTACTACTCCGGCCCGCTTCACAAAGACACTTTCGGCTTTTCGGCAAAATATCCTAAACGAAACCTGATCTCGGAAATCTGAAGGAAGTCTTAGTTTCAGAGCGTACACAAGCTTACTGCTTTTTAGTGAGCCGAAACGCCTGTGAGTCTTACTTGATTCATAATGCGCCTTCAAAATCGTCCATATAGGGTGCGCATACGTTTTTTAGCGCGGTTTTATCAATATTTAGCGATATTACCCCGGATTAGAATGGCGCTGCCTTAGCATGACCAGTTGCGCACGTTTTGATGGCGTAAAAAGCGCTGATAGACGCTACAAGCAAAATGAGGTTTTAGTGCCAGAACCGCCATTCGTAGTTTTCATCGATAATTCGTTGCGTTTTCTGGCAACTCGTTCTTCAAAAAACTGAATTGCGATCCGTCCTCTAAATCGTCAAAATATAAGTCGTCCTCCAGACGCACAAATAACGTGGTGCATTGTACTTAGTATTACTATTATTTTACTAGCTGAGCGCCGCCGATACGCGGCGGTAAGTTTAGGTTAGTCGTAGTAGTGAGGGCCGCCCACCTCCACTTCGCTCTGGTGGGCTGTTTTCCAGTCAAATGTCATTAATTTGGATTGTATGCACGTAAGAAGGTGTTTGTATGTTGGGAGTACTCTTAGTATGATTAAAAGTGGCTGGTATCAGCTTCATCACGTCAGTGTTACTATAAGTAGAGTACTTACAAGATAATATATTTTCTATCGCACGGTACTGTGTTGTAAACCATGTCCAACATCGTCGCAGGTATTCAACCCAAACTACAAAGTATCTCTATTTAGAACAGCTCGTGCTTAGTGTGCTCTCATAAGTCTGTATACGTGTTCTTTTACCAAGTGTATCACTCTGCCATGGTTTCTGTTAGTTGGTCCAAGAGTATAGCCTTTACATTCTGTATCAAGGCTATAAGCCTAAATAACAATTCACGCTTCGCAATGCCTCTCCTTAGCATATCGTTAGTGCTTCGTTCTTATTAAAACATCGTGAACATATTCATATCGGGATCGTTTCGGCATTTGTATGATCCATAAATGTATTCAACTTCGGGCTGCGATAATGTGGCCTCATCAAAACTTATTTTTATTTAAGTATTAGTCTAAGCGGAGTACATAAGCACATTAGCGCACCACCTGCACCACAGCCGCTAAGACATTGAAAGTAACAACTTTGCATTTCGTATCTATGAAGTACACGTTGCACTATGCAAGTTCCGTTTCCAGCGTTTAGCATACAGGCAGAGCGCGTCCAAGGTTATCTATCATAGAACTCCAGCTCATTGAATGTCAGCGTCTACTATTCAGATCTCATTATACTACATACCATCACATAAGCTCTCGATGCATGAACCACTTTTAGCCTTTAGCCTGTATCCCGATCTCCAATGCTATACAGAGAACGGAAGGGAGTTCAGGTTCAGCATGGCGCGGTAGGAAGAATAAATACCAGCGTAGTGTAAGTAACCTAAATACACCTTATTCACACACACATGAACCCCTTTTAGCAATAGCAGATACTTCGAAGGATGTTTATCACGTTGAGAGCCAAGTACGCGGTAGTTGTAATTAATTTGTCCCTGTAGTTTTACTATAGTGAAATAAGCTCGGTTCCTTGTTAATACTCAACCACCTTCAGCTCACCTTGCGCTACATGTACTCGCACTGCTACCACTTACAACGTTGCTGCTATCACTTACTATCCCTTTCTGCGTGCTGCTATCGCTAACTATACGTGCATGCCGCTCACTACGTGCTGCTAGCGCTTAACTATGCGCTCCTATCGCTGACTACGTGCTGCTATGGCTAACTATACGTGCATGCCGCTGACTGCGTGCTGCTATAACTAACTATGCGCTGCTATGGCTTACAATGTGTTTATATGAACCAACGTAGCTACCTTACCATTTTACTAAGTAGTAGGGCAGGCCCAGCTACCTATCGCTACGGTTTAACGCGGTGATCCGAACGGGGGTGATCTTATCGCCCCCGTTCCGCTCGCCTCGTCGGCTCGCTGCACTACTCGCAGTGTTATTAGTTAATAGTATTGGGCAGGCCCTGCGGTCCCGCTAGATGGTCTGCCTTCGCTACGCTCGGCAGCAAATCGAACTTAGTGGGAATCGTACTTAGCGAATAAGCGTGATCTACTCTCGGACGGACAGCGACACCTCTGATTAATTCTTAGGATCAAGAAGGGGTTAGAATCCTGACATACCCTAACTGCTGCTCGTAGAGCAGATTTACTAGCAAAATGGACAATAACTAACCTTCGTTGAGCCACCCCCCATTCGTTTTCGCAACTCGCCCAACTGCAAGTTGCGTGCTAAGTAGCTTTTCATAGCAGTATTTGTAAGCAGTAACTGGAAATTGAACTATACTATGGGAATATTCTTTTTTTCCTCTCGAAGCCTCAAGAACTATTATTAAGTGCTTAACAGCATTCTGCTGTTTCTTCCAAACCATGTTATCCATGTCATGATCTACAACCATATTCGTGGACACACACTACAATATCCCAACACGCGAGGCCTTCATATTCTCCTCTCTGGCGTAGATCACCAGTTTGACGTGACAGCTACTACATGTAGTAATTCGTGGTTTGACAAAAGATGTCTCCGCAATGCACAACAGTTTGTGACGCCGCGAAGGCAGGTAATACATGTAAGACGAATAGAGTGCGAATTCTTTTTATGAAAGTGACAATATTATCCAAGTTACGTTAACCCCTTGGTTCCCGACGTCGTAAGTTACGACATTGCGAAATCCCAATGTCGTATACCGCATTCCTTTTGTCAAGGCATACTTCATGTCAAGGCATACAGCCCTATTTAGCCAATCATAGAACAGTATTTTCGAATCGGGAAACTTTGTGTGCATGTATGAAATCGACTTTTTTATACCAACATGTTGTGCCGACTCAGTTAACCAGGACACGAAAATCGCCACCTATATCACCGAATCAGGCTGTATGCCTCGACAAAAGGAATTCGGTAATACGACATAGCTCGATGAACAATAGCGTTTGGCTCGAAACGAGATTGCTATACTTTAATCAAGTGTATTTTCGTTAGCAAAAGGATAAACAAGACAGGTAAAATCGGAATTGCACAAAAACCCGGATATGGAGCTGTCATCAGAGATGTGTTGTGCATAAGTGCGAGGTAAACGTTTTGATTAATTAATTATTGATGATTTGACGATTAGAGCCTTGCAGTCATCTCTCGACATCGCGAAAGCTGGACGTTTTGTGTATTGTACCAATCCTATTGATCCACCATCTGGGATTAGTATGCACTCGTTCTACGTTCAATGTCGTAAGATACAGCGTACTTCGCGTCGTTTTCGACTCTTATGTCGTAAGTTCCCCCCAGAGATCTCTACAAGCTTATATTTCTGGCGGGACTTCTCTTGTTACGGACAGGACTTGCCTTTACAAAATCGTAGTTATTTTTTACGTCGTAAGTTACGACATAAAGTACCGTAGATTATGTGTTTCGGAGCCTCAATCTTGGGAACCAAGGGGTTAATTACTTGGATGGTGTTGTCACTTTCATTTCTTAAATTTTAAAAAAAAAAGACAACAGTATACAAAGCATTTTGGCAAAAGGTGCACCTCATGCCAGCACAGTGTCTCTTTCTCATGATGGTAAATATACGGAGTGAATCTATTCTCTTTCTAGTACAGTGTAATCATGAAATTCGCGATGCAGTGGCAGCTGTAATGCTGGAATTGAGCTGCAACGGACCGTTGCCAGTGATGTCCCACCGAGCCATTAATGCTGCAATGCCACATACAGGCGTCCCCGGGCTAGTCCCGGCTGTATATTTTAATGTACCTCGCACATGAAGTACAAGCAGTTCTCAAGATTTGCGCGCTACTTCTGCAAACATATTGACTTAGATGCGTGTACAGCGAGACCAACTGCGACAAGTGGCACGTTGCAGGAACACCACCACCGTATTCTTAAGCTAAGCATGTAGTAAATCAGTACATACTCATCTATGTTCAGACCACGTTAATCTTATTGATTCGCAAACATCATAAGTACCACTGTGGCGAATAGGCTGGGGACGCCTGTTTTTTTCCGGCTTGTACAGACAACGACTTACAAAGCCGGCAGACGAAGTCAAGCAAAGCTTAACATATGCAAACCAGCTAATCAGATTCAATCAAATGACTTCATCTTTGTATACCATCTGGTTTTGTGTACTTTATATGCTTTCTTGTGTACGTTTTGCAACACGCCGTGTGTTTTATGACAGTTTTACAGATTGACGGGAGGGAATTTATCGTTGTTTTTATATAGGAGGATGGCATTAAGCATGCCGGCTTTGTAAGTCGTTGTCTGTACACCTGGACAGAGGGAATGACAGGTAATACTGTAATCTACATGTACCCGACTTTTCCCGTAAGCTAGACGCCCAATCTTACAATTATCTTGGCAGTACACTGTAAAGTACCGTATATGAGATCTCCTACTTCAGACCCCTGATTATTGAAGTTGTAGCGTCGTACATAGTTTTTGTTCATTTTTAGTCCCTTTCGTGCAAAATATGGCCATATTCTGCTCGATTTGCACGTTTTCTACGGTATGAATTAGGAGATCTCTCTGAAGTAGGAGATCTCATATACGGTAAGCGGTGGGCAACGCTCACTTCCTTCGTCTGCACGGCATTACGTTTCAATTTATTAATAGCCTCAAGCATACCAGACAGATGCCGTTCCGCTTTGTGTTGTGCTATGTGTGCGGGATGTTCATCCAAGAAGCAAGTGCAATCGTTTGCATGACTCACTGATAGCTCGTACGCCACGACTGCCAAACCGGAACGACAATGTCATACAGTAAATGCAACGATCGTGATTAATATATTCTCTACCACCGAGAATGAGACCGAGAATGAAAGTTGTGCGTCTAATGTATATTTTGTTGTACATAACCTTGCATGAGGATTGTGGTGTGAGCTTAAATCATGATTCATTGGGCTACATCCATCGTACCTTGCTTGGCCCAATGAATTCTCGATGGACGGCTGGAATATATGCTTACCGCCAATTTGGCGGCACCAAAGAAGGCTTGGTGTTTTCTACCCAGGCAGAGACTATTGCCACAATCTGAGGGACGGATGTCACCTTGCTTCAAATGGGCGCCAGCAGCAAACTGTTCCCCAACCTAAACCAAAAAACCCTTCCCTGCAGGGCTTTTCCCTAACGGGCCGAGCGAGATGTGACCATGCTTGGTCCTGGGTTTAAGGCTTAAACACAGGACCAAGCATGGTCACAGCTTAAACTTTAAGCTCGCGTGCTCCGCACACGTACCTTAAACCACAGGCGTTGTTTCGGCGAGTTTGGTTTCACCCCCTCCCCAGTTCAATCTATACTAAGTACGATTTATCTCCCACATACAAAACCTAAGTCATCTCTTATTGTGGTAATAGTAGTAGTAGAAGAGATTTTATTTGGACTACTATGATAGCCATTAAAATCCTAAAGAAGATTTCATCATCACCACTAATGGCGATTCTCTTGGTAGCTACATGCTGCTTACCCGTACTTGTCCTGGTTGTTCAAGGATTAATAGAAAACTGTCGATACAGTCCTCCATCAACTTGCCTTGTTCAACTGTTTGTGGACTCATCTTGTCCCTCCTTGCTATTGCCTTCAACTGACGAACTCCCGTCACCCGGAACTCGACGCAACTTTGCTCTACCGATGTTGGTTCTACTTCAAAGATGAGCCTGTTGCGCACCATCCATTGCGTTGTGCTGCAAACGGTAGCTAAAATTCTCCAAAGACGTTTCAATGTGTCTTCCTGCTTGGCCGTGCAAGACCCCGCCGTGAGGGCCACTCTCCTCTTCAGTGAGTCCGGAATCGGGGGAGCTTGCCGTGCTCCACAGTACTCTCGGTACCCGAGGAGGCCACTGTCGGTCACGTCAGCGCCACCCCAGTGTCTAGCTAGCCATTTCCAGCATGCCACCGCGCACGGACATTCCCAGAAAATGTGACTCTGGGTTTCCTTTTCTTGGGTACACGCGCTTGTTTTCCTGCATGAATTGCTGTGTTGTCTCCCTTCAAAGAACAGGTTTAGCTGTCTGAGGGCCATTCTGTACACCGTCCACACTTGGTAGGGAGTTAGGGAATGGTCATAGCTCCATAACTGCTTGGGTCGTTGTTGCTGAAGCCCACGTTGCCACTGGTCTTGTTTCGCCTGCGTCTTCAGTCTCTCTATGACCACGCCAATACCGCCTCGCAATTCTGTCCGAAATCGTTCGAAGGCTTGCCGTTTGAGCCCCTTTGATACATGTTTGTTCTTGATTCTCTCCTCCACAGTCCAAGGATACTGATGAAGGCTCGGATGTGCGTAAAATACTACGCCTTCAACTTGGGCCCACTTCTGTAAAGTCTGCGTAGTTTCTTCTGTGCAATTCTCCACTTCTATCTCCCAGTTGATGCCGTTGGGTAGTTGCCTGCAATTGAGTTGCCAGCTCGCCGTGCCTTGTGAGGTGGCTGCGCCTGAGAGATGCCCCGTTGGCCCTAGTCGCCACGACACATTGCGTAGCCATTGCGGCGGGTGCCTTAATTTGAATGGTGGATCGAGCCGACCTTCTAGCCAATCTCTCGGAGATAGTAAGATTACTATAATCGCCCACTTGCACATGGTTCTGTGATGGTGCCGACGCCCTTCATTTGATTCCTGCGCGACGCTAAACGAAAAACGCCCCTCAGCTTCTTTTCGAGGTTCAAGTTGATCGAGAGTACCATCCCTTATCCGTGAAAATCTTCTCCCGCTTAACAGAATCCAGATGGTGCTGTCAACCATGGGTTATCACCCCAACCAAAGGTCCCCCAAAATGTTTTAATGTGCTCCGGCCACGCTAGCCGCGAGGGCTCTACCTCATAATTCAGCTGAATCACGAACCTGCCATCAGTATCCCACAACTAGTGCTCGCCTCTAGGATTGCTGCGTAATTGGTCTCCACTATTTCTTCTCGTTGCTTTACTTCTTCGTCCGCTGGCTGGAGCCATTCACTGATGAGCTGCATTCCTGGCTCTACTCTCTGATTTTTTGCATTTGACGTTCTTGGCGAGACCGACTTGTTCGGGGCCTTGAGTACCCAGAACTTCCAGGCTTGCAGGTAAAGATCGGGTTTTTGAGTCAGCCATAGCAATGCATGTTTCGCTTGCTGTGTTTTCACCGCTAACGGGATAGACACCAAACCGAGTCCTCCTGCCTTTCTTGGTAGAAACACTAACCCAGGGTTAATCTTGTGTTTTCCTCCACTCGTTTCCACGTGCGCTTGCCAAAGAAAATTTTTCTGAAGGCACTGAAGTTTTTTCTCCGCCCACTTTGGTAGTTGGAACGCTGCAGAGGTGAAAGTCACGGCTGGCAGCACCATCGCATTTAGTATTGCCATTCTGTCTTCTACCGAGGTAGCTACCCTGCACGCGGTGGCCAAACGTCTTTGTATTTTGCGAATTCGATCTGCCCAATTCACATCGCGCATCTCCGCAGTCCCTACTTGATACCCCAGATACCGGGTCGTCTCTCCATGTCTGAGAACTGGGATACCCAAAATCGTCTTTCTGTACTCGACGGCGGTGTTCAAACTTATATACACGCTTTTCGCCAGCTGCACTCGGAGCCCCGATAACTCACCAAACCTTCGGACTACCTTGAGCACACGCGGCAGTTGCTTTGCCTTTTGCATAAAAACCGTCGAGTCGTCGACAAACGCAGAGAACAAGTGCTCTCGCCGCTCCTTGTCACCCGGCACTGCTACACCCGCAATTTGCGATTCTTGTGCCAGCGCTAGCCCAAGGATCTCAGCAGCTAAAATGAAAAGCAAAGATGGCAGCGGGCACCCCTGCCTGATACCAGATTCTATCGGGCTCTGATCCAATAACTCTCCATTGACCATAAATCTAGCTGTTGTCCCAGCGTGTAGGTTCCGCATCACTTCCACAAATTCACTACAAAAGCCGAACTTGCTTAATACTGCAAACATGAATTCACGATCGAGCGTATCGTAGGCCTTCTTGAAGTCCAGCAGTAATATGCCGGCGCTGTCTTCTAAGTCTGCTAATGGGTCCGCCACCGCACTTTTTAAGTGAGCTAACATCATCATTACCGTCTTATTCATATTCCTCCCATGTACAAAGCCTTGTTGCGAGTCTCCAATTAATCGCCCTAGAAACATTTGTAGTCTTGTTGCCAACACCTTAGCCACAATCTTGAAGCTGGTTTGCAAATAAATAGAGTTATCGGCCGGTAATCCATAGCGCTCGTCGAGTCACCCTTTTTCCTCAACGGATTATCAGACCCCTCAAAAAAGTCTGAGGTGGGCGCTCGCCTCGAAGGATCGAATTTCCTACTCTCGTCAGGATCGGCGCCATTACGTCTTCCATATCCTTGTAAAAGTCGTTGTTCAGTCCATCTGGTCCTGCCGCTTTTTCTCTATTCAGCGCTCTGATAGCCTCCACGACTTCGTGTTCGTCCATGTTAGTAGTAAGCGCTGCGTTGTCCTTGTCGGTAACTCGTCTCTCGGATGGTACCGTGGCGAACTCATTTAGTCTGCGTTTTAGATCATCTAACGGGACCGTACGGTGGCTCCGTCCTTGGATGTCATTCCACTCTTGAGCAAACTTGTCTGCTATGGTGGACCTGGGTGCGAACTCAGTCCCAGGAGATGGTAGTATGCTGCTAACCGTTTGGTCACGTTCCCACACAGACACCCGGCGAAACCTCCTTCGTACACAGGCATGCGACCGTTGTAGTGCGTGCCCTGTGTTGAGTTCCTTGCTTACTTTCGCCTCCTCAACGTTTGCTTCGATCAGACCTCGCCGCGTTGCAATGCCTGCTCGCTCTCTACGTTTCCTGGCCTTTGCTCTCCAGTATCGTCGCTGTTTCAGTCTTTTGGATAATCGTTTTATCGTTTTCACGCATTGATGTACGACTTCGTCCCACTTGATGCTCCTTTCCTGGTCGGCACCCAAATCCTCAACCATTTCCGCTCGCAACTCGGTTTTCACTCGTTCCTGGTTGCTGCTTCGGATGGGGTATTTTACCCTGCGAGATGCGGTTTTGTTGACCTTGTTGACGACGTCTCCGCGCCTCAAATGCATGATCAGTGTTTGGTGATCACTACTGACCGGCGGAAGTTGGACTTCTAACCATTGAAACCTTGGAACTAACTGCGCTGAAATGTACATTCGGTCAATTCGACTCGCTGCCGTCGTAGTCCAGTACGTGTAGTGGTGATGTGGAACCACCTCTGCATCTTCCTCTGCTCCCCCTACCAGCACACGTGCATCCTGCCACAACCTCTCGTCTAGCAACTGTTCCAGCTCTCTGCTTTCAGGTTTAGTAGCACCTGTGTACCCTTTTCTATCTAGCTGAGGATCCAATACACAATTGAAATCCCCACCCATGATCACAGGTTTGTTTTGCGGCCATGGCCACTCCCGTAGATTTTTGAAGAAGCGCTCTCACTCTTGATACTTGTTTGAGGCATAGATATTGACTACGATACAGCCTTGTACTTCTAATGCCATCACTCGCTTTGTCCATTTGTGTCGTTGCCATGGCTCAGACTGCTTTGCTACTGCCGGATCCAACAAGATTCCAACCCCTCCTGTCTTATTCGCGTGTTGACTCCAGTAGGACAGCTTATCTGCTGGTCGTCGCAGTCCCCACATTCGATTCCAATGCTGTCGCTGCATTTTAGCATCCTCATCCGACGCAACATGGGTTTTTCCTGCAGTAACCAAACACTCGGTCTTGATCTACTTGGAGTCTGTTTCCATGCTGAATACCACTTTTTCCTTGTTTTGCTGGCGTCGCGTACCGTATTCCATCATACGCTCTTCCCTCCTCGGTCTTTTTGGACGGATCATAGAATGCGCCATCCAAGATGGCTGCTCTCCCATATACATCCTCTGCTGCTCCTGGCCAGCGCTCCTCAGCTGGCTCGACAGGAATACTACTTTGGATCTAATAGGATTGACTGTCATCGCCTTCAATCTGCGCTACAGCATTCACGAAAAAGTCGCTCACTTGAGCCCAGTTAACTTCCTGGTGAGAACCGCTGAGCGCTGTATGGTAGTCCGTATTTTTCTGCAACACTTTTAGGTGAAGCCTCACCTTAGCTGGTGTGCTAACATCGTGTGAGACCTCTATGCCTGTCAACGCACGTTCTTCTTCTGCATATATCTCCGCGCAGAGCAGATGAATTGCTCCCACTGTGCGGAGACTAGGGTCACACAAGTGCAATAGTTCATCTGCTCCGTACTTTAAGGACCGTAGTCGTCTTTGCTGTTCACCACTGCGGCCATGTCCTCTTCAGTGTCAGCTGCATTCCATCGATCACTCCACTTCTCGAGCCACCTTTTCGTTCCTTGCGTTCGTGATTTTGCCGCTAGTGACATCAGGCCGTCCACAATGCATTCACGTCGCCTTGGCTCCATCCACGTGGACAGGGTCTCTGCATTCAGCAATTGCAGCACTTCCTCTCTAAAGGGGAAATGGCGCAAAGCTTCTAACAAGGCCTCGGGGCTGCTTTGAACCACACATCACTCGAGCCGTCCGCTCGTGGAAAGCTCCCCGCCCTGGTAGGCCATGTCTGCTCAAATGCGTTCCTCTGATCTACCCATGGAGGCCGATTGTCAGCCTCTACTTCCTGTTGCAACTCCTGTTTCTGGTTTTCCACGCTTATATGGCACCGCCGCGTTGTGATGGTTAATCGTAGCTCCTCTCACCCGCACTTTGACGTTCGGCGTTGAAACATGCTCGCGTTTTGTATGGATCCGCTTGCTTTCTTTGTATGGAACTAAACTCCGCGGTACGTCGTTTGATCCATCAGGCGCTACGTATTCATCTTCTGAAGGCGAATCTTCATCAGAAATGAACTCCGCCACGAGTTTATTGTGGTAATAGTGACTCTAGCGTAAGAACAGTGGCTCAACCGATTTTCAGGATAGCAGTAAGCTCAGCGAGAGTCAACTTGGTCTTGTCTCCGGCCGGCCTCATACTGTGCGGATGGCATACTCCAGAGCATACTTCTTCACGATTTCCGTTCTTGGGTTGTTCAGAGGGATACTGCCCGTGAATCCCAGCATGCTCAGGATGCTGCTTGGATGCATATCTTTGATTATCCACGAACCAAACTGCGCCTTCTGCAAATTCTCGCCGAGTTTCGCCAGCTCTGGGTTCGTCTTGAGAGATTGGAACAGTTTTGCCACCTCTGCTTCCGACTTGGATGACTGCAGCAACTTGACGTAGATTTCGCCATCATGCCATCGGTAGCCATTCTTCGTGGTCCGATACATCTGCACATACTTGAGCCATTGAAGAACTTTTGGGTTGTCATCGAGCTTCGCCCCAACTTCTAAGGTTTTTAAAACCTTCGCCGGGTCCGTCCGCCCACGCAGCCACAAAGTGTTCGCGAGGTTCTCGGCAGAAGGACCGGCCTTCGACACGAGGCCCGCGAGTTTCGACAGTCCAGGAATCCCAGCTCTCTCCTCGCCCGTCGCGTCGGTTCTCAAAGCCCTTTTCGCGTATTCCACGCGTTTGCCAGCACCTAATGAGAGCTGGTCAGCCACGTGTGGAGCCGATTGCTCGGCGCCCACTCTTGCCGAAGTTTCAGCACCTAAGACGAATGTTACGACAGCCATCCATAGCAGCACAAAGTGCAAGCGCATCTTCATTAGCAGCTTGTTTGGGGGGCTCAGGTCAAATTGAGAACTGAGTGCAGTGCAGACGGAGGGAGGCAAATGCTGTGTCCAGCCGAGACGAGTCCGTATGTACTGCCATCCTAAAGGTTGGAAAATTGATTATGCAGAAAGCCTCGTTGTAAATAACTGTTCGTAATCACTCTCCCCCCATGGGCTCTAAAAGTCTATAAAAACACTTTTGACCCGTCAAAAATTACCTTTTCGAAGTGATTTAACAAATCCTGTGTAATATGATATTGCGTACCCATATCGACTAAGACTTGTCAAACGGCAGCCTCTCGATCAGTCTGCAAGTTGCCAAATGATGGTACGCATGACTGCTACCAACGGCCGCACTCGGCTCTCTCGGTCGCTGAGCGGCTGGAGGCGCCTCCCGACCGCGCACTTCGACAACGCCGTGCTGCGCGAGCTGCCGATCGACGCCGAGCCCAAGAACTTCGTGCGCAGCGCCGTGTCCGGCGCCTGTTTCTCTCGAGTGGAGCCCACGCCCATCGCCAGTCCGGAATTGGTGGTCACGTCTCCTAATTCCCTGCTTTTAGCAGGCATCGAGCTAATTCAGGGTGACGACCAAGATAATAGCAGTGACGAACGTGGAATTAGCGACAATTTACAGCCGATCGACACTTTAGTGCCCGTTTTAGCGGGCAACAAGCTGCTGCCGGGCTCCGAGACTGCGGCCCAGTGCTACTGCGGCCACCAGTTCGGCTTCTTCTCGGGCCAATTGGGGGACGGAGCGGCCCTTTATTTGGGAGAAATCGTCACGGAAGGAGAGAGATGGGAGCTTCAACTCAAAGGCTCGGGGCTCACTCCGTACTCTCGCACGGCCGACGGCCGCAAGGTGCTGAGATCAACTCTGAGAGAGTTTCTGTGCAGTGAAAACATGTTCGCTCTCGGAGTGCCCACGACTCGGGCGGGGAGCGTCGTCATGTCCAGAGAGACGCAAGTGTTGAGGGATATTTTCTACAATGGCAACGCCAAGATGGAGCCCACGGCGGTGGTGACGAGAATCGCTAAGAGTTTTCTGAGATTCGGAAGTTTCGAGATTTTCAAGGACGAGGACGAGTTCACGGGTATGATGGGCCCTAGCGCTCACCTGGAGGACAAGCAGGAGATGATGACCAAGATGCTGGACTTCACCATTCGGCAGTATTTCCCTGAATTTTTTGGAGAAGAGAACATGTACGAAAAGTTTTTTGAAGAAGTGGTGCACCGCACGGCCAAGCTGGTGGCCAAGTGGCAGACGATCGGCTTCTGTCACGGCGTGCTGAACACGGACAACATGAGCATTGTGGGGGACACGCTGGACTACGGTCCGTTTGGATTCATGGAGCACTTTGACCCGAAGCACATTTGCAACACGTCGGACGACCGAGGACGCTACCGCTACGAGTCGCAACCCGACATCTGCAAGTGGAACTGCGGTGTGCTAGCGGACCAACTGGGACTGGTGACGGATCGAGCAGCTTTGGAGCCTGCTCTGGAGGCGTTTCATAGTGTCTACCAAGAGGAGTACATGCGCCTGATGCGTGAGAAACTGGGGTTGACATCTCAACGCGGTGAAGAGAAAGAGGACAAGATGCTGGTTGACACGCTGGTCGACGTGCTCGCGCACACGGGCGCCGACTTTACGAGTACGTTCAGGTACCTAAGTGGACTGGACGCGGTCGACTCCGGCGATTCTCGTGAGCGTGTGCTGAACCAGCTCGTGGGCGTCTCAGAAACTCTGGCCCAGCAGAAGCGCAAGCTGGAGCAGGAGTTTGGAGGAGTTTCTGATGCCCAGTTCGACATGATCGTGATGCTGCTCCAGGAGAACCCCGTGCGTGCTCGACAGTATGGCATCACGCACGAGCTCGTGGCTCAGATGAAGGCCAATCGTGCAGCGAAGGAGGTGCTGGATGCGATGACGGATGAAGAGCGTATGGAGAGCATTCGGACTGCGTGGGAAGACTGGATCGATGTCTACATTTCGCGAATCAAGGAGGAAGGAGATGCTGCGAGTTACTCCGAGCGTCGCCAGCACATGCTGAAGGTCAACCCGTTGTTCGTGCTGCGCAACCACGTGGCTCAGAAGGCCATCGACTTGGCGTATGAAGGCGACTACGACGGAGTGCAACACATTTTCGAGCTATTGACGCGTCCGTTTGACGACCCGAGTGACGAGGGAGATCTGGAGTATGCTCGTCCTCAGGACCCATCCACCGCCCCGCTGTGTGTGTCCTGTTCGTCGTAAACGGCTTGGCAAAGGGGGGGAAGTTGAGCAGGTAAGTGGCCGACAATAAAAAGAATATGATCACTGTAGGTAGCTAATGGATTCGCAGCTCAAATAAGTTTTGAATTTTTTTTCAACTGCAGATTGAATTCCGCTTTGATTTTGATGTGGTGATGCGGTTTTAGCAATTGTGGACCACAATTTGTGGTGGAATTCGGACGCTTCACGATCGATCTGTTTATCCATCTCCAGCTACGTAGCGAACACGCTCTAACGTCATCGAGAGCTGGTCCGAACAGAGAGCTCCGGTAATGCCATTCCCAGGGCATGGATCCATTGGATGCTCGGTGCCACCAATCGCACCCGTTTTTCGGGATCAAAAGCAGGATAACAGTGCACAAAGAGCACGTTCTGTACTGTACAGTAGAACTTCTTCATAGTGTAGAATCTATGCTTTAGAATATTACCAGTACAGTACGTGTATCTGCAAAGCATAACATTAGGTCTTCAACAAGGTCCTCAGAGTTCATGACGCCTGCTCGATAAGCCTACCTAGGTAGGCTGAACATACTAGGTACAAGTATGTACAGTGTAATACTGTACTTACTGCTACCGGTGTAGTAGTTCGTGCTGTAGCAGTCCACCCCCGACGAAGCATTCTCTAACATTGAACTGCACCCAACTGTCAGCTCGTTCAACTTTCGCTCTGGATGCAGCCCATCACGCTTTGCACATTGTGCACTGCAGGAGACAGGATACAATTCCATGCGGGGCTCCTCGGAGGAGACAAATTGTTGTCTCCTCCGAGGACCTACGTCACTTTACTATAATACGTGGACGGGTGCAATGCATGTACCGTGTGCCACAGGTAAGTTGGAATTTTGGAGAAAACAGTCGCGGTCTGCTTTCCAGCGAACGCTCACCGATCAGAAGGTGGTCGATTTCGCTGTTGAGCTGATCATCGCTGTTGCGGTCTCTCAGGCAAAATGGAGTCGGTCTCGTGAAAAACTCGGGATTTGCAGTTGCCTCATCACGCCGTCAGCCCGGCGTATCGCTACAGTTCAAGTTTTGCCCTCCACTACTCACAACTTCGGGTGGTGAGCTTCTCCAGACTCTTCAGTGCCATTATGCGTCTTTGCTACCTTCTCCTTCTCGCCGCCGCCACCCTACTCGCAAGCGCCAATGCAGTCCCAGACTCGAAGGTCTCAACGTCAGATGACTCGCTGCGAACGCTCATCGATGACATCCACGTCAGCTCCAAACGTCATTTGAGAGCCGCAGATAACGACGAAGAGCGGGCTGTCCCGATACTAGGCAAACTCACGAGCTACCTCAACCAGAAGACGCTCGACTTATGGCTCTTCCAAGGCAAGGACCCCAAGGAAGTCTTTAGGATCCTGAAGCTGGTCGGTCTGAAGGGCAGAGCGGTCCAGCACAAGAGGTGGAAGTACTACGTCCGGTACCTCAACATGTGGAAAGATGCTCGCAAGAATGCCGCCTAGCGACGATATCCTACTTCCAATTAGAGAGACAAGAATAAATTTCACGAATGTATCAACTTGTCAAGCATTGCATCGGCCACCAAGAATTCGTTCAAAAATGGCTCTAGAGATCGGAGGGGCGCTTAGTGACAACGGTTCAACGTGTACGCAGACCCAAACCAAACCAATCGTACGATGGACACGGTGCGCAGCGAGTACTCGGAGGGCAGCGTGACCTCCAGTCGCCTGGACGATGGCAGCGGCACGGGGCGCGCGTCGCTTTCGTTTTCGCTGTCCAACTCGCACACAAGTCGCTTGTCCATCGACAGCGCCTCGACCCGGTCCGACTACCTGGCCAACTACGAGCGCAGGTTGCTCGAGCGCAAGGCGTCCAAGCACAAGAAGTCCGAGAAGGCCAAGCGCGAGAAGGAGAAGGCCGACAGACAGCAATTGTTCTCGGCCGACCAGAGGCGCAAGGCGGAGCGCGAGGCCGAACGACAAGCGCGACGACGGGAGATGGAGACGTGGCTCACGGATCCCAATGAGCTGAAGCGAATCGAACGGCGCTCGCAGAAGCGCAGTCGAGATCGGATGAGGGTCTTGAAGGAATGGTACGAACCAGCCACGTCCGGGCCGCACCAAGAGGTCCAGCCAGTCTTCGTTCAGGCCATGAACCAAGAGCACAACAACCAGGAGACAGCGCCAAAGACTCGAAACAGACTCGCCAAGCCTTTATTATCCAAAGGAGCTGCGGCGTTGAAGGACGAGCAAGATCGAGAGGCGCTGGAGCTTGTATTGCAGCGACAATTGAGCGCCTTTACGACGAAACTCGAGTATCTTGAGCAGTTTGCAGGTCCAGAGACTCCGATTCGAGCCAAGACTCGCGCAGGACCGAGACGAAGACGCCGACTTGCGAGAGAAGACATGCACTTGGCCCCTTTAGGCCCCGCACGCAGCAACTTGCAGGCTGCGAAGAGTGTGGCTACGCTGCCGTCGTATTACGCTGGACGAGATGACAGAAGACTGTCAACTTCGGCGTCGCTGCAGACGCTGCGCCCAACGTCTCGAGTTCATGTCAATGACGACGACACAGAGGACGCGCGAGACGACGCGGAGGTGGAGGAGTATTTGATGCGGCATCGCAAGGTGGCGAGGCAGGCGTACGCGGTTGTAAAGCTACAGGCGACGTGGAGAATGTACTTACGACGACGCAAGTATCTGCCGTGGCGTCAACGGCGCACCCGCCAGCGTCGAGCGGTGTTCGAGATCTGGGTCATGACGTACCGCGTGGGCTACAAGGCTCAACGTTCACTGCTGCGTAAATACTTCACCGCGTGGCGCGCGGACGTGGTGGAGGCTCTACAGCTACGAGAAATGGAGCTGCATCTCTTCCGGCAGGCAGCCACGCAGGCGGAGCTGCCGCGGATGGTGCTCAACCTCGTCTTCACTTCGGACTGGGAGGATGAACGAGCCAAGCGACTCGCAGCCAAAGCCACTGAAGCTGCCAAGAAGAAGGACATTGCTCCTACGAGCAAGGCGGCGTTCCTGGGGGCGTTCCTCAGTGCTGCGTTCGGTGACGTCGAGTCTGCATCGGATAAAAGCCGCAGTCGCGTCCACCGTCTCCGTGTCCAGCATATTGCTGCGCGAGAGGAAGTCCGTAAGAAGGTTGTGCAGCACGTTTTCCGCCTCTGGAAGCGCGTGCACGAAGCCAAGAAGCGCGTGGGGCTCAACGCGCAGCTCTGTCTCAAGCGCGCAGTGCGGATGGCGTTCGGGACGCGGCAGCGGTGGCCGGCGGAGACGCTGCTCGCAGTGTTTGAGATCTGGTCTCGCTGGGCGACGTTCAATCGGTGCAGACGCCTCGGTCTCCCGTTGCCGCGCTTCGCCCAGTCGAATCCGCACTGGGATATCTGGCTGCACAACTATCAGGAGCGTCAAGTTCGCTGCGTCAAAGCCGCCGCCAAAGCCCCAGGCGCACGACTACGACGGTATTTCTTCCGCTTCCACGCCTTCGCCCAGCGCGTCAAGCGTGAACGCCACTACTTCTCCATCGCGTCCGAGCATTATTCCAGAACACTTACGCGTAGTGTTCTACTCGAGTGGCGTGAAGCGATCGCCGGTAGCGCAGCAGACAAGAAGCTCGTCAAGGGCGTCTTGCTGCGGTTCCATCGCTACGCGTGCGCCAAGCGCAAGCTGAGACCCCTGAAGCTGGAGCTCCGACAACGACAGTGTCAGTGGTTATCACGTCGCGCGTGGCGCGGCTGGAAGCGCGTGCAGCTCCACACGTGCTTCAAGCGCGAATTGAACCTGTCACGCCTCGAGAACAGCCAAGTGTGGCGCTCTCGCCTTCACCGGACCCTCGATATCTGGCGAGACGAACGCGACTCTCTCGTGGTGTGCAGAGCCTTCGAGGCGTGGACGCATTTCGTTCGCAAACGCAAGCTCTTCCTCACGCTGCGCATGATCTGCGCGCGCCAGCAGCGACGCAACCTCCTGTACAGCGTCTTCAACGCGTGGAAGGTAGCGAAATGGGATCGAGTTGATGGGTTTCTAGAGGACCGACTGCGGCTGGATGCTTGGGACGCGTATCGAGAGCTCTCGATCTTCTTCCCCATGCTCTTCTACGGCAGCTTCTCGGACGCAGGATCAATCTTCGGAGGACTTCCAAGCTACACGTACGGGGGCAATGCAGATTTGCCTCACTTCAAGCAGCTCGACCAACGTGAGCTCATACTCGCGACTTCCGGAGACGCGGTGCGCCATTTCCACGGCGTTTTGGTGCGTGACAGCGTCGTGGAAGTCCGCAACGCCATCTTACAGGCAAAACACTTGGTCAACGCCGTCGACGACGCGTCAGGCAGCACTGCGCTTCACGTTGCCGCGCAGATCGAGGAGTCTGAGAGACGTATAGAGATTGTCTCTCTACTGTTGAGTGAAGGCGCGGCGACGCTGAAACGGGAGAATCGCCACGGACTGTCCCCGATTCAGCTGGCGCCTGATGGTGACACCCGCTTCTTGCTGCGTGAAGGCATCTTCGCCTTCCATTCGCGTGGGATATTGAAAGGTGAATCGATACCGGAAGAGAGAGAAGACAGCCAGCGCTTGTTGTGGTGTATGGTGACTCTGATGTCACGTGAGTGGGGGATCGGAACGCGGATCCCCGCTGATGTTCGCACTGGAGACTGGCACAGCTTTCTGGGTGAGGAGAAGTGGCTGAGGCAGACGCAGATCCGCTTCTCGCCGTACTCGACGTTCGCTCCTGCTGTGACTCGCTCCAGGGGGTTCCTCAATGCGCTCAAGACGCGCTTATGTCTGTCGCGCTATGATTTCCTACTAGCTGCTCAAGCTGACAAGTCTCCGAGGAATAAACCAAACACGAAGCGAGCTCGTGACCAGCGCTATCAGGAATGGGAGGAGCGGTTGAAGGCCCGAAAGGAGCGAGCGAGCCAGACCGGAGAGTACGAAGCCTATGCGAGATATCTGTTAGCGTCTACGCTTGACACAGAGGCGTGTGAGCAGGAGCTTATCCCAAGTTTCGTCGGGCTGCTCTACTCGCTCGACTTCACGTCGTATGAAGTGCTGCAGCAGGCGTATCGACTGGAGAAGGAGTGCACCGCGACGGAAGGCGCGTTGTGGGAGCTCTACCAACGCATCCGAGCAGCTGAGAAAGCGTGGAGCGCAATGACTGCAGGCTCAAACGATACTACGAGCCGGAACGACGTCGGGATGATGCGGCTCCTCTCGGACGACGCAGACGCCGACCTTTTCTTCCGGAGAGAGATTTTTCTGCTGGAGTTCGAGCAGTTCAACCGCTCCAAAGGAGGCAAGAGTAAGGACGGACTGAACGTGCAGCAGGAAGCGTTGGCGTTGGAGATCGATACGCTGCTGATACGGACGCAGCGGAAGCTCCGCAAGGCTGAGAAGAAGGTGAAGCGCATCCAGGATCTGATCGATTCCAGTGAACAAACCTACCGTCGGGCGTTGTTCGCCACCCCTAGAGACGTGGAGACGGTCGTAGTCGCTCGGATGGCCCTAGAGCACGCGCGTCTGAAGATGGCCATGAGTTTGATCAAACTCAGCGACGTCAAAGCTGTAGTGTCACGGCTGGAGTACGCGAAGCAAGTGCTTCAGCAAGAATCCCCCTCTATTAAGGACAAGCCTCACGCTGTCGATGCCGTGCCTCCCTGGGCCGCCAATCTCACGTATGCCGAAGGAAAGGCTTTCTTGGAAGCGGAGCGAACGCGATACTCGCGTGTGTTTCAGAGCCGAGTGATCCTCGAAGAAGCAAAGCGGAATGCTGCTGCTTCTGGACCGGAGTCCAAGACGGGAGAAATTCCCGAGACGCTGCATCAGCTGCAGAAAGAAGCCACCAGCAAGTTGCATACTCTGTTCATGCTCAACCTCTTCCGGTCGTGCTGCTGCTGGCTGGTGGAAAACATGCTGGCGACGGAGGAAGCCATCGCTGAGGAGGATTTTATCGACAGTGACGAAGAGGCTGATGAAGATAATACTGCTGCTGGACTCGTTAGAGACCGCGGTAGTATTTCACGACGCAATAGTGTGGGCGTAGCTCGGCTATTAAGTGCCACTGGAGCTTTGCTTGGTGAAGGGATGTCACGCAGGCGAAGCAGCATCAAGAACACACGGCGAGTACTGGAGACGTACCACCAGGGGTTCAGTTCGATGAACCAGCTAGACCCCGACAGTGAGTCGATGAACGCGACGTACGCAGCGAGCGCTGGGCTGTTGTTCGAGGAGGAGCGTCGAGCAGCTCAAGAAGCCGAGCGGGAGAAGTTGAACACTAAGAAAGTGGAAGATGTGACTGCGATTTGTGAGCGGAACCCGGTCACTGGAGAGGTGGAGACGGCTCCTACCTACGTCGTGAGCATTGATGAAATTTCTGCATCGGAGTCGATGGAGATCGCTCCAGAGGTCGAAGTCAAAGAAGCCCCTCGCAATCGCAAGAAGGAGGAGCTCCAGCGCGCCATGATGCACCGAAAGCTCTACCACAAACGCAATGAGAGCAGCGAGAGTGACAGCGAGGACAGCGTCGACTCGCAGCAAGACGGACTGCCTGTGATTCAAGGCGCGGGGTTCCATTTCGGCAACTTCGTCGCCGGTGACGATGTGTGGACGGCAGGGAATCTCCCTCGAGACTCGAATGGAGCCATGAAGCGAAGTGGTTCAAGCGACCCAGCCAACGTCGAGTCAATGTGGAAGCGAGGTGGCATTAAACTCGCAGACGGCACCGCTCCGAGCATCAAGGAGGTGCTGGCACACGCCCATCGGATGAGCTCGAGAGAGAAGTTACGCTCCGGAAATCGTCGGCAGGCGGTGGTCATGAAGGACGCGCCTGAGCTGCAGTCACCGTCGGAAGAGTCCATCCCAGAAACTCAGCCAGCAGAGCCCAGTCCGCCAGCGAGTAAGCGACCCAGCCCCATACGCTCAGAGAAGGCGAGTCCTACCAACGTGGCCGCAAACTCCAAACGGCGAAGCTCAGTTGTAATGAGTCGTCGACCAATGTTGGGACGCGCTGCCTCCATGTCTTGCTTGCTGCCAGACGCAAAGTCGACGACGCTCAAGTCACCTGTACTCGCGAGTAAAAGTGGCTCCGAACAGCAATTGTACGCTGGAGTCGGCAATACTGAGGAGGGCTTCGAGTTGCAGCTTCTTCACGCACCGACGGGAGTCTTGGCAGTACCTGCGATCGAAATTAGCACGCGAAGCCCCCAGACCTCGGCAACTCCAGTTGGAACAGGACGCTCAAGCTCGCGAGAGGACGAACGCAGTCCAGATCCAGATTCTGAATGGGGAAACTCCGAGGAGCAGCACGAAGTACAAGAAATACTCGGGATTCCAGAGCCGAACGACGACATGGAGATAGGAATCAATGCAGGGCCAAGTTCTTATATTGACGAGAAGCTGTCGAATGCGGACGAATCGGAGACCACGGAAGCGCAAGAAACAGAAGAAGTGGAGATACTCACGCCGCCATTGCTATCGCCTGTTGTTGAGATCAGCACGTCAAGGACGTCGGACGGTCACAAGTGCAATAGGCGCATGGATTCACAGCAAACGCTCGATACTAATGACGGCCGTCTGCTGCCAAATGACTCACTCGCCACTTCCGTCAGCGCGTTCATCAAGTGGGAGGAGGGAAGCGCTCTCGAAGCTTTCCCACTCGCTGTGGTCCCCACCAACCACCCGAAAGCTTCTGCTGTCGGGGGCAAAGCTCAAACTTCTCCAAACCGAGAGAAAGTTGCAACAATGCCGCGAGTCAGCAGCATCCGCGTGACCAAGCAAAGGGAGCAAAAGGAAGAAGTTGATGAGCTCGCAGCAACGAAGTTTGTACTAGACGACAGTACCGATTGGACGGAGGTATCAGCCGAGGACGTGAACGAGGTCTTCACTCTTCACGGTAAAGCGCTCGCTATGGCAAAGAAGACCAAGCGGGCGCTTCAAAGGACCAGATCCACTGATGCTGTCGAGTTCCCCCAGCAATTCAAGGCCATCCAAGTCCAAAGCTCATCAGGAGGAGCTCAGGAGTTTGATATCGACGGAGCTCCCTTGGTGCGTCCCATTTCAGTTACCGTCGTCACTAAACCTGCGAAGCGTGAGGTGGAAGCTCCCGAACCGACTGAAACTGAGGTAGTCGTGTTAACTCCAGTGGTGCCTCCGGTTGAGACGCCTCAAATGGCATCACCCAAACCATTCGTCAAGCTTGAGGTGAGCTCAGCCATTGAGACCAAAGACCAAGACAAAGATGCTTCTCCTTCGCTGCAGCTGAAGGGATTGGGACTGAATGGCGTTGACAACTTGAAACTTGACCCGAGCCATGCGAAACTAGGCAAGCCGAAGCCATCTGAGCAGAAACCTTCGTCACCTTCAAAGGTTCTTCAGAGTACGTCCTCCTCTCGTCTACCAGCTCGTCTACCAGCTCGTCAACCAGCTCGTCAACGAGCTCGTAAGCGTGCACCCCCTCCAGAAACCCTGTCCCCCTCTTCTAGCGCGTTAACTCTCCAAGGAGCAAGACTGAAAGCTCCAATCAACACTGACAAGGTGCAGACTATCGAGAAGCCCAAGGAAGTCACGGGCTTTGAAGGCATGACGCCTCTGTCCAAAGCGGAGAGGGAGCGACTTTGGCAGGAATTCGCGACCGAACCTCTCTCAGCCAGCGTCCACGAGGCCTACGCCATTCTGTACCCTCAAACGTACGCACACCCTGCTACTTCTACAGAGCGCCAAGGCCAAAAAACAGGTCCAGTTATCAGCCGGAACTCTTCCTCCCGGAGCTTAAAAGGCTCCTCATCATCGAGTCACTTGGCTCTGCGTGTGGACTCCACTCGCCAGCCGCTTCAGAACGCCATGGAGCTGGACAGGAAGTTCTGGAGCGCGGTGGAAGGATATCGAGCCATCGGCAGCTCGCCTCTCGTGCCTCTGGACGCTGCGACGATCGCCCAGCGCCGACAGGAGAAGGCTCGAGCCATCTTCGACCAGTTCATCTGCGGCCAGAGAGCGACTGCTGCTTGCTCCGACTATCGCGGGCTGGCGCTGGCGTGGCTCGACATGTACCCGAACGAGGTGGCAGAAGTGCGTCGACAGCTCACCACCGCCCCCAAGGGGCTATTTGACGAGCTCCAGCGAACGGCAGAGCTCCAGATCTCAGCCGCTCTGGACAAGCACCACGTCGATGAAGCTCTGAGCTAGAGATTATTAGCTTCAACGTCAACTCCAAGCGTTCAAATCCATTGGGAAGGCTTGTTTACTCGACCGAACATACCATCTACGTGTCGGCAGCAGCGCTGCAGCCTGCAGCTGACACCTGCAGCGTAGGTGTCAGTCAGAGCAGTATTGGAGTCGACATGAGTGCGCTACGCTTGACGGAGCTCTTCGACGTGAAGGACAAGGTCGTGGTCATCACCGGAGGCGGCCGCGGCATCGGCAAGATGATGGCGGACGGCTTCGTCCAGAACGGAGCCAAGGTCTACATCGCCTCCCGCAACCTCGAGGCCTGCCAAGCCACAGCCGACGAGCTCAACGCCAAAGGACCCGGCAAGTGCGTCGCGGTAAGAGTCTACTATACTCTCCATCCCCCCCTGCTTAGACACTGACTAACTAAGGTTTCCGTGCCGCAGCTCCAAGCCAATCTGTCGACTGAGAGCGCGTGCAAGAAGCTGGCGGACGACGTCGCCCAGAGGGAGACGAAGGTGGACGTCCTCATCAACAACTCGGGCGTCGGGTGGGGAGGCGACGTGGAGCACCACCCCGAGAAGGCCTGGACCAAGGTGTTGGCGGTGAATGTGACGTCGCCCTTCCACTTGACGCGCTACTTCCTGCCGCTGCTGGACGCGGCGGCCGCATCGTCCTCCGATGCGGCTCGAGTCATCAACGTCGGCTCCGTGGCAGGCCTCATGCCGCAGCAGATCGACAGCATCGCGTACGACACGTCCAAGGCCGCTGTGCACCACATGACGCGCGTCTTGGCCGCGAAACTCGCGCGGCGCCCGAACGGCGGCCACATCCTCGTGAACGCCATCGCCCCCGGTCTCGTGCCGACCAAACTGGCCACGGGCATCGCCCTCGCCACGGGGAAGTCGTTCGACGAGCTGCAGCGCAACATCCCGACCGAGCGCTACGGCAGCGCGTCCGACATGGCAGGGCTCGCCATCTTCCTGGCCTCCAGAGCTGCCGGCTGGATCACGGGCATGGTCATCGCCTCGGACGGAGGACAAGTGTACACCATGCAGACGGGCTTCGACACGGCCAAACTGTGAGCTATAAGGAGGTTGGTTACACTACCAGGCACTGGTAGAGTAGAGCAGGAATAACAACCGACGCATCATTCTGCCAAAGTATGGAGACGCAGGGCGTAGAGCCCCCTTCTCCTGTGGCTGAGGCCTCGGACCTTGTAGAGCCCGTGGTGAAGCTGTCGGTGCTGGAGAAGTTCCTGTCGCTGCGTGGTCTCACTCCGAAGACTCAGAGCCGCGTGGGGGCGAAGCCGCCGCCTGCTAAGCTCAAGGCGGACGTATTGAGCAAGACGTACACGAAGCGGCGGCATGGGAGGAAGACGGAGGCGCAGCGAGCGGCACTTCGAGAGCCCGAGGACCTTTTCAGCGACAGCGTGGACGCCTACGTGCCCCGCAAGCGGCAGCAGATGCTGCTGAACCTGCACAAGGACGAGCTCGAGGTGAACGGCGTCTTCCTCACTGAGACGAGGGCGCTCTCGTTCGAGCGCGCGGTGCTGGACAAGGTCGTGTGCGACCGAGCGGAGAATCGAGAGCAGTTCGAGGAGCGACTGTGGGAGCTGCTAGCCAAGCAGCGAGGACTGCAACCGGTGGAGGGCGAAGAAGAAGGAGAACAAGAAGATCTACAGGTAGAACAAGAGGCGTCAGAGGTAGAACGAGACCAGAAGTGCAACCAAGAGTCCGATGTAGCACAAATGTAGCCATGTTCAACTTGTAGAGACGGTGGCTCTCATCTGTCCAATCCAGACGGACGGCACCTTTGGACCTCCCCAGCTCATCAGCTCCCCAGCTCCACAATTCATCCCCCCCCCTCTAATACTCTGCAGTGGAAGTTGAGGAATCATGAGCTCGCTGAGTGGCGCCGAGCTCTTCAATGACAAGGACAAGGTGGTGATCGTCACGGGCGGTGGCAGCGGCATCGGCAAGATGATCGCCGACGGATTTGTGCAGAACGGGGCCAGAGTGTACATCGCCTCGCGCAGACTCGAGGTCTGCCAGGAAGTCGCCAACGAGCTCAACGCCAAGGGACCCGGAGTCTGCATCCCGGTAAGAAGGTATCTTGTTCATATCGGTGCTAGCTGCGTCGGATTAACTCAGTGCATTGTTGCAGCTGCAAGTGGATCTGACCAGCGAGGAGCAGTGCAAGGCCTTCGCGGACGAGATCATCAAGCGGGAGTCGCGTCTCGACGTGCTCGTCAACAACTCGGGCGATGGAACGGACACCCCCGTGGACTGCACCCCGGCCTCTGGTACGCTATTGTAGTGTTAACTATCGTCTCGTGGGAGCTTGTACGGTTGATGGTGCTGCAGCGTGGAGCGAGACTTTCGCCTTGAACGTGACGTCGGCTACCTGCTCACGCGCTTCCTGCTGCCTCTGCTGGACGTGGCTGCCGCGTCCTCGGACCTGGCTCGCGTCATCAACGTCGGGTCCATTGGCGGCCTCATGCCGCAGAAGGTCAACACGATGGTGTACGACTCGTCCAAGGCGGCGCTGCACAACCTGACCCGCATTCTGGCGGCCAAGCTCGCTCGTCGACCGAACGGAGGCCACATCCTGGTGAATGCCATCACTCCGGGCTACGTCCCGTCGAGGCTGACGGAGGGGGTCGCGTACGTGACCGGAAAGCCCTTCGAGCAGATCAGCGACGCCATCCCTGTGGGTCGCATGGGCCAGGACTCGGACATGGCGGGACTCGCCATCTTCTTGGCGTCCAAGGCGTCGGGGTGGATTTCGGCCCAGGTTATTACGGCCGATGGAGGGGTGGTAGGCGCTGCGGAGACGGGGGTCGGCCCCTCGAAGCTGTAGTGAGAAGCTGTCGTGGAGCAATCAGGTACTTCAAGTATTCAGATATGCAGCTTTTCAAATCTTTTGATAATCGAGCTTTGATGTCTCTTTGCTGTAAAAAATGCTTGTTCAAGCCTCCTCAAATAGAGTGTACACGATGGAATATGTCTCGAGGTTGTGCGTCGGGCTGGTTGCCTTGGCGACAAATTCGACAGGGTGTTTGTTCGACGAACAATGTTCGTTAACTTATCTTCATCAACGTTTTTGAGAGCCGTAGATTGTGTTTATTGGTGCGTCACCAAAGTGCTCTTAGTCAGTTTCGCAGTGAACGAATGCAAAAAAAAATGTTAATACCAACAAGTGTAAAGGAAAGAGGGTTAATCAGGTGGCAGGTTCGGATAAAGCCGATGCGTTGGGTGTCTCGGAGACATTGGCCGCCAATCTGGCGAGCGTCCAATATGTGGGCAATCGTTTCATTACTTAAGTATTGTACAATATTCCTATGTTGAAGGAGCGAAGACGATTTCAAACCAATGAAGTCGACAACTCCCCGTTTAACTAAGCGGATCTAACATGCAGCGATTTTCCTTATCGGCAGCTTCATTGGTCTTTCACCCCTTCCTTCAGTTTTTCGACCCGGTAGTTTATTCAATCGAGATTTAAATCTTTCTCTCAGAACATCCTGGTTTCCGCAGAAAACTCATCGTCGGGGCCTTCGCCTTTAGCTGTAGATGAAGTGTCATAAGCGGGATTCGTCTTGGCTGGTGCATGCATGTAATGGTGGGTTGGTCCCCTTTTGGAAATTCTAATGCAGCTCGAAAAGGAACGTGGCACGTTCCTTTACAAACGTTCTACAACATTGTATATTATTATAATACATGTAACACGAAGTACTTCGTAGTAGTACTGTAGTACTTCGAAGTATAACGCTTTTCACGACACCTTCGTCATTACGCGTTTTGTACGTTATCACTGGAGCGTACAACACGCAGCTCTACCTTCAACACTGCGAACGCGAGCACGCAAACATCCTTTCGCTCGTAAAATGAGAGAACCGTGCGTTGTCACTGGGAAAACCACAGGCAACGTGACTAAATCCACCTTTTTAGATTAACAGTAAACAGCAGTCGCGTTCATTGATCGAACGATACTTCACCGGCGAGTCTTGTGCCTCTTACCAGTACCAAAGGCTATTTCTTCTACGGCGGTAGTACCTCTCGTATCCGTTCGCGACACCCCAGTCCACATACGCGCCTGCCTTGTCGCGCTTCTTCAGCATGTCCTTGACCTCCCGGGGGTCCAGTCTGGCGCGGTACCACCTGCGGTACTGCCTCCTTGCGATGGCGTTGTCGACCAGGTTGCCGAACAGCCCCTTCTCCTCCTCTACTTCGTCAGTCTTGCTGTCCTTCTCCTCCGTCTTTTCGGCTCTCCAGTGCCGCTTGCCATCCTGCTCAGCAGTGACCGAGTCCACAGCTTCGGGGGTAGCCACTTGAGAAATCTGCTTGTGGTTGAGTTCAGCCGTGGCCAGGCCATTGCTGCCGGCGAGCAGGGCGACAGCAGACACGAGAACGACGTAAGCGAAGCGCATGGGGCTCTTAAGTCTTGCTCTTTGCAGAGAGAATTCCGAACTGAGAAAGGAGGGGCCAAGAGATCACGAGCTTTGCCATGGTTTGCCGCCAGCTTGTCGCGGAGATTGACTGGCTTATCCCTGCTTCTGATCCTTTTACTATTCGCAACCCATGGCAAAGCTCGTGATCGCAGGACGAACCGTATAGTGCACCCCTTTTCTTCAATTTTCTTCATGCCCATCTGCTGAAACGACAGGAAATCTGGAAATGATAGGATTCACTGTTTTGAGAACAAATTCAGCCGTGATACTGGTACTGTACCGGGTTACTGTAAAGTATTTCTTCGAAATCGAGAAACGGGTATCGACATTCAATGACAATTCGCTGCTAAGTAATTTCATCGGTAGCAGAATTGCTACGTACAGTAGGCGGTTAAACCCTCAGCACAAGGCACACAAACCTTCGTCATTCATACGGAATCGCTAACACCGGCTGTTGCGCGGCTCCATCCCAAGCTGGATCCTGCGCCTAGGAATTGATGCTCCGAGCAACTGCCATACTGCATATGGCGCTTTCATTAAAACGGTAAATTCCCGAATAATACCCCTTACCCGTATAGTACCCTCTAAAACGTAACCCAATGTGTATCCCAGGGTTACAATGTTACTTCCATACAAAGATCAAGTATATCTTTATGAATTTATTGTCGAAAGCATGTTTATACTGTGTAATATCCATAATTTAGCATATTTGTTTTGAAAATGGGAGGGTACTAATAAATTGTGTACTGTGCGACTCGGGGACTGTATTACTGTAGGCGAAGGCAAGCCGAAGCTCCCACTCCGATCTGGATACCGGTACCGGTATGTAGCTACATGAAGGTTCATGTATGCAGCGATACGACACGTTCGGGGGCAGTGACGGCGCATTCTTGCCATCATACTATGATGGCAAGGAATGCTCGGCACTAACTGTTTTGACAAACTGAACACGGATGGCTGGTAGATCTGCAGACAGCCTGGGACGTCCCAGGTCTACAGGCTCAATACGGAAACTGTTATTAATCCATGTATCAGGACAGGAATGCCCGGAATCATAGATCGAGAGTCTGGGCTTGAACCCAAGGGCAGGGTGATTTTTGGATGGCAGGTAGGTACCATTTCCCGAGCGGTCAGCCAACTCGAATAGGTATGTACAGTAGTTGGCGGGAAGAAGTCGCGAGAGTGGAGACGCACGCTTCTGTAGGCGCACTTAAGGATAAAACCTCTTAATGGAAAGATGTTGAAACCTGGCGGGTAAAGCAACGATGTTATCAATGTGACAGATTAATATGGTAACGAGCAGCGATATCAGTTAAATTACGTATGCTAACGTGGAAAGCTAAAAGGGGGGGCAGATTAGAATACCTATTATCAGACCACTTTTTAAATTTTTAAAAAGTGGCAAAATCAGAAATATTTCCACTTTTCCATTTTCTGGCGAACCTTAAAGGTGGAACAAATTTCGTTAGCACGACAGTCCCTTCTGGACGATGACACGCACAATAACATTCTCGACACAGAAGGAGCTGTCGAACGAGTCCTGGTACGGTACATATGCATGCCATACATGGCGAAAACTGCGAGAACGCCGTTGGAGTCGACGTAGCTACGAATGCGACGTTGTCCCTATCTTTTGCCAGCTACACCCCAGGCAATAGCCAAGTCTGCACGTTATATCTCATCAACGCAAATGAGTCGTAGGTGCACTATGCGGTAATTGACGCTATGAAGCAAGACGGGGTTCCCTGTACAACCACGAAGGGGGACGCCATGCCCACGCGTATGCACGTATGCAGTTATCACTGCTGTCAAGACATATGTTTGTCTATTTTGCTCGACACATAACGGCAGCGGGGGCAGTGATCCGATGCGCAATGACCTCGGAGTCTACCAGGTACTTAAGTATTTACAACAGACCAGTGTGTCTGCCACCTTTAGGCTCGTACTTAGTCAGACGATTAGTAGTTATACTTGGATATTGTATGGGTTCCACTTTTTCCACTTCCTATCGAGAAAAAAGTTCCACTTCTAAGCAAAACGCGGAAAAAGTGACAATTGCCACTTTTAACCCCTTCAAACCGGTAGCTGTATAAGCTGCGTTATGATGGTTTGGCTATGTGACCATTACGCTGTATATACAGCATAAGGAAATTAAACTTGATTTGAGTATCAACTCAAACAAACATACAAAATACAAGTCAAAAATATTGGGCAAGAGACGAGTGTTTATACCTAGCCGCTGTGGTTAGGCTGTTGAAGTACCACTCCCAATTTCTCGATATTTCCGATAATATTTTGAAGGTTTGACACAGTCATTTTGTGGCAAAATGAAATGCTAACAGGTGATTTTGCGCCTCCAGTCATTTGAGATTTCGAGCGGCGGATGGTGGGCACGCGCCAAACGAAGAAAAACCTGCTGCTCCGGATGAAGAGTGGGGGACCGTCAACTTCAAGGCGGTCTGGTCAGGATTCAAGGCGGCAGGATGGACATCCAAGCCACCCCCGCGAGGCATCGGCACTCTCTGGAAGTACATTCTGCCAGGGCGCGACGCGAATGGTGCTGAAGGCGTCGACTACTTGCTCGGAGAGCAAGCGGTGGTGAACCACGCTGTTCAGCGTAAGTGTTATGATGTGAGGCTAAACTACCAATTATCTAACTAATCTATATGTGTGTGGGTTTGCAGTCGCCCTGAAGGAGAGGACAGAACGTGCCGCTGCTGCTCCTTCTGTCGAGGCTGCAGCTGAGGAGTCTCCCTCACGCCCAGCCGAGGCTGCTGGCGCATCTTCTGCCGCGCCAGCCACGGACGATCCGCCCGCAAGTGCCGACACCTCACTCGCTGCGTCTAGGTCTGCTCAGGAACCTGAGGATGGAACCGCACCATCGAAGCAACCCCTACCGACCCGCCAGACCTCAGCGCCAAAGTCGAGCAAGTCGATCAAGGCCACCAAGACCACCAAGCAGTCCAAGTCGCCCAAGGTCAGGTTGGCGAAGCCGCCGAAAACAACAAAGAAATCGACACGCAAGTCGCCAGCTTCCAAGTCGCGCTCGAGCTCGGCGCGTTCGTCAGCCGCTGAGTCACCACCGGCTGCTGCGCCATCGACAGGTTTGTCCATTGTGGCATTATCTCAGCATTGAGGTTCTAATTTGTATATGATATGCTGTATATGCTGGTTATGTATGCTGTATGATACAGTTCCTGGTCCTACCCAATCGTCACCATCCAAGCGTAGAAGCACGGACGGATCCTCGGTCGACCGCAGTCCACCGAGTTCGGATACCCACAAGGAAAATGATGAAGCGACTAACCCAGTTACAACAAGTCGTAAAGGTGCGCGTGGTTGAATGCTGTATATACCTGGTACTGCTTGACGCTAACACGTATGCTAACACAAACGCTCAGAGTGCTGAAGCGCCAACTGAAGTTGAAGTAAACATGAGAGCGGGTATGTTCAAGCGACTATGCTGTATATGCGTGATATCACTTACGCCTAACACGTATCTTAAGCTGTATGTTGTGTTGTATTAGCTGCGCAACCGCTTTATGACATCTGTGGGGACAACGGATACGATATCAATACGGACCCCAACGGCAACAATGACTACGACGTGCTAGACTCAGGCGATGAGTCGGAGGAAGAAGATTTGCGTGAGCTGGACATGAGCGATTCGATTCATCGGCATCCGACAGCATCGACGAAGATGACGAAGAGCTGTTTGCGAAGGAAGAGCGCCACTTTGCAGACAAGTTTCTTGAGTCGTTGGGAGGCGAGGAGAAGGTGCTCGCCGGAGATTTGATCGGCCCTGCACTAAAAGATCTCTCTACGACTGGGTGGGACGAACCGGAGACTCCTGACGTCGCGGCGTATCTGGAGACGCCGTATCAGCCTGTCGCTGATAACGATGAGTATCCTGAGCTCTGGCAAGGTCGAAATGGACCCCGGAAAGAAGCTATCAAGCGTGGAGCGTCTCCCAGCTCCCTCTTCTTCCTGTTCATGCCCGTAGCCATGTGGCAACACATTGCAGAGTGCAGCAACTTCTACATGCACGAGCAGCTCGACAATCGCGTCGACTCATACTTCAAAAGGAAAGAGCAAAAAGACCGAAAAGACAAAGCGGCTGGTCGAGCGGCTTCAACGGCGAAGACCAAGACACGGCGAGATGTGCGACAAGACTTTCTGTCGGTCAAGCCTGTCATGCCGCACGAGCTGTGCGTGTATATTGGCCTGCTAATTGCCCGCGCGATCATGCCAAACCGAGAGAAGCTCGTAAACCACTGGCGCCAAGATGATGTTGGCGGGATTTCACGCGGAATCTTCGGGCGGTTCATGGTGCGAGATCGCTTTATGGAGTTGAGCCGGAACCTGGACTTCAACAGTAACAGTGACCCACGTGCAAGAACCGACCGCGCTTGGAAGATCCGCTCCGTGGTGAACGTGTTGCAGCGGACGTTCGTGGCGGCGTTCATCCCTCCCGCTGAGCTCTTCTTCGACGAAGCGATGCTTCCGTCGAGGTCATCGTACAATCGGACACGGATGTATATGAAAGATAAGCCCCATAAGTGGGGTACCAAGCTATTCATGCTTTGCTGCGCTCGCTCTACTTACTGCATTCAGTACGATTGCTGTTTCCGCTTATACTGTATTGTAATGGTTGCCTTATTCTGTATATGCGGTTAACGTATGCTGTATACACACGCTATGTTTTGCGTTTAGTTTTGAAGTGTACTGCGGCCAAAAGCAGCACATCGCAGAGTCGAGCAGTGGACATGAAGTCAGGACCGGCGGCAGTTGTGCGAAACGTGCGTGCTGTGTTCGGCGACATCACGCCTGGCAAGTACATGCGGCTCGTGGTGGTTGATCGATTTTACACGTCGATCGTGTTGGCGGTGCAGCTTCTGCTGATGGGGTTCTTCACGATTGGCACCATCCTGACGAATCGCCGTGGATTTTGCAAGGCAGTGGTGACAAAGAAGAAGAGGCTCAAAGACACCCCCCGCGGCACGTTGACATTCGCGCGCTCAAAGCATGTGAAGAATATGGCTGCAATTTGCTGGTGGGACAGCAAACCTGTTCATTTCCTGTCGGTGGGTGGGAATGCCGCCTTGGATCGTCTTGTGCGCCTCGAGAAGGCTGGTGAGCAGAACGAGATTGCGTGCCCCAAGGTCATCAAATACTATCATCGCTTCATGGGCGGAGTTGATGTGCACGATCAACTCCGCCTGCAAAGGTACTCTGTGCAGCGCTGCATCACCTATCGAAAGTACTACCGCTATTTTGGGGGCTTGTGGATCTGGACGCGTTCATCGTGCACCGAGCCTACTGCAAGAAGAAGAAGATCAAGGCGATGACCCACGTGCGGTTCATGTGCAAGTTGCATCTGCAGCTTATTGCGCTGAAGCCGGAGGATATGTACGAAGAAAACACATTTCAACCAGGTGAGTTGATTATGCTGTATAAGCTGAGGTGGCTATGCTGTATGTGCATTACGACTAACACGTATATACAGATGAAAATGTTTCCGTTGATGTAGAGGCGGAGGAACGTCAAGCGGACACTGGCAGTCATATTGCTAAGCAGAGTGACGAATGGCGCGACCACTCGGGGCAGCGAAAAAGGGTGCAGAAGAACTGCAAGGTTTGCACGCTGAAGACGCCAAGTGGCAAGCGTGGCGCCACCTACACCTACTTCTGCGATGGATGCGACTTCCCTGGGCCGATTTACCTGTGCGTCAAGCCAAAGTGGACGGTAGGAAGCAAGATGCTGAGCTGTTGGGACGTCTGGCACAAGGAGTACAACAACGGCAAGGCTATCCCGCAGGACCTGAAGGGTAAGATTCGTGTGCGCGCACCGAAAGCCACAAGCTCTCCAGGGAAGTCGCCCGCAAAGCGCCGCTGTGTCAGCAGTGTTAGCAGCGAAGTCAGCGAAGACAGCGAGTAGTTTGGGTTGTTCTTCGTGTGAATGCATGTGTTTGGTATATGTCATATTGTTCGTGTTATGCTTGTGATCTAATGAGCAATCGGCCTGCCAACGGCTAGTTGCTCACGCGGCTTTTGATTACCCATAGCATGCGTCAAGCAGAGACAGGGATAACGATCATCCATTGGCCAATTATCATTGTCATCATTTGATTGCATATCTGACAACTTAGTATAGCGGCAATCTCGACTTGTCTGTGCTACCGGAATCCCGATATTTAGAGAGATTATTTCCTACGAATCTAACGCTTGAGAGAACATAGTCCGTGTGTGCCCTGCATAAACTTACCAAACGCCAGATCGCGCGGCTACAGCACTGTGCATAGCTCATGTTATGCTGTATATATACGGGTTAGAAGTGGTTTACTCCGTCGTATATACATTCTTAGATGTAACCAAGCCCTGATGAGCCCAGTTTTTGACAGCGCCCTTACCTCCCCCTTCCCTATCGTATACAATTTTCTATATGCTAATACGCTGTATATACAGCATAGACATGGGGAAAATTCCTTCGGTTTGAAGGGGTTAAAGTGGTTTGCCTCTTATAGCACTGATACTACGGTACATGAACCTGACCACGAAAATGCAGAAGAGGGGCTACACTGAAGAATGAGCGGGGGTAACGCGTAACGCAGCGCGGCTCAACCTTCGTGCTACATGTACACCAGCGAAGGATGTTGACCCAGCAGCTTCAACGACAACTCGCAGCTGTCGACAGCAAGTTGGATGCACGTCGGGGCGGCAGGAAGTGTGTAGCTCACTTCGCCATCCATAGCTCCGTGCACCGGCTTCAGATAGTGAACTGCGGCAATTAGCATCACGTGCTCCGAGCCAAGTCGAAGACGGCCTCGTTGTGCTGGGCCTACTAAGAGCAAAACCCAAAGTATGGAATCAATGAACTCAGTTGACTTGCACTGCCGGTAGGCAGCGGAAGTGGCTCGCTGGGAGCTGCACATTCAACGTCACTAGCCTTGTTGCTGACTGAAGTAATTTCTTTTGTGGGTCAACGCTTCGTTCATTTACGATCCATTCAGTCTTTTCCTCTGAAAATTAGCTTCCAACGGACCATTTTCACTTCTTGAATGTCGACCAGGGCTGTGGAAATATAGATTGTTTATTGATTGGCGACTCAGATCTGAAACAATCAATTATTGCAATCTTGACAATCCCAAAAACAAAAGATTGCAATCTAAGTTTTCGCTTGTATTTCCTCTGCTAGGTTCATATTTTTACTCGTTTGGCGGCGCTATCGCCCTAAGATCTGTGCTTATTCGATTGCATACGTGTTAACCTTCAAAAGCCTTGGCAAAAAGCAATGTTGGGTCTTGTATTCATCATGTTGAGCGTGTACCCCGTTCGGGCACCCAATGACACCTCATTTCCGTATTTCGAAGTAGCAGAAGACACAGAAAGGCTTTGATGAGTCTAGGATCGGTTCCATGGGCTTGGAGTTGCATATTGTTCTACCGGATCACTGGCAAAGGCTCAAAATCAGTAAATGGACAATATGGGAACGGGATTGTCGATTGAGATCACGGAACCATCAATTATTGTGATTGACAATCTTGACAATATTACAATCGCAATCATATTTTCCACAGCCCTGAATGTCGACTCCGATGACCGCTGCGGTCTTGAATCATCCACCCCACAGCTATTTTCACCAAGCACCCAACACTCCCCAACTATCCAACAACAACCCATAACTATGAGTTCTCCTTTAAGCGTGACCCAACTTTTCAACGTCAAGGACAAGGTGGTCATCGTCACGGGCGGGGGGCGTGGCATCGGCAAGATGATCGCGGACGGGTTTGTCCAGAACGGAGCGAAAGTGTACATCGCCTCTCGCAACCTCGACACCTGCCAAGCTACTGCAGACGAGCTTAATGCCAAAGGCCCTGGTAAATGCAATCCGGTAAGATATACATGCAAGGTGAAGGAACGGTATAATTTTTTCTGGTGAATATCGGTCTCGTTCTGATTTTTCTTACAGCTGGAAACATCAGATTTGTCAAGCGAGGAGGCATGCAAGGCATTGGCGGATGAGATAACCAAAAGGGAGACACGCGTCGATGTTCTTGTCAACAACTCGGCGGTTGGAATCGAAACTCCTGTGGAGAACACACCAGAATCAGGTTCGTCCTAAAAAATATTTACTTTTGGGCTTGTACTCACAACTTGCCATGCCCGTATAATACATGTATTAGCGTGGAGTGAGACTCTGTCCGTGAATGTGACGGCGCCCTACCTTCTAACGCGTTTCCTGCTCCCTCTGCTGGACGCTGCTACAACGTCCACCGACGGAGCGCGTGTCATCAACATTGGCTCGATCGCTGGCTTCATGCCGCAAAAGATCGACACCATCGTGTACGACACGTCCAAAGCTGCGGTGCACCACATGACGCGCGCACTCGCGGCCAAGTTGGCTCGCCGCCCGAACGGGGGCCACATCTTGGTGAACGCCATTGCGCCCGGGTTGGTGCCGTCCCAAATGACGGACGGGATCGCATACGTGACTGGCAAGCCTTTTGACAAGATCAAGCAGGAAATCCCCACGGAGAGCATGGGTCAAGACTCGGACATGGCTGGGTTAACGTTAGCCATTTTCCTGGCGTCAAAGGGCTCCGGATGGATCTCCGGCCAGGTCATCACATGCGACGGAGGAATGGTCGGCGCAGCAGAAACTGGGGTGGGTCCATAACCCAACACGACAAGCGCTCGTTGAACGGGGACGAACTCTTCAACACCCCCGAGTCCGGGAAAATAGGCTCGCGGGCCTCTGACGATCAAATGCTCAGAATCTTAATCTATTGGCCTTCAGAAGCCCTTCCTTGTCTTTAGCTGGAATGTGCAGCAACTGAGATTCCTAAGAAGAAGAAGGAAATTGATTAACAGGCTATAGACTTGTCGTAGAGCTGGCTAGAGAAACCTAATTCTGCTGCTGAGGGATCCATACAGGCGTAGCTACAGGGAGATCGTCGTCGTCGATGGGTTCGGGGAAACCCAGACGGCGCAAAACTGTCTTTATATCGTCGCTGACGAGGCCGATCGGCGATAGAGATGCTGGTAATGTTGCCGAAATGAGAAGCCCAAGCGAGAAATGCTAGGGCTGACCACGCGAACACCGTTGAAATGTATGTCATTCCGTAGACGCCACAGTGCGTGGAACACAATAGCCGTGTGGATGCGCCATAAAATGAGAAGGGTGCCGCGTTGGTGGCGCCAATCTTCGTGGACATCGCGGTCGGACGGGAAAATCAGCAGCCGCCACCCCAGTGAGCATCGAAAAGCAGGAGCCCAAGGCTCCCACAGCGTCAACTGAGATTCCTAAGAAGAGTGCAATGTAGCAATGAAGCGTTCTCGGTACCACATTTGAAAAAAGAGATACTGAGATCTCCAGGATGACATCTGACATCAAGCAGCTTTCGCTACTGTCTGTGTCAAAGGCGCTTTCGCTTTTGACACGTCTTATGTGATTCAGTAAAATACGCGATGTTAATTAAGCTTACCATAGTACAGTGTGCTCGCATCGGATCGGACTTTGGAGTGTACTTGAAGAATCTAGTACAGTAGAAGTTTATGCGCCTGTGGAATGTGCTTCGTTGCGCTACACTTCACCACCAGTGGACAGAACGGAACTACATCTGCTTCGAAGACGGAGACCCGGACCCAATGCCCACGGCGATTTCAAGCATTCATTTAGCATTCTGCTGCCACTACCGCAGACTACTCCGGATTTCCAGCCCGGACATTCGTAAGGGATGCGAGCGTGTTCTGCGACAATTACGGCAATTCAAGCACTCAGGCGCGTTCATCCAAAGGAACGCAACCAACTTTCGCACACGGCATGTACAACTTCGTCTCACATACCGCACCGGAGTGGTGTTTTGCACAGTGGTTGATTAGTTTTATTTTCATTATCTAGTACGACTAGTACCAGACCATAGTATCTGTCCAAATCGAGAAGGACATTAAATCGGTAATCGAACAATTCATCATCAGTACAGTAGAAGTATAATACTACTCCGAAGTACGTAGCAAATGCGGCTGGTTGAGAATGGACCGAAGTATATCAAAGTTACGTTACTGTATTGTGTTGTGTCACCCACCACACATTCGTTATGCAAAATATTCGATCGTGCTTTGCTCTGTGGACGTTGCTGTGGGCAGCATGTTGGATAGTTATGATAATCACCCGGTTTGCTGCCCTCAACAAATACGTGTTGTGTACGGTGCCGATATAGATTTTCAAGTGGTGCCGCACCTACCGCCGAAGCAGTTCATTTCATTTTTATTTCTGACTTCACTTGTAATAGAATGTCAAAGGCTTGTACCCGCCCCCTGGGTATCAATCTCCTCACCGTTCATCACATTTACCGAAAACAAGTCGACGACTCTCGCCATACGAGCTTGCGTTCACCGCGTCATCACAATCTGCGTTAGGAGCTTTTAAGCCCAGAGTTGGAGGAACGACAAAGAAGACTGGTAAAGCCTTAGCACTTGGTGCAGCCGAACTACAGAATTAAGAGCCAAATATAAAGTAGCTCAACACTAAATTGAACGAGGTTTGAAAGTAGAAAAATAAAACAAAATAGAGCAAGGTAAACTCGGGACGATTCGTGGTGATCTCGTATAAACCAAATCGCTACAAGTACCACCACAGCCTTCCTTAGCGAATCAGGTGCCCGGACGCCATTCACACAAGCTGGTAATACTATACACAACCACCTACAACTTTTATATATTGTGATTCTGGGCATTACGTCAAGAGATTTTGGATAACTAGGAGAAATCCACCAACGACCATGGCTAGGCGGTGGCCGAGTGCCGTTCTGATCCGCAGGTATCCAGGACTGTTGAAGATCCGCAACCATATAGGAGCCGGATCCTTTTCTGCTGTAGACCACGAAGACGGAGCGAGAGAGAGCTCTCCGAATCAAAATACCAGTTCTCAATTGACCAAGACACCGACGCCAGCAATTCAAGAACGAAAAATCTACAAGCACAATGAAATTCGCGACCTCCAGCGCCGTTCTCCTTGGTGTCGTCGTTGCAATTTCCTGCCGCGCTGACACCCAGCAATGCTCTGCAAGCGTTTGTGGCAGCACCAGCTCGGAGAAAAACTTTCAGATCAGCAATTGTTGCACGTTGCAACTCGTCATGACCTTCTCCGAGTGCTGCCAAGCGAGCTGCTCGCGCAACACCCCCTGCGCATACCCGTGATCATGCCGACTCTTTGCTTCGGACGGCCACCAATGTGAAGCGTAATTCTCGAACGGAGAAGGTGGAGGCCCCTAAACCTCTCGGCACAACGAAGACAATAAACAACTTCATTGCGCCGGTCACACGCCGGTCATATGCCAAAAGATCCCCCCCTAAAATTTCCGCGTATAGGCAACAATATTATTTTCGTGTAGGACAAAGAATTTGTCGATCTCTGGTAGTAAATGCAGTACACATGTGTACTACAGAAGTAAAACAAGATTGTCGGAACATAGACCGGTACGCCGACTATTCACTGTTCACAGATTCTCGAGAGTTGACTTTAGGTCAGTTTTGGTAGAACAATTCAAGCATCCAATTGCCAACCTGAATTGATAGGACACTGTGGGTGGGACTTTTGAGCAAGGTAAACGCGGTGGTTCATCGAGGTGATTTGTACACTTAGCAAGGACGTTCATTGGAACGGTGGGACACCAAGTGAGATGGTAAATCGGTAGGTCACTAAGCCAAGCTGATGGCTGCCGAGGCTGTACTTTAAAACGTACTCGCAGACACACCACCGCCAACGTCACCACGAGCTGTGATGATTCCCGCGCCGCTGTGCTCACCTAAGAGCCCCAGATGCGTCCCATGTGCCGACGAACCTGCTACCGCCGTTGGCGGCCGAACATGGAAGGATGTTGTGCTGGGAAGAGCAGCTACGACCGAAGCGAACGCTCTGGCAGCATCACCTGTCCAGCCGCCAACTTTGGTTTCGCGATCTCCTCCAAGCTCTCGATGTCTAGCTGTCCCTCCTCTGCCAAGTGTCATGCCAGTTCCGCCGTCACTAGCTTCACTGGACGTGTCTATTCAAGAATCGGCGCCGCTGGTAGTATCTGCGGCTACCCCAGCTACGACGTCTTCCGAACAAGCTTCGTCGCCATCGGACCTTGGCGATGATCAAGCAAGCGGTTGGACGGTAGAGTTCGAGTCGTCTGAAGACGACTTAGAAGAGCCTATCCTGAACGAAAAGCTGGTGTTTGTTGATCGAGTGGAGTTTGAGACGATAGAGGCGGCGAGACTCGGAATCGATGGCTACGATGGATATCTGTACGCATTTGCCTACAATTATGGCAAACGAGGTGATATAGAAGCGTCTATCGCTGCATTTCGCATGAAAACTGTGAAAAGCGGGTTAGTTTGGCGCCGTCAAGGGACGAGGACGTGCTGACATGTTGGCTTCAAGACGCAGGTATGCACATGGGAGCTGTTACCGATGCGAAGAAGCGAGGGATCCCTGGTGTTTTTCTTCGGGAGGTGGACGACATTTTGCTGGGCTGTGGCCCCAAGAAGTGCAGGAAAATACTTCTCGACCGGTATATCGACGTACCTAGTCGCTACGGGTTGGTTCCTGGTGAAGCACAGGTAAAAAACAGGAAATCAACACTCATGAAGCGGCGTGCAGGTGAACATCAACATCAATGCGTTTGTAACTGTAAGCTATATGTGAACTTAATACATTTGTGTGTTGGTAGGTGGCTGGGAAATTAAAAATGTTGCGGGGTTGCTAGAGTGGACTTCAGTACACCTGTGCACGACGAGTGGAGAGTTCTTTCTGCGCGGTTCAAGCAGCGCATCTAATGCTCCATTCGATTGGCAGCATGATTTCGCAGTGTTCGACTCTATGGACAAAGATCTCAAGCACGGACCGTTGGTGCTTGAGTGCTTCTCGCACGAAGTAACTCTAGACGACGGGAAAAAGCGGATTGCTGCGGTCTCATTCTGACGTCACGCGCCATCTTCTGGAACGTGTTAAAGGCATATAACGGCCAGAACGAGGACGGAATCCTCGGTGTCACGGACGGAACGTATCGCTTGCATTTTGGTAAGGCTTCCTAGTACTCGATCGGTTTATTTGTTTAATAACGGAGTGCTTTGTTATTAGATGGCTGGACTCTTATGGACTTTGGCACGTACACCACCCACTACGAGAAGAAGCGCTACTCCAAGACCTTTGCGCCATGGGCGTACATGTTCGTACGCACCGAGCATCACGTAGCATACGCTACGATGTTTAAGGTGGTAAGGTCGTTTGCATCTCGCTTTTTCGAGATTAACCTCGTGTTGTCGTTTGGCAGCCTAGATCGCAGTCAGTACATCGATAGTGCATACCGAGAAGTCTGGCCCTCCATTCGGCTGTTAAACTACTATCCCCATTTGGCTCGAAAGTGCGGTGCGGCCGATTAACTTCGTCTGTTAGCTGAAAAGGATTTCTACGAGGCCAGTGTGGCGATCAGTATCAAGCACATGAGTAAGGCTCGCTCGGAACACCAGTTCTTGGCGTTGGCAAGCTTTTCCTGGCGCATTGGCGTGAGCACGGGGAGAAGGAATACGCGAGCTGGTTGGAGGACACGTATTTAGGCCCCACTTCGATGTTTTGGTACTACCAGGCAGCAATTCCCGGCGTTACTCCGTCTCCGAATGCACTCGAGTCCCACCACAAGACCATCAAGACCACGTGCGTGGCCTCGCTGCGCTCCAGCACGGCTGTTGTTTTGAACGACGGTATTCCAAGCATATTGTTTCACGAAGCCTCCCAGCCACTTCGACGAGATCTGTTCCACTTTAGTGAAGGTTTGCCATTCATGGCAATATTTGCTAATTGTCATTGGATACTAACATATTTGCAACTGATATCGCGTACAGGTCCTTTGTGCAGCGAGGCTGTCGCTAATGCTAAGCGATTACTGGACAACAAGAAGAACTACTACCTGCTCAAAGCCCCTCGCTCTCGTGTTTTGTTTGGTGTGCTGTTCAACGCGACTAAGTTCGTCATCTCCAGCACGAATATCAACAGTGCAAGTATGAACAGAAGCCAAGCGCAGCGGTGAGTGGAGCAATTCACCGTCCTGGTGATATCAGACATACAGGTACCTGGACACGCTGACCGGCAAGCTACCCAAAGACATTTCCGTTCGAAATGTGAGCTTTACTGCCTCTCTATCCGCCACGTGAAGCTACTGCACCAGGAGACTATCACGAACTTTGGCCCATTAGCGCGTGTTTCGGTTGAAGAGGTGCGAATTGGCTAGAATGATGACATGCCAACTCGTTCAACTGACGTTTTGATGCAGATTCAGGCTGTCCGACGCAAGTACGCGTGCGATTGTGCGATGTTTGCCCAGGCGGGGTGGCAGTGCTCTCATGTTCTCGCGGTTATGGTTCTGCAAAAGGAAATCAACGTGAGCAGACTTCTCACTGCGCTACCAACGCGAAAAGCAAGTGGAGGTTAAAGGAAGCTGCCTTGCTAAAGGTAATGACGAGCACCAGTTCTCCGTCGATTGATCAAGCGGTATCTAAAGCAGCCCATGTACCCACTTCATTGGCACGTCATGCGGGATTTCGACATCAGGACCAAGGCTGGAGTGTCCAAACGCGAGAGCTTCTGTGGAACAGTTGTGTCGTGGGGTGATGACGACGGTGTCTACTACTGGGCAGTCCAGTTCCCGAAACTCAAGAAAACGCTGAGACTTGAGTGCCAAGAGCTTGCTGAATGCACCCACGAAGCATACAAGCACGGTGTAGATGTAACTGGGCTCTCATCGGCCGAAGCTGTCGTTTAAATTTCAACGGTCCAAGGTTATAGGTATCAATCGTATTAGTACCTGCCCAACTTGGCTTTACGCTCCAGTCCCGATAGCACACTCCCGTGCTTTTTTATCTTGCTGAACCGCCTCTCTGCTGTAAAGACTCGACAAACATCCTTTTTTTCTGCGTCCTTGACGAACCACCAAAAAAACTTGATAAAAAGCCCGTCCCGGACACTGTAGGGCGTTCAACAACCCGCTATAGGAACTTGTGACTTGAGAACAGCTTGCACCCAACAGATACTGCATTTTGATAAAAAACAGCTAAGAGCCCCAAATTTAGTTTTAAAAAAATCTTGCACCGTTACTTCCGACAAGGATCACTTACAAACGAATTCGTTAAAAAGAAATCTGAAGTAGAAATAAGGAAATATTACTGTACTGTAAGTATGTTCTCTTGTTATGCCTACCCCACGTTATTCTCATGTCATAATTCCACACATTGAACACAGCTTCGGTCCACCTCGTGTTGCTGTGTATCATTTGTTTTACTGCGGATGAAAATGCAGTTTACTATTGCCCACACCACTACGTAAACTCGGGGAACATAACGGATACAAGATCCAATTGTAAGATTTGGCTTACCCTCAGCAGCTAGCCACATTACTCTACAGTACTGAATCAATCTGCCCTCCCAAACATTCCTGTACGTACAGTACGTGTGCAGTTCGCTTAGTTGTCCATAGACCTTTCGTGATGAATTCATCAGATCAGGATTCAGTTCGCAATTTGCGCTCGACTACCCAAGGCGTCTCAAGAGCGACTTAGTCAAGATCTGATGAAGCAAGCACGCGCAGTCCAACTTGTGCTAGCTGTTACTACAATCATCTCGGTCAGAGATGCGTTGCCGGGCATAGTACAGGATACGCGAGCTACGCGTGTGTCGACAACGATCGCAGACGCGCGTCATGGTGGGAAGCCTGGAAGAAGATTTTTACGAGGCTCTCCCTTGAACGCTGATTCGGAAGAAAGATCCCCAAACGTTGATATTATCGTCAAGGATGCTGCCTCAAAGTTCAAGAAATCCGTACTATGGAAATTTCAATTTGCTGTTTGAGTGTACCTGTACAGAAGGACTCCGCAGCAAGCGCGCGAGGAGCTGGGCTTGACACTGAAGGGGCGTGAAGTGTACTCGACGAAGAACTTCAAGAAGCTCGTGGCTTACCGCGACACCTATGGCTTGGGTCCGTTGACATACCCGTAGGGTTCTACCGTGGTTTTTTTGGCTCACACCGATGCGTAGGCTGGTTTTTGCTAAGCGTTAATGTTACTGTTCAGCCGTCGAACGAGCTGCAAGTTCATTTGGTGCTATGTCAGCATAGTATTCTTCCCTGTGGTCGGTAGTATTTCAAGCGCACACAAAGCAGTTGCTGCTTATAATAAGTATTGTGCTCCATCACCGCATAGCGCGTAGTCCAATTAAAAAAATCTCAAAAAGTATGCCATACTTTGTAATATATGTAGTGCGCGGTTTTTAAAATGATTATTTTAACATGCGTCGGATTGATTCAAGCGTGGAAGGTTTTTGAGCGAAAGTTGTAGGAAAATACAAGTATTATGCATATGTTTTACTAACGTTACCACTTAACCTACCAGTTTGACCGTTCAGGCCAAGCACTGCCAGTCCTGTTGAAATTAATGTATGGTCCAAAGGAATGCTAAAACAATGGGGTATTACGGGATACTAGCACGTAAGCTTCGCCACGCTTTTGCGCGCCTATGCAAACACGAAACGGTAAAGGAATTCTCGCAACGTTTTCTTCCCTCATATGCCCCCAGTGCCAAGACCTGTATTACGGACTTTGCCGCGTAAACTTTTGCTAAAGGCAGCAGTTTACTTAGTTTTTAACTGGCGCTCGACTGCATAAAAGACCTCAAGATCGACTACCCTTGAGCCCAATGTTGCACTGGAACATGGTGCTCTTGACTCTAACCACCATCCTCTTAGCCGGCAACGCTCAGTCCGCGACAGCTTCCACTCAGCAGACTGCAAATTCCCCAGTGCGTCAATTTCAACCAACGCCTGATACTGTCATCGACGGAAAGAGGTTTCTAAGAGGGACCTCCAAGGAAACGAACGCCGCCGTTGCGGAAGAGCGGTCACCGAATATGGACCTCATCATCAAGGACGCGGCCTCCGAGGTGAAGAAGGCGGTCTTCTGGAAGTTCAAGTTTGCTGTCTGGAAGCATCTCCTCCGCAGAGACACCCACACTGCCCGCCAAAAACTAGGAATGGGAAACATGGGGCGAGAAGTGTACTGGCACAAGAACTACGAGCAGCTGCAAGCGTACCAAGAATTCTTTAAGAAGGGCCCTTTGAAGTACCCCAAGGGCAGTTGAGTGTACGCTGAGGCTAGACACTCCAAGTCGGTGCTCAGCGGGGGCAATGCTTTGCCGCACTTAAGTATTGAGGTTGAAGACTTTATGGGAACCGTGCTCGAAGAAGGAAGTGAAGGAGCTCGTGGCTCGTATGGATTAGTGTACTGTAATTTGGTAGTTACTCTCCTGGTCATGCTTTTTGAATAAAAAATCTTTTAATCTTCACGTGTGATTGTATCCAGATGCATTTTCTGCTCAAACTATACCGACTTCTGATATCATGGGACCTTGAGCTGGTAGCTGATAGGTAACACACTGATTCCATTCTCGCTGGTTGGATACGCTTCCACTCTGAAATTCACTAGTCGCATAATGCGGCAGTTCGGAAACTTCAACACTCATCTAGAGGTAAGTTACAACATGTAATTTGCATACATGGTCTCGTGGTTGCTGCTAAGGGGCTTATGCCTCGTGTGTAGGCGAGGATACGCTTTACTTCCAAAGTAGACCGTCATGTATCCATATCACAATACAGGGGCATCGTGTGGCCCACACCACGTTGCAGTTCATGTTTTTGTTTACGCTGACCTGTTCAAGTGTTCAAGTCGACCCGACCGGGCAGCTCTTCCTCACATTCGATCCCGCCGCCTCGAGCGCAAGAAGCCTTTCAATCCGATCCCCGCCATGAGCCCCCTCCAGCTGCAGCAGCTCTTCGACGTGAAGGACAAGGTCGTGGTCATCACGGGCGGCGGCCGCGGTATCGGCAAGATGATGGCCGACGGCTTCGTGCAGAACGGGGCCAAGGTCTACATCGCCTCGCGCAGCCTCAAGGCGTGCGAGGAGACGGCCGAGGAGCTCAACGCCAAGGGCCCCGGCAAGTGCATCCCGGTAAAGCTACTGCATTTGTCAATATTATTATAGAGAGGTGCTGACGCTGTGGGCTGTGTGTGTGTCATAGCTGCAAGCCAATCTGCTGAGCGAGGCTGGCTGCAAGGAGCTGGCGGACGAGATCGCCAAGCGCGAGAGCAAGGTGGACGTGCTCATCAACAACTCGGGCGTGTCCTGGGGCGGGAACTTCGAGCAGCACCACGAGGCCGGTAAGACGCAGTCCGCTGAAACATATTTTTTTATTCGGATGTTTATTTATTTATTGTTTCTTGTGGCTTTTGGCAGCCTGGAACAAGGTGCTGACGGTGAACGTGACGTCGCCCTTCCACCTGACCAAGTTCCTGCTGCCGCTGCTGGACGCGGCAGCCACGTCGTCGGATGCGGCGCGCGTCATTAACGTCGGCTCGGTGGCTGGTCTCATGCCCCAGCAGATCGACACCATCGCCTACGACACGTCCAAGGCCGCCATCCACCACATGACCCGCGGGCTGGCAGCCAAGCTGGCGCGTCGCCCCAACGGAGGCCACATCCTGGTGAACGCCATTGCGCCGGGTCTTGTGCCGTCCAAGATGTCCCAGGGCATCTCGGTCGTCACGGGACTGGCCATGGACGACCTGGCCACGGGCATCCCCATCCAGCGCTTTGGCCTGGACTCGGACATGGCTGGCCTCGCCATCTTCCTGTCCTCCAAGGCCTCGGGCTGGATCACGGGCATGGTCATCGCCTCGGACGGTGGACAGGTGTACACGATGGAGACGGGGGTGGGTCCGTCCAAGCTCTAGGTGGATGGATATGAGAGCGAGTGGGTGGTTGTTTTGCAAGCTGAAAACAGTGTAAGCGAAATCAAACGAGTATTGAACCAGTGTCGGAATTTTGAGTTGCTTATTCTAGCAAGAGGTCTTACTACTACGTGGTAGTAGTAGGGGTGACAGACAACCAAAGGCAGCGAGCCGAATCTTTAGGGGTATCTCAGGGGCCCCTTGCCGTAGAACTTCTGGTAAGCCATGAACTTTTCCCACTTGACATGCCCCCTGTTCATGATCTTCAATTCCTGGGCCAGTTTCGTGGGGGTCTTGCCCATCAACTTCCATGCCGCGCACTGCGCCTTCCACACGGTCGCCTTGTTGGTCGCTTTCACCGCGTCCTTGATAGCGAGGTCAACATTCACGAGGCGTCTCTCTTCCTTCTCGCCGTCGCTGTGGACCACCGCCTGCCTGCCTCGGAGAGATCGTTTATTCTGCTCGCTGGTGAGCTGGGAGATGTCTGCGGAAGCAGGAACAGCATTGCTGCTAGCGACGAGAGCGGCGACAACCACCAAGAAGACGTGGATCAGACGCATGGTTACACCTTGAGAGAAGGAAAAGCAGGGACTTGATTGGGCTCTTAAGAGGAAATCGAAGAATGACCTGGATGGCGAAGTATCCGCAAAACCGAGAAGCCCCGCGTCAGAGGTTGATGTAGTGTGCTCAGTGAGCTGCTCTACTGGAAAAAGCAAATCCGGTGATACACCTCATAACGTTATCTTGATGCCCAAAATCTGGATCTTGCGGGGCATAACGCACATTGGATTCATGCTCTTTCGCAAAACGATACTTAGCCCCAGAGAGCCTACCGTAAGACAAAGCGTCTTATGTTTTGCAATCAACGCATTTTGGCTACATCTTGGTTTTAGTATACCAGTGGCTACATTGTATTTTGTCCGTCAAAACGTATAACAGTTTGTCGGACAACAATTTGCACCATGCGATTGGCCAAAACTTTCTGCACGAAAGAGGGTAGTGTCGTTGCGTGCGTTCCTACGTTGAGCATGTAGGAACCCGAGGACAACCGCTTTGCCATTTTTGAATTGCTCGTGCCACCTACAGTCGAGCCGACGAAATAAGGCGCTCACAAACACGAACATGTAGTCGGTAGAGCGGCCCTACTGCCAACTACAATGTACACGCTTGTTTGAGAATGGTTAAGAAATAAATGCACCCGAACCAATAGCCCAGCTTGACAAACAAAACGTTCAGAGCTTTATAGTGAATTCTAGTTAATGCATAACCAAATAGAGCCCCTCTTCCTCCGGTAGTGCGGCCCACGAACCCTGTCGTGTCCTCTGAGGACGCCTCCAGGAAACAGTGCACGACGTGCGCGCACACATGCTCCGCACCGAGGTGTTGTCGGAGGACGCGAGGGAGTAGACATTCAATACATTATGAGATCTTACCAAAGTCATGAAATGAAATGTTTTGTAGTAGCAACAAGGCAGCGTCAGCCAGCTTTGGTATTTGTATTTGTATTTGTTGCGGTTTGCTTGGCTACCTTACTCCCGGAGGCGCACACTGCTGCAGCTCCACCTACGTCGGTAGTGGACACCACCGACCTCACCCGCGGCCACGTGTAGGCAAGCTGTTGGTGGTGTCGCAAACAAATAACTACAAAACGACGTGACGGCCTCTAAGAGTCAAATGAGCGGCGAAACTTCTCGGGGAATACATGAAAAATACCAAAGCTAAAGTAATTGATCAGCCCGGCTGAAGGCGCTTACCAGTTTGCTCGGCCTGCTACTGTAGTACTAGGAAATCTAAACGATCTAAGCTCGCCGTGGTGTTTTAAATATGTAGAGGGAGTTTGTTGGTGTCGCAGCGCTCCTCCGCACAGTTCTATCGAACCGCCAATCATTACTACCACTACTATGCTGCGCCCGATATTAGTCAGGATACGAAGTGCAACGAAATGCATCAAAAAGAGTAGCGAAGAGGAACGCTGCGAGCACTCTGCGCCTGGCAGTGCCAACAGAATTGGCAAGTCGTAGTATTCGCCAATCAAATCACTAGATTTGATTTGTCGTCAAACTGTCTTACGAATGCTCGACACAAGTGATTGTTTTGGGCGTTTCTTGTGATCAAAGTCGCCAGTAGCGCTGGCCTACGCCTTTACAAATGCAGCACTTCAACATGTCAATGTAGTGCACTGTAGTCGTAGTTGTCGTATGCGCTTTGAGAACCGACCGCGGCTTTATGGATAATTTTTGAAAGCGTTCTCTCGTCGAGGTCCAGGGATATTTACGCAATAAATCGTATATTCCCAAAAATCAACATGCCGAAGGCCTTGGAATATTGCTGTTGATTTTTTTTAAAAAAGAGGCTCCCTTTTGATGGCATTTTGAAACGAGAGCTGTATCGCTCTAACACCTTATAATTTAGTCGCGGCCTCCTATTCAAGCAAGTCGTACCGTCGACACATCGGCCGATGAGTTCTGGGAGTTAGTGTGAAAGAGATGACTTCATCAGGTGAGGCCCGACGTTTCGATACGCAAACAACGCGCGAAACGATAGGTGTTCAAGTGTCGGAATAAATTGATGTGCTTATTCATTTCAGCAAGAGATCGTATGAGTAGTCAATGCGTTTGCAAGATGGACGTTAACTTGACCAAAGATGGCGAGCTCAACCTTCCGGGGTATCTCGATTCTCCGTCGTAGAATTTCTGTAAGCCATGAGCTTTTCTCACTTAGGGTGCCCTCTGTTCCAGATGTGCAGCTCTTTTGCCAGCTTCTCTGTGGTCTTTTTGATTGTCGTCCACCACAAGAATTGGGACTTCCATTTCGTTGCCTTCTTGACCGAGTAAACCCTGGGGAATGAGATCTATCTTCACAAGACGCCACCCTCCCTTGTAGTTCATAAGCAACCCGGAGCGTTGCTCCGGGAGGGTACACAGGTCGACGAATAGTTTCATGGACGATGATAATGGATCATAATTGAGTAAATCCTAAAATTGTTTTGTTTTTAATCCTTAAAAGCACTACCAGCCCAACTCTCTAGTTGATTCTAACATGGGCATCTACTGCGCCTGCTTCGCAGCCGCAGCATCTGCCCGAGAATGCGTAATTGAACAAATAGTTGCGTACATCGAAGTGTATCGATACGGACATGATGTTTCAGCCAAACATTTGTGAGGCTGCTAACCAGCAAGCCCCGCTCTTCTTTATCGTGGTGGGTTCTCAGGAACCGAAAGTCACCAATTGAGGTTGCCTGGTCTGATGAGGCCATCGGTGACATAACACCTGGTCAGCGTCCAATGGCTGCGTTGGCGAGAGAGCTATTTCATTCATTTTGCAGGGAAGGTATGCTGTGCTCATTTTTGTACTATGTTGTGTGCTAACGATCAGACGAGAGAGCTACAGTAGCGGAACGAAGGAGTGACGCGTGGTGCGCTGATCTTGACCTTTTAACTTGAGGATGTTAGCTAAGTGACAATAATGATCCTCAATTCAAAAACAAAACAAACAAAAAAACTTTTAACTTGAAGGCTTGTGGGGGGGGGAATTGTGGGATGAGAAATACGCTAATGGGCCAATTCCTTGGAAGTGGTTGCTTCAACGCAGGGAAAAAGTCGAACGATGCTCGTGTCACCGTCGAGTTGAGCTGATTGGTTTGGCGAAAGAAACGATTAGTATCAACCTTTGGTAAATAATGTGCATAAATCTTAGCATTTATCGACGGGTACCCGATTCCGGCAAATATTAGCTTATACATTACAATTAAGAAAGAGAGACCCGGTTTGATACCCGGTTTTGGAAAGTTATAACTTTTTTGCCGGGGCCAAGCACAGGTCTTCGACCTGTGAATAGTCTCTCCTGTCCTTAGAAATCGCTTCGTGGAGTTGCCATACTGCTGACCAGTACCGAGTGGCATCCGGTGAGGAATTGCTGCTGGTGATGAGCAGAGCTCGGAAAAATAATTATTTTATTTTATTGAGGGAGTCAACTCGCGTCAATAAATTATTGGGCAATAAACTATTTATCATCAAGTAAACCACTAATCAGCTATTATATACCTCCGCTCGTTATACGACCACTACACGTTATCTATTGTCAGTCTTGAGTGCGTCCGCTATAAGCTCAGTGTCCAAATCTTCCATTGAACTCCAGCATCACCAGCCTCTCGAGAGTCGTAGGGTGCAAGATTTGCTGGCGGTCGGTCAGGAATAATCCCGTCCTCGAGAATAAACGTTCAACGTCGCTCGATGTCGGTGGAATCCAGCGAAGCTCGATAGTGTATTGCTTTTCAACCGGAATAGCTTCTCTGCAAAAGAGAGATTCTCACCCTCTTCATCGTCACTTGCATTGCTCTCTCTCTCTACGAAGTCGTGAGAGGGTCGTCCCCACAGTAGTAGCAACGAACGAGTCGAGGGTTCCTGGACGCACTGCTCGGATCTCGTACTTCGAGAGGTAGGTAGTCTTGTGGTCACGTCGGAGGTGGTCGGTCGTGTTGGTGGTGTAGCAACCGAGGACGACAGCTTGCGTGCCTTCAAGCACAGTCAGCACTTGTAGCGGCCGTTTGGCAGCTTCGAGCAGAGGGTTCTGGTGAGTTGCTTCGGTGTCGGGGACACTGCAGATTTTGAAATGATAGCGAGAAGAGGAGAATTACTTGAACGCGGATAGCTCGGATGCCCCGAAACTTCTAGAAGCCCTTATCTGCATACACGTTCTAGAATCTGAGAAATACTGATTATTGGGGTCGACCTCAATAAATTATTTCAGTTATTTTATTGCCCAACTTCTTTATTTTATGTACTAATTCCGAGCTCTGGTGATGAGCACCGCTACAACCACCAGGAAGACATGGTAGATGCGCATCTTCAGTCTTGAAAAAAGGGTAGCACTGAGAGTTTGGGGACAAATTGGAGAGTGGGTGGTTTAAACACGTAAATCCGAGAAGCACGCCTAATGAGGCTAGACATGTGAGGATCAAAGCAAATCTGATGATAAATACATTTTTTTATTTAACGCTATATTGATCGCGATCTGGGGGCATACATGTACCGAAAAGTTGATTGTCTGGTCGTTTCTTGTGACGAAACTCGCCAGAAGTACTTTACTGGTCAACTGACTGTACGTGTACAGCTCGCGCTATAAGGATATCCTCGTCGCTCTTTCATATGCTCTCCATTTACTCTCAGTATGGGAACCGTATATATTTATGTATCAGCGCATTCAGTAGTGTATTTCTGAACTGTCGTTGGGGGCATTTCCGGAGTGATCGATCGTCGCGTACCAAGCCGCGGATGATATCATTATATCGTCACCTCAGTGAGGAGTTTCAAAGGCGGCGTTGCACCATCAAGACACGCGCTGGCAGCCAAACCTTTCAAACTGGGTCGCATTCTGGTATTCAATTCTCGTATACACCATTGCTCTCGATTGATGCTGTGGCAGTGGATAACTGGGCGAATTTGCTTCAGTTGAGCGCCAGGGGCCGAACGTCGCCACTTTCGCCTTCTCTATTACTATAGCGATAAAATATCAAGGTAAGCTCGAATTAGGAGTAGTAATACTTGGAACATTACACCGGCAGTTTTTTTACTTTCCGTAATTTACCACCAAGAACATTCCTGGAACCTTCTTTCGGGCCAGGTGCTATTTTGACGACGCAACCTCTCGACCAACGTCTTTCGATCTTAGGGTAGTTTTAGAACCGCTCGACCACTGAGAACAGACAACCGTTGGTTTCGTCTGAATTTCAGAATTTATTTTTTTTCTCAAAAAATTAAAGTAGCTAGGTATATAGATACCCCCGATAACATGACGAACGAACTAACTTTTGGAAAATACAAGAACACGCCGATCGAAGAAGTATTCACTTCTGATCCTGGTTATTGTCGCTGGATGCTCAACCAACCAAGTCTCAATATTAGTGAGGAAATCAAGATATTCCTCCACTCCAAGTTTCTAACCAATGATAACTCGTATATGATGAGTTGGGGCAAGTACAAGGGTAAGACGCTAAAACAAATTAGTCGCACCGATTCTAATTATATCGATTGGCTTCGTAAGAACCCATTCGTAATTGAGAAATGTCCTAAGCTTGTCGAGGCTTTACAGCCTAATTAAAAAAATATCTTTTTTTTTAAATCCAAACCTAAGCAGTGGTAAATCAAGAACTTCACCCGTTAGACGATCATAGGAGAGCTCTTGCTCACTCACAACCAATACAAGCATGTTGGTTCCCTGGCAACCAGCGTTGACACCCTGGACCTGAATAGCCTGAGGTACATCACGCTCCGTCAGGCGGCTAACGTCAGCGATAAGGACGCGGTTTGTTAGAGACCACGTCTGATAGTCAAGAAGACCATTCACCAGCTCGGGAGTTAGATCACCGTTAATCGAAGCAATCTTAGCGATCTCGTTAGTAAGGTGGTGGAAGTCATAGTCATGGCTGATGTCGAAGGTCTGTTGCGAACCAATGCGGACGTTGAAGTTGCAAATGCTCGAACCAGGGTGAAGAGTCCAAGGAGCCGAATCGAAAGGACTCTGAAACTCTCAAATAGCAGCAGAAGCAAAACTACCGGTCTGTTCGGCAAAAGGAAGGGGGATAACATACTTAGCGTTCTTAACAGAAGCCGAAAGCTGAAGATCAAATGCAGCATTAAGCTGAGTCGACTGCTTAACAATACCAGCGCGCTGGTAGAACCATTGGGCATAGCAATCGTTGTATCGAACCTTCTTAACGGGCTTAGAGATGATAGCCTGAGGGTTCTCCAAATGAACGAAAGGAACATACAGTCGAGAAGTCGTGAAAGGCACGTAGGTTCCATCAATTGTAGGCTCAAGCGAGTTAACCACAGCACCCCAAGAAACTGCAATGGAACCAGCGACACTAAGAGCATTGTACATTGGGTTTGGACTGGTCGCAGAAGCAACCATTACTGGACATACATTGCCACCCGATAATGTTGTTCCCGTTAGCGTCATATTTCTCGATGCATCAACATCAATAGCTGAAGTGCCCTGGTTAACGCGGAAACGAAGACGAATTTGTGGATTAGCCATCAAGTCAAGCTCCTTGAAAATCGGATGTAAATCAGTAAGCTAAATTTAAGCATATAGTTCCACGTCCCCATAATAGCACCAGGTGAACCAGCGCCAGCTACGAACGCACCGCGACCAAGTTGATTAGCAATGGTAGTGGTGGCAGATGCAGCACCAGTAGACGGCCACGACGTAGATGAGTCAGCTCCAGCATTTGGAGGGTTAGAGAGAAGACGCTTAGTAAAACCATCATTTGCTACCGATGCCGTAGCAGAAATAGTACCGGCGGTGAAGGTAGTAGAGATTGCTGTGTTATTCGAATACCCGTCTCCGGTAGTAGCGGTCGCACTACTGTACTTGGTTGATTGAGCAGCATCCGGGTATAGAAACGATTCAGCACCATGCTTCTCAACATACTGAGGGCTGTACCCGGTCTGAGCACGGATATTGTTCCAGAACAGCTTGTAGTCTGCCATCGAGACAATGGTTTTACCATTGAGTTCAAGCGACATCGAATCGATGACGTTAAAGTTGCCACACTTGAGACCAACACAAAATCGGTTGGCTGCATTGTGTACATTTGTAGCGTGCGTGTTCTTCATCGAAACCTTGTATGGTAGCATGATGTAAGCATCGCGGAGGCAGGCAAATCCTTCACTACCATTAAGCTGGGACGTAGCATCGATAGTGATAACACCGTTTTGGTACGAACCTTGGTTAAGATCGATAACAAAAGGCACGCGCTTGCCAGAGGAGACCTTAATCTCCGGATCACTCTTGAGCGAGCTCTGGTAAAGGTATTGGTCGGAAAGTTGTGTTTCAGACATCGTTGAATCTATATGGTTTCTAATATACTTTTGAGAAATTAAATATTATGTCCCATCTCATCAAACCAATCACCAGCGATCATGATCTGATTGAACTCGCAAAACAATTAAATGTTCATCTCGATGATATCTTTGAATCAAGTGAGATAACGAAGCCGCTCCCAAAGAAAGGTACATATCTGATTCTACTTAGACCACCTAATCTTGATGTAGGACACTGGGTTTGTGTTTGTGATAATAATTACTTCGATTCAATGGGCGAGGCAGCCCCTACGAAGTTTGGAATAGGACGATACAACCCCAAACAATACCAAGGTACGTATGGCGATTATTGCGGTCCATTCTGTATCCTATGGCTATATTGCAAGCAAAACAATAAGATGAATATCCTAAATCGATTTAAAGATCTAAATTTGACAATTCTTTCATAAAATGTTTCAAGCTATATAGCAATAATGTATCGCGAACTAACTATTTCAAGCGACGTACCAGCTCCCAAGCTGACCAAAGCTCTCAAGACTGGTAAGCCAAGTCTGACAGCTGATCAACTCAAGGGCAGTGGCTCTGTTATCCATCTCCATCCAGCCTCTTATGAGAAGGCGATCAAAGCTCGCAAGGCAGGTCGCGGTGTGCGTCTTGACATTACCAGACATGAAATTAAGAAGGGTTATAAGCGAGCCCAAGGAGGCTCTAGTTGGGGTAAGATTAAATCTGGTCTATCCTCCGCGTTCAAATTCGTAAAGGATAGTGGATTACTCAGCAAAGGACTTGATGCAGCAGTACCAGCTCTTGCAACGGCATTTGGAGCTCCTCAAGCCGCAATCCCTGCCAGAGCAGCAATTAAGTTATTGACAGGAGTCGGTATATACGACTCTGACAGTGATGTGGAGAAAGAAGGTGGTCGTCTATCAATTGCTGATGTCAGGAAGACAGCGAAGAATGCTCTATCATATGCAAAACGCAAAGGAGTTCTAACCGATGCAGCTGATGGTGCAGAGAAGTTTCTACTGAGTAAGGCCACGAAGCCTGAGCATGGGGATCTAATTAAGTCTATTCGAGGCGAGGTCCGTCGTCGTTATGGAGTAGGAGTAGCCACGAAGGGTAAGAAATTCGCGAAGGGCTCTCAAGAAGCGAAGGATCATATGGCTAAGATTCGAGCTATGAGGAAGAAGCCTATGCATGCTGGTTCATTTCGATTATGAGCTTTTGACTAAAAAAAAGCTGTATTACCCTCCCTATTTTTTGGTTTCAATAGTAGCATGATTGATACTGACGTATCACGGAACTTGACCTTCTGATCATTCTGATTGTAGATACTGATCGTGATTGAGGTACGCGAGCCATTGAGACAGTTCATTCAAGCATACTGACTCGGTTTGTATGAAATTAGCTGACCTACCTGGGCATCACCTCGATCGAATGCACTCAGAATATCACCAGATGCAACGTAGTCATTTTTGATCAGATCACAGCGAACGATGTATGAGCTGGTAGGGTGAATCTGAGGAATGATATTCGAGAGCTGAGCACTTGCAACCGTCGCTGACGTAGAAGGATACGTACCAGCAGTCAGCCCTACTACCTTTCCAAAAGAGGCGTTATCAATGATCAGACGAGGAACGCGAGTAGTAGTCGGCAAACCAGTACCTCCAGATAAGTACAATCCTATCGCGGGTCTTGTCCAAGTACCACCAGCAGTAGGTAGAGACGATAGTGTAGGGCTGAAATCAAACTGACCAGCATAATACACACTGTTCTCTGATAATTGGTTGTAGAAGACATTTTCCCCAGATGGATTTATCAAATACGCTCCAGCATTGACGAGAGCAGTCTGGATACTTCGATTGATATCAGTATAGCTGTAAAGGCCATCAGGTAAGCTAACAGATACAGTGGATGTGGTTCCAGCGGTTAGAACTTCGATTTTAAAGCTATTGTTAGAGAACTGAGCAGCATCAATGTTGTATTCAGAGTTATACATCGAAATCGATTGAACAGCACAAGCTACATCACGGAAGTCAGCAGCCGAACCAGGAAAGCTGTATTTCCATGTGCTGTTGTATCCATCTTGAACGAGATTGGTAGAGTCAAGTTTTAGAAAGCTTGCCATATTGATTAGTATATGATTCTAACCATATTTTGGATCAATAAATTGGAATTAATTATAACTGGGATAGGTCGATAACTCTGTCAAAGTTATAACGGATTTGCCCCTTAACCGAATCACATAGCAGGATTTGTCCCTTAGACGCCGTGGCTTTGTTATAGGCAATCATAATGTTCCGTTCGTTTAGTTGAGGGATATTAAATCTCGTACAACCATCTGTAAATCACGCTTCGAATTAGCATTTAAGATTGCTACATATTCTGAATTCAATCGCAGGAGTTTGTCAGTAGCGAAGTAGCTATGAGCAATAAATATTGTACTTAAAAAGTGGTGGCGACCTCTAATAAAGAATTCACTAAATAAATTTTTCTGTAGAAGTTTATCCGCGCCATAGTCATCAATGATAACTAACTCAACCTTTTTACTGTTTATCGGAGTGCTACGGACGTTATCTACGTTAGGAGGTTCGTCGTAGAATGTGATAAAGCCATCAAGCTTTTCTCTAAGGAAATCGTATATAGGTTGATCTTTATTGCGAGCAATTACATGCAGGTGAGCGAAAACATTGGGCGAATGCTTGAGAATGAACATCACTAAATTTGTTTTGCCGGAATAACTTGGACCGAGAATAAGCATTCTGAAGAAGCTTTTGATATCCAATTCTGGGATTGTTTTAACCGATACCCCTCGGTATTTCTTTGGAATAGCATCGTCGTAGTTTGGAATAGCGCTCATTATTGAAAATAGCTAATTCTTTATAGGATTAAACAAAATGAGTTATGGTTTTTCATATCCACAACCAACTTTCCAATCATCGATCTATAACCCAGCGTTCTATTTGACATTGGACGCCAGTGGTTATCTAACCTTTGATTACGCGCAAACTCTGTATTTGAGTAAGGATGATTACAGGATGAGCTACCTAAGCGGAGTAGTGCCAGGAACGGCATCGATAGGATCTGCCCTTGTTCTGGGTGCTTCAGGTAATATCTCCGGCATTTCATCGCTAAGTGCCACTAACCTTACTGGCACGCTACAAACAGCTTCTCAACCGAATATCACTTCGGTTGGAAAATTATCGTTCAATGGATCATCGCGCTCGATATCGATAACAGGTGCTTCAAGCTACATTGATTGTCGGGAATATCGCCAGAACGGGAATACGTACGATCTAAGCCTTCTACAAAACATATCCGGAGTTAGTTTTGGCAGTGCTACGGCAAATAATTTTTTACTATGCGACTCGAGTTTAAATATCGCAAATATTAATACGGTATCAACAACTACACTTAGTTGCACGAACTTACAACAGGGTGGGACGTATTATGATCTCTCTGGGTTCCTAACATCTATTCCGAGCTCGCTGACATTATCAACCCTATATACGACAGGAAACATCGATTGCGGTGGGTTCATCAATGGGTTTTTGGCTTATGGCGACCAGTCAAACATAACAACAGTAGGATCGTTGACAGAGCTCGGTATCAACTTTACAGCAACGAATGAGTATTTCTCGATAATGGTGTCTGGATTATCATATTTAGATGGCAGTTATACGCGAATGTTTACGTTTTCGCGTTCGAATATTACTCCCGTTCAGTTCCAAATTCAGGTCCATAATGGTACTAATTCCACACCCAGCAATGCCACATGGATAGGTAATTACACTAATAACGATCTTCGTTTTGGTATCAATAACTCGACGTCAATGATTTTAACTACGACAGGGCGCTTAGGACTTGGAACTACAACACCAAGCGCTCCTCTGCATATATCAGGTAGCAACAGTTTTGTTTTTGGTTCCGGTGGTTTAACCGTTTATAGGCTCCGAACGGACTCTGGCGCGACAGAGTCGGCTCTTGGGCCGATCACGTACAGCGTCGCCGGTATATTTAGCGGGCACATTGCCTGTACAGCCATGGCGATGACAAGCGATCGCCGATTGAAGCGAAATATTCAATCATGTCCCATTGATCGAATCAAGCGTCTCTATGATCAATGTGAGGTCAAACTGTATGACTGGATAGAGAGCGAGGGTCGCCCTGGTCAAGAGGTAGGCCTCATCGCTCAAGACCTTGTCAAAGCTCATCTTACCGATTTGATCAGTGTCTTCTATCACGATGATATCGAAGAAGGAGAAGACCAATCGTTAGAGCCCGCTAAGCAACAGCTCAACGTTGATTACAGCCGAATTAGCGCTTATAACATGAAAATGATTCAACACCTGTTAAGTGTGAATGAGGATCTCCAGAAGCAAATAAATGAACTACGCTCAATTATCTCAGAGTGGTATAGAAATCATGCGTATCGAGTATTGGGAAATCAGCCCGTTAGCAGCGAAGAAATATCGAGTATGGATCAGACTTGATACTGGAAAGCTACGAAAGATTGATTTTGGTGTTAGTAGATACCAACAATTTCGGGATCAAACCCCTTTGAAAGCGTACTCACACCTTGATCATAACGATCCAGAGCACCGTAGGAGATACTATCTACGACAAAAAGTTGATTATCCTCCGTATAGTGCCGATTTCCTATCAAAAAAATATCTTTGGTGAATATAACCATGGGTTGTGGTCTGAGTAAAGAGCTCAAAACTAATTTGACTACTGATGAACCTAATCAGATTGTTGGATCTACCATGCTACAAGCCGATAAAATTATTGTTCTTGGCGATTCTGTGTTCCTACCAACACAAAGCCCCGATGGGGAGTCTGCCATACTTGAGATCAGTATCAATGATAGAACAATGAGTGTCTATCGTGGATATCGAAATCGACTTGTACGAAGCGGTATTGCTTAGATAGCGAACGTCTTCACCGTTTTAGTCTTTTTTTTCGGTTGGTAAGCCCAGACGCGACCACCCTCTGTCTGAGTCGATGCATCAACCTTCCTGATAGACTTGTCAAGGTCAGTAGCCCAAACAGCTGCCTGAGTCTTCTGTGGGCGATCATTGATGATCAGATTCTTCATAATGGATTTGAGCTCAGCAACGTTGAGATCAGCGTTATCGCCATAGCTACCAGCTGAGCTGGAAATAATGCGTGGGTTGAAGAAGAACATTGTTATATAAAATCGCTGCGTACATGAATAAAATAGGAACGAGCATAGTTTATAATAGATGCGTGATAATTTCCTTAAACTCTTTATCGTCAATCATTCGGTTGCTATACATATCTGCGGTGAGAGACTTGAGCTGCTTGATGATACTTGGATTGTCATTCCCTAACTCCATCTCTCCTTTCAGCTTATCATACTCAGCACGAAGAGTCTCCAGAGGATCTGTGAGTTTATCATGGAAATTGTACTGAAGATGAGTAATGGCGAGGATCTCCTTGAACAGCTTTTTATCATCGATACTGAGCTTATCGTAAGCGGCTTGATCGATATGGTTCTTATACACAAGGGTTCTGATCATGGTTTGGAGACTATCGCTGATCTGGCACTTAGGTCCGCATTTGCGTCGGTTGGGCTGTACAATCACGAGCGTTTTGGCATCCAGATCAGGCAAACGGATGTACTTGCTACCGAGCTGCTTATAGGTATATGCTGACGGAGTTGCTAAACCCTGAATCTCATTGAGATTATAGGTTCTTCCGCGACGAACTGCACCTTCCAATGGAGCAACACCTGCCCCTCTAAGACCACGCCCCTTCAAGTCACTCCCATTAACTCCTTTTACCCTTCGTTGATCTTGTCGGTCATTAAAGTCTTCTACATCTGTTTTTCCAGGTAAAGCTTGAGTGTATTGCTTCGACTTCGCTGAATAGACTGCCTTTGTCGCTTTCATTGCTGATGTCGCTGCCTTCAACGCTGATCTTGCTGATTTTGAGTTTGACCCCTTCACAACCTTTTTAGCTTCTTCATATCGCTTCGAGCTTCACCATAAGCTTGAAAGGCTGCCTCCGAGTCATCATGAAGCTTTTGCAAAGTATCGTCGTGATAACAACGAGTGTAAGAACGCTTTGGCCCCGAAGCAACCCCGGCGAGGCGTGTCTTCCGGTGATTGTGTTGCCCTCGCGACGACTACTGACGCTGGTCAAATCGGTCCACGCTTGACAAACATCTGAATAAAGACTGGAGGCCTCAAAAGACTCGACGATCCGCCGACGAGATGCGAACTTAACAGACCACTAGGTTTCCCACCAAAAACCACGCGAATTCCATCCGCACCCCTTTGGCTGCCACTGGCACGAAGGTGATCGTTGTGCTGTTCGGAGGCCGGTCGCGTCTAATCGGATCGATCCCTGACCACGCGGCGGTCATTATCGATGGAATTCTGCCGTGTGAGCTTGGCGGCCAGGCCATGGCGGAGATTCTGTGTGGCGACGTGAATCCGAGTGGCAAGCTGCCGATCACGTACCCGAAAGACGCCACCAACATCGCTATCCATATAACCACCGCGTGACGGCGTGGGACAACTACTGGATGCAATGGGACTTTGGTGCTGGGCTCAGCTACACGCGATTCAACTAGTCGGCTAACACGCTGGAGAAGACGGTGATTGTCAATGCTGACGATACGCTGACTGCTACCGTCACAGTCTCGAACGCAGGCAAGAAGATCATGATGCTGTTCCTCAGTCAGCCGTACCGGAAGATCTCGGTGCACAAGGTGAAGATGTTCAAGAAGTTCAAGAAAATCGAGTTACAAGCAGGCGAGTCGAAAGACGTGATGCTCTCGTTGTCAGGGGAGGAGTGGGCGTGTACGAGCCGCAGATCGGCAGCGGACTCAAGAGAATCGTCGAGGACAACAACTACGTGGTGGTCATCAAGCCGGGCACGTGGTGCGATGTGTACGGAAATATGACGAATCCGCTGTGCGCGGAGTTTACTATTGACACGAGCAGCGGTGCAGGCACTGCCCGGAAAAGCTGAATAGTGAGTTCCTTGATGCTCAAGTGCATATTGAGCCATATCTTATCGATATGACACTCAATACAGTTTACACTCTCTGCCTGGCGACTGCCCGCTATATAACGCGTTATTGCGCTGCTCGTGCTCTTGTCCACGACGCACTACACCCACCTCAGCCGAAAGATGTCAATACTAAGGGTGGTCTTAATTTTGAGGAAACGAAGCTGAAGTCTGCGTAATTTGTTTTAGAAAAATGAGTAAGTACTGATTTCTGAGTAAACTTGGATTGGAAAAGGTAATACACTAACGAGCATGAATCCACCTTCGTCAGCAACAAACGAGTCCATTCAAAATAATACTAAAAAGAACAGAGAGCTGATGCAGTGCGTTTGTGCCCCCCACCCTGTTTATTTTAATTGAGATTGCAACATACAACATACTCTGACGCCATTAGCACCTCGGACGATAGATAGAATGTCGCTTTCGTTGCCGTGTATTAGTTGCACTAATGCTCGTTTTCGCATTTGTCGCTGGCCGACAGTAGCATAGCAACTACTTCGAAGTACGTTACGGTTGCATTTAACGCATCATGCTTAGTTTTATTGGTAACGCTTCGTGCATACTCCATCGCTACGTGCTGTTCTTGACACCGACCAAACCTGTGCGGTTGCTGCTCTTGCTTCTATCCTACCATGCTTGCGGCTATTGTAGCGAACTCAAAGAGTTACGCAGAGGTTATTAGGACGGGAGGCTTACTCAGAATCTACAGTAGTAGAGTTTCCTCAATGGTAAGCAGCACCCTCCATACTACTGAAGAACGAGAAGGTTTGCAGGCTGAGCGCGTACGTCCTTCCACATCGTCGCCCAGCCTGCACATGTGACGTCGCAGTCCCGGATCAACCTCTCAACCTTAAACAGCGGTCACACGATCTCGGTTGTTGACGTATCAACGCTGGAAGCTCGCAAAATAGGTCTCTTGAACAACTTCAGTATTCAAACCAGATGCAAGGCAAAGACTGGTTTCAACTAAGGTTGGTACCGTGGCCAAGTATTATGTTAATACTTGACTGCCATAGCTCAGCTCACGTTTGCTGCCTCCCCAGTGGTAGTCGCTGTCTCCGTACCAGATTTCGACGGGCTTTAGCGACCCACCGCCCCAAAACACGGAACCACAACTCGTGTCTCCACTTGTCCAGCACGCTCTGTTCCCAGCGCACGAGATAGCATTCGAGGAGTTCTTCTTGACGATTCCTCTGGGCCTGCAGAGACTGCTGTCCACTGCATGTAGCGCTAGGGGTAGATCTCTCTGGAACAGCAACGTTGCCGAATACCTGGTCGCTGTGTGCAGTGGTTGAACACATCGGGTCAACTACTTGTCGTTCTTCGACCTCCCCACGAAGAAGGAAAGGATGGCGTAGCAATTCTGCTGCTGAGGCGCGCGTGTCTGGGTTCTTATCGAAGCACAGAGACAGAAAGTCAAGCGCTGTGGACGACAAGTGGGCTGGGAACTCTGGGATCGTGGTGGCGGAGGCGATGTGGAACATGGCCGTGAGCGGGTTTGACAAATTTTCCTGCAAACGGATCGCAAACCACCGCAGCAATAGCAAATTGTAAGCAAACGATCGTGTGCATGCTCATGCGCAGTCGTCTTACCCATGGCGGTCTCCCCGTCGCCATTTCAATCAGGACGCAGCCAACGCCCCAGATATCCGCCTTTCGCCACGAATCTGCACCCTTTTCAGCGCGGACGAGCTCCGGCGCCATCCAGAATGCCGATCCGAGGCCTTCGCGCACCGATCTAATGGATTCCAATCGCATTAGTGAGTCGAAGTAAGCAACCCAGCACCCGTTGACGGCATACAGAGAGACGCACCTTGCTGTCTCCAGCGGCTGGTCATCACCCTCCTCCTCCGCAATGGCTCCACCTACCTCCTCCACATTCGCCCTCTTCGCCGTCCCGAAGTCCGCGATCTTGACACCACCACGCTCATCATCGGCCAGCAGCAGGTTGGCGCACTTGAGGTCGCGGTGCGCAATGCCCAGCTTGTGCAGATGCACCACGCCACGCACCACGTCCCGCACGTAGACCCGCACCACATCCTCGTCAAACGCGCCGAACTCCTTCAGCAGTCTGCACGTCCAGAACCATCACACAACTCTGTCAGAACTGCACTCGCTACCACCGGCATAATAAGCTTAGACCCCGTACTTGCTCAATGAGCCCGCTGGGAGGTACTCCATGAACATATTCACCATCGGCCCGTAGCGCTCTGCCCACAGCAATGATGCACAGCAACGTTAGAGCCTCCTGTCCACACGGGCAGCAGCAGCAGCAGCTCACCGCTGCCGACGAAGCGGACGACGTTGCGGTGGCCATGGCGCTGCAGCAGCCGCAGGACGTCGAGCTCGCGCTGGATCTGCTCCCAGCTCTGCACGCGCTGCAGTGAGAGCGAGCTCACGTCGTTGCCGAGCTCGAGCTCCTCCTGGATGAAGATCTGCTTGACCGCGAGCAGCTCCGCACTGCCACGTGCACCGCCTGACGTCAGCGGAATCAGATCATACAAAGCTCAAGTGCGGCGCGTCCGGCGTTGCACCTCGGCAGTCGCAGCGCCGCCGAGACCTGCCCGAAGCGGCCGCTGCCGACGCCCGGCCCTTTCTGCCACACCAGCGTCCTAGGCGTTATCGTTAGCGAGCGCTACAGTACTGCACTGCACTCGTCCACACCATGCGAAGGGCGGGCTGACGTACTCGTCCGGCAGCAGCGCGAGCTGCATCGACACCTCACTCTCCATGCTCCTCCCCCTCCTTGCTGAGCCCAAGCACCGTATGTCGGTTGAACAAAACCGCGGAGCGTTTGTCCAATCACCTTCGGTAAGTGCGGGTGAAACGTATGGTCCCTCATACAATGATTCAGTGAACCAGAAACATGACCTCCGTCCTGGGCCCAAGCGTTGTTGCGCGACGGTTGCGCGAGAGTCGCTCCAGTGACGCGTCGGCGTGACGACGAGCCCCAAAACGACTGGTCGCGGACGCCGCCGCCGCCGAAAAGATCGTCTGCATCCGATGCTGCCGCCGCCGTGTGGAGCCTTTTAACGCTGACGGCGGCCGCGAATGCGCATGCGTCGGCGCGTCTCTGTCGAGTGTTATCGCCGCTGCGAAGGTGTTTGCACAAGCCTCCGGCCGGGGGCTCCGCCACACGCTGCGCTGCAGCACCGGGCGCGGTCTCACAAGATTTTTCCCTCCGAGACCGCAGCACGCAGAGACGTTGCGATTCCACAAGAATATGCGTTGTCGGCGGTGAAATCCGTGCATAGGGACGAATCCCCGCAGTGGTTGACGCAGGGTATGCATTGCTACAGCACGGGAGACGGTTGGCCAAACACCTTCTGTTTTGGTTTTGATACGGTATCCTCCCCACGTGCCGGTGGCCACGCCGCCCGCCCGCCGGCCTAAGATCCTCCCCATTCCCCGATTTCCTCCGCGAGTCGCACCCGTCCCCCCGTCCCCTTCGCCTCTCCTCGCCCCGTCACCATGCGCCTCTTCCTCAAGTCCGCCATGCGCGCCTCGTCGCCGCTGCTCAAGTCGCGCTCGTTCGCCACCAACGCGTCCGAGCTGCGCTCCGTCGTGTTCAAGGACCACCTGCGCACCGTGCAGATGGCCGACGCCAAGGAGACCGTGCTGCCCGGCGGCCGCGACCTGTTCCCGCTGCTGCCCAAGGCCTTCGCCGGTATCAAGCAGGTCGGCGTGATCGGCTGGGGCTCGCAGGGCCCCGCCCAGGCGCAGAACCTGCGCGAGTCGCTCGAGGGCTCGGACATCAAGGTCAAGGTCGGCCTGCGCGAGGGCTCGTCCTCGTTCGCCAAGGCCCAGGACGCCGGCTTCAGCGAGGCTGACGGCACCCTTGGCGAGATGTTCGACGTCATCAAGGAGTCCGACATGGTGGTGCTGCTCATCAGCGACGCCGCCTGCGTCAACCTCTACTCCAAGATCTTCCCGCTCATCAAGCCGGGCGCCACGCTCGGCCTGTCGCACGGCTACCTGCTGGGCCACCTCGAGTCGGTCAAGGAGGAGTTCCCCAAGGACATCAACGTCGTCATGATGGCCCCCAAGGGCATGGGCCCCAGCGTGCGTCGTCTGTACGTGCAGGGCAAGACGGTGAACGGCGCCGGCATCAACTCGAGCGTGGCCATCCACCAGGACGTGACCGGCAATGCCGCCGAGATCGCTCTAGGCTGGAGCGTGGGCGTGGGCGCCCCCTACACGTTCTACACGACCATGTCGTCCGAGTACAAGTCGGACATCTTCGGCGAGCGCTGCATTCTGCTCGGCGGCGTGCACGGCCTGGTCGAGTCGCTCTTTCGCCGCTACGTGCAGAACGGCATGAGCCCCGAGGACGCCTTCAAGAACACGGCCGAGTGCATCACCGGCCCGCTGAACGAGAAGATCTCGCACGACGGCATCAAGTCGGTCTACGAGAGCTTCAAGGGCGAGGACAAGATCATCTTCGAGAAGGCCTACACGGCCGCCTACACGCCGTGCCGCGACATCATCGAGGAGGTGTACGACGACGTGGCCTGCGGCAACGAGATCCGCAGCGTCAACAACGCCGTGGCCCGCCACGACCGCTTCCCCTTCGGCAAGATCGACCAGACGTACACGTGGAAGGTCGGTGAGAAGGTGCGCGCCGCCCGCGACGGCAACTTCGTCATGAACCCCTTCACGGCCGGCTCGTACGTGGCCATGATGATGGCCCAGATCGACGTGCTCATTAGCCACGGCCACTGCTACTCGGAGGTCGCCAACGAGTCGGTCATCGAGTCGGTGGACTCGCTCAACCCGTACATGCACGCCCGCGGCGTCGCCTACATGGTGGACAACTGCTCCACGACGGCGCGTCTCGGCTCCCGTAAGTGGGCTCCTCGCTTCGACTACATCCTGACGGAGCAGGCCTACGTCGCTGTGGACGACAACAAGATCAAGAACGAGGCCAAGATCATGAGCGAGTTCAAGAACCACAAGATCCACGAGGTGCTCGAGGTGTGCGCCTCCATGCGCCCCAGCGTCGACATTTCGGTCGAGTAAACGCGTCACCTGACGTCGGTCAGCTAGTAAGCAGTCGGGTCGCAGTCTGGCTGTTGTAGTGGGATGCCCCTCTATGGGCTGGTAGTGGTGTGCGCGAATAGTGCTCTGCGGGCGATCTTGGCTTCGAGCTCTCTTTTTGAGGCATGGGAATGCAAGCCAAGAGCGCATTAGGAGCAGGGCGTCGCAATCGTTGCCTATATAATACACTTATCTGTGGTTACGTCATTCGTTGCATGTGTTGTGATCTTTTGGCGAGTTGAAGTTGATCGAGATATCACGAATCGCCGGAATCCTCGGAACGGGCGAGCTGGTGACACTAGAGCTCGGTTTGTTGACCGCGAGCATCAAGAATTTCGGTCGAAGATCGTAGGGAACATCACTGTTCCCTGCGATGTTCGACCGCGAACATGTGCTGTGCCCCACAGGAAGATTGCTGTGGGTGTAGCGCGTTTGGCACTTGTTACAGTATCAGTTACTACAGTAGTACTAGAAAGGTTCTGTAACGTTAAGAAGTAAAGTGAGGGAACTGTAAAGGGAAAACGTCAAAAGGTGTATGAATTTGAAACGTTTTGTCAAAAGCGGTTAACTCGTGTCATTAGGTGTATGCTAGGTTGTCGGTATGACAGTATGTGTATGTGGTTCCAAGCGCACTAAGGTGCATGATAAAGCTGCATCGGCAACGAATGCGGTGACTGGTGTGTGGGCTTCGATCCAAATCCATAAAACCCGGGGTTAGGAAGGCTTCTACCTGGTGCAACTAGCCCGGTTCGTGGTGTCCATGACTTTGATAGCGAATTGTACGGCTGAGGGACTACAATGAACGTCGTTATCCATTGTAGCCAGGCCTCAGCGTTGCCACAGTTCTACAATACCTACAATCTCTTCCGGTTGGGGGCTCTCACTAGAGCTCCTTCACCTCCGAAATTCAGATGCAAAACCTACCTAGTACAGCCATGCTATAGACGCTTGCGGTTTGCGTTGGTAGTTCCTTGTAGCCACAATAGCGAAGTTGTCGAGTACAGTTGCTCTATATGCTATTATTAGTTGACCGTGTTCGCTACGAGCGTGTCGTTAATAAACTACTGTGCTTGGAAGCTCGATCCTGGGTCTGTATGACCCGACCTCGGCCGAAATACCGCGGCAACCAAAACGTGTGTCAGTACGTGTATGATGAGACATGACGCGACGTGACGCCCACGACCACTACACCTATTGACAAACGTTTTCCCAACGCATACACCTTTTGACGTTTTCCCAATTGTAAACCTTGCTGTCTTGCAGTTGGCCCATGTGCTCTTGGAACAGCTTGTTAAGTTGTAGGCCTGTGGGCCCTGTCCGAGGCGGACAAACATTTATTTTATCTTCCGCCCCCAGATTAGTTTATTAAAGCACTCGTTATCACTGAAGTGTTGGATGTGGGGGCCAGGTCACATTCCTGGCCCTTATTATTATTATTAGGGCCGTTCCTAACCGGTAAAGAAGGCAATGTATTTTGCTACAACTCGATCTACAAGTTTTCTCCAAACCTCCCGCGCTGGTGCCCTTTCAAGGGTCGTCGATCTAAACTCGGCACACGCCGACCGTTCCGCGGCCGTCAACGCCTCTTCGCGCTGAAGCTTGACGAGGCCCAGTTCTAAATGCGGGTTGTTGACGATCGGAGCCGTTGCGGCCAGTCGTGACTTGAGTGCAGGGTACTCCTTCACCCCCTGGTCAAAAAGACGGCGCACAGCAGACAAAGTTAGCGTAGACCTCTGTAGCTCTTTCGTGACTCCCTCGAACTTCTCCAGGTCCTTCTCCAACGCCTTGGCTCGCTCGTGCTCGGCACGCCGCAGCAAAAGCGGCTGTACTTCGTACTTGACCAGAAGGTCATGGACCAGCTTGATTATGGCGGGCTGGAGCTTCACATAGCGCGCCACCATCTCGTACGTGGTGTCGTTCCTCAACAGAGGCGACAGATGGGAGACGCGGCGAAGCAGAGCGCGGCCCTCGATCGTCCGGAGCTTGGTCATCAGCGCGTGCACCTTCGCAATGAGCTCGTCCTCGGTCTTGAGGAAGTCCTTCACCGCCAAATTGAATCTGTGGCTAGCACATCCAATGAAGGGGATAGCCCCTTCCTTCCGGCCGATGCATTGGTTCACAGAGCAGTTGTCTCCCACCATGAACTTCACCGCGCTCCAGGGCTTGTTATAGCGAGACAGCGTGTCAGCGATCAGGTCGTACTGACTCTGCGCACCCATGTCTTCCTCGACCTCTACTGGAGCGAATGTTAACAGCAGGAAGCGGCGCGATGAGCACTCGAGATCGTCGTAGTACTCGTTGTCAGCGCCGACACCGGTAATACCGGTACTGTCGCTGCCGAATACCGCGAATATCGCGATGTAGTGACGACCACCACTGGTCCACCCGTCTAGAACGAGGCCGAACGATGCAGGGAGCTCGCGAGCGACGCGCAGCTCTAGCAGCTCGAAAATCAGCACGATCTACTTGGAGAGGGTGTCCTCCGACACGAGAGAGAGAGATGCGTTGAGGCGCGTGAGCCGCCGCTCTACGAACGCAAACGGGAGGCAGTCGCAGACGACCCACTCGAGCCAGCGGTATAGGTCCCTGGTCCGTGTGCTGACGAGGTGTAGGTGCAGCGGGTTCTGGCGGCGTGACGCCTCCTGGGCCTCTTGCTCGTAGTTGTCGTGGTTGCGCCGCAGGTGGCTCAGCAGGTTCGTGTAGCGATTGCCCTTCTTGTACTGCTTGTCGCAGGATGTACACTTGTAGAAGCCGTTGCCGACATCAGTGAAAAGCATGGAGCAGATTTGGCTGCTCGTGAGGACCATGGTGGACACGTGGGGCGAGGGGCTTAGGCGGTGAGGGGTGAAGAAAGCAAATTTGATTCTGAAGGAGCCTCCGCTGCGAGTGGTGCGGTGAAGTGGTGCCAGATCGGCGAGTGGTTGGTGGTGGACTCCTCGGCGGACACTGGTGCCTGCAACGAACTCCATCTGAGCAATTCAAATACGAATTGTGTACAATTCAAAAATAAATTGAGGGTCCAAAATTAATCATTGATTTAAAGTATTCGAATGTATTTTTATGAGTATTATTTTTTCGGGTGCCTTGACTGAGTGCTGGTACGGGATCATGACGTTGCCGGTGTCCTTGGGGTACGTGATCGGCATGCGTCCGCTGGGGTTCACATCACCGTAGATGATCTCAGCGACGGCCTTGCCGCCCTGCTCACACGAAAGCATGCCGTTGATCACAGCGTACACGTTCTCCGGCAAGTCGTTCAGGATACGCGGGCGACCTTCAAAGAGCACCACAATAACCTTGGTACCAGTGGAGGCGAGCTCCTTGACGTACTCGATCTGGCCAAGAGGCAGCGTCAGGTCGTTGATGTCACCCGTCTTCTCCTCGTAGACCTCCTCGCCGATCACAGCAATCGTGTACTCAGCCTTGGCAGCGTATTCCTTGGCAGTGGCCAAGTCGGCATCCGTGTAGTTGCCCGTGATGTTGAGACCGTTGAAGTACGTGAACGAGTCGTTTCCAGCAATGGCCTCAATACCCTGCCTGACCGACACACCGTGCGAGAACATGTCATTGCCAGACACACCTTGCACCTGCAGGGTCCAACTACCGCACTGGTAGCCGATGTTGTCGGCACTGGGGCCAGTAAGGAACACGGATGCATCCTTTGCCAAGGGCAGCGTGCTGGCGTTGTTCTGCAGCAACACAATGGACTCACGGGCGCTGTCCAAAGCAGCAGCCACATCGTCGTCGTTGCCGACCATGTCCAAGTACTCCTCACCAGGCATCGGGTTGTCGTACAGACCCAGCTTGAGCTTGGTCTTGATGATGCGACGCACGGATTCTTTGAGGCGGTCGAGGATCTCGGGTTCCTCCTCGAGCAACTTGTTCGTTCCGTTGGTGAAGGAAAGATCCGAAGCCACCATGCTCATGTCAATCGAGGTGCGCTCCAACGAGAACTTGGTGGCCTCGTTCTCACTGCGAGCCGTGCGGTGGAAGTCCTGCAGAGCATTGATCTCACCGTAGTCCGTCACCATGAGACCCTCAAAGCCCAGGTCGTTGCGGAGGAGCGTCTTCAACAGCTTCGTGTTCTCAACAATCGGCACACCATTCACCGAGATGTAGTTCTCCATACCGGCAAGCAGGCCCGCGTCCACCGCGGCCTTGAAAGACGGGAAGTACGTGTTCAGCAGGTCGAAATCCGACATCGTGACTCCGTCCTTGTCGTGGCCCGTGGGGTTCCAGGCGTACGCGATCCAGTGCTTCATGCAGGCAGCAGACTCGTTGTAACTCTGGATACCACGAACAACAGCAGCTCCCATCACCGACGCCAAGTACGGATCTTCACCGAAAGTCTCGTACACGCGCGGCCAGAGCGGGCTGTGCATGATGTCGAGCACAGGGTCGAAGATCCAGGGGATACCAGCGGCGAGAGTGTCTCTGGTTGTGATGCGTCCTTGCTCGTAGGCCAGGTCCGGGTTGAACGTAGCGGCGGCGTTGATCTGCTGGCCGAAAAAGACCGTATCCGTCACGAGGGCGTTGCCATGCGCAGAGTCCGTGCCGTAGACCATGAGGTGGCCGCCGTTCTCCTCCATGGCGATCTTCTGGATGCCGGCAACGAACTCTCGCATTTGCGCGGTAGTCCAGCCGTACGAGCCGTTGATCTCATCAAGAGCAGACATGGGAGGCCTCAGGTACGAGCCGACATGGTACTTTGCGAATCCACGGACGGCCTCCTGGTCGCTCGTATCCTTATCTGGCTCCACTGGCAAGACAATGGCTGGCATGTGTCGCTACCTCGGTGCCGTCGGAGCGAGCGTTTTCATCTGCAGGCAACATTGTAAATTGTAAGCGGACCAAGCTGGACCCTTCACTTGTCCGGGATTTACTTTTCATCCACGATAACTTCGAGTTTCCAGAGTGGGAGACGGACGAAAAAGCAACGAGCGACCGGAGTCACGAACAAGTCAACCAAAGCAAGTAATTCACCAATACATTTAATGCTGTCAGCAATTCCTCGATTCATTTTTCCTAGATGGCATTCCTTACGCTACATCAGCACCAGTCGGACCAGCAGTAACGAAACCACCACTCCATCACTAGCGACTTCGCCATCAGCAAAGATCACGCCCCCGGCAACGAGTAATAGTCCATAGAGTACAACTTCCTCTCCTTTGACAACTTCGCTGACTGCTGCCATCACCGAATTCGCCCCAGGCAACGCCGTCTATGCCGACCACCAGCCGCTGTCTCCGTCGACTAGCACCACGATCTTGAGGCCGAGCACGTAGCTCAGCGCCATGAAGGTCACACCCTTAACAGTGCCGTACGTCGACGACAAGGCGTGCACCACCTGGGTCTTGGTGTAGTCGGCCACGGTGCCGTACATGGCCGACGTGGCCGAGACCACCTTCTCGGTCATGTAGTCCTTGACGTTGATGGCCGTGTGCGCGGTGGCGCATACAGAGGTCGAGACGGGATCATGCGTCCATTTGACTACCGTCGAGGTCACGCCGACGGCCTCGTCCTTCTTCTTGAGCGGGTTCTACTGGTCCGAGTAGAGCGTAGTGGCCACGGACGCGATGGTGGCGTCCACTCAGCTCCATCATCGCCACTTCGTTGCAGCTCAGTCCGCACCGTGCTACGCGACATGGACTCCAGCAGACGCAGTCCAGCGGCTTCCCTGTAGAGCCCGTGATCAGCTCTCCGTCAAGCAGGCCCAGCACGCAGACACCGTTCTTGTGGTTGCGCAGCAAGGCGAAGCGCTGGTCCTGTGCATCAAGCCGAATGAACTTGTCCATGCTGTCCGTGGTCGCCCAGCGCCACCCTGCCGTGATCCAGTGCTCGTGATCGAAGATGGCCGCGCACTCCAAGCCCACGAAGCCACCGATGGCGGGGACGCACAGCCCCACACGCGCCACGAAGGCCATGACACCGGTCACGAGGAAGTTGTTGGAACCTAGAGGCGGATTACATGTGGGGATGCGCAGCGTCTTGTCAACGCCGCTGCAGCAGCGTCCGCTGGACCAGCATGTAGGGCGACTACGGCGTGCCTTGTCAGCCCTTGAATCTGTAGATACAAACAAGTGGACTCAAGTTATTAGTGTTCTTGGATATGAGCGCACTTATACCGACCATGAGACGGCTTTGATAATGGCGAGTCCTCTGTGGACCACAACTGTTTTAACAAGTTAGAAGGGGATAAAGACGAGTTTGGAGGTAGTTCGCGGTAGTTCGGAGCCAACTCCAACTCCATAGCTCGAGTTGGGACCAAACGTTGACACCCCTAATCCTGCTTTCGCTTGGTCTCTGCCTTGCAGGCATCACAGCGTTGGTGCGTGATCCTCGGACAATTGAGTCGCCACTGGAATTATTCTCCAACTTCAAAGATCGGCGCCGCATCCTCCCTCCCGGTTGAAGACTTCAACTCGGTCTCGGGCCTTTCCAAGCGGACCTGCACCGTGCACGACCCTCGCCAGCATTGATGCGTGAGCATGTGTGCCGGGCGGGCGAGTCCATCGTCGGCCGGCACGACCGTGGCGCGGCGGCAAGCACAGTGTGGCTAGCACACGCGCGCTTGGTCGCCGTCGTCTTTCATGCGTCGTTCGTGCTGCCGCTGCCTTCATTCTTGCAAATTGCAATGCAGTGGCCCTCTTCAGCAAATACCTGGTTGTATACACCATACAACTGGTTGTGTGTGGTGTGGTGTATACAGTAACTCTGAGCAACTTCAGGAAATGCAATAGTTTGCGGAGTGGTGGAGCGACTAGTTTATGGTGTGGGAATTGAGAGAGGTGCCCTACTCAACTCACGCGCATGCACCTCTACTCCATGGCGTGAAGTTCGCGCCAGTGTTCCGCCGTCAGACTTTCGGGCAACGAGACATAGCAAGACAACAAGGAGGGGCTCTTCACCCCACAACTTCAGATAAAGAGCTGCCCACCCACACGAGGGCGGGTAGAGCAGCCTTCCTCCGCTGTATTACGCCACTCCCTCCGCTACTTCCGGTCCCCTGATAAGTCCACCTTGGTCGAGACGAAGCCCATGAGCGCCACCGACGTCGAGAACATGACAGCTCGCGGCGCCACCAGCGGCCCCGCGATGCGCATAAAGTCGCGGAAGCCCCAGGCCGTCACGTTCTTGGGCACCTCGTACGTCAGCAGGTGCGCTAGGTAGCGGTTAAGCACTCGCCCCTGCGCCGAGTACGCGGCCACCGCAGTGATTCCGCCAGCCGCGAGGCTGCTCGCGGTTTTCGGCGGGGCCTCGTTGACCGACGCGGGCAGCGCCAGCGCCGTGCCGGCCTGGTACATGCCGTAGCCGGTGGCTGCGCCCGCGCCCACTGTGCCGACGATGAATAAGGGGAGCACCATGCTGCTACTTTGCTGGCCTGATAGCTGAAGTCTCTGTCGCCTTCGCCGCTGCTTGGATTGTGGGGCTACGAACGCATGGGCCCACTCGGCCAGCTGTGCTGCGATAGGTCCAAATGATGGGTGTCGGGCGCAGGCCGAGCGACCATAGGCTTTATGGCGCTAAGAGGGAAAGCAGCGCTGTGCTGAGGGGCGTGGAGCCCAGGAATTGTGCGGGGGCCATGGCTCGGGGAAGGTGTCGGGCTCAAGTGGAAGTGGAAGTGTAGGTTGAACAGCGCGTCCATGTGTTTCGTACCTAGTGCGGCGATCAGGATGGGAAGGACGGATGTCGTTGGTCGACTATAGTGAGGGGCAGTGACGTCCCTCCCGAGTTTGGTTGGCCGTCGACAGTCGCGCGGAAAAGTGCTGCACGAGGCGCAAAGCTTGTCATTCTTGAAAGCGAGCTTGCCTCGAGCACTTCGCCTCTAATCGCAGTTGCCTTTGTGTAGATAGTTGGGTGGGAGATTGAACCGAGGTTCCTATGATTACAGTAGCTAAAGACAAGTAAATCCCAAGTCTCCGGACGATGCGGACGACACTTGCTATTATTCGCTAGACAGTATATGACGGAACTCTCTCTTAGTGGTAAAATTGCAGTCTGATGAGGCCGCTGCAAGACGTTTGGATGCCTACCGGTATGTAAGAGGCATCCAAATGTTTTTGGGCGATGGTCCTTGATATAAGCATGGTGCGATGCTTGCATGCACACCCACAAGAACATTCATGTCAAAAATCATTTCTTATTGGGTTATGCCAGTACGGTAATGCTCCTCAATAAAGAAGATTCGACAAGTATACAGTATTCGCCTTTAACAATCTTTAAAAGGTATTTCTGTGAGTCCATTACCGCGAAATCTCACAGCTCCAGAGGATAGAGTTTAGCAGGTTATGATATTTATTATCTTCCTATGGAGGCACATTACTGTACTACGCTCTCTCTCAGCCATTATTTGTTTCATTTCCGTATCCGTCGCCCCGAGCCACCGTGACCATGGCGGACTCCGCGGCCCCGGCCGCTGCTGCTCCTCCGGCCCCGGCCAAGATGAGCAAGAACGCGATGAAGAAGGCCCTGCGCGCCGAGAAGAACGGTGGGGCCAAGCCCAAGCAGGAGAAGGACCCGAACCGCTGGGCGCCCAAGAGCGACAAGAAGAAGAAGGGCGCCGAGGCCGCCGCCGCCAAGCCCGCGGCCCCGGCCTTCGTGAACCGCACGCCCAAGGGCGACAAGAAGGACATGGCCGAGCCCATGCTGGCCGCCTACAACCCCGTGGCCGTCGAGGCCGCGTGGCAGGACTGGTGGGAGGCCTCGGGCTTCTTCTCGTGCAGCGACGACAAGATCCGCGCGGCCAAGCCCGACGAGCGCTTCGTCATGGTCATCCCGCCGCCCAACGTGACGGGCTCGCTGCACCTGGGCCACGCGCTGACCGTGGCCATCCAGGACGCGCTCACGCGCTGGCACCGCATGCTGGGCCACGCCACGCTCTGGGTGCCGGGCACGGACCACGCGGGCATCGCCACGCAGTCGGTCGTGGAGAAGCGCCTGCTCAAGGAGGAGAACAAGAGCCGCCACGACCTCGGCCGCGAGAAGTTCCTCGAGCGCGTGTGGGACTGGAAGAACCAGTACGAGAGCCGCATCCACCACCAGTTCCGCAGCGTCGGCTGCTCCGTGGACTGGGACCGCAAGTACTTCTCCATGGACGACAACTGCAGCCGCGCCGTGCGCCACGCCTTCTGCCAGCTCTGGGAGGAGGGGCTCATCTACCGCGCCACGCGCATGATCAACTGGAGCTGCAAGCTCAAGACGGCGCTGTCCGAGATCGAGGTGGACTACATCGACATCGAGAAGCGCACCAAGCTGGCCGTGCCCGGCCACAACCCGGACAAGAAGTACGAGTTCGGCGTGCTCACGTCCTTCGGCTACGTGGTCGAGGGCTCGGACGAGCAGATCATCGTGGCCACCACGCGTCTCGAGACCATGCTGGGCGACTCGGGCGTGGCCGTCCACCCGGAGGACCCGCGCTACAAGCACCTGCACGGTAAGTTCGTGATCCACCCGTTCAACGGCCGCCGCATCCCCATCGTGCTGGACCCCGTGCTGGTCGACATGAGCTTCGGTACGGGCGCCGTCAAGATCACGCCCGCGCACGACCCCAACGACTACGAGTGCGGCAAGCGCAACAACCTCGAGTTCATCAACGTGCTCACGGACGACGGCGCCATCAACGAGAACGGCGGCGAGTTCGCTGGCATGATGCGCTACGACGCGCGTATCGCCGTCGAGAAGGCGCTCGAGGCCAAGGGACTGTACCACGGCAAGGAGGACAACAAGATGCGTCTCGGCATCTGCTCGCGCTCGGGTGACGTGATCGAGCCGCTCGTCAAGCCGCAGTGGTTCGTCAACTGCGACCAGATGGCCAAGGACGCCATGGCCGCCGTCACGAACAAGGAGCTGACGATCCTGCCCGAGAGCCACGAGAAGACGTGGTTCCGCTGGCTCGAGAACATCCGCGACTGGTGCATCTCGCGTCAGCTCTGGTGGGGCCACCGCATCCCCGCCTACTTCGCGCGCGTCATGGGCGAGGCCTTCATTGACAAGAACGCGGAGGACGCTGGCGACCGCTGGTTCGCCGGCATCTCGGAGGAGGACGCCCGCAAGAAGGCCGCCGGCAAGCTGGGCGTCGCCGAGGACCAGATTGAGCTGGAGCAGGACGAGGACGTGCTGGACACGTGGGTCAGTGCCGGCCTGTTCCCGTTCGCTGTGTTCGGCTGGCCCAACAAGACGGACGACTTCGAGAACTTCTTCCCGACGGACCTGCTGGAGACGGGTTACGACATTCTCTTCTTCTGGGTGGCGCGCATGGTGTTCATGGGCCAGAAGCTCACGGGCAAGCTGCCGTTCAAGACGATCTACCTGCACTCGATGGTGCGCGACAAGTACGGCCGCAAGATGTCGAAGAGTCTGGGTAACGTCGTGGACCCGCTCGAGATCATTGCGGGCTGCACGCTCGAGGACCTGTTCAAGAAGCTCGAGAACGGCAACCTGCCGGCCAAGGAGGTGGAGAAGGCCAAGAATGGCCAAAAGCTGGACTTCCCGCAGGGCATCCCGGAGTGCGGTGCCGACGCGCTTCGCTTCGGTCTGCTGGCCTACACGCAGCAGGGCCGCGACATCAACCTGGACATCGGCCGTCTCGTGGGCTACCGCAACTTCTGCAACAAGCTGTGGAACGCTGTGCGTTTCGCCATGTCCAACCTCGAGGGCGGCTTCTCGGCTGCCGAGAACGTGGCCGAGACCGTGCTCGCCAACGCCGTGGTGAGCTCGCGCGACCGCTACATCCTGAGCCGCCTGAACCACGCCATCAAGGTGTGCAATGACTCGTTCGCCGCCTACGAGTTCGGCGAGCTGACCAACGCGCTGTACAACTTCTGGCTGTACGACCTGTGCGACGTGTACCTTGAGCTGACGAAGCCCGTGATGAGCGGTGAGGACGCCGAGGCCAAGCTCACGGCCCAGCAGACGCTGTACGTGTGCCTGGAGTTCGGTCTGCGCCTGCTGCACCCGAGCATGCCGTTCGTGACGGAGGAGTTGTGGCAGCGTCTGCCGGGCAAGCGCTCGACCGCGAGTATCACGATCGCGCCGTACCCACTCCCCATGGAGGGCTGGACCAACCCGGACATCGAGGCCAACATGGAGCTGGTGAAGGAAGTCATCCACGCCGCCCGCTCGGTGCGTGCCGAGTACGGCCTCGCGAACAACGTGCGCCCGCAGTTCTTCATCAAGTGTAGTGACGCCGACGTCAAGGCCGTGATGGAGGCGCAGCTGGACGACTTCAGCACGCTGGCCAAGGCTGGCGACTCCAAGTGCATCGTGGACGAGGAGGCGCCGCAGGGCTGCGCGATGCACAGCGTCAACGACAAGGTGCAGATCTTCGTGCTGCTCGCCGGTCTGGTGGACTTCGCCAACGAGATCGCCAAGCTGGAGAAGAAGCTGACCAAGATCGCGCCGTCGCTCGCCAGTCTGGAGAAGAAGATGGGCCGCGAGGACTACGAGACCAAGGTCCCGGAGAACGTGCGCGAGGCTGACGCCGCCAAGAAGATCGCGCTGGAGACGGAGGTCGCCGGCATCCACCGCGCCATCGCCGAGTTCAAGCGCCTGCTCTAAGCCATTCGTGTCACGTGTTAGCCAAGAGCTGTTCGATGAGTGCGAGAGCTAACTTGGAACGGAATAGCGGAATATACATGTACTTTGCATGAACGTCTTCTTCACGTGTTAATTAGTGTACGTGTGCATGGTTTGAGCTGCGACCGCGTCTTCCTCGTTGGCGTCCAGTATCGCGCCTGGTAGTCCGGCAGAAGCCTGCAGCTCCTCCGAGCTATCGTCAGGAGACTCGGTCGGTGGTAGATCTGCATCGCGCGTTTCTTCCTTTGGTTGGATGGTCCCGACCTCTTCGCTCTGCTTGCTCTTCTTGATCTGCACCACCTCGTTGGTGTCTCCAATAGGCTCATCAGGGCCAAGCTCTTCCCCCAGGTACGTCTGGAAATTGCCTAGCCTTGCCAACATGTCGTTGAGCCTCGAGGAGAAAATGCCCATTTGACGGTCGAGCTTCTCTTCATACGCTTCGGCAGACGCCAGCAGCCTGCAAGTAAGGCAACAACACTAAAGAGACTGACTGATCCACGCAGAAAAAGGAGCAGCAACGATCTCACCTCGAGGAATCGTCACTTGTGAGTTGGCTGTCATCCACGGCGACAGCCTCATCTTCGAGCACAGACTTGAGCTGCGAGTATTCCTGTTCTAACCCCCACGCCTTCTTGAGATCCGAGAGCTTCTCAGCTTCGTCTGACACGAGCAGGATGTCTCGAGTTGCATGCTTCAGCTTCGTGATTCCTCTCGTCGCAGCAGCGCGAAGTTTCTTGGCAAATGACGTCTCCTCGACTTTCATGCCGTGCGCCTCGAGCTGGTGCTTCGCCAGCTCCAGCATGGCCAACCCATCGATCGCTGCCGCCTTTGCTCTCATCCGAGAGGAGTCAAAGCGCTCATGCAGAATCGCTACCACGATGTTCTGCAAGTCCATCCAAGGCAACAATTAGATTCCGCTACGATACTCGGACCCTACAACGCAAACTCATACAAGAACGACAAAAGACGTCGAGAGCTGGAACAGCAGTCGGAACAATTGCTTGTCTACTCGCCCAGCCATATCCAACGGATGCCACCGCGACGCAAGTGTCCTGGCCATAGTCGCGCTACCATTTCCGCCATACAACCACGTTAAATACCAGTGGCAACGAACACAGCATCTAAAGAGAGACACGTACATGGCAGCCGAGTAGCTCCGAAAGCTCGAGCGTGCAGATGGGAACAGAAGAACTCCAGCGTGTGCGAAGCCCAACACGTACACCAGCAGCAGCATGGCGTAGCTGAACAGCAGAGTTTGAGCGCGTTCCAGCTTGTCGACGGTGCTTTCCAGCGGTTTGATCGTCTTGGCGAGTCGTACCAGCCGCAGCCACATGAGAACTGAGCAAATTGCTGTCAGGTAGCGCTCCGTCCTCAGGTAATGCACACTCGCTCCAAGGTCCACGTAGCTGCTGTCGGACGTCTCGGCGAGGGTCAGCAGTTGCGGGAACGCGGCTTGAGCTATGGACTGCACCCGGAGGACGAGAATTGCCGCCCAGAGCGCCACAATGGAGAAGTCGGCGACGTGGTTCGGGATCCAGAAGTAGAAGAGGCGATACTGCAGCAGCTTCTCGAGCTGCTTGTGCGCGAACCACACGACGCCCACCAGAATGCCCAGCTCAGTGAGGAACCGCGGCTGGATTACGAACAAGCCCGGGTATTGCCTTAAGTGCAGGGGCGTGACCTCAGCCGAAGTGATCACTTCGCCGCTGCCACCTTCAGCAGACCCAGCGGTGGCCACGCCAAACTCGAACAATAGCTGCACTACGCAGTGCAAATCGAGCGCCGCGTTGTAGAGGTTGAACCGAACGAATAACGCTCTGCTGGACTCGTCCAGCCACCGACCACGTCGTAGTTTGGCAAGTTCACAGCGAGAATCACAGCCATTTGCAGTGTCCGACGTCAGGTTGGCCCCTAATCGAGGCAGGAATCGTCGATAGCCACTCCCCGGGTATGCAGCAAGACTGCCGCGGTAGACTTCATAGTCACTGTGACTAGGAGACGCACTCCAAGTGTCCTCAAAGTACGGCAAGCGAGAGACTGGGATCTTGAGCTCAGCACTGGTTGAAAAGTGAGGGTAACACCACTTCGGGTCATCGTCCTGGTGCTCTGGGAGTGCGAAGTTGCATGAAGCCGTCGCCCCCACTCGAAGCAGACGTAGCTCGACCCCACCCAGCAGCATGTTGGCGCCATCGACTACCCCAAGCTGCGAGTCCACGTCGTCTGCAAAGCTGTCGCCATTGTACCATGAATCCTGGAAAAGTGCCGACTGTACGGGCCCCTGCAGGAAGCTCCAGACGTCTGCGATCGAGAGCACGTCACGCAGCGTCGTCATCGCCGAGTCCTGTGAGCTTCCAGCGTTCCAGGGAGTGTCGACCACTGCGCGCCGTACAGCGAAGACGAGATCACTCGAGTGCTGCCCATAGAGCGAGAAGGCCGAGTTGAGCACGAAGCAGAAGAGCAGCAGAGCATACAGCGCGATGTCCGTGCGGCTTGCGCGCTCTCGTCGGGCCAATTCGCGCGGGTCGAAGAGCGCGCACTTCTGGAAGCTGTGGAGCGTGCTCTTGATAGCGAGGCGCGTGTGGCGATGTGCCGGCCCCGAGTAGGCGAAGAGCGCCACGTAGGCCAGATCCAGCACCTTGCACTCGTTGATGGTCCGATAGGCCTCGGGGAGTGCCGCGAGTCGAGAAAGGAGCTGAAAACCTTCGACCGCCACCTCCTCCGTGTCTAGATGAGATGCTACAGCCTCAACTAGTCTCGGAACGCCCGTGAAGTTGAAGATGCTGTGGACCAAGCGGATATCGAGCGCTGCAATGGCAACAGACACAAGTGTTAGACAACGTTTTAGACATCGACAAATACTCGAGAGGCCACCAACTTTTCGCGTGAAGGCCGTTTAGCGTTCCGACTGCGTGCCAGACCAGCTCCGTGTCCTTGACGTAACGCTTCATGGCCGCCATGGTGAGTGCAGTGCCGTTGCCGTCGATAAAAGTCGCCGTGATCGGCGCTACAGTTGAAGAACCTCAGATTTAGTGAAAACTTAGTGAAGGAGAAGCGTGTACTGTAGCGTATACCATTCGTCACGAGAAAGCCGAGAGGAATGAGTGCGGCTCTGCAGATGGAGAGGCTGTGGTCGTAGCGCTTGAGCAGTCCTAGCAGCTCCAGCACGAGATCTGGGGACGACACAGACTCCTTCACCAGATCTAATGGCAACAGCGTCAGGTTAGTCGCCACTTGCACGCAGTTCGATACCAATTCTCCTGTTGATATTCCCTACCGTTCATCACGAGGCTGCCGAGAGCGCGACAGGCCGAGGCGATAACGTCGTGCTTGTTGTCGTGGAAGCGAACGCACTTCATCAGAATCTCTTTGGCATCGTTGGCAGCCAGGAACTCGAGCGCGCCGTCCACTGCCAGCAGCAACAACGGCAACAAGGAATGAGCCAAGATACAAGAATCACACCTGTCTATCTATCTGGCAGTTGACACACCGTGCAGCTTGCAGTAAATGTCGATGCAGTCGAGAACCGGTACGAGGACGTGCTCGTTGTGCACGAACTTGTGCAGCGCGAAGACCGCGAGCTGCATGCCGTTGGCCCCGAAGAAGTCCAGGCCCGGGTTGTACCCGAAGGCGCGACCGCCGCACGCGAAGTAGAAGTTGCCCACATTGGCCAGCGTCTTGAAGCCCGAGAGCACCGCCCACGCGTAGTTGATCTCGCGGCTGATGGACTCGCAGATGCTCGGCACGCCGCGGGACTTGAGCAGCGTCAGCAGCTCCGTCTCAGCTGCAACAACAGCAACAGCAGCAGCAGGAACAACAACATGGATACAACAAATCACGACGGACAAGTGAGCCATGAAATGCCAGCACAGCACAGAGCACCACGCACGACAAGACACAACTCGACTCGGCTCGACACAACTGCAGCAGACGAACCTTCCGTCAGCTCGACAGCTTTGTCGCCTCCATCGCCATCGCCATCGTCGACGTCGTTAAGCGGGTGATAGGCTCTCGCCATCGTCTGGTCACACGCGATCTCCCTATCTACCTACACGAAGGCCGACCAAGGGTCGTGCGTGCTCCTTCCACCTGGAGCAAGGTGTCGCTGTGGGGCTGGAATAATACTGCTCATACTATTACATTATTAATCGCTGCGTTTCGCCCTCAATCAGGCCGCATCGCTGGAAAACTGTTGTCTCTTTCTCCTTCTCTTTCTTCTTCTTCTCTCCTTCGTCTCGGAGGCCTCGAGTCAAGTCGCTCCCAATTACAAGAGGGGGGGGGGCTTCCTTCCTTGTTGACTGCACTCGTCAATCGCACGCATCGTCATGCAACACCAAACTCTATTGGTACATGGGGCTCCAGCTCTCGTCCGCGGCGCCCCGGGGCGGTGTGTGTGTGTGTGTGGGTGTGGGTCAGTCTATAGCCACACATTCTGCGCGGGCTCCTCGTCGTCGTAGAGCCGCGAGGCCATGCTCACGCTCTTGGACGCGCCGAAGTTGTGCGCCGAGCCCGGTTGCGGCGCCAGGCTCATGGACGTGCCCCGCGTGACGATGGGGCCCGATCCGGGCGGCCGCGAGCTCATGCGGCGCAGGTTGTTGCGCGTGTTGTCTCCGAAGTTGATGGTCGTGTGGCGATCTGCCAGCAGCAGCAACAAGTTAGCCAACACATAACCGGTTAGAGAGTGGGTGTTGCAGGTTAGAGTTAGATGTCTCTAACTGATTGACGCACCTGTGCGGCGCCCGAGGCTGCCGGAGCTGAGTTGCCGCAGCTTGGCCTTCTCCTGGTCCAACTGGTTGAGCTTCATGAGCACGTCTCTCCTCTGGGCGAGCAGCTGCGCGAGGTCGATGTCGCTCTCGCGCCCGCCCTCGGACATCATGGAGATGGAGCTGCGCGGGATGGGGATGGCGCTCGGGTTGTCCAGCGCGTTGGCCGCCGTCTTGGCGATGGTGGGGCGCGCGATGCGCTTGTACTCCTTCATGGAGGCCACCTCTCCGTCCTCCTTGACGTCGTGCTGCTTCATGCAGTTGATGCAGAAGCCCAGCTTGAACGGGTTGGGCTGGAAGTCTGTGCACAGGTTCTCCTCGTCCGGGTCGTCCACGGGCTCGCCCCAGCGCGCGTGGATCACCGACGGCGAGTTGATGGGGCTGCCCAGGATGCAGTCGGCGTCGAAGGGCTGCAGCTCGATGGGGTCCCCCGCCAGGTACCCGGGGTCCTCGTACGAGTGGTAGATGGGCTCCTCCTCGGGCGTGCCCAGCGGCCTCCGCACGGCCTCCGTGTGGCTGCGGTGCACGCGCGAGCGGTTGAGCGGGTTGGACTCGTCTAGAGAGGGCGGGCGCGGCGGCCGAGCGGAGCGGCGCGGCGCGTGGAAGCGCTCGGATAGAGATTGCCGTCTGTCGTGTAGTTAGGGGGATAGCGTTAAGGTTAGAGGTGGCGCTGTGAGAGTGTGGGGGGGGGGATAGAGGATAAGGTACGCACTTCTTGCGACGACGGCGCGCCGCCTTCTCCGCGGCTTTGCTGGCTGGGGGGGACGGGGCTTCGAGCAGCGTGTCCAGGTCCACGCTCTCCACGTTAGGCGCAGACCAGCGGCCCCGCTCCGGTTCGCGGGTGTTGCGTGTGTTGCGTCTGGTTAGAGGGGAAAGAGTTTAGACACTCGGCTTTAGGTGGTGTTAAAGCGACAGGGGAGGAGGGGGGCGCACCTTTGCAGGACGACGCCGTGGTCGCTCAGGACGACTTGTGACTGCGAAAGGGAAGAGGAGGGGGGAATGGTTAGCACTAGCCTAAACGCCGCTCCCCTCGCGCCATGCACGCGCACGCACCTCGCTGTTCCGCGTACAGGAGTTGCCCATGGTCTGCTGTGTGTCTGCTGCGGCCTCTGGACTCGCGCGCGAGCCCTTTACTGCGGCGCCGCGAGGGATAGAGCACCTTCGCCGCCGGAGTCGTCGGTCTGGGAATGGCCCCTTCTTCTAGGCGAAAAAAACTCGCTCGTGAGCCCACGCCCTTTACTCACGAACCACTTGGCCCCAGTATGCCCCAAATCGGGCCTAGAATCCTGGCCTTTCTTCCCGCCCGCCGAAAGAGGCAGTGCACGAGTATCCTCCGATAGAAATAGGTTTGAAATGCCAAATGTGGGGTGAGAAGGTGCGCTGCCCCTCTCGGACTCAAAAAGGATGCATTGAACGCGCATTGCTCCAGAGCAGCAAGCTCCGTGGGTGTCGCTGCTGGCGAAGAGACCAAATCGAGCCATGGGACGACTCGAACTTGTTGAACTATTGACGGACTTGGTTGTTGAGCGACGTGAGCCGACGTATGTGGCTTAGTTTTTTTTATAACTCGTTGCGGTGGAGCAAAGTAGCTGTGACGAACGACCCACGGCAGTGTGTTGACATCGATGGCGCCTTGTTCAACGCTGACTGACAGCCAGCGATCAAAAAATAGTTTTCAGCCAGTATGGCACCGCATTTGTATATCGACACGGTGAGTTTAGGCGGCGACGAACCCAGAATCATGTAGGCAAGGCTGGTCCCCATTGTCCAATTGCACTGCAGCTGGAGCACCTTTGTCACAGCGCTGCGGTAACGACAATGAAAAAATGGCGATTCACACTTTTGCGATTTGTCCGACATCGGCAGCATTGCACATGCTGCTGTTGCAACTACATAGTGCCTTTTGTGGAGGCCGAATAGTTAGTCTAACCGAAGCTTTTTGTAATGAATAACACAGCCTAATAGACTGCATTTTGGCAAGGACTTACCAAAAGTGCAGGTGGACAGCCCTCTTCTACTGAGGGGAAATTCCATTTTCCGAAATGGAGATAATAATATTAGCTAAGCTATCCGCATAAATCGATATGCTGGCTTGTGCTTTTGGCCGCTCAAAAGTGTTGCGAACTTGAGGAGTGACATCAGTCTCACAATATATCTATTTTCTCCGAAATCCAAGATGCATTTGTAATTTTACTTATTCTACATTATCAGAATGCTCCTGCTAAGTTTTTAAACTCGGGTTCTTTTCCACGCTGTACAAGTGATCTTCACTTTTTAATTTTAAAAATTTCTGAGGTGCGAAATTTGATGCGCGATTTTCTCGAAACTCCAAATGATCGTTTTGTTTGACGCGGTCTTTGTTTGAACTTCCGATATCATCTTTAATAATACAGGAGTAAAAACGGAAACTATGATGAATTTTCTATAGATGCATTTAAAGGACTGTGTATGGGGTCTAGTTCAGATTCCGTGCACAGCTTCTGCTTCTATGGAAGGAACACACTGCGATTGCGGTTCATGCAGCATGGAGACTACGGGATGATATCTACTTTCGGGAAACCCAAGCAGAGTCACCCAGTTCAAATCGTCCTTCCGAAGTCACTGCAAGTTTATCTATCGCCACGCAGCGGAGTTGGAAGTCGATTGAACGGTATTGGTCGAAGCGCTTAGCCGCTTAGGATATGGCCTGCCGACCGACAGAATTACAGAACAAACTCTATCTCCAGCGATCCATCACATTTGGATACCACGTCCGTAGCCAGTTGGATCACTTTACGAGTTGTGTCTAATCTAGTTAATCAATTTTGATTCATCTTCGTCCTGCCATTTTACATGTATAGATATTGTATTATAGCTATGGTCTCTTTTTCAATCAGTCAGACTTTTTGATTTATAAGTTCTATAATTATTAATAGTAGCTAACAGTGCCAGTCCAAACTATGCTAGCCCAGCACAATAAATAGTCTACACAGACTACATGTATTACGAGAGTATACACCGACTGCCTGCTTCATCGCAACGTAGCTAAAATATAAACGGCGTTTATTGCCCTTGGCCTTTGAACGCGTCCCTCACGCCGGCGCGCCTTATCACCACCAAGACGTCCCTCGACGCCCCTCCAAAGCAGCCCAAAGCGATACAGACATACCGGGCATAGTTACTCACGCCGTTTCGCAGCGACAGTAGAGTATGTATCGCTCACCCCATCGAAAAGGGATCGAGCGCTTAGCAACACCCGCAGCAGCAGGCCCCGGCTGGGTGTAAACCCTCGTTTACGCTTGCCTCAATGAGGCCGGGCTCGCCTCGTTGAAGTCCAAGGGGGTCCTCCGCGGATCTGGTGCTCCATCCAACGTTGCAGTGGCTCTGCACGGATTTATGAGACTGGTACACTGGTACAGTGTATTTACCGCATTTCTAAAGTTTCTAAACGAAAGGGCAAAAAAATCTGCGAGTCTCACTCAAAGTGAGACGCACAGCCAGGGCGTACCTGCGACTTGTGCAGCGTCGTCCTCCGTCGTCTCGGTGGTGCTGCGAGCCGACGGAAAGTGCCAGACGTCGCCCACGCGCTGCGGCCGCGCCGAGTAGGGCAGCGGCTCGTCCACCGTGGCGCGCGAGCCGTGCACCTGGTAGTGCACTTGGTGGCGCTCCTTCCAGCGGCCGAACGCGCGGTTGTGGATCATCTGGAAGTGGTGGTCCCGCATCTCGTCGTTGGAGACCATGAGCGTGCGGCCGCCGAGCTTCACGGCCGCGTACAGCCAGTACCAGTCGTCGTTGTTGCCCTGCTGGCAGTTGAACATCTTGTGATCCGCGCGCCACTGCGCGAGCTGCGCGCGGTGCTCGGGCGGCACCTGCTCGTCCGAGGTGCGGCGCTCGTGCAGCACGACCAGCACCTTCTTGCCCTGCGCCTCGTAGTGCTGCACCATGAGCTCGATCTGCTTGTAGTTGAAGCCGCCGCTGCGGGACACACAAAGGCAGACAGACAGATACAGTGCAAGTGAGTGGCCCCGTCGAGGTCACAGTAGTTCAGGCCAGGCAGCTAGTCAGCGCCCCGCAAAGCTCGAGGATGGGATGTTACAAATGGAGACTTTACGCACCCCTCGAAGTTCTGGTTGCAGTAGCCCACGTTGGCGGCGTCGATGACCACGTCGAAGGGGCCAAACTCCTCCAGCCACTGCTTGAACTCGTCCCATTGCGCCTTGCGCTTCTCGTCCGTGCGCACAAGCTTCTCAATCTAGGCGGCAGAAATGATTAACCGGTCAGATCTCAGTTCGGAATTCGGTGACTTCAATACGGCGGCCCACTCGCCGGCGTTGACATAAACCACCACGGCAATCACCTTGGCCAGCAGCTCCGATGTCAGCTCCGGTGACAGCTCCAGCGACTGCAGCTGGTCGCCCGTGACGGAGCACACACCCTCCTTGCTCACGGTGCCCTCGGTGATCTTCCACTTGCGGCCGTCTACCTGCGCCGCCTCACTGCAGCATCCGCACAATATCAGACCCAAGTGTTCGTTAAACGAGTTTGCCACTGGCGCTCCAAACAGCGAAAAGTTCAGCGCTACCGTACCTGCTGAACCACTCCTTGAGCACGTCCCACGTGGTCAAACTGGGCTGCCAAACGTCGTCAATGAACCTGTCCAAGAAGGCGTAGAAGCGCTGGGCGTCGCCGGCCTTGACGCACGCGCGCAGCAGTGCCACGTAGTCGGCCTCCGTCGGCTCCAGCTCGTTTTTGAGAAACTTGTCGTGCACCCAGATGCACTTGTCCAGGTGGCCGGCGTCGCTGTGCGCCTGCAGCAGCGGGCCGAACGTGCGCAGCTTGGGCTCTACCTTGGCCTCCTCCATCTCGGCGATGAGCGTCTCGCACGCCTCAAAGTCCTGCGCCTTGCTGCAGATCTTGACCATGGCGCTGTAGATCGGCTCAGGCACCTGTTGCTGCTGGTGCTTCTTCTTGCCCTTCTGCTGCTGCTGCTTGGCATTATCACAGGCCTCCTTCATGTCCTGGTACACGGCGTAAGCCCCGGACTTGAAGGCCGCCAGATCCTCCATCCTGCTGCACACGTTGATGACCACGTTGTAGATGTACGGGGCCACGTTCACGCCCTCGCTCTTCATCTGCTCGTACACTTGGAGCGCGCGCGCGGCGTCGTTGTCATGGGCGCAATTCTGCACCTGGATGCGGTATTGGTACTCGAGCTTCTCCGCAGACGACTGTCAATGGATGATGCAGCAGAGCAAATGGGTCAGCGCATTTGTTGCCACTCGGTTAGAGAAAATGGGTCTTTTCGCCTGCCAACGCACCTGCCTGCGCTCTCGGCGGCGCTCGGTTTTCGTCAATTTGCGCGCTGTCGTTGCAAATAGAATTGCGTCAGAGTGGAAGAAGACATGCGGATAGAGGTCGTGCCAATGGGTCGCACCTGGCTCGGCACCCTCCGCCGCCGGCGCGGCGCGCTTGCTTCCGGCGAGGCTGGCCATTCCTTTCGATCAAAGTGTAGCTGAAATGTCGCGATTGGTGGCCAGTCAAAATATTGGCGCTGTCCGATTTCGGATGGTGACTTGGATCGAGTATGGTGATCACCGAAACCTGTCACAAGTGGTGGTGCGAACAAATATTGGGGCAGATGGACCAATGGTAAGCGAGGAACGATAAGGAGTCTGGACCTCTTGACTTCAACGCCGAGGCGAAACATGTTCATCAGCGCTTAATTGTTGCAGTGCTTCAGCGCTTCCGTGGTGCTCAGAATGGCTCCGTCAGCTCGGTTCGAAATGCTTAACTGCTCGCTGCGGCGCCAAGTACACCGATGCCTCAGTTCTTGAGCCATCTGTGCAACCACGCACGACAAGACAATCGGCCTCTACCGGTACACCGGAACGGGGCGGTTTCGAGTGGCGCGCTTCGTGCAATGCAGCATTGCCGAATTCCACTGCAGTTCTCGTTGCTTGTTGCCTGAGGCAGTAGCGTCACGAAGCACGGGGATACAGTAGCAGTGCCTCGGCCCGGCACATCTGGCATCAGCCACACTGCGACGACACTTCGACGCGGCGCTCGACCGCGCAGGATGGTGAGCGGCTTGACTTGTCGACGGCGAGAACAAGCGCTGCAAGCGATGTCATGGTGCATGCAAGCATTGACCACCTCGCTTGCTTGCAACGATTTTAGAGTACACGGAGCACCGTGTGGTGGCCGTGCGTGTCTTCCCAGGGACATCACGTGATGTGGGGCTACCCAAACGTACGTTCCATTATGTACGCCGAACCTCTACGTTCGCGAGCGCTGGTCAACTAACTACGCGTACAGCGAGTGCGGCGTCGAGGCAAGTGCCTACATCACACTGCATGCTGCGGAAGCCAACTCGTAGTGAAGTACATGTATCGTCAGAAAGACCGGAATGCTACGTTGCACCTGCGAAACTGAAGCATGCGAAATGGCTACAACAGCGTTGGTTATCTTCCGACCGTTTCAACTGAGCCGCAGCACTGAGTTCCGTTGCCAACTGCACATGCTTGCTGGATGGAAATGCGTTCGTGGCCCCAAGCAGGATAGCCTCACCTGAACGCCTAGACAGTTTTGCACACCGCCGCCTTCGAGAAGTCCGGCAAATAGTTACTGGGCAATTGGTTTCACATCTCAGCAGCCCACATCTGGCCAGCGTGGGCAGCAGAGACCATGTGCTGAAGCGCGAAACTGGCCAACGCCCAGTTAAAGCCACCCCAGATGTGTCGACGCTGTACTCTGCCCCGCCTCGCTACGCCATTTCGCAACGCGCCAGCTCCGCCGCAAGCTACGGTAGACCATACAGCAGCCGAGCGTCGGTAGCAGGATGACAGGGCTCGACTGTCCGATGCAGACCAAGGCCCTGCACCTCTTTTGGTGAGTGTGCCATCCTTCAGCCCCTTTAGGACGTCTACAGTATACTGATAATCGACTCTTGTCTGCAGGCACAAGGCCGAGCTTCGGTTGGTGGAGCAACAGGCACCCGAGGCGCCCGTGTTCGCCGTGTCACGCCCCACGCTCTTTGGAGGGCGCGAGGAGTTCCTCTTGCAGTACCCGGCGCGGTTGGAGCCTCCGACGGAGCGGGACATCGCCCGCCACCGATTCACTGTTCGACACGGCAAGAAGCGGCGCAGTTTCCAGGCACCCGACGCCGCCACGTTCGAGGCGTGGCTGTCAGCGCTGGAACAGGCTCTGGAGCCCAAGGCGGAGCCTGACCACTCCCCCACCCCAAGCAGCACGAGCAGCAACGCCACGACTGCAGTCAGCAGCCAGGGCAAAATGAGCACCTCCGGGAGCACCACGAGCAGTCGAGGCAAAATGGACACCGCCGGCTGCAACATGAGCAGCCAACGTAGCAATGTGAGCAGCCAGCGCAGCAACGTCTCAGCCACCAGGGCCCCTCCGCTGCGGCTCACGCTGGAATGGCCATGCTTCACTCGGGACCCAAACAATTTCAAACTCATTTGGCTGCACCGTCCAGCGTGGGCCGTTCCCAGTCCCGCCAAAGCTGACAAAGAGGCTGACGTCGGAGAGCAGGACGCGAGTACGGCGGAGTTTGAAGAGGAGGGTGGAGATGGTGTAACGGATGGGATCGAGTTTGGAGAAGAAGCGCTTCAAGGGGTCTCCGAGACCGATGAGGAGGAGGAAAGGGACAACGACGTGCTGAGCGTGTTCACTGACGAAGAAGCTCCGGAAGAAGGTTCCCACGAATTTGTGGACGTCGAGACAGATACTGTGAGTGCAGAGGAAGAGTTTGATTATTGTGACCTGGAGACCATCACCGATGATGAGGGCTCGATGCCAACTACCGCCATTGCAACGAGTCCCGTGAACGCGTCCAAGTTTGAGGAGCTGGTCGATATGGTGCCACGTAAAGCTGACGGCTCCAAAAATGTGGAGAGTACAGCGATTCCCGAAGGTGTTGCGGTTGCCAAGGCCGAGAGCCCGAGGCTTGTGGGAACTGCTAGTGCCGACAGCCATGGAGTTGTGGAAGCAGTGCTCGAGACCTTGGTGGATGCGGTGGTAAAGCATTCCAGTATTGACGAAGCTGCCTGCGTCGGTCCTGACGCAGGGGTGGAACCACCAGAGGGTGAAGAAGCAGCCAAGGCTCTGGTTCCTGCTGTAAGCAGGCCCAGGATTGACGGTGTTGAAGCTTTCGATGAGCTCACGGCTAACGAGGGCGAGGTCAATGATGCTGAGGCCAGCGAGAGAACAGCCCCTGAGTCACTGGTGGCCGAAGTGAGTTCTCCAGAGAACAGCAAAGAGGGCATATTTGCGGTTGAAGGTGTAGTATCTCCCGCTACACCTCGCAGCTCCAAGAAGCGGTCGGTTGTAAAGAGCTCTAAGCGTAGCGCTAGTATCGCCTCCAAGTTCAAGTGGGTTCCGCTCGACCCCACCAATTCCAGTCTCATTTGGGTACAGGGCTCTGCCGATGCCGATACAAAGTCTGCCCCTCGAAGCAATCCACGACGTAAAACGTCTCGGAAGTGGAGTCCTGTTGATCCAAGCAACTCCAGGCTCATTTGGGTCCAACGCGTCGAGGCAGCGGCTCGAGTGGAGTCGCGATACAAGGCGACGTCGAGCTCTCGAAAGTGGGTCCCTCTTGAGCCGGACAACTCCAAGTACATTTGGATCCGGCGGCAGCCGTCCTCAGGTGCTTCAAGCGTGGGTCGTCACGCGAAGCAGCAGCAGCGCCGGAACTGATGTGCGATGTCCAATGTCGTCAAGTAAACTCTGTAACACTGTCAGGAAATGCCAACCAAGTCTACCCCTTTAGTATTTCCCAGTATTTCAGCGCAGCTACTCTAATCGTCTATACTGCGCAATTAAAAGTTGTTTAGCGCTGGCTGGTTTGCCATTTGCTGGGCTCGTACACCGGCACATCGGCCTTCGGCAGCGCCGGCTTGCTCAGAATCATATCCGCCACCTTCTCGGCCATCATGATCACGGGCGCGTTCGTGTTGCCACTCACGATGTTGGGCATGATGGACGCGTCCACGATGCGGAGGCCTTCTAGGCCATGGACGCGAGTCTGCGGGTCCACGACCGAGTTGTCGTCCACGCCCATGCGAGCCGTGCACGACACGTGGAACTCTGGTCCAGAATACTTGCGCAGCCACGCGTCGATCTCCTCATCCGACTGGACGCTGTCGCGTGGAGAGATGCCGCCGCCGTTGAACTCGTGGAACGCGTTCTGAGCGAAGATTTCGCGCGTGAGCTTCACGCCCTCGCGGAGGGTGAGTCTTCTGTCTTCGTCCGCCAAGTACTTCGGGTCGATGAGAGGGTGGTCGCGCGGGTTGGCGCTGCGCAGCTTGAGGGTGCCATTGTTTGATCCTCGCAAAAGTGCAATGTGTCCGCTCATGGCGTGGCCGATGTCTTCACGCATCTGGCAGCGCTCGTCCACTGCACAAGGGCTGAAGACGATCTGAAGGTCTGGTTGCTCCTTGCCCGGGGCCCTGCAAAGCAGCAAACAAACATTAAGCTTAGCGAATGAGTTGTATCACGTGAAATGTAAGACGCAAGGGCTGACGTTCGGATGAATCCGCCCACTTCACAGTGCGGAGTCGCGCCAGGTCCGGTCTTGGCCGTCAGCCACTCGTAGCCGATCTTAAGCACTTTGCCCGGGTACCGCTTGGACGCGTTGTAGAGAGTAATGGGCTGCTTGCAGGCGAACTGCAGGTGCACTCCAACGTGGTCCTCCATGTTGTTACCGACTGCCGGCAGGTGGTGCACCAGAGGCACACCCACCTCCTTCAAGTGATCCGCATCGCCCACGCCCGACAGCATCAGCAACTGCGGCGTGTTGATGGCTCCGCCCGACAGAATGACCTCCTTCCCGGACAGAATCTTGGTCACGGCCTTCGTCTTGTTGTCCTCAGTCTCGATGCCAACGACGTTCTTACCCTCGAAGATGAGCTTGTTCACGAGCGTATCCGTCACGACAGTCAAGTTCTCGCGATCCATCACGGGGTGCAGGAACGCACTAGAAGCGCTGCATCGCTTGCCTTTGTGGATGGTCAAGTCGTGCCAGCCCACGCCTTCCTGCTGGTAGCCGTTCATGTTGTCGGTGAGCGGGTATCCCGCCTGCACTCCAGCGTCCAGGAACGCCTGAAAGAGCGGCTGATCCTTCTGCGTGTTCCTCACAACGTGGAGAGGACCGTCACCGCCGCGATACTCGTCCTCGCCGAGCTGATGGTTCTGCGATCTCTTGAAGTATGGCAAACAGTCCGCGTAGCTCCAGCCTTCCGCGCCGTTCGCCTCCCAGTCGTTGTAGTCCTTGGCATGGCCTCGATTGTAGAGCATGGCGTTAACAGACGACGAGCCACCGAGCACGCGACCACGTGGGAATCCGACGCGTCGGTTGTTGAGGAACTCCTGCGGCTCCGTGAAGTAGTTCCAGTTGTACCGGTCGTCCGCCAGGTTGATGGGGACGGCCGCCGGCATCTCGATCAGCACCGAGTCCCATCGGTTGCGGTCGCTGGGCCCCACCTCCACCAGCAGCACCTTGTTGCTCGGATCGGCGCTCAGGCGGTTGGCGAGCACACAACCGGCAGATCCGGCTCCGATGATTATGAAGTCGAACTCGGTCGATGTCACGGAGGACGTGAGTCCACACGTTGCAGTGGCCTTGACAACGGTGGCGTGACGACCATGGCCGAAACGCAGCGCGTGGCGGAGCATCGTGGCGAGCGCGAGGAAACGGAGAATGACACGTCAGCCCGAGGCGGTGGCCTGGGCGAGGGCCACGAACTGTCGATTCGGTGGTATCTGTGCCTCGTCGATTGGTAAAGCGGCCAGACGCTGGACGAGAACGAGAACCGCCTGATGACGCTCGAACAGAGAACACACCAGAAAGACGTTGCGTGGATCGTTGGCTCGCGAAGCCGTGATCAAGTGGCGGCGCAGCGCAGCGCGAGATCTGGCGATGGCGGTTGCCATGCTACACAACGTTATGCCATGCTACGCTGGACCGGAATGGTGCACACTGCTGTGGGAGGTGTCCACATCATTCCGGTGGGCCAGTACGGTATCACGTCAGTTGGACATGCAACATGGCATGAGGAAATAGGCAGCTCTTCATCGGTGTTAGCGTTCAATGTCAGTCTGCTCCTTACCGCTGGCTGGTTTGCCAGTTGCTCGGCTCGTACACTGGCACATCAGCCTTCGGCAGCGCCGGCTTGCCCAGAATCATGTCCGCCGCCTTCTCGGCCATCATGATCACGGGCGCGTTCGTGTTGCCCCACATCATTACTGTAGTCGTACATATCGGGCGGAATATCTTGAAGCCGTCTGCATCTCATTCGCGCATCCCCGCGGTATTAACTAGAGGCGAAGCTTTGGTCTGGGAGGACAGTGTAGACTTCCTTTGTGTGCAAACGTGGGGTAGGCAAGAATAGTGTAAATTGGTGGCAAGTTTTCAAACCCTGGTGTAGCGCCTTCCTGACAAAAAATGGCGAAGTTGCCATGCAAAAGACACGAAAGAAGTTAAAGGCGCGCTCGGCCGGGGGCAAAGCCCGTTGACGTCATGCATTCCAGCTATACAATTTTACACAAGAAGGATTCATGGGGTTCAGTCAATTTAGAGCGGGGCCAAAACGAGCGAACAGACGCAGGAAAAAGAGCAATCCGTTAGCTGTTATTTCAATGATTTTGAGTAAATGTTAGCTTATAAGGAGAAAATGCAGCTATCCTAGTTATGGTTTTCCAAATATTGTGCTTTGCAATGATTTTGGCAATATGAGGCGAGATTTGCTGTATTTAAGCGACCACCTGCTAGATTTACGATAAATCGAGGTGCATAAATGGGTGGAGGCCTAGAATTACGCTAAAAGCGCCACAATTTCCCTTTTGAAAGTGCAATTGTGGCTGTGCAGCTGCAATTCTGTCGGGTTTTATCCCAGGCACCTACACACATGGCAATTATGCATAAGAGGGTGGATGTGCTGGGGATCATGGACGGTGGTGTACTGGGCCAATGCATGGTTGCTGACAGGCCCTCCCAAGTCGATATATAAATGAGGAGGTGGATTTATGCATAATTTTAGCAGGTCGTGTATCTTCTTTCACACATATTTAGGAGCAGGCTTTGCCATATTTAGCGTCTAAAATGGTCGGCAAAATAACTGCAAAGCACAATAAATTTCATAAAGTCAAGAACTGCTCACCACAGTGTGTGGTGCACACTACGGATACAATCGACATTCTGGGAACAACCAGCCACGAAATGTACAAACTTTGTGATGTTACGGTAGCCATAATCTGTGGACTATGGACTCAGGCGACATTTGTTGTCAAGACTGATGTGACGACGCCTCGCCAAGCGACCGTGTGACGCGAACGCGTCATCAGTGAGGTCGGCGTGACCTTCACTGTGTTGTACCGCAATCATTCAGGTGATTACGGGACGATGATTACGTCACGGTGATTACGCCATGATTGTGGGTACAGGATTGTGGGTACAAGATGGGCATCGACGTGGCGTTCTCTGATTGGATAAGGTAACTGTGTATCCAGTAGAGAATCCAGTAGGGTGTACCCAGTAAGAGGTATCCAGTAGCAGGCTTAGAGGTAGCACGCGGTTGCGAACTAAGGACCTGAATCGAATCACTTTGCATTTTGCCAACTACTGCTCAAGTGTTCTTCCTTTTGGTTATGAGCCCAAGCCCCGTCTTCCCTGACCAAGACCCCGACTACGCCTTCGCCATGGACGCCGCCCCGACCGCGACCGCCCGCATCAACAAGTTCGACGGAACCAACTTCCACACATGGAAGTTCAAGATGCAGATGGTGCTGGAGGAGCGCGAACTGTGGGAAGTGACGAGTGGGGAAGTGAAGCTCGAGCAGTGCACGACCGCGGCGGACCAAGCGACGTTTCGCAAGAAGTCGCGCAAGGCGCTGGCGATCGTCTGTCTCGCGTTGGAGGACTCGCAGCTGCCGCTGGTGCGGTCGGCGAAGGACGCGCATGATGCATGGTCAAGACTCGAGGGACACTTCGAGAAGAAGAGCCTGGCGAACAAGCTCTTTCTTCGTCGACGGTTCTTCACGACAACGATGGACGAAGGTGATGATGTGCTGGAGCACATTAACAAGCTCAAGACGCTGGCGGAACAGCTCGACGCGGTCGGCGCTCCGGTCAGCGAGGACGACTTGGTGATCACGCTTCTTGCCAGTCTGAGCGAGTCGTACCAGTTCCTCATCACGGCGTTGGAATCGCGTTCCGACACGCTGACGTGGGAGCTCGTGACGTCTCGGCTCCTGCACGAGGACATGAAGCGCAAGGAACAAGGTGGCGGTGCTGACGGAACCGCGCACGCTCAAGGTCAAGCGTTCATGACAAGCGACAACGGGAAGCGCAAGGGACGGCAGGCGCAAGCGCAGAGGACGAGCGCCTGTCACTACTGCGGCGAGCACGGACATTGGATCGCCAAGTGTCCGGTGCGGATCCGCGAGAACGGGGAGCGGCAGAGGCCGCAACGAGCGAACGTCGCGCAGGTCGAAGATGACTCTGGCGACTTCCTCTTCTCGGTTGGTGGCGACACGGGTGCCTCCAAGCTGAGCGGCATGTGGCTGGTCGACTCGGGTGCGACGCAGCACATGACGTACTCGAAGGAGTACATGAAGAACTACAAGAAGATCTCTCCGGTGGACGTGCATCTGGCGGACGACGGCGTGGTTCAGGCGGTGGGGAGCGGCGACATCGTGATGTCGATGCAGACACCGCGCGGCATGAAGAAGGGTGTGCTCACGGGTGTGTGGCACATCCCGAAGCTGTCGCGCAACCTGTTCTCCGTCGGCCGCTTCACCAAGGACGTCGGGCCAGTGACCTTCGAGAGCGACGGGTGCTTCGCGGAAACGAAGGGTCTCAAGTGGAAGCTCGGCGCTCGCGAAGGCAAAGGACTGTTCAAGCTCTGCATGACGCCGAGGACGCCTGCTGACGAGGCCAATGCGGCAAGCTCGAAGAATCGCCAAGGGGACACCACGTCGTACCTCTGGCACCTTCGACTTGGTCACATCGGCCATGGTGGTCTCGACGCCATCGTCAAGAAGGGCTACGGCACTGGCATCCCAATGACGTCGGTGAAGCAGTGGGAGGTGTGCGACGGGTGCGCACTCGGCAAGCAAACGCGAGTAAGCTTCATGAAGTCGTCGCCGAACCGTGCGAAGCAAGTGCTGGAGGTGGTCCACAGCGATGTGTGCGGTCCGATGCAGACGGCGACGTTCGGAGGCAAGCGCTACTTCGTCACGTTCATCGACGACAAGTCGCACTTCTGCGTGGTGTACCTGCTACGGAACAAGTCGGAGGTGGCTGCCAAGTTCGCTGCGTTCGTCGCGTTGGCTGAGACGCAGACCGGCAAGCGAGTGAAGGTGCTTCGGAGCGACAACGGCGGCGAGTACACTTCGGGTGCGATGGCCAAGTTGTGTGCGGATCGCGGCATCGAGCAGAAGTTCACGCCACCATACACGCCTCAGCTCAACGGAGTGGCCGAGCGAATGAATCGGACGCTGGTGGAGTGTGCGCGCTGCATGCTGGAGCACGCCGGGTTGTCGAAGGAGTACTGGGGAGAAGCGGTGATGACGGCCACGTTCCTCCGCAACCGGTGTCCGACGCGCGCCATCAGTCACGACAAGTCGCCGCACCACGTTTGGACCGGCAAGAAGCCTTTGCTGGCCAACCTCAAGGTGTTCGGGTGCCACGCGTACGTGCACGTGCCGAAGGAGAAGCGGTCGAAGTTCGACGCTCGGTCGGTGCGCTGTCGTTTCCTCGGGTACTCGGAGCACGAGAAGGCGTATCGGTTTGAGGAGATCGAGAGCGGTCGCGTGTTGGTGAGCCGCGACGCGCAGTTCATGGAGGATGTCTTCGACGGTGGGAGACGCGACTACGCTTCGAAGGAGGTGTTGGTGGGTCTTCCGACAGATGATGATGAAGACACCACGGATGAAGAGACTCAGTCCGGATCAGACGAGAACAGAGAAGAAGCTGCGCGGAATCAAGACTTTGTACCCGGCAGCAAGCGACACCCGCGCACGCAGTCGCTCGAGGAAGCCGTGGAGGTTCCGAGTGCCAAGCGGTATGCGGTGCCGAGACGACAGCAGCCGCTGGACGAGATGTCTGCCGCAGCACAAGAGAAGGAAGACTTCGAGGCTGCGTACGTCGTGGATTCAGTGGGAGAGATGCCGACAACGTTCAAGTCGGCGATGGAATCCAGCGACGCAGACAAGTGGAAAGAGGCGTGCGACTCGGAGGTGGAGTCGCTCCGCAAGAACGAGACGTGGACCCTGGTGCCACTGCCGAAGGGACGCAAGGCGATCGGCTGCAGATGGGTGTTCCGCGTGAAGGAGAACCAGTCTGGAGAGATCGAGCGGTTCAAGGCGCGACTGGTGGCGAAGGGGTTCTCGCAGAAGTACGGCATCGACTACGACGAGACGTTCGCGCCGGTGGCCAAGTTCACGTCGATTCGGGTGTTGCTGAGTCTGGCGGCCAAGTACAAGCTCACAGTGCACCAGATGGATGTGAAGACCGCGTTCCTCAACGGCTTGTTGGACGAGGACATCTACATGGCGCAGCCGGACGGATATGTGGACGGAGATCGACCCGACTACGTGTGCCGGCTCAAGCGTTCGCTGTACGGCCTGAAGCAGTCGCCGCGGATGTGGAACAAGACGATCGACGAGTTCATGTTGAAGCTGGGGTTCAAGAAGTGCGAGTCCGACCACTGCATCTACTTGAAGCGGGACAATCACGACATGATGTTCGTGGCACTGTACGTGGACGATCTGGTCCTCGCCAGCAGCAGCGACGGGATGCTGAAGGACACGAAGCAGGCGCTGAAGGACACGAAGCAGGCGCTGAGTGACCGGTTCGAGATGACCGACATGGGCCAGCTCAAGTACTTTCTCGGTATGGAGATCGAGCAAGATGTGGCGACTGGGAAGGTGTCGGTGCGGCAGACCAAGTTCGCGAAGGACATTCTCGAGAAGTTCAAGATGGATGAGAGCAACCCTGTGAAGACACCGCAGGATCCGGGTCTGAAGCTGACCAAGGCCATGTGCGAGGGAGGCTGCAAGCACGACGAGACCATGGCGAATGTTCCGTACCGGAACGCCGTGGGCTGCCTCATGTATCTCATGGTGGGGACTCGTCCGGACCTCGCAGCGGCAGTGGGAGTGCTGAGCCAGTTCGCAGCGGATCCATGTCCGACACACTGGCAGGCGCTCAAGAGGGTCTTCCGCTACATCCGAGGCACGAAGACGCACGGCCTCGTGTTTCAAGCGAGCAGCGAGGACGGACTGCAAGGCTACTCGGACGCGGACTGGGCCGGCGACATCGAGTCTCGACGGAGTACGAGCGGCAACGCGTTCATGATGAACGGCGGATGCATCAGCTGGCGAAGCAAGAAGCAGCGCACGGTGGCGCTCTCGTCGACGGAAGCCGAGTACATGGCGCTGTTGGAGGCCACGCAGGAGGCGGTGTGGCTCAAGGTGTTTCTGTGCGAGCTGGGCGAGATGGCGAGCGATGAAGCGGTGAAGATCTACGAGGACAACCAAGGCTCCATCGCGTTGGCCAAGAACCCGGAGTTCCACAAGCGCACCAAGCACATCGACATTCGCTACCACTTCGTGCGCGAGAAGGTGGAAGACGGTCAAGTGGTGTTGCAGTATGTTTCGACACTCGACATGCTGGCGGACATCATGACGAAGCCGATCGCGGCGCCGCAGTTCGACGCGCTCAGGACGAAGCTGGGCATCGTGGTCGCTGACGAGTCGAGTGGGAGTGTTGTCAAGACTGATGTGACGACGCCTCGCCAAGCGACCGTGTGACGCGAACGCGTCATCAGTGAGGTCGGCGTGACCTTCACTGTGTTGTACCGCAATCATTCAGGTGATTACGGGACGATGATTACGTCACGGTGATTACGCCATGATTGTGGGTACAGGATTGTGGGTACAAGATGGGCATCGACGTGGCGTTCTCTGATTGGATAAGGTAACTGTGTATCCAGTAGAGAATCCAGTAGGGTGTACCCAGTAAGAGGTATCCAGTAGCAGGCTTAGAGGTAGCACGCGGTTGCGAACTAAGGACCTGAATCGAATCACTTTGCATTTTGCCAACTACTGCTCAAGTGTTCTTCCTTTTACATTTGCCAATTAAAGTTGGGGGGGGGGGGCTCCCGGCCGCTGAAATAAAATTGGTTAGGCTGTTCAGCCAGCTAAAGCTGTCCTCCCAGTATAACTTGTGCATGTGTAGTATTGTGTGTTCTGTTCAAAATTTCCGCGGGCGGTTTGTTGAACCGCCCAAGCCAAATCTCCGGCCAATCTCCGTGGCCACTAGGATTAGTTATAGGCACCCGTTTAAGTACGAATTGGTCTTGACATGCGGGCACTTGGACCATATGGTTTGGGTCCGGAGATTGAGCAAATGACTTGAGTTTTGTATTTGGCGATTGGAGCGGGTCTCCAAACCGCCGCGATTTGGAAAATTTGGCCGGAATTCACAATACTTATGCGCGACAGTGTATCATACCTGTATGCTCGAATCGGAGCTTGGAAAAGGAAATGAAGGCGCGAGCGAAATGTGAGTGAAATACACTCTGGCTCTGCCACTATTGCTGGCAGCAAGCTTGCACAGCTGTCCACGACAACAATGCTGTCGTGTCTTTGGTGCCTTCGCGTTTTCGGGTCGCAGTCTGCGACTCGCAGATCTGCTCACGCCTCGTAGGAGCCCTGGGGGGAGCCGGGCTCCCGGGCTCCTGGGCTCCTGTGTTAAATAGGTTAAGTGAAAGGAGCCCTCCAAAACTGTGAGAGCCCGTGTTAAGGGCTCCCCACCTCAGGTGTTATATAATTCTCAAATGATTGGCTATAATAAAGACTCTTCAATTTCTGTCCTAGAGGTCATAGGAACGAAAGCCGTGCCATTAAGGGCACGAAGGGGGAATCCACGAGTTTAGGATGATATAGGGGCGATGGTAGCTGCTTGGACACCTATATGGTGCTGTGGAGTCTTTGGAATTGTGATCTTCGAGCGAGAATTCTCGTGAAGAAGTTTAGTTACGATTAACCAATCAGAAAAGGATCCGAAGAGCCCGTCAAGTTTTGAATCTAAATTTGAGGAGCCCGGAAGGGGAGCCAATGAGGAGCCCGCGAGGAGGGCTCCTCGTCTTCGTACTTAATATAGGGGAGCCGGGTTCAAGCAACATTCGGGCTCGCAAATTTCATGAGAGCCCCGTTCAGATACACTCCACGACAAAAATATATGGACACCTACGTTGGTGTCCATATCTCAGCAACTACTGGGAATTTGCAGACGCTATTTAGATATGTGCTACCAATCAGACTAACGAATCGATAGGACGTGGCGCGAAACCGCGAATCGCAGCGCATCTATAGGCTCACATAGAGATAAGTGAATTTGGCACCGCGACAAATGTTATGGACAGTAAATTGTATTGGATTTTGTATGGGGGGTGAGTGATGGTCAGGGTGGACCTAGTAATGCGTTTTGTCGCCAAGCTTCTTGGCTACCTCGAAGCACCGCTTACCCATCGAGTCTAGAAGCGTTGTTATTTCCTTCATAGTGACGGAGTTCCAAGCTTTCATGACGGCGGCTGTGAGCTCGGGTACCGAATGGTACTGCTTCCCGTGGCTGTACACCTTGTCCACTAGCAAGGCCCACACGTTCTCGATTGGGTTCAAATCAGGAGAGCGTGCGGGCCATGCCAGCACCATGACGCCAATCTCTTTGAAGAAGTCCGTAGTCTCGTAGGAAGCGTGGATGGAGGCATTGTCTTGCATGAAGACGAAGTCAGTGCCGTAGTTCCGGTGGGCGAACGGCAACATGTGCTCCGACACTGTCCAGATATAGTGGTGCGACACCTGGCGACCTTCCAGCACTACAAGCTCCGACTTGCCCTCGTATCCGATTGCACCCCAAACCATGAGCGAGCCGCCGCCGTTCTGACGGCTCAGGTAACGGCGCGGAGGTCGACGCAGGTCCCTCCAATAATGCTTGTACCCGTCCGGTCCGTCTAGGTTAAAAAAATTTCATCAGAAAAAAAATTAGCTCCCAAACTTTTCCCTTCTGAGCAGCCAGCAGCATGCGCTCGGCAAACTCAAGGCGAGCTGCCATGTGCTCAGGGGTTAATGGCAACATCCTGTTCATTTTAGCAAAGGTGAGGAAGTCCACACGAGCCAGCAGACGCTGCACAGTCCGTAGACTGCACGACAGGCTGTACGTTGCCTTCAGCTCCGACGCTGTGTAGTCCCCTGTAGCTGCCGCCCTGACCATCTGGCGCGTTTGCCGCTTCGTCAACGCCTTCGGGCGCCCTTGTTTCTTCGGCTTCGCGTCGCTCTTCTCGTTCAGCAGGTTTGAGACCCCTTGGGGCGAGCGCTGCACCCGCCGTGCAATATCGCGCACCCCAAGGCCGGCCTCCGAGAGGCCCTTGATCCTCCCGCGCTCCTGCTCCGTGAAGCTTGCCCCCCTTCCCATACAATTGCTTAATGAGAGCCAGTGAGCTCTCCCTGACCATCACTCACCCCCCATACAAAATCCAATACAATTTGCTGTCCATAACATTTATCGGGGTGCCAAATTCACTTATCTCTATGTGAGCCTATAGATGCGCTGCGATTCGCGGTTTCGCGCCACGTCCTATCGATTCGTTAGTCTGATTGGTAGCACATATCTAAATAGCGTCTGCAAATTCCCAGTAGTTGCTGAGATATGAGAGAGGTTTCGCAAGTTAAACTTGTGGAAGTTAGAGCCGTTCGAAAGATTTGACAGAGAGCGGCCATAGGTTTATTCGGCCAAGTTCTAGAACGAGCTTTCGCAACTTAGACTTGTACGTCTGTAGCATTTTCAAAGATGAACTCTACTTACGTACAAGACCTTCTCGTGCTCGGCATGCTCTCAGAGGAAGAAGCGGTTTGTCTCCTCTCTGCTCGAACGTCGTCCACAAGCAACGTCCCCCGCTCCAGTTCCTACGGCGAACGCTTTAATATCAACGCGCTCAACGACTACGAAACACGGTTCTACTTTCGCTTCTGGAAGCGAGACCTATTTCGACTCTTTGAAGCGCTCCGCCTAGACAGCAGCTATAAACTCCCAAATCGAGCTGTCTTCTCCGGTTTCGAGGGCCTCTGCATTCTCTTGCGCCGCATGGCATACCCGGGACGTTATGGAGACTTAAGCCGCTTTTTCGGGCAGTCCGCCCCTATTGTCTGCATGATATTTAACTTCATGCTGGGGTTGGTGTACGACAAGTACAAATGCCTACTCACCATTGAATGTGGGCTACTTACATCGTCGCGATTGGAGGAGTACGCTGCTGCTGTGGCACAACGTGGAGCACCGGAGCCGAGATGCATTGGTTTTATCGATGGCACTGTGCGTGCTATTGCACGCCCAACGCGCAACCAAAAACAAGTTTACAACGGACACAAGAGGAAACACGCGCTAAAATACCAAGGAGTAATGGCGCCGGACGGACTATTCATCGACTTTTACGGTCGTACGGTTGGACGTCGTCACGACTCTTGGCTTTTAAGGCAGAGTGGACTGCTGAAGCGCCTTCCGCGTGTCTTACATCACGACGGGGAACTTCCGTATTGCATCTATGGGGATCCTGCCTACCCACTCAAACCAACGCTGCACGTCGGTTTCAAGGGCTCCAATCTGAGTGATACGCAAAAGGCATTCAATGCGGCTATGAGTAAAGTTCGCGTGGCAGTGGAGTGGGGGTTCGGAGGGATCATTCGCTTATGGCCGTTTCTTGATCTGAGACTGAGTCAAAGACTATATCTATCACCTGTGGGGAAACACTACTTGGTCGGTGTACTCCTGACAAACTTCCGCAACTGTACCAACCCCAACCAGATCAGCAAATTCTTTTCCATTAAGCCGCCAAGCCTCGAGGAGTATCTTAGTCTAGCTACTACGAACTAGTCTTGCTGACGACAGCCTTTAACATTTCAATAAACGCAAGTTGCTCGTCTCGCTCAAGTTCCATTCGCAGCTCTTGCAGTTCCAGGCGTCGCTCCTCCAACATAAGCCGCTTCTCCTCGTTGGCGACCTTCCTCCCTTCCAGTGCTTGAGCAACTTGGTCGCGGCGTTCGAGATAAGCAACCAGTTGCTGCTGCTGCGATCCACCTTTTCCTCCTCCTCGGCTCATCCCTTCTAAGGCTGCGTCGCGCATAGCGCTAGCTTGCTCGTCCTCCTGCTGCTGCTGGTCCTTCTGCTGCTTCTTGTCGTTCTTCAGCAGCGCCTCTATCTCGCGCATCTCCAGCAGCTCCGCCCGACATTCGTCCTTCGGCGTGTACTCTTCACACGGCCCGCTTTGTTTCTCACTCGCCTTCTGCTTTGCCTTATACGCATCTACGAGCTGGTTGCAGCGCTCGCGGCAACGGCGACCGTCGACGTCCACTTCCAAAGCTGCAGCTACATCAGCCCAAGCCTGGGTCTTCTTCCCGTAGTCTTCCCCATACGGATTTCTCGCTTGGGCTTCCTGGATCAGTTGGAAGTCAAGCTCATCCGTAACGCGGACCATCATTTTACGACGCTTCGTCGGTGGGGCCTCCTCCACGGGGTTGTTGTGCGTTTGGCTTGGCTTCTCCATAGTAAAGATTGCTGGGAGATTGTAAAATGCTTACCCGTATCTCCTCAAGTACCAACGTGTACAGCGCGTTCTAGACGTTCTAGACGAGTCGAGAACAACTTGTAGACACACGTCTCTAGAGAGGGGTAGGGAATGTATTGTCGCTAACTCCCACAAGTTGCTTTGCGAAACCTCTCTATGGACACCAACGTAGGTGTCCATACCCAAAAACCTCCGACCCTCCGACTTTCTCCGACTCGTACACAAAACATGCGGATAGGAGGGTGGTCACCTTTAACTATCACCCAGCTACGCGCTACGCGCGAACCTAAACCCCCTAAAGGCTCGCTGCGCTCGCTGGGCCAGAACCCTAAGCCCGCTGCGGCTCGCACGCGTCGCCTCCGCTTGCTAGGTAGAGCACTGCTGGGTCCTGGGTTTGCAGCCGCGTGCTACGCACACGGACTGTCAAACCGCAGGCGGGGGCTCGCTACGCTCGCTCCGTGCCATCCATCCCAAGGCTCCGACCAATGAGCAAACGGGACGACTAATCTATCTTGGACTGTGTATGCATAACACTTTGGGAAGGTGTAGGGTAATACTGTTATACTCCGACCGCGCTTGACTGGGGATTTGTATACCTATCATCTTAAGTGCGGTCGGAGATTTGATGATATTCTACCATATATTTTTGTCGTGGAGTGTAACATTCGGGCTCCCCGAGCCCTGGGCTTGGTGGGTTTCAAAGCCTCTTCATTTTCATCCACATGGTTTCAGGCCATGTGCTTCACGAGAGGAATTAAACAATACAAGTAGATTCAGGCCATTTGTCCAAACGTAAATCATGGAGCTCCTGTAGTAGCTTATAAGTTATAAGTAGCAATGCGAGCGAAGAGAGCCCACGCCTGCGGTTTGTCAGTCCGTGTTGCGAGGCACTCGGATGCAAACCCAGGATCCAGCTTTTAGCAAGCGGAAGCGACGTCGCAGCGGGCTTGTTAGGGTTCTGTCTAAGCGAGCGTAGCGAGCCTTTAGTATCTGTAGGGCCGCGCGCGGGCGCGTAGCAAATTGATACCTAGTTAAAATACCCGCAATCAACGTGACCTAGTCTACTTTTAAGTTAAAAAAGTAGTTTCCATGATACTCACGTCTGGACATATTGTCCGAATCTACTTATATTATTTAATTTGTCGTTCAAGATTATCTTTGAGCTGGGCTTCACAGCATGCAGTGCATATGTACGTACAGCGTCGAGATCATAATCCTAAGCCGCTATCCTGCTCTTTGCAGTACCGCCGTCACTTTTGAATTCGCCTCTCGCCGCTCAGTGGCGACTGCCCAGTCAAGACTCAAGCATGAGGCTTTACGCCGCGATTGCGACCGTGCTGCTTCTCCTCGCGTGCGTCTCCGCGACTGAGAACGACGTGACTCGCTCGCTGACTACTGGACGGAACGGCGGCACCAAGCAACGTCTACTGAGGAGCACGCACGCCGGCGAGGAGAGGGGTGCTGTTTCGACTGTGGGAAACCTGGCCGAAAAGGCGAAGTTCCGATTCTGGAAGCTGATCGGCGACCACCCCGGGGTGATCCACGAGAAGTGGTTTAAGAACATGGACGCAAAAGATATCCTCGCAAGCCCGAAACGCAAAGTCTGGTCCAGGTATGAGGAATGGTACAACAAGAAGACGTGGGACAAAATTAAAGCTGCTGCTAATACTGCTAACTAAATGGAATCAGCTTGAGGCGCGAGCACACCGGTTTCCTCTTTGTTGACTTAAATCAAGGTTGACATCGAGATACTTCCTGACCATAGTGGTGATACATTGTCGGGCAGGAGATGCGCGTGGAGCGTGCGGATTGAGTTTATCAATGGCGGTCAAAGGTGAGTTAACCAATCCTATCCCAACCTTCGCGAAGTCCTAGTTCTGTAAATAGACTTTTTAACGTTAGTTGTTTTTGGTGCCCCACTCCCTTTTAAAAAAATAGTGCCCCCCTTGTAATAATGCCCCAGGTTGGCAGTGGGGTACTGCTGCAATACCCCACGGGGCATAATTACAGTTTTTACAGTAATACTACTTGAAATAGCTGACGCAGTAGATATTACACCATACACCACCACCAACATTCCTATTCAACGCTTCAGGTTATTATCACGGCAGCGTTTTGCTGCTCGCTGGAAGCCGATACACCACGCACCGCCACTATTTTAATATAAAATATGCGTAGCTCGAACGAACGAGAGCAGAGCCGAGTGTGTCCCAAGCAAGCTTAGTGAAAGTGAGCTGACAATTGCATGTGGTGTGTGAGTTGAGCACTGCATCAGTCAGTACCTTTAGAATAGCAAGATGAACCCAGACATCGCAAGTTTGTGGCTTCGAGCTCGAGCTCTGTTGCTGTCGTGATGCATCTTGGGCTTTGCCTACCTGTCGGTAGCTATTACACTGCACCGTTCCGCTCCTTCGAAGTTCAGTTATTAATTCACTCACAAGTATCTGAAGACACGAATACGAATCCAATGCGCCTCCTTGTCATACTAGCGATCACCCAGCTCCTCCCAAGGGCCGACAGAGTTGCAGCAGCTGCAGAGACGGAAGAAATGAAGACTGCAACTGCGATCTCACTCGACAACCGTTTCATGACTCACGCTTTGCTTCCGGTCAAATTGGTTCTCTGGATAAACGGTTGGACCGAACTTATGAGGACGACGAGGAAACCGAAGAGAGAGGATTCTTCTCGGGCTTGAGCAGTATGTTCGACAAAGCGAAGTTCTGGTACTGGAAGACGAAGGGAAGGACCCCGGGGGAAATCTACCAACAGGTTTTCAAGGGCCTAGACGAAGCTACCATCCGCGCCAACCCGAACTACCACCTACAAGACCTACTATGACGGGGCAACGAAGGCTGCGGCGGCTACCTAACTGCCACATAACGTGAACCGCCAATTCGCTATTCAAATGGCTGACAGCTATTAAGCGGGGTCGTTCGTGTACGGTCTGCAGCACCACTAAATATTTGTCTGTCTTCACGTCCATGTTGCTGACGCCTTTGGTGTTTGTTGCATGAGCTACATCTGCAATTTGCATAAAATTAAAAGTTGTGAATCACAGACTTGAGTCTTCCGACTTTTAAGTGAGTGTGTACTGGCAAAATTCTTTGCTGTCTACGTCAATAGTCTGGATTCGTAGGCGACTCTAATAACAGGACTTTTTGTCAGGAGAGCCGACGTCACTACTTTCGAGATGCTCTCGTACTAGTGTATTCGTGGTTTGGACTTTTAACTCATTTTCATGTTTTCTTCTGGCAAGCTCTACCCAGCTACCAGCACTGGTACTTTTGAGTGCGTACTGACTAGAAAGAGCTCACACTTTGAATGAGTTGTTTTCAGTAATCTACTGCTTGAGATTCCAAAAGGATATTTCAGGCCCGAGCCGATTTACTTTTTTATATTTATTTTTTGCACAAAATACGCGGGTTTCTTCGATAGCGAAATATATCGTCCTTTCAACTCTGGCTAGTATAGAAGTAATGCGAGCACATACATCTTCTAGGCTGGACGACCTAGGAACAACACAAACTCACAAGCTTACTCGGCTTTCGTCTCCTCTTCGTAATAAGTATTGTACCTTTGCCAGACCTCGTAGTTGGGGTTGTTTTCGACAGTCTTGCGGTCCACCCCGTCGAAAAACCTCTTGTAGATATCGCCAGGTCGGTAGCCCTTCTTGCGCCAGTAGTAGAACTTGGCCATCTCGAACAGATCTCTCTCTTCATCGACGGCTGCGAGCTCGGGTGTGTGGTCACGAAGCTGTCTTTTGTCCGCGCCAGCAGTAAGTGAGCGAGTCGAGAGTTCGGTTTCCGCCGAAATCACAGCCCCGAGTCTGGTCTGCTCGGAGGTTGATGTGGCGGAATCGGTACCTGCTAGGAGAGCGGGTGCAATCACCAACGCGATGTTGTGGAGACGCATCGTTCTTCGTGGGGTTTGGGCACGGGAGGAGGGAATCGAGAAGTGAGCTCGATACAAAGGTGAACGAACCTGTAGACCGAAAAGGTTGGCCATCTCGGCGATTATTTCGCTGCAAAGTCCATGCTGCGGTAAACTTGACCCCCAAAAATGTAATGGTATTGTGCCTTTCTGCCAAAACGCCCTCCGATTTGAGGTCCTACGTAGGACTCTTGCTCTTACGTAGGACCTCATAAAAGTTAGTACCAAGGCCAGTAAAACCGTGCATAAGCAATTACTGAATGTAAACTGAGCGATTTGCTTGCGAAGGGAGGCCAACAAATTGTGCACAGTACCGTTATACCTGTAGCACACGTACCCGTACGTAGCTCCACGCTGGCATGGTGACCTAGCTGCGGTGCTGCCTGAGTCTCCAAGTGTGGCCAAACTATGCATTTGCCACAGATGCTGTCAGGCACACTGACGTGATCTAGTCCTACGAAGGGCTCGTTAGTCCTACGAAGGCCCGAATGGCCAGCTTAACATGGCCATTCGGTCCTTATTTCCAAAAAGGTACCTTTAGATGAAGACGGAGCTCCTTCGTAGGACTTCCGTAATCCGATGCAGGGCCAGCAGCAAATCCTAGGTTTAACCCTACCCTCTCTTTCTTAAGACCACCTTTTTGAGGTCAGATTGGCCAAAGTTTCTGAAAGGCACGATACGTGTAAGCTTACACGTGAAACCTGAGTAGTGCTTTGAGTTGAGGCATTTCGCCACGCGCACTCGATGGTCATGCAGACACTTGGTGTCTCTGAAGCTCAGTCTTCGGTTGTCCGAAAAGTCTGAATGACGTAGCCATTTCGTTCTTGATAAACCCCGGCGATCTTCGTGTTGGGGGGACCGCAGCAATGAATTACTGCACGGAGCCAGCAGCCGCTGCAGCAGCAGCATGCGTTCCAACTGCTGCAGCCCAGCCGCTCGCTAGGATAGCGGAGGCAGGCAGCTCTCCTTCCTGCCCCACTCCTCACTTGATCTCGCAGCGCTTGGCGATGGTCACACAGGCTAGGCGACCCACATACGCGTCCAGACAAATACAACGCCATCGATGACTTGACTCGGGTGTCCCATTGCCGAACCTTGCCTGCCCTCGGACTCCGACTCGGAGCCGAAGGCCGCAGTAAAGCTTTGGCCTTGTCAATTAAACAGCTGGCCACCGAAGTGGCTTCCGCGCTCCGGCTCTCGCGGGATCGTCCGGCGAAAACTCGCTTGAGTGACCTCGATCGTCGAAATCCTTCACGCCAGTGCCCTCGCGGTGCGACACGCCGGCGTCTCGATGCGGGCGCTCGACGTCAACCACGGCAACCCAGGCCAAGCCCACACAACAAACACCGGCGGCGCCTGCTGTCCATGCAGCCGCCTTCGCCTCCGCTCCTGCTCCTCATCTCTGCGCGCGCATACTGGCTGCCAAAGCGGCGGTTCTGTGTGTGCTGTGTGTGAGGGCGGCATTTTCCGCCAATCCGCGACGCGCGCCGCTCCCATTGGCTGGTCATGATCCTCAACAACCGACGTCAGTCACTCCAAGATTGGCTCGCGACCGCACAAGTTGAACCTGCCGAGACCCATGCTGCGCCAGTCGCTCCGCCGCTCCCCCGCCGGCCTGCGCCGACTTCAGCCCGTGCCTGCGCTGCGCTCAGCGTCCGCCGCCGCCGCCGCCTCCTCCTCTAGCAGCGAGTACGACTACGTGATCGTGGGCGGCGGCTCGGCCGGCTGCGTGCTGGCCAACCGCCTGAGCGAGGACGCCGCCAACAAGGTGCTGCTGGTCGAGACGGGCCCGAGCGACCGCGGCAAATGGGACTCGTGGAAGATCCACATGCCCGCGGCGCTCACGTACAACCTGGGCGACGACAAGTACAACTGGTACTACTACACGGAGCCGCAGAAGCACCTGAACGGCCGCCGCCTGCCCTGGCCGCGCGGCCGCGTGCTCGGCGGCTCGTCGTCGCTTAACGCCATGGTCTACATCCGCGGCCACGCGTACGACTACGACGACTGGCAAGCCAGCGGCGCCGACGGCTGGAGCTACGCCGACTGCCTGCCCTACTTCCGCAAGGCGCAGAACCACGAACTCGGGCCCGATGACTACCGCGGCGGCGACGGCCCGCTGCACGTCATCCGCGGCAACCAGAAGGACCAGATCCTGTTCAAGAAGTTCATCGACGCCGGCGTGCAGGCCGGCTACCCCTTCACGGACGACATGAACGGCTACCAGCAGGAGGGCTTCGGCTGGATGGACATGACGGTCCACAAGGGCATGCGCTGGAGCACGGCCTCGGCCTACCTGCGCCCTGCCATGACGCGCCCCAACCTCACGGTCGTCACCGACACGTTCGTGAGCAAGGTCGTGTTCGAAGGCAAGAAGGCCGTGGGCGTCGAGACGGAGGACCGCGAGAGCAAGACCACCAAGCAGGTGCGCGCGGCCAAGGAGGTGATCCTCTCGGGCGGCGCCATCAACTCGCCGCAGCTGCTCATGCTCTCGGGCATCGGCGACGCCGACCACCTCAAGGAGGTGGGCGTGCCCGTGGTGCAGCACCTGCCCGCCGTGGGCCAGAACATGGAGGACCACCTCGATCTGTACATCCAGTACATGTGCAAGAAGCCCATCACCCTGCACAACGCGACGTGGAAGTACCCGCACAAGATGGTCGGCATCGGCCTCGAGTGGATCTTGCGCCAGACGGGCATGGGCGCGTCCGCGCACCTCGAGTCGGGCGGCTTCATCCGCAGCGCCCCCGGCAAGCGCCACCCGGACCTGCAGTACCACTTCCTGCCGGGCTCGCTCACCGGCCAGCTCACGCCCGGAGCCTACCACGCCATGCAGGCGCACTGCTCGCCGATGCGCGCTCTGAGCCGCGGCTGGCTCAAGCTGCGCAGCAACAACCCGCACGAGCACCCCATCATCGAGCCCAACTACCTGAGCGTGGAGGAGGACATGGTCGACATGCGCAACGGCGTGAAGCTCACGCAGGAGATCCTGGAGCAGCAGACGCTCGACGAGTACCGCGGCGACCCGATCTCGCCGTCCAAGGAGGTGCAGACCGACGCTCAGATCGACGAGTGGATCCGCCAGAACACGGAGAGCGCGTACCACCCGTCGTGCACCAACCGCATGGGCGTGGACGACAACACCGTCGTGGACCCGCAGACGCGCGTGCACGGCGTCGAGAACCTGCGCGTCGTGGACGCGTCCATCATGCCCAACATCGTCAGTGGCAACCTGAACGCGCCGACCATCATGATCGCCGAGAAGGCCGCCGACATCATCCTGGGCAAGACGCCTCTGCCCAAGTCGACGGCGCCCGTGTACCAACCCGAGAACTGGGAGACCAGCCAGAGATAAGCAAGTGGCGTGATCGATCGCTGTGGGGGCTAGCTGCAACTGTGGATATGCGCTCCTCGCTAGAGTATGACATCGAAGGAAGGGTAGCTTGTGTCTAAATGTCAAGATCACCTGCGACGATGAATCTGAAGAACTGAGTTGTCCGACGTGGCCGCTAACATAATGGTGAAACTAACAAACGACTCGAACAGCATACATACTGCCTCCTATCCTATCTAACTAGGCCCAGAAGACCATTGCATCATCAGCTATTGCAATAGAGCTTGCCCGAGTGCAGCAAGCCCTTCATTGTCACAACGCCCTCAAGCGATCCTCGGTTGCACACGAAGCAGTGGTCACACCTCAGCATGGTGAAGATGACGTGCAGGTCACCGAGCGACGTGCTGCTCGAGATGGTCATGCCAATAGGCTGGATAATGCAGGTATTGCCGTCCGTGATCTTGACCCTGTCGTTGAGTTTCGCGCGCTTGGCAGCCGACCACCCGTCGCTGAGCAGCGTGAGCATCTTTTCGTCGTCCATGAGGAACGGAACCGGCCCGCTCCCTTCTAGCGGATTAGCTGAAGTGAGCGCGCTGTACGTCTCATCGACCGACATCTCGCCGTTCAGCCCTCCCTCCCGCTTGCTCCTGATGCCGTCCACCATCGTGGCCCACGAGAACCCAGACGACGAGGACTTGGGCTCTTCCCCGAGGTCCTGCTCTACATCAGCTAGGCCGTTTGCCGCGTAGTACGCTCGAATAAACTTCTTGAGATGCGCCGAGCTCACGATGCCCAGGAGGATCATCGACTTGTCGTCCTGGACGACTGGGATGTCTTGGTTTGGCAGTCGATGTAGCGCCAGCAGCAGCCTGGCCACTGTCGTCTTCTTGGTCACGAACACTGTGAATACCTCGACGATATCCGCGGCACACGCGTCCGGCTCAAAGTCCAAGATCGGGAGAAACGGAGTGCCGCCGACGACCAGCAGCGTGTCGTATACCGACCGCTCCCTGGACAAGCAGGACGTGCCCATTGCAGCGAGCACAGCGCAGAAAATCGGGAGGATCAACGACATTTCGCCCGTGATTTCTAGCGTGATCACCGCCACAGACACGGCCCTCGTAGCAGCGCCCCCAAACGCAGCAGCCCCCGCCAGCGCGTACGCCCCAGGTATCACTCCAATGCTTGGGAACAGTGTTGTTAACGCTTCACCGAATAACCGGCCGAACGCAGCGCCGCCGATGAACGTCGGCACCCAGACGCCGGTCGGCATCTTGAGCGAGATGCACATGGGCAGGAGGAACATGAATATCGCCGGTAGAACGGACAACGTGTAGAACTTGGAGAACTTGAACCACGACTCGGGCAGCTCCGATTCGGTGAACAGCGTCGACAGTGTGTAGATGGTCGTGCTGTGCGCGAACTCGCCAGGGACGTAGGTCAGAGTTCCGCACAGGACAGCGACGATGATGGGGTCAATCCAGTCGACCAGCACCCTTTTCCAAGGCAACGATGACTTGCGCAGGTCTCGTCGAGTCTCCGCCACAACGCGCAGTAGCTTGATCATCGCGGTGCACAAGAATCCGAGAATCGCCCCCATCAGCATGTAGAGCGGGATCTCCCAGATGGAGAACGGGTCGTCCCCGAACGACGTGGCCAGGATGGCCGTGGTGGCTTGCTTCGACGTGCTCTTAGCTAGCACCAGCGTCAGCCGCAGCATGACCGCGCCAGACACGGCGCTGATGAAGGCCTTGACGTAGTTGGACATGAGGTAGTACGTCGCCGTGACTTCCATGGAGAACAAGACGCCGCCGATCGGGGACGAGAAGAGCGAGGAAACGCCCACGGCACAGGCCGCAGCCAGGAGCTGGATCCGGCCGTTGAGGTGCGAGCTGAAGCCGCAGTAAAGCGGCGAGCGGAGGAGGTGGTGCGTCACGATGGACATGATGTGAACGTACGCTCCTTCAGTGCCAACGACCAAGCCTGCGCCCACCGAGCATATTAGCCCCAGGACTTTGGTCACGAGCGTGGCGAAGTCGAAGTAGCCAGGGAGATACAACCGCGGGTCGATGCCAGTCAATATCGCCTTCATCTGGGAAACACCAGAGCCTTGATAACAACACATTCACGCACAAGGGAGTTAAACATCCCTCGATTTTCCTCAAAAGTACTGCAGAACACCCTTGTTACCTGCCGCTACGGGTGCAATCCGAGTGATAAGAAGACCCACCAGAGAGAAGACGAGCGTGTGGCCCGTCCAAATGAAGTACCGAGCGGGCTCCGACGTCGTCTGGCTGATCATCGTGTCCCTTAAGTCCAGCAGCTCCTGGCAGACACTGCAACACGTATAAACCCTCAGCCCTCTGTCCACTCGAGCCCATGCAAGCGTCTCAGATGGACACTTCACCTCCTGATCCCGTAGTTGAGAGGTCCTCCGATGACCCCGAGCAGCACCAAAAAGCTCACGGCCTTGAGCTGTCGTCGATAGTATTTCTGCTTGTTCTTGGCGCGCGCGCGCTCCCCTCCGAAGAGCGAGCCGCTGGAGATGGAGCGCTGCGCCGCGTACTTGCGGAAGGCGTCGAGCAGGTCCGAGTCTTCGCTCCGAGCGTCCACATCGACTAGGTAGTCGTCCACAGCGGAACTGTCCTCATGGCGATACGAATCGGCCCGCTGCTGGAACTCGCTCAGACTCGCGATCCGCCCCGTGCGGCGCTTGTGGGCGGGCAGAAGTTGCTCCTGAAGGCCATTGGCAGCACCCACAGCGGACACCATCCGCGCAGGCCGGCCGTCAGCGAATTGGTGACTGAGTGAGGTCAAGGGATTTGAGCCCCGGAAGCGAATGAGAACTATGCCCCGCCCCCATCCATGTCACAGAGTGGCGTCGTAGTGCACTTTACTCCGATTCCCATTTCGAGAACTTCGTCATACGAACGCGAACAACAAGATGCACCCGAAGCATTGGCTCGAGTGGACACCGATGAAGTCGAGCAAATAGGTTTTTACATTGAATGGGGCTACGCTGCGGCCGAGAACTTGCCGGAGCGCAGCAGTCCTTTGGTGGTGACGACGCCCTCGAGGGCCCCGTGGTCGCACACGAAGCAGTGGTCGCAGCGCAGCATGGTGAAGATCATGTGGAGGTCGTCCAGCGGCGTGTTGCTGGAGATGGTCATGGCCATGGGTCGGATGACGCAGACCCGCCCCTCGGTGACCTTCACGGTGGCGTTGAGCTTCTCGGCCTTGGCGGCGTCCCAGCCTTCGTTCAGCAGCCCCAGCATCTTGGAGTCGTCCATGAGGAACGGCACGGGGGCGCCCCCGGCCGCAGCTCCGAGCACGTGCGGCTTCTGCGTCGACAGCGCGTTGTACGTGATGTCGATGGAGCCCATGCCGTTGAAGCCCCCGGTGTTGTCGGTGCGCGTGGTGAACGTGAGTTTGTCCTTGAGCGTGGCCCACGACATGAGCGGTGGGGCGCTCTGGGGCTTCTCACCTAGGTCTTCGTCGACGCCTGTGAGGCTGTTGGTCTCGTAGTACTTCCTCACGAACCTGCGCAGCTGGGAGCCGCTGACGACGCCCAGCAAGATCATGGTCGCTTCGTTGTCCACGACCGGGATTTCGTGGTGCGGGAGGCGCTGCAGCGCCAGCAGAACGCGAGCGATCGTCGTCTTCTTGGTGATGTAGACCAAGCACGGCTCCACGATGTCCGCTGCGGTCGTAGTCGGCTCGAAGTCGACGAGAGGGAGGAACGGCATGCCGCTCACGACCAGCAGCGTGTCGTACACGGACTTCTCCTTGAACAGGTTCGAGACGGCCATCGCCGCGAGGGAAGCGCAGAACAACGGGAGCATCATGGACATCGCGGCAGTGATCTCCAGCGTAATGACCGCCACGGACAGCGCGCGCGTTGCCGCCGACCCAAACGCTGCAGCGCCAGCCAACGCGTACGTCCCGGGGATCACGTTGATACTTGGAAACAGAGTGGCGATGGCTTCGCCAAACATGCGCCCGAAGGCTGCGCCCGCGATGAACGTGGGCACCCAAATTCCAGTCGGGATCTTGAGCGTAATGCACAGCGGCAGCAAGAACATGAAGACAGCGGACAGCACCGAGAGCGCGTAGTACTTGGACACCACCTGCCACGTCGAGGGGAGGTCCCCCTGCGTGAATAGAATAGCGAGGTCGTCCATCGAGTTGTGCTGCGCGTATTCTCCAGGCACGAACGTCAATACGCCCGTCAGTATTGCCACGACGAGCGGGTCGATCCACGTGACTAGGACCTGCTTCCACCTCTGGGACGACTTTCGAAATGCGCTCCTGCGCTCGGCGATCGTGCGCAAGAACCACATCATCGCCGTGCAGAGCAGTCCCAGCACAGTCCCGAGGAGAATGTACAGCGGGATCTCCCAGATAGTGAAGGGGCTAGCAGGGAACTGCGTCTTGAGCACCACCTGCGTTGCGAGGTTGGATTTACTCTGGGCCAGTACCAGCGTCAGACGCAGCATCACGGCCCCGGCCACCGCGCTGATGAATGCCTTGATGTAGTTGGACATGAGGTAGTAAGTGGACGTCACCTCCATCGAGAAGAGCACGCCTCCAACGGGGGACGAGAACAGCGACGACACGCCCACGGCGCAGGCTGCGGCCAGCAGTTGCAGTCGGCCATTGAGGTGCAGGCTGAAACCTCGGAACATGGGCGTCTTGAGGAGGTGGTGCGTGACGATGGACATGATGTGGACGTAGGCCCCCTCGGTGCCCACGATGAGGCCGGCACCGACAGAGCACACCAAGCCAGCGACCTTGGCCAGGAATGTGGAGAAGTCGAAGTACCCGGGCAGGTACATGCGCGGGTCGATGCCCGTCAGAATGGACTTCATCTGCGAGACCCCCGAACCAGCGGCAACCGGAGCGAGCTGAGTGAAGAAGAGTCCCAGCCCCGAGAATACCACGGTGTGCGCTGTCCAGACCGCGAGCTTGGACGCGTAATTGGGGGCCTGGTCCACTAGCCACTCTCTCAGATCAATGAGGTAGTTGAACAAACTGCAACAATTCCATCAGTCCTGTACAGTACACCCACCAACAAGAAGGCATGATGATAACTTACAGGCGGATACCGTAGTTCAGGGGTCCTCCGATGACCCCAAGCAGCACCAAGAAGCTCACGGCCTTGAGTTGTCGGCGGTAGTACGCGCGCTTGTTCAGGGCGTGGCCCCGCTCGCCCCCGAAGAGCGAGACGCCCGAGATCGACCGCCGTCCGCCAAACTTGCGGAACGTCTCGAGGAAATCGGATCCGTCGCTGCCACGGCGGCCGGCGGCGACTTCGACGTACGTGTCCGAGACGGTGGGGCCGTTCTCGTCCCGCAGCAGCGCGGTCATGGGGACCCTGCGGTCGTTGCTGGGCCCATTGAGGCTCTGGCCGTCGTACCGGGCGGCGCGCTGCTGGAACTCGTGGAGACTGCCGATGCGCCCCGTGCGCCGCTGGTGCGCCGGCAGCATCGCGTCCGCGTCCGTCGCGCTCAACTTGTCCTTTGCCGGGTCCATGGCCACTCACCGTCACGGCCTCGGCAGCCCTTGCCCCTCGATCTCACCCCGGGTGGGAGCCCAGCCACTGCGACGTCGACGCCAAGCAAGATTCCGTCTACAGTACAGTGCAGCTATTTCCAGCGGACGGCCGCCGCTGCAATACTCGGCGCGATTCGACGACCTGCAGCGCTGCTGGCACCAAGCAAAGCGAGAGCGAGAGGAGCGGCGTGGCGATGTACACTGTAGTTTGGAGCCTGCGATAGCGCCCTGGTGTCGCCGCGAAAGAAAATACGTGAAGGAGGAGCCGGAGAGCTCAGGACCACCTTATTCTTCAGCTCGGAAGGAGAAGAGAGAGGCGTTCAGCGACTGTGGCGCCGTCGTGTTCGTGAGACGTCAACAACAACGCAACGCACGACAACCAACCCCGCACCTTGTCAAACTCGTGGATCCACTCTTCTTTTCCTCCGTCTCGCAGGCGTGAATAAGTAAATCCACGGCCAGAGTAGCGGCCAGCACTCTCATGAAGATGAAGAAATGAGACACATTAAGTAAACGAACCTACTGTCATATTAGCTGCACGCACTCGAGCGGGGCCATCCGCTTTCCATTTGGGCCGGCTACAGCAGCATAACTCCCTGGCGCCGCCGGAACGTCAAGTACACAGGTGACGCCGCGTGGGCGAGCATGCTGATGCTCTTCTCGAAGGACCACGACGTGATGGACTTCTTGTTGATCGCCACCAGCACATCGTCCACGGCGATAATCCGAGCTGCAACCGACGGACTCTCGCTGTTGTTCTCGAAGTCGATAAAGCCGCCCACCACGAGGTTGCCCTCTGCACACGACAACGATACACATACACAATGTCAGTCAGTGATAACCACCATACACAAGCAATCCATCAGCAGCAAAGGGACACTCACGATGCATGCGGAGCGACATGCCCAGCCCTTCTGGCCGCTTGGGCACCGCGACATCGTAGACGTAGTCGGTCTGCAGCGGGATGAGCAGCTCGTTCATCGCCGCCGCCATGAAGTCCGCGCGCAGCGACGGGTGCAGCACCATCGTGCCCAGCACGAGCGTGACGGCCACCGACTCGGGCACGAAGTTGCCGTAGAGGATGAGCATCTCCATGACCTCCTGGGGCAGCACCAGCGTGCCGCCGCAGCGCGGACACTTGCGCTCCATGATTCGGTGGAACGACATGTCGACGCCCGGCACGCGCGTGACCACGAGGCACGACTCGCAGGCCGCCAGCAGGTGCGTGGCCCGCTCCTCCACGGCGGCGGACGAGGCCCCGAACGTCATTGCGGGCGGCGCCTTGATACTGTAGGCGCTCATTTGCTGCTGCTGCTGCGGGTTCATCATCATCTGCTGTTGCTGGGGGTTCATTTGCTGCTGCTGTTGGGGGACTTGCTGCGGGTTATACATGGCCTGCTGCTGCTGCTGCTGTTGGTACTGCTGCTGCTGGGGCTGCATTTGCTGACTGGGCGCCACGGTCATGGGGGCATCGTAGCTGGTAGGGACGAAGGCCTGAGATTGATGCTGAGACTGAGACTGAGGCTGCTGCTGCTGCTGTTGCTGAACCTGTGGCGGGGCTTGCTGAAGAGGGGCCTGCTGCTGCTGCTGCTCTTGGGGGTGCTCCTGCTGCTGTGATGGGTCTTGTGGCTGCTGCATTTGCTGCGGAGGCTGCTGCGGAGGCTGAGGCTCTGGCTGTTGCTGCGTCTGCGCGTCCTGCGGCGCTTCCTGCTCCATGGGCACCGCGTCAGCTAGCGCCTGCGTGTACCGTAAAGTGTCAAGAGCGTTATTGGAGAGGGCGGATACATTTTCGTACTTACTAAAACAAGTATATTACTTAATGTATACATAATTATTAATCAATTTTGATAGTACGGTACCGTGATGTGAAAGAAGATTACTAATGTTTTAAAAAACTTTCGTATTGGTAAAAAACATACCGGTATACAAGTTCTCTGATGTCTTCTTTACTCTGGAAAGTGTATACAGGTCAGATCTTCATTATTAGCCCCACTCAGCCCAGTCCGTAGGACAAATGGAAGATCCAAAAGTTAGGCGCCTCGCTCCGCATAACTAGAAGCAAATACGCATGTGACTACATGGGCACAATCCCCAGTTCTAGTTGTCTTGGTGGCCTTATCGGTTTAGCGTCCTCAATTGTCCTTCTCGAGAGACAAGCCGTTCAAAACTTATCTGTTGTAACATAGAATTTTGCCGATTTGCCCTAGCCTAGGACAATTTTGACTTGATTTCAGTATAGTCTCAGCTGGAGCTATCTTTAGCGCTGATTTCCCTGTCCATTGCGCCTTATAAGACACACTTGGGGGGTCAAGCCACTCCCATACAAATATCAAGTCATTTTGGTCCGTTTTCGGGCTCCCTAGGACAAAAACGGCCGGTGTGTGACACACCAAAACACGATTTGGTCCTATCTCCTAGTACAAATCTAAGTGGGGTTAGGGCATATTACATGTAAACTTTGTAGCGATGTCCCGAGAAGCGACACCCTCTGGTTAGCACTAATAAAGACCTCTCTCGATGGCCGACGGTATATATAAACCAAGTCTAAATATCCTCTAACCTTCGGTTGGTGATACAAGATTAGCATATATCACTATCAAGGGCTGTTAACTATATTGAGTGACCGTTTCGTAAAGCATGGCCGGCCGAAGTTAACCGCAATATGGGTCACTTGCGACCTCAATGAATTCGGGATCGCGCATATAATACTTAACCTAGCAGAATTTGATTCTGAAACATTTGAGTAAACATCATGGACGCTAGACTAGATTCCGCGTTGAACCGAATTTGTTTTGTAGAGGGATACACCCTACCGGAGCTAAAACACCAGACGCCCGATTTAAAAAAAAAACGAATCGGCACCGGACGCCCAGATGTATTTATCAAAATTACTAAACTGAGCACTCTACCTCAAGTCTCTCAAGGCCGAATCTCACCAATGCGGCTGCCGACACAGCCCAACTTATTAGCTTGTTCGCCGCCACCACCCCAACTTGATACCGAAGCTCAGTAGAGCAAGCTTTGCGTTTGTTCCTGCCGCCGACAGAAGCACCCCCAGCAGCTATAGAGCTAAACGACGAGCCCATCTTAGCACCACTACTCTTCTCCCTTGATACATTTCTGTAGGTAGACCCGGAAAGAACGTATCTACAGTGAAACAAACATTGCAGTGTAGTCTCAGGTGCTCGACAATAGTGTTCTTCATTGCAGCAGTGTAAAATGGTAAAGCCCGCGTCGTTTTCCACCTACCTTGACCTCCAGACAGGGGAGGGTGTAACAGGGTTACACGCACAAGTGGCTACAGTCACTTGTAACTCTAACAGATACGACGTCTGTTAGAGGTTCGAAAGACTTTCTCGACCTTGGTGTAGACACATCAAAGGCTACATACATTTACGACCACCACGACGGGTGGTCCATAGAGACTTAGGATTCCTATTGGCTGAGAGCAGCATCTTTTAGCCAATGAGCGACATACATAGCATTGGAATTCTGCCAACGGCTGGTTGGCAGATTCCTATCTTAGAATATTACATTTAGAGGAAGTCAGAAACATAAAACAAAAATAGCAGTTCTCATTTTAACCCAAAAACATTATTTGGATCGTTTATTTAGATTAATCTATACTCGGAGGCCCGAGTATAATTAACTCTAATTTAAACTAAGCTATGCTTCCTCACATACACGCGCACACGTGTAAGCTAAAGTAGTGAGCCAAAGTAGGCCCACTACACCTGGTAGCACTTTGTAGTCCGTCCAACGACCGACTACCTGAGTTCGTACGTCACCGTACGAACGCGGAGCTGAGAACCTTCCCATGGATACGGAGGTGTCCATGGAAAGCTCCATTACGCCTGCAACTCACGTTGCATGCGCTGACTGTCCCCACCTGTCGGACCCAGAGTGGGAAGCTCTACAACGACTGTCAACAGTCATTCGTGAGGCGGCTGTAGCTACGATGCTGCGTACGCTAACGCCGACAGAGCAACATGGTGTTGCTCTGGGATTCATCATGAGGGAGCAGCGAGATGCTGCTTCGTCTACCACGGTGTCGTCGGGGACGACACCGCGCGCGCAATCGCTGAAGCTCCGCGTGAGCAGTTACGTTGGAAGAGAGGGCGAGCCTCTCCTCCGTTGGCTTGTCGAACTCGACACTGCCATTGCGGCTCGATGCATCGTCGACCCGTTGTCGAAGGTCGCGTTCGCCATGTCATGTCTTGGCGGACGTGCAAGACGTTGGGCGTATGGACGCCGACTCTCGGATCCTACGTGCTTTAGCACGTACGACGGTTTCAAGGAAGAGCTCAGACAAGCGTTTGAGCCCCCGCAAAACGAGTTCCGGTCGAGGGCGGAGTTCCTCGACCTGCAGCAGGGCAAGCACGATGTCCGTGCTTACGCTCAGAGAGCACGGTACTTGGTCTCGAACATCGTGACCAATCCGATCGACGAGGCGACCAAGGTCGTCACGTTCATGAAGGGACTGAGAGATGGGCCTGTGAAGATGTAACAGGGTTACACGCACAAGTGGCTACAGTCACTTGTAACTCTAACAGATACGACGTCTGTTAGAGGTTCGAAAGACTTTCTCGACCTTGGTGTAGACACATCAAAGGCTACATACATTTACGACCACCACGACGGGTGGTCCATAGAGACTTAGGATTCCTATTGGCTGAGAGCAGCATCTTTTAGCCAATGAGCGACATACATAGCATTGGAATTCTGCCAACGGCTGGTTGGCAGATTCCTATCTTAGAATATTACATTTAGAGGAAGTCAGAAACATAAAACAAAAATAGCAGTTCTCATTTTAACCCAAAAACATTATTTGGATCGTTTATTTAGATTAATCTATACTCGGAGGCCCGAGTATAATTAACTCTAATTTAAACTAAGCTATGCTTCCTCACATACACGCGCACACGTGTAAGCTAAAGTAGTGAGCCAAAGTAGGCCCACTACACCTGGTAGCACTTTGTAGTCCGTCCAACGACCGACTACCTGAGTTCGTACGTCACCGTACGAACGCGGAGCTGAGAACCTTCCCATGGATACGGAGGTGTCCATGGAAAGCTCCATTACGCCTGCAACTCACGTTGCATGCGCTGACTGTCCCCACCTGTCGGACCCAGAGTGGGAAGCTCTACAACGACTGTCAACAGTCATTCGTGAGGCGGCTGTAGCTACGATGCTGCGTACGCTAACGCCGACAGAGCAACATGGTGTTGCTCTGGGATTCATCATGAGGGAGCAGCGAGATGCTGCTTCGTCTACCACGGTGTCGTCGGGGACGACACCGCGCGCGCAATCGCTGAAGCTCCGCGTGAGCAGTTACGTTGGAAGAGAGGGCGAGCCTCTCCTCCGTTGGCTTGTCGAACTCGACACTGCCATTGCGGCTCGACGCATCGTCGACCCGTTGTCGAAGGTCGCGTTCGCCATGTCATGTCTTGGCGGACGTGCAAGACGTTGGGCGTATGGACGCCGACTCTCGGATCCTACGTGCTTTAGCACGTACGACGGTTTCAAGGAAGAGCTCAGACAAGCGTTTGAGCCCCCGCAAAACGAGTTCCGGTCGAGGGCGGAGTTCCTCGACCTGCAGCAGGGCAAGCACGATGTCCGTGCTTACGCTCAGAGAGCACGGTACTTGGTCTCGAACATCGTGACCAATCCGATCGACGAGGCGACCAAGGTCGTCACGTTCATGAAGGGACTGAGAGATGGGCCTGTGAAGATGTAACAGGGTTACACGCACAAGTGGCTACAGTCACTTGTAACTCTAACAGATACGACGTCTGTTAGAGGTTCGAAAGACTTTCTCGACCTTGGTGTAGACACATTAAAGGCTACATACATTTACGACCACCACGACGGGTGGTCCATAGAGACTTAGGATTCCTATTGGCTGAGAGCAGCATCTTTTAGCCAATGAGCGACATACATAGCATTGGAATTCTGCCAACGGCTGGTTGGCAGATTCCTATCTTAGAATATTACATTTAGAGGAAGTCAGAAACATAAAACAAAAATAGCAGTTCTCATTTTAACCCAAAAACATTATTTGGATCGTTTATTTAGATTAATCTATACTCGGAGGCCCGAGTATAATTAACTCTAATTTAAACTAAGCTATGCTTCCTCACATACACGCGCACACGTGTAAGCTAAAGTAGTGAGCCAAAGTAGGCCCACTACACCTGGTAGCACTTTGTAGTCCGTCCAACGACCGACTACCTGAGTTCGTACGTCACCGTACGAACGCGGAGCTGAGAACCTTCCCATGGATACGGAGGTGTCCATGGAAAGCTCCATTACGCCTGCAACTCACGTTGCATGCGCTGACTGTCCCCACCTGTCGGACCCAGAGTGGGAAGCTCTACAACGACTGTCAACAGTCATTCGTGAGGCGGCTGTAGCTACGATGCTGCGTACGCTAACGCCGACAGAGCAACATGGTGTTGCTCTGGGATTCATCATGAGGGAGCAGCGAGATGCTGCTTCGTCTACCACGGTGTCGTCGGGGACGACACCGCGCGCGCAATCGCTGAAGCTCCGCGTGAGCAGTTACGTTGGAAGAGAGGGCGAGCCTCTCCTCCGTTGGCTTGTCGAACTCGACACTGCCATTGCGGCTCGACGCATCGTCGACCCGTTGTCGAAGGTCGCGTTCGCCATGTCATGTCTTGGCGGACGTGCAAGACGTTGGGCGTATGGACGCCGACTCTCGGATCCTACGTGCTTTAGCACGTACGACGGTTTCAAGGAAGAGCTCAGACAAGCGTTTGAGCCCCCGCAAAACGAGTTCCGGTCGAGGGCGGAGTTCCTCGACCTGCAGCAGGGCAAGCACGATGTCCGTGCTTACGCTCAGAGAGCACGGTACTTGGTCTCGAACATCGTGACCAATCCGATCGACGAGGCGACCAAGGTCGTCACGTTCATGAAGGGACTGAGAGATGGGCCTGTGAAGATGTAACAGGGTTACACGCACAAGTGGCTACAGTCACTTGTAACTCTAACAGATACGACGTCTGTTAGAGGTTCGAAAGACTTTCTCGACCTTGGTGTAGACACATTAAAGGCTACATACATTTACGACCACCACGACGGGTGGTCCATAGAGACTTAGGATTCCTATTGGCTGAGAGCAGCATCTTTTAGCCAATGAGCGACATACATAGCATTGGAATTCTGCCAACGGCTGGTTGGCAGATTCCTATCTTAGAATATTACATTTAGAGGAAGTCAGAAACATAAAACAAAAATAGCAGTTCTCATTTTAACCCAAAAACATTATTTGGATCGTTTATTTAGATTAATCTATACTCGGAGGCCCGAGTATAATTAACTCTAATTTAAACTAAGCTATGCTTCCTCACATACACGCGCACACGTGTAAGCTAAAGTAGTGAGCCAAAGTAGGCCCACTACACCTGGTAGCACTTTGTAGTCCGTCCAACGACCGACTACCTGAGTTCGTACGTCACCGTACGAACGCGGAGCTGAGAACCTTCCCATGGATACGGAGGTGTCCATGGAAAGCTCCATTACGCCTGCAACTCACGTTGCATGCGCTGACTGTCCCCACCTGTCGGACCCAGAGTGGGAAGCTCTACAACGACTGTCAACAGTCATTCGTGAGGCGGCTGTAGCTACGATGCTGCGTACGCTAACGCCGACAGAGCAACATGGTGTTGCTCTGGGATTCATCATGAGGGAGCAGCGAGATGCTGCTTCGTCTACCACGGTGTCGTCGGGGACGACACCGCGCGCGCAATCGCTGAAGCTCCGCGTGAGCAGTTACGTTGGAAGAGAGGGCGAGCCTCTCCTCCGTTGGCTTGTCGAACTCGACACTGCCATTGCGGCTCGACGCATCGTCGACCCGTTGTCGAAGGTCGCGTTCGCCATGTCATGTCTTGGCGGACGTGCAAGACGTTGGGCGTATGGACGCCGACTCTCGGATCCTACGTGCTTTAGCACGTACGACGGTTTCAAGGAAGAGCTCAGACAAGCGTTTGAGCCCCCGCAAAACGAGTTCCGGTCGAGGGCGGAGTTCCTCGACCTGCAGCAGGGCAAGCACGATGTCCGTGCTTACGCTCAGAGAGCACGGTACTTGGTCTCGAACATCGTGACCAATCCGATCGACGAGGCGACCAAGGTCGTCACGTTCATGAAGGGACTGAGAGATGGGCCTGTGAAGATGTAACAGGGTTACACGCACAAGTGGCTACAGTCACTTGTAACTCTAACAGATACGACGTCTGATTGGTCTTCTTGGTCAGTTGTCGGTGCCAGTGTACCGCGCCGTCTCTCAGGCGGAGCTCGAAGGGCATGCACCATTCATTGGGCGGCGCGTGTGTACCTTTCATCTCGTACACAAACGCGCGCAGCCACTGCATCGAGTTCTCGCTCCTGTCGCGAGCGCCCGAGAACGTCGGGATCTGCCCCAGTGGTCGGTGCATCGCTACCTCGAGCCTCGGCGTCGGGTTCACTGTCTCTGCGTCGCTCACCTCCCGGATCTGTCGCAGATAGTCGTCCATTTGTGCACCTCCGTCTCCTGTGAAGTCATCGTCGTCATCAGATGAGTCGTCGGCGTAGCGGGACTTGCGACTTGAGCTCCGTCCGGAGCTTTGTAGACTGCTCCTGGTCACTCTCGAGTCTTCGGCACCACGCGCAACTCGTTCAGTACGAGTCTTCGCGGGTGGAGTGACCATGTGGGAGTCTTGAAAGTACGGCGATCGCTCGCCCGACGCACTGAACACTCCTCCTGTCGTAATCTGGGCCGAGTTACCGCGCTCGGTCTTCTTCGGAGTTCGCGGGAGCGGGACGCGCGCTGGGTCCGCGCCCCCCTTGTTGGTGCGAGTCGCCTTCGGCTGTTCCAAGGAGAAGGGGGTCACCCCGAAGGCTGTACACAACTTCTTCTTCCATTGCCAGAGATCGGCTCCGGCTTCCGCGGGCAGGAAACTCTCCAGAGTCGACGGCGACAGGGTAAGTGTGGGCCGGAGACCCAACGCCTTCAGGAACGTCACCGTGTCGTTCGCCACTTGCTCCACTGTGACCGCATTCACCGGTCGCGCCAACTCGTGGCTCAGGTCGGCCCACACCGCTTGGCGGATCATGCGCGGCTCGAAGAGTCGACCCCATTCGCTCGCACGCATTGCTTCAAAGCATCGGCCGAGTACCTTGTTGGCTGCCGGCGTGTCTCCGTCCATCGGCGGCCGGTTGCCCGAGGTTTGCTCGGTCACTTGAGTCGTCAGCACCGGCAATCTTGAGTTGTCGGCGCTGTCTTCAAACTCTTCCATTTCATCATACGCTGGTTCAGGGCCATCCACATCATCCAGCTCCTCCGCGAGGTTGCGCGAGACGGGAGGCGCGTCGTCTTCCAACTCGTTCGCGAGACTGCGCGCCAGGGAGCGCGAGCCCCCGCTGCGCCCCCTGCATCTTCCGGAGTCTCGGGTGTCACCACCGCTGGCGCAGGCGCCTTCTCCTCCAGGTAATCGTCGTAATCTTCATCCATTTCTTCGTCCTTGGCGTCGGATCCAGTCATCGACTCGTCGAAGCTGACGTGGCGCTCAGCAATCGGGTCGAGTTGCGGCGTGATCAGGGCCGCCGTCGAGTCGTCGCCTCGCGTTCCGCCGGACTTCATCGGAGTTGCTGGTACCGCCGATTGAGATCCTTTCGCCATCTTCTTGTTCTTTTTCTTGTTCTTGCTCTTCTTCTCAGTTGTTGCTCGTAAAGTCAGTTGACCTGCAGTAGCACGAGACACAGAAGGTCACACCAATCCCGGGTCGCGGCACCAGTTTTCATACTCATACACACCCATTACCGCTTACTTACTTACTTACTTACTTACTTACTTACTTACTTACTCAGTCTCTTACCTACGTCCACTCCCGGCCAAAATTATACGAACACAGCTCTAAGCCCTCCTAACTCATTCAATTTTTCTCTAATTTAAGGTGCGGTTTGGACAGAGGTTACATAACGTGCCGAGAAAGACTTAACATGCGCGAACACTCGCGTTTTTGCACTCCATGAGGTAGCTTGCATTCAACAAACTGATTTTGCCTAACTGGCAGTTTGAAAAGTTTCTAATACAAACCTCTAGTGAAAGCTCTTTGGACAGGTATCTGATTAGTATCTGATTTTGTATGTAGATCAGGTGTTCGTATTTTGTGGCCACCAGGCAAAATCAGTTTGTTGTATGCAAGCTACCTCATGGAGTGCAAAAACACAAGTGTTCGCGCATGTTACGTCTTTCTCAGCACGTTGTGTAACCTCTGTCCAAACCGCACCTTAAATTGAGAAAAATTGAATGAGTTAGGAGGGCCTAGAGCTGTTCGTATAATTTTGACCGGGAGTGTATTCACTCCCACGATATACATTACTTTATATTGGAAAAAAGGAGGGGGGGGGGGTCCAACTATAAAGATATTTCAGGTGTTTATAAATCACTTGATTTTGTATAGACCTGTCACGAACTGATCTCCCTTTTTACCTGCATCGTTTGAATCAAATCGAGGTGGGACTTATAACGAGTTCATAGATTGGCTTTTCTCTCGTCTTTTAACTGATGTAGTGCTACCTCTGAGCACGGCCGATATAACCCCAAAAAAATCAATTTTCAAATTCAGTTTTTTGAGTGATCTACGATTTGTACATTGCCTTTTAATTGTGCGGTAGATATGCGCCAGTTTCACGGCACCACGACTGTCATTTTTCCTTACTTAATATTAATATTGTTATCATAGTTAAACATATTTAACTTCCTAGAACGAGATTACCGTCATTATTTGTTATTGTACAGACTTTTGCTTCAATAAAGAACACATGATATATACAAAATTGTGAAAGGTAATGAAATATTGCGTTAGCATAATAGGGAAATTTGTATGTCTGAGCCAATCAGCATTCATACAATATAAAGGGTTATAGGTTTTCTAGTGTTCTCTATCGAAGCAGATGTCTGTATTGTATTGTTAACGTTTAGTGGCGCGCTTTAGGGAAGAAGTGATCTACACTCTTCGAACGTGGTCCACACCACTAACTCCAATAGTGGGCGGCCACTAATTGAGCTCCTACTGTCTTCTCCGGCACGATCAGCATACGTCGGCAATGAATGGCTCCCCCTTCGCGGAGACGCGGTAAGCCTTGGTGGCGACATGTCCGCTGCTTCCGTCGCCCGTATCGGTCTTGTAGTCTTGGTTCAGCCAGGTACTCGGGTCACTACTCCTTTCCCCGGCAACTGCTGTCGTGGCCGCAACAAACCACGCAGTCTCAGCCAGCACGCCCTCGTCCTTCGGTCTTGTGTTGTTCCTGCGCCTTATGCTGATCCCCTTGAGCACTATTTGTTAAGTTATCATAAATAAAAAAGCAACATACTAACAATAATAATGTGGGACTGAAAGAGACCGTTAGCCATGAAGTATATATTAACTCAAATTACTTATATATAAATAGTTGCTGCGCAGGACCGTATAATCAGCGTAGTGTAGTGGTTATCACGTCTGCTTTACACGCAGAAGGTCGCCGGTTCGAACCCGGCCGTTGATACATTTTTAAAACCTGGCATTCGCGATCACAGCATCTTATCGCTCTTACCCGCGGCAGCGACGGTAAAAACGAAACGGAAAAGATAGAACCCATGTTTTTAGTCAGAGGGGGTGAAATGAACCCAAATCTATCCGGAACGTCCAAGCGAAATCGACACCAGCGACATTTGACAGGCATGAAGAGCCTGCAAACTTCACCCCAGTGGCTAGTCATGGTATTCCCTCCTCAACGCTGGGTCGGTCTTCAGAGGGCTTAACCCTTTCGCGGTAAAAGGATACAGAAAGCGCCCTTTAGATGATTTTCCAAAACACGGTAGAGTGTACCCCCTCTTAAAGGGCGCATTCTGTGCCCTTTTGCACAAGTTCAAGCCAGTAATCAACCTTTTAAAACAAATCATAATCGGTACGCAGAGTAATCATCATGTAATCATTGCCAATACAAATTCTAAGTTATACGCATACATTCTATGTATCCTGTAAATCACCGTAGATGGCATGTCCCATGAGACACACCGAAAAGGCTCCGTAACTTTGTAAAAGGCCTAGAGTGCCCTTTTAGAAGGAAATATCAATGAGTTGTATACTATAATTTATTGAGGATACTCGCGAAAGGGTTAAAGGGCCGGCAAAGCGACGTTTGGCAGCCGAAAATCACCTTAGCCCATAGGAATTGCATAGTGTTTGTAGGCCATGACACCCGTCCCACAAACCGAACATGTTTGGCCATGTTTCAACATGTTTGACCATGTTTAAGATTTCTTACTTGTTTTTAGTATGCCCCTTACCCTAACCCGTTTATAAAACATGGGCTGTATCAACGGCCAAAACGAAACCGAATGGTGGGTAGTTAGTTGAAGGGCTCACAACCGCGTACCGTTTTTTATACGTACCCTACCGTGTCGGGTATACCCGAATTCGGGTTGAATTCAAGAAGGGTTCATTGGTTTTGTTAGCAACTCAAAACCTGTCTAAACATGCAGTTTCCGACTTCGGGGCGAGCAAGCTCGCTCCGCGCTTCATCGGGCCGTTCACGGTGTTGGCAAGGCATGGCAACGTCTACACGCTAGATATTCCATCTAGCATGCACCTCCATCCGACCTTTTACGTCGGGCAGCTGAAGCCATACCGGCAGCACGAGCCACCTAGCTCGGCTGTCCCGAAGCGGAAGCCCCAGCGGGAGCGAACCTCTGCTCCAGCGCGTGAACGCGCTGGAGCAAAGTGCTGCTCTTCCGCCACAGCATCGTCGTGGATGCCGCTGCATACGTACAGCGGGATTTCGTTTGGAGGCGCAGTGTTGCCCACACGGTCTGCGATCTCTGACGCAGACGGCATCCACGGATCGCGCGCTGCCTGAGCAGCGCGCGGAGAGCTTGAACTTGCCCCACCACGTGGAGAGCTTAAAGCCCCAGTAGCAGAGAGCGGAGTGTCGCTCTCGCCGCGCGAACGCTTCGAGCTCAAAGCGTCCGAGTCGTCTCCTTCACGAGGGCGTCTCGACCCGGCATGCTGGTCGAGACTATCGCTGTCAATAGACTCCTTGCGCTTGCTAGAAGAGGCCTCGCCCTCTTCCATCTCCACGTCGCCGTCCTCGAAGTCAACGGCGTCGTTGACTACAGAGGAACCTTCGAGGACAATCTCCGGCTGGGATGTCCCCGCCGCAGCCTTGGCAGCAAGAGCGTCACGCTTTGTTTTGTGACGCTCGCGGTACTCGGGGATAGAGAGAGTCTCTATTGTGGTGTAGCGGGATCGGCCAAAATCTGGTTAAGGCCTGATCGAGCTTCCCACCAGCGCCCAGACACCGACTAACGGAGGGGGTCCCTCAACGATCCGTGATCGGCTGAACTTGTTCTCTCCTTGTGTACCCGTCGGCGGGCTGGATCTGCTCTCTCGGGGCTCGAAGATGCAGCGCTTGGTGAAGGTCGAGTGTCTTGGCGTGACGCGGTGATAGTTTGTGGAGCAGCGCAGTAGTCTTCACTCTGCGTCCGAGTATACGTTCCGATCGAGGGTTGTTCGCTGCGGTCGGTCGGCCTGGAGTTGATCCAAGGCCTGTAGTTGCCTTTCCGGGTGTGTCCCTTCCTTTCCTGAGTTGCTTGCCGCTTCTTATAGCGGGATCGAGGTTGATCGAGAGGAGGAACGATCGCCGGCCAAGCACTGATATCCGGTCGATCGAGGACTTGCACACAAGAGATAGATCACTAGAGTGGGTCAAGCTGGCCAATGTATTAATCCAGTCTTAACCGTACCGGTAGTTCACCTCCCAACGCGTCGACGCTGCCGAGTTCCTGGAACTTGGTGACTCGATGGAACTTGTGGTCTTCGGTGCAAATTCTGCTCTAATTTATGTTTAGCTGGTGTCTCTCTACCGCTATCATCCTACAACTAAACAACCACTGGATTTTTGTCCTGACTTCGTCCTCCATGTGCATCCCATCGCGGTCGATCCCCGATCCACGATCATCCCACAATCGGCTCCCGATCCACGATCGACTCCCGATCTGCGATCACCTCTCGATTGACGACTTGTGCCGGTTGCCGTCCGCCGCCGATCCATCATCTTCCGTCCTCAGCCGTCCTGTTGTCGATCGGGACTTGGGTCAGCCTCGAATCACACCACGGTTCGAACGCGATCATCAACAATCCAGCTTGCCGCATGTCCTGCCTTACGCACCGGCGTCATCGGGCCACTTGAGATCCCCCGAAGAACTCCCTCTGATCCATAGATCTTCGCTGCCTGTCTCTCGATCGCTGATCCCCCATACTTCCAGTCGATCGGCCCTGCCGCCTGTCTCGGATATCAATTCTTATTCAGCACTTCTCCACACTATCCCGGCGGAGGGCTTCCCCTCTGCTGCTGTGTCGGTCTTCTTCGACGAGCTCATTGCGGAATGAGCTCAAGTTTTCTTTCTCCCAACGTGAAGAATTGACGAATGGTCGATTTCCTGATTGACGTGCCGTGGCTCGGCGCGTCTAACCTTGAGGGGGGGATGGTGTAACAGGGTTACACGCACAAGTGGCTACAGTCACTTGTTACTCTAACAGATACGACGTCTGTTAGAGGTTCGAAAGGCTTTCTCGACCTTGGTGTAGACACACCAATGGCTACATACATTTACGACCACCACGACGGGTGGTCCATAGAGACTTAGGATTCCTATTGGCTGAGAGCAGCATCTTTTAGCCAATGAGCGACATACATAGCATTGGAATTCTGCCAACGGCTGGTTGGCAGATTCCTAACTTAGAATATTACATTTAGAGGAAGTCAGAAACATAAAACAAAAATAGCAGTTCTCATTTTAAACCCAAAAACATTATTTGGATCGTTTATTTAGATTAATCTATACTCGGAGGCCCGAGTATAATTAACTCTAATTTAAACTAAGCTATGCTTCCTCACACACGCGCACACGTGTAAGCTAAAGTAGTGAGCCAAAGTAGGCCCACTACACCTGGTAGCACTTTGTAGTCCGTCCAACGACCGACTACCTGAGTTCGTACGTCACCGTACGAACGCGGAGCTGAGAACCTTCCCATGGATACGGAGGTGTCCATGGAAAGCTCCATTACGCCTGCAACTCACGTTGCATGCGCTGACTGTCCCCACCTGTCGGACCCAGAGTGGGAAGCTCTACAACGACTGTCAACAGTCATTCGTGAGGCGGCTGTAGCTACGATGCTGCGTACGCTAACGCCGACAGAGCAACATGGTGTTGCTCTGGGATTCATCATGAGGGAGCAGCGAGATGCTGCTTCGTCTACCACGGTGTCGTCGGGGACGACACCGCGCGCGCAATCGCTGAAGCTCCGCGTGAGCAGTTACGTTGGAAGAGAGGGCGAGCCTCTCCTCCGTTGGCTTGTCGAACTCGACACTGCCATTGCGGCTCGACGCATCGTCGACCCGTTGTCGAAGGTCGCGTTCGCCATGTCATGTCTTGGCGGACGTGCAAGACGTTGGGCGTATGGACGCCGACTCTCGGATCCTACGTGCTTTAGCACGTACGACGGTTTCAAGGAAGAGCTCAGACAAGCGTTTGAGCCCCCGCAAAACGAGTTCCGGTCGAGGGCGGAGTTCCTCGACCTGCAGCAGGGCAAGCACGATGTCCGTGCTTACGCTCAGAGAGCACGGTACTTGGTCTCGAACATCGTGACCAATCCGATCGACGAGGCGACCAAGGTCGTCACGTTCATGAAGGGACTGAGAGATGGGCCTGTGAAGATGTAACAGGGTTACACGCACAAGTGGCTACAGTCACTTGTAACTCTAACAGATACGACGTCTGTTAGAGGTTCGAAAGACTTTCTCGACCTTGGTGTAGACACATTAAAGGCTACATACATTTACGACCACCACGACGGGTGGTCCATAGAGACTTAGGATTCCTATTGGCTGAGAGCAGCATCTTTTAGCCAATGAGCGACATACATAGCATTGGAATTCTGCCAACGGCTGGTTGGCAGATTCCTATCTTAGAATATTACATTTAGAGGAAGTCAGAAACATAAAACAAAAATAGCAGTTCTCATTTTAACCCAAAAACATTATTTGGATCGTTTATTTAGATTAATCTATACTCGGAGGCCCGAGTATAATTAACTCTAATTTAAACTAAGCTATGCTTCCTCACATACACGCGCACACGTGTAAGCTAAAGTAGTGAGCCAAAGTAGGCCCACTACACCTGGTAGCACTTTGTAGTCCGTCCAACGACCGACTACCTGAGTTCGTACGTCACCGTACGAACGCGGAGCTGAGAACCTTCCCATGGATACGGAGGTGTCCATGGAAAGCTCCATTACGCCTGCAACTCACGTTGCATGCGCTGACTGTCCCCACCTGTCGGACCCAGAGTGGGAAGCTCTACAACGACTGTCAACAGTCATTCGTGAGGCGGCTGTAGCTACGATGCTGCGTACGCTAACGCCGACAGAGCAACATGGTGTTGCTCTGGGATTCATCATGAGGGAGCAGCGAGATGCTGCTTCGTCTACCACGGTGTCGTCGGGGACGACACCGCGCGCGCAATCGCTGAAGCTCCGCGTGAGCAGTTACGTTGGAAGAGAGGGCGAGCCTCTCCTCCGTTGGCTTGTCGAACTCGACACTGCCATTGCGGCTCGACGCATCGTCGACCCGTTGTCGAAGGTCGCGTTCGCCATGTCATGTCTTGGCGGACGTGCAAGACGTTGGGCGTATGGACGCCGACTCTCGGATCCTACGTGCTTTAGCACGTACGACGGTTTCAAGGAAGAGCTCAGACAAGCGTTTGAGCCCCCGCAAAACGAGTTCCGGTCGAGGGCGGAGTTCCTCGACCTGCAGCAGGGCAAGCACGATGTCCGTGCTTACGCTCAGAGAGCACGGTACTTGGTCTCGAACATCGTGACCAATCCGATCGACGAGGCGACCAAGGTCGTCACGTTCATGAAGGGACTGAGAGATGGGCCTGTGAAGATGTAACAGGGTTACACGCACAAGTGGCTACAGTCACTTGTAACTCTAACAGATACGACGTCTGTTAGAGGTTCGAAAGACTTTCTCGACCTTGGTGTAGACACATTAAAGGCTACATACATTTACGACCACCACGACGGGTGGTCCATAGAGACTTAGGATTCCTATTGGCTGAGAGCAGCATCTTTTAGCCAATGAGCGACATACATAGCATTGGAATTCTGCCAACGGCTGGTTGGCAGATTCCTATCTTAGAATATTACATTTAGAGGAAGTCAGAAACATAAAACAAAAATAGCAGTTCTCATTTTAACCCAAAAACATTATTTGGATCGTTTATTTAGATTAATCTATACTCGGAGGCCCGAGTATAATTAACTCTAATTTAAACTAAGCTATGCTTCCTCACATACACGCGCACACGTGTAAGCTAAAGTAGTGAGCCAAAGTAGGCCCACTACACCTGGTAGCACTTTGTAGTCCGTCCAACGACCGACTACCTGAGTTCGTACGTCACCGTACGAACGCGGAGCTGAGAACCTTCCCATGGATACGGAGGTGTCCATGGAAAGCTCCATTACGCCTGCAACTCACGTTGCATGCGCTGACTGTCCCCACCTGTCGGACCCAGAGTGGGAAGCTCTACAACGACTGTCAACAGTCATTCGTGAGGCGGCTGTAGCTACGATGCTGCGTACGCTAACGCCGACAGAGCAACATGGTGTTGCTCTGGGATTCATCATGAGGGAGCAGCGAGATGCTGCTTCGTCTACCACGGTGTCGTCGGGGACGACACCGCGCGCGCAATCGCTGAAGCTCCGCGTGAGCAGTTACGTTGGAAGAGAGGGCGAGCCTCTCCTCCGTTGGCTTGTCGAACTCGACACTGCCATTGCGGCTCGACGCATCGTCGACCCGTTGTCGAAGGTCGCGTTCGCCATGTCATGTCTTGGCGGACGTGCAAGACGTTGGGCGTATGGACGCCGACTCTCGGATCCTACGTGCTTTAGCACGTACGACGGTTTCAAGGAAGAGCTCAGACAAGCGTTTGAGCCCCCGCAAAACGAGTTCCGGTCGAGGGCGGAGTTCCTCGACCTGCAGCAGGGCAAGCACGATGTCCGTGCTTACGCTCAGAGAGCACGGTACTTGGTCTCGAACATCGTGACCAATCCGATCGACGAGGCGACCAAGGTCGTCACGTTCATGAAGGGACTGAGAGATGGGCCTGTGAAGATGTAACAGGGTTACACGCACAAGTGGCTACAGTCACTTGTAACTCTAACAGATACGACGTCTGTTAGAGGTTCGAAAGACTTTCTCGACCTTGGTGTAGACACATCAAAGGCTACATACATTTACGACCACCACGACGGGTGGTCCATAGAGACTTAGGATTCCTATTGGCTGAGAGCAGCATCTTTTAGCCAATGAGCGACATACATAGCATTGGAATTCTGCCAACGGCTGGTAGGCCAGCAAGAGCTTCGCGTCCGCGTCGTGCGCGTACGCGACCTTCACGTCGTCCTACAGTAACGACGTTGGGGTGCTCGATCGCATGGCGTCAATGGCATTGACGTCGGCATCAGTAGTGGCGTAGTCAGGTCGATGCGAGAGCGCGTCGGCCACCATATTGAGTCTTCCGGGTTTGTACTCAACCCGGAAGTTATACTCTGCGAAGAATGAGAGCCATCTCGCCATCCGTTGCGAGGTGTGCGGCGGCTTCACAGCCGTTCGTAGCGACGCGTGGTCCGTATAGACCACGAACGGTTTGCTTCCGAGTAGATACACTCGGAACTTCGCGAGTGCGTACTTCATGGCAAGGAGCTCCTTGTCATGTACCGGGTAGTTGCGCTCAGCTGGCTTCAGCTGACGCGATTGGTAGTAGACGACACGATCACGACCCTCGTGATCGGGCTGCATCAACGCACATCCGATTGCGAAGTCGGATGCGTCACACACAACGTGGAATGGGCGATCTTGGTCGGCCACCGCCAAGATCGGCGCCTCAGTCAATCCCCGCTTGACTGCATCGAAGGCCTGCTGACACTCAGCAGTCCAAACCCACTCGGCGTCCTTCTTCAGGAGCTGTGACAGCGGGCGTATCATGCCCGCGTAGTCCTTCACGTACTTGCGCAAGTACGTGGCCAAGCCAAGGAACTGCCGCAGTTCCTTGACGTTCGACGGTGTCGGCCACTCATTGATCACTCTGACCTTCTCAGGGTCAGGGCGGGCACTGTTCTTCCCGACGAGACACCCGAGCACGGGTATCTCACTCGCCCCGAAGATGCACTTCTTCAGGTTCGCATAGAGCTTGTGCTTGCGCATGAGCGCAAGCAGCTTTCGGAGATGCACCTTGTGCATCTCAACATCGCTCATCCCGTCCGCAGCCCGGCTGTGGACGAACACATCGTCGAAGTAGCTCGGTGCGAAGTCGCGCACCGAGCGCAACAAGTGCGTCACACACCTGTTGAAGGTCGCAGGGGCGTTCTTCAGACCCTGCGGCATCACTAGCCACTCCCAGAGCATGCCGCTCGGCGTGCTCACTGCCGTGAGAGGGATATCGCTCTCACGCATGAGGATCTGATAGAACCCATCGCGCAGATCGAGAGCACTGTAGATAGTGCTCCTGGCCATCGAATCGATGATAACATCTTTTCGAGGTATCGGCGTCTGCGCCGGTATCGTCGCATCGTTCAGCTTGTTATACGCATGAACGATGCGCCAGCCGCCCTGTGGTTTCTTGACACAGAACGTCGGAGCACTGTGCGGGGATTTCGATTCCCGCACTTGTCCAGCTTTGCGACGACTTTCGAAGAAGTCGTCGATCGCTTTGACCTGCTCTCGCGGCAGTGGCCACTGCCGCGTGACACACTACTTCGTGCCCGGCACGAGATCAATCTCGTGCTGGGTTCCCTTGTCCTGCGGAAGCTCCGCAGGAATCTCTTCCGGAAGTACGTCCGCGTACTCCCGTAAGATCTCGTAGTAGGGACTCGTTTTCAACGAGTCCCAGCTTTGCTCTTCAAAGCGCTCCTTCTTCGTCTTCGCACTGAGAGTGTCCTCGCTCTCAGTGGTGGTCTCCATGAAGAACTGCCTCAGTTCTTCATTCTCGCTCTTCGTTCTCTCGGCGTCCGAGAGAATGCATATTTGCTCGATGCGTCCATCGTGCAAGTCACGCGCGAAGCGTTTCCAGCTCATGACTGGAAGCGAAGTCAACTCCGACGCTTGCGTCGGAGGGTTAGCGAGAGTCATCTCCCTGTCCCGGAACCCGGCACAGGTACGCGTCAAGACGTTCAACGTCTCGACGTCCGGCTTCTCAGCCTCCGTCTGCCCGGCAGACATTTTTTGTAGCGTCTCGGCCCCAGGCCGAGACTTGCGCAGCGACCTTCGCATGCGCCGTCTTCTTGTTTTGCGGAGCCCGGCTCCGCTTGGTTCTTGACCTCTTCCAGGCCCAGCCGTGGACGGGTGTTCTTCTTTAGTACCGCCGGCGAGGACGATAAAGGTTTCGACAAACTCTTGATCTTCATACGTGAAGCGCACGCGTACCATGCGCTTCTCGGTCTTCACGACGGCACCCGTTGCCACTCGTACTTCCAACATACTTCGAGGTATCTTTAAATCCTCGAAGTCAAGCCTCGATAGACTTCGCAGTCGAACAAAGTTCTTCGACGCGCCAGAATCTACCAAAGCACGGAGAGAGCCGCTTGCTCTCATCGAGTTCACATTCAGGATGACAAGGTCAGGCTTGTCATCTTGGTTCTTGCAGTGAGAATGAACCTCACTGGGGGCTGCAGTCCTCAGTGCCGCGTGTCCAAGGTCGACACGCGGAACTGCATTACCAGTAGGGCGCCCCGCACCTACTGGGTTCCAGCGTTTTTTGTTTGTCCGCGACGATGCCCGGCATCGCTGCGTCGACCACCATCTCGGTGCACGGGTGCCGTGCACTCTCGGGCATAGTGACCGATCCTTCCGCAACGGAAGCATCGTACATTACTTCCTTGTTGCTGTTGATAACCAACAGCCGTTGCATTCGAGAGGTCCATTGGTTCCGGACCTCCCGCTATCGCGACCGGAGGCGGTTGCAGGCTCGGCGCATTCGCATGTAGTTTAGCCTGCCGCAGGCTAAACTCCTCCTGCATCGCAAGAGTAATCGCAGCTTCGAGAGTACCTGGGTACTCACGGAAGAGATAGGACTTTACAGGCCCATCTCTCAGACCCTTCATGAACGTGACGACCTTGGTCGCCTCGTCTATCGGGTTGGTCACGATGTTCGAGACCAAGTACCGAGCTCTCTGCGCGTAAGCATGGGCATCGTGCTTGCCCTGCTGCAGGTCGAGGAACTCCGCCCTCGACCGGAACTCGTTTTGCGGGGGCTCAAACGCTTGTCTGAGCTCTTCCTTGAAACCGTCGTACGTGCTAAAGCACGTAGGATCCGAGAGTCGGCGTCCATACGCCCAACGTCTTGCACGTCCGCCAAGACATGACATGGCGAACGCGACCTTCGACAACGGGTCGACGATGCGTCGAGCCGCAATGGCAGTGTCGAGTTCGACAAGCCAACGGAGGAGAGGCTCGCCCTCTCTTCCAACGTAATTGCTCACGCTGAGCTTCAGCGATTGCGCGCGCGGTGTCGTCCCCGACGACACCGTGGTAGACGAAGCAGCATCTCGCTGCTCCCTCATGATGAATCCCAGAGCAACACCATGTTGCTCTGTCGGCGTTAGCGTACGCAGCATCGTAGCTACAGCCGCCTCACGAATGACTGTTGACAGTCGTTGTAGAGCTTCCCACTCTGGGTCCGACAGGTGGGGACAGTCAGCGCATGCAACGTGAGTTGCAGGCGTAATGGAGCTTTCCATGGACACCTCCGTATCCATGGGAAGGTTCTCAGCTCCGCGTTCGTACGGTGACGTACGAACTCAGGTAGTCGGTCGTTGGACGGACTACAAAGTGCTACCAGGTGTAGTGGGCCTACCTTAGCTCACTACTTTAGCTTACACGTGTGCGCGTGTATGTGAGGAAGCATAGCTTAGTTTAAATTAGAGTTAATTATACTCGAGATCCACGAGTATACTTTAAACAAGATAAAGACTCGAAGTAGCGGGTTTTGGTAAGAGATGAGAACTGCTATTTTTGTTTTATGTTTCTGACTTCCTCTAAATGTAATATTCTAAACTAGGAATCTGCCAACGGCTGGTTGGCAGGATTCTGCTAACATGCAAGTCACTCATTGGCTAAAAGATGTTGCTTTCAGCCAATTGGAATCCTAAATGTGTATGGACCACCCGTCGTGGTGGTCGAAAAATGTATGTAGCCATTGGTGTACCTTACACCAAGGTCGAGGAAGTGTCCAAACCTCTAACAGACATCGCATCTGTTAGAGTAACAAGTGACTGTAGCCACTTGTGCATGTAACCCCGTTACAGACCGGGCCCCCGTTGACGTGGACTCCTTCGGCCTCGTCGACCATGTTCTGCGTCTTGATCAGCGGGATCATCACTTCGTCCGGGAGCTTGGCCGCCGCGTTGAAGAGATCCAATCGGATCCCAGCCGGGATCATGAAGTCGGTGCCTAGCACCACGTCGACGCCTGCGTTGTGGTCGATGATCCACATCTCAAAAACGTAAACACGCTCCCATCCGAGCGTAATCTTCACAGACGCCCTCCGAGTCGTCGTCGCCTTGCCCTTGGTGATAGCCTGGACTTCCATACACCGACCATGGTCTGGAATGCCCTTGATCCTCAGCCGGTTGGCATACTTCTCGGAAATAACACTGACGTTCGCTCCAGTGTACAGCAAGATCCGCGTCCGCGAGTCGTTGACCGCTCCGTTCACCAGCGTCCTCATACGTACTCGTCGGTCGAATTTCTGCGCCGACCACCATCCCATACGCTCTCCGGGTAGAAGGCGTACCTCCACGTCGAGTCGTCGGCGCGATGTTTCCTGCACTGCACTCGTCACCCAGTCGTCGGCAGTGTCTTCAATCACTTCTTCATCACTCTTCTCACTCAAATCACCTCCACCGAGGCTTTCGGCTCTCTCCTTTTCAAATTCCGTCGCGTTCACCCATGCACCTCGTCCTTCATCCGGCCATTCGCACTTGCCCACAAAAGCGTAGATGCACTCCGCTTCGACTGCAGGCTCGGCTAACTGTGGCAGCCCGATTGGGACCAACCCAGTTTCAGTTGGCGGGATGCCTAGTTTAAATGTTCCGTGAAGAGGAGGTTCTGGAGCTCAGAAGTGAGGTCCTTCTTGTCCACCTTGTTGCGGACAAGCTTGGTGAGTTCTTGGAAGACTTCGCACCGGCCTGCGTCGTGCACTTGTTTGCACAACTTGCAGCTCCAGAAGTGGGCCGAGTGGGAGAGACCACCACAGGCAGCGCAGGGACCGTACTGGTGTCGTTGATTGTCACGGCCATCTCGGCTCTGGTATCGGTTGTCCCAGCTGGGTTCCCGACCACTCTGGTCGCGCCGGGAAGGCCGGTTGTCGGACCTGGCGTACGTGCCGTCGGCTGCCGCGCGTCGTTCACTCTCGTTCGCCGCAGCCACGTAGTGATCGCTGCCATCCGACGAGTAACCATCGTGTCCGCCTTCATCCGAGTACCACGAGTCATCGGAGCCTTGATCGCTGGCGGCGTCGCTGTCATCGCTGAACTGCTGGCGCGCACTGTCGCGTCCGGTCGAGGTGTTCCTGGCGTCCCATCCTTGCAGCTCAACGACTATGTCTTCCACTGATGCGTCGGCCAGGGTCACGCGAGGAACATTCCTAGAGTCGTCGCGACGACGCTCATAATCTCGTTCGCGTCGATCCCCACGGCTGTGGCCAGTTCGCGAGTCATCGCGGCGGTATCCGTCTCGGCTGCCATCACGTCGGCGGGGCGGTTCCCGAGCCTTGGATCGTGACTGCGAAGACTCGCGCGAACTCTGTCGCTCTTCAACCTTCAGCATTTCGATGATCATCTCCTCCAGCTCATGGATGTCCTTGATCCGCAGAGGAGCGAGTCGTCTCTCCAGCTTACGGTCGCCGCAAGTCTCCAGGAAGCGCTTGACGTGGTCTTTCGCCTTGCGGCCGCCGTTCTCGAACTGGACGCCTGCGTTGCGGGCGTAGCCGTTGAGTCGGTTCAGGTACTCGCAGACGTGTTCCTTGTCGTCGCGCTTGGCAGAGTAGTATCGGGTTTCCGCTGACTGGCTGAACTGGGAGCAGTAGTAGTGGATGAAGGCTTCGCTCAGCAGAGTCCAAGTTCGATTGGTCTTCTTGGTCAGTTGTCGGTGCCAGTGTACCGCGCCGTCTCTCAGGCGGAGCTCGAAGGGCATGCACCATTCATTGGGCGGCGCGTGTGTACCTTTCATCTCGTACACAAACGCGCGCAGCCACTGCATCGAGTTCTCGCTCCTGTCGCGAGCGCCCGAGAACGTCGGGATCTGCCCCAGTGGTCGGTGCATCGCTACCTCGAGCCTCGGCGTCGGGTTCACTGTCTCTGCGTCGCTCACCTCCCGGATCTGTCGCAGATAGTCGTCCATTTGTGCACCTCCGTCTCCTGTGAAGTCATCGTCGTCATCAGATGAGTCGTCGGCGTAGCGGGACTTGCGACTTGAGCTCCGTCCGGAGCTTTGTAGACTGCTCCTGGTCACTCTCGAGTCTTCGGCACCACGCGCAACTCGTTCAGTACGAGTCTTCGCGGGTGGAGTGACCATGTGGGAGTCTTGAAAGTACGGCGATCGCTCGCCCGACGCACTGAACACTCCTCCTGTCGTAATCTGGGCCGAGTTACCGCGCTCGGTCTTCTTCGGAGTTCGCGGGAGCGGGACGCGCGCTGGGTCCGCGCCCCCCTTGTTGGTGCGAGTCGCCTTCGGCTGTTCCAAGGAGAAGGGGGTCACCCCGAAGGCTGTACACAACTTCTTCTTCCATTGCCAGAGATCGGCTCCGGCTTCCGCGGGCAGGAAACTCTCCAGAGTCGACGGCGACAGGGTAAGTGTGGGCCGGAGACCCAACGCCTTCAGGAACGTCACCGTGTCGTTCGCCACTTGCTCCACTGTGACCGCATTCACCGGTCGCGCCAACTCGTGGCTCAGGTCGGCCCACACCGCTTGGCGGATCATGCGCGGCTCGAAGAGTCGACCCCATTCGCTCGCACGCATTGCTTCAAAGCATCGGCCGAGTACCTTGTTGGCTGCCGGCGTGTCTCCGTCCATCGGCGGCCGGTTGCCCGAGGTTTGCTCGGTCACTTGAGTCGTCAGCACCGGCAATCTTGAGTTGTCGGCGCTGTCTTCAAACTCTTCCATTTCATCATACGCTGGTTCAGGGCCATCCACATCATCCAGCTCCTCCGCGAGGTTGCGCGAGACGGGAGGCGCGTCGTCTTCCAACTCGTTCGCGAGACTGCGCGCCAGGGAGCGCGAGCCCCCGCTGCGCCCCCTGCATCTTCCGGAGTCTCGGGTGTCACCACCGCTGGCGCAGGCGCCTTCTCCTCCAGGTAATCGTCGTAATCTTCATCCATTTCTTCGTCCTTGGCGTCGGATCCAGTCATCGACTCGTCGAAGCTGACGTGGCGCTCAGCAATCGGGTCGAGTTGCGGCGTGATCAGGGCCGCCGTCGAGTCGTCGCCTCGCGTTCCGCCGGACTTCATCGGAGTTGCTGGTACCGCCGATTGAGATCCTTTCGCCATCTTCTTGTTCTTTTTCTTGTTCTTGCTCTTCTTCTCAGTTGTTGCTCGTAAAGTCAGTTGACCTGCAGTAGCACGAGACACAGAAGGTCACACCAATCCCGGGTCGCGGCACCAGTTTTCATACTCATACACACCCATTACCGCTTACTTACTTACTTACTTACTTACTTACTTACTTACTTACTCAGTCTCTTACCTACGTCCACTCCCGGCCAAAATTATACGAACACAGCTCTAAGCCCTCCTAACTCATTCAATTTTTCTCTAATTTAAGGTGCGGTTTGGACAGAGGTTACATAACGTGCCGAGAAAGACTTAACATGCGCGAACACTCGCGTTTTTGCACTCCATGAGGTAGCTTGCATTCAACAAACTGATTTTGCCTAACTGGCAGTTTGAAAAGTTTCTAATACAAACCTCTAGTGAAAGCTCTTTGGACAGGTATCTGATTAGTATCTGATTTTGTATGTAGATCAGGTGTTCGTATTTTGTGGCCACCAGGCAAAATCAGTTTGTTGTATGCAAGCTACCTCATGGAGTGCAAAAACACAAGTGTTCGCGCATGTTACGTCTTTCTCAGCACGTTGTGTAACCTCTGTCCAAACCGCACCTTAAATTGAGAAAAATTGAATGAGTTAGGAGGGCCTAGAGCTGTTCGTATAATTTTGACCGGGAGTGTATTCACTCCCACGATATACATTACTTTATATTGGAAAAAAGGAGGGGGGGGGGGTCCAACTATAAAGATATTTCAGGTGTTTATAAATCACTTGATTTTGTATAGACCTGTCACGAACTGATCTCCCTTTTTACCTGCATCGTTTGAATCAAATCGAGGTGGGACTTATAACGAGTTCATGGATTGGCTTTTCTCTCGTCTTTTAACTGATGTAGTGCTACCTCTGAGCACGGCCGATATAACCCCAAAAAAATCAATTTTCAAATTCAGTTTTTTGAGTGATCTACGATTTGTACATTGCCTTTTAATTGTGCGGTAGATATGCGCCAGTTTCACGGCACCACGACTGTCATTTTTCCTTACTTAATATTAATATTGTTATCATAGTTAAACATATTTAACTTCCTAGAACGAGATTACCGTCATTATTTGTTATTGTACAGACTTTTGCTTCAATAAAGAACACATGATATATACAAAATTGTGAAAGGTAATGAAATATTGCGTTAGCATAATAGGGAAATTTGTATGTCTGAGCCAATCAGCATTCATACAATATAAAGGGTTATAGGTTTTCTAGTGTTCTCTATCGAAGCAGATGTCTGTATTGTATTGTTAACGTTTAGTGGCGCGCTTTAGGGAAGAAGTGATCTACACTCTTCGAACGTGGTCCACACCACTAACTCCAATAGTGGGCGGCCACTAATTGAGCTCCTACTGTCTTCTCCGGCACGATCAGCATACGTCGGCAATGAATGGCTCCCCCTTCGCGGAGACGCGGTAAGCCTTGGTGGCGACATGTCCGCTGCTTCCGTCGCCCGTATCGGTCTTGTAGTCTTGGTTCAGCCAGGTACTCGGGTCACTACTCCTTTCCCCGGCAACTGCTGTCGTGGCCGCAACAAACCACGCAGTCTCAGCCAGCACGCCCTCGTCCTTCGGTCTTGTGTTGTTCCTGCGCCTTATGCTGATCCCCTTGAGCACTATTTGTTAAGTTATCATAAATAAAAAAGCAACATACTAACAATAATAATGTGGGACTGAAAGAGACCGTTAGCCATGAAGTATATATTAACTCAAATTACTTATATATAAATAGTTGCTGCGCAGGACCGTATAATCAGCGTAGTGTAGTGGTTATCACGTCTGCTTTACACGCAGAAGGTCGCCGGTTCGAACCCGGCCGTTGATACATTTTTAAAACCTGGCATTCGCGATCACAGCATCTTATCGCTCTTACCCGCGGCAGCGACGGTAAAAACGAAACGGAAAAGATAGAACCCATGTTTTTAGTCAGAGGGGGTGAAATGAACCCAAATCTATCCGGAACGTCCAAGCGAAATCGACACCAGCGACATTTGACAGGCATGAAGAGCCTGCAAACTTCACCCCAGTGGCTAGTCATGGTATTCCCTCCTCAACGCTGGGTCGGTCTTCAGAGGGCTTAACCCTTTCGCGGTAAAAGGATACAGAAAGCGCCCTTTAGATGATTTTCCAAAACACGGTAGAGTGTACCCCCTCTTAAAGGGCGCATTCTGTGCCCTTTTGCACAAGTTCAAGCCAGTAATCAACCTTTTAAAACAAATCATAATCGGTACGCAGAGTAATCATCATGTAATCATTGCCAATACAAATTCTAAGTTATACGCATACATTCTATGTATCCTGTAAATCACCGTAGATGGCATGTCCCATGAGACACACCGAAAAGGCTCCGTAACTTTGTAAAAGGCCTAGAGTGCCCTTTTAGAAGGAAATATCAATGAGTTGTATACTATAATTTATTGAGGATACTCGCGAAAGGGTTAAAGGGCCGGCAAAGCGACGTTTGGCAGCCGAAAATCACCTTAGCCCATAGGAATTGCATAGTGTTTGTAGGCCATGACACCCGTCCCACAAACCGAACATGTTTGGCCATGTTTCAACATGTTTGACCATGTTTAAGATTTCTTACTTGTTTTTAGTATGCCCCTTACCCTAACCCGTTTATAAAACATGGGCTGTATCAACGGCCAAAACGAAACCGAATGGTGGGTAGTTAGTTGAAGGGCTCACAACCGCGTACCGTTTTTTATACGTACCCTACCGTGTCGGGTATACCCGAATTCGGGTTGGGTACGGGTCCCGAAACCATCGAATAATGCCGAATAGTATACCTAGACCAAATTGTGTACCGTTTTGACGATACTACAATAATAGTGTACCGTACCAATATAATAGTCTCATCTCAGCCACCAATAACCAGAATCACCAATTTTCTTAACCGCCAAACCATTCCCAGTGAAGATGCCGTCGTCACACATGCCTATGTCAATGGCCGAGAAGAAAGAGTTCGTTCAGTGGATAGTGCAACGGCGGTATGCCCAACCCTGCCGCGCTGGAAGCTTTCCGAGCCTCAAGTGCGCTACTGCCTCGATAGTGGAAGCAGTTCACCGCTAGCCAGACCGCGTCATCGCTGCGCAGCTGCCTGATTGGGATGGGCGCTAAGCCTCGGCTCTCCAAGATCGAGGATATTGTGCTCGATCAAGCACTGTTTCGCCAGTCCTCTCGCGATTGGATCCGCGACGCTAGGCAGTGACTTGCCGCATCTGAGTTGGACGACGCTGATTTAGTTGCGTCAGCCCGCTGGGTCAACGGCTTCATGCGTCGCTACGGGCTGTCGCTACCACGCACCACCAATCTTACCGTGCTCACTGATGATGTGTTGACTGACCGACCGAGCAGTTAGCTTGTTAAGCTATCTCACGTGACGCATCGATGGGCTTAGCGACGCGGTCCCACTCGTGTGCCTCCGATCCGCAACAGCAGGAGCCTGCCCTCGAGCTACACGAATCATCGGTGCGCACGCCTCCTCGCACCGACCAGCGTCTTAACCAGAGTACCCGGCTCCGCGCGACCTCCCTGCACGTTCCGGTCCGAAAGCGAAGAGCCGGATGACAGCAACGATGAAGACTCGAGCATTGCCGAATCAACTGCGGAGGATGGAGAGGTGACGGGAGACAGCGAGGTGATTGAAGACGATGAGCCAGCCGACGAGGACACAAGTATCAATTTGATCGAGGTCGACCTTCACCAGAAGGTGACAAGCCTTATCAGAACCGACAAGTGTGAGCGTCGCTGTCTTCAGGGAAAGGCACAAGAGTCTCTGATCTACTCTGTCTTGCAGATGACAAAGTCAGAGAGCTGATGACCGTCTACTCGATGCTAGGCGCGCTCATGCAAATGGATACGGTGGAGCGTCACCGTGACAAGGGCTAGATAGAAGTTCACGTGGGGCCGATTGTTGGTTAGCATGTCCCGCCCAATAGAGAACGTTAGTGCCGAAATATTTTTTTCTTTGGAATAAGCAAAATCTCGTACAACCCGATACTAGGGCTTCGCGAAGGCTGGGATAGCTCACCTTTCACTGCCATTGATAAACTCAAGCATCCTAAGAGCATCTCCAGCGGTTGGTCTCAAACACGGTTTTATCCTAAAAGTAACGCTGTTAAGACTTGGCCGAGACTTTAGGCTTCCACCACAAGGTCCTATTGCAGGTTTTAACTTCACCGGGACCTATAGATTGGCTTTCGAGTCTTAAAATAAGACCACAATCTTAATGCCACCAATACAAAACTGAAGAGTCACCGTATTTAAAAGATTGCACCAAGACTGAATGCAATTTTCACATGCGGGAATGGACTTATAAGACTCGCTTTACAACTCACCACTGGAAGCAAGTCGGTCTGCGCGGGTCTCAACTGTAAAATTGTGGTCTCAATGACCCTGTTACGTCTTAGGATAAGACCCACCACTGGAGATGCTCTAATTAACCCGCCGCTCGAATCATTCGCACTATTTAGGGTCACTTATTCAGGTTACTTCTACGTGAACTACATCTTCTAGCGTTCCACTAATGAAATGATACATTGGATTCCGGTATAAATTGGCAAATGTCGCCTGAGTCCATAGTCCACAGATTATGGCTACCGTAACATCACAAAGTTTGCACATTTCGTGACTGGTTGTTCCCAGAATGTCGACTGTATCCGTAGTGTGTACCACACACTGTAGTGAGCAGTTCTTGAATTTATGAAATTTATTTGGAAAATCATAACTAGGATAGTTGCATTTTCTCCTTATAAGCTATTGTGCGTTTCATGCATTTTGGCGGAGACGACTTGACGTCATGTATTCCAGCTATACAAATTTACACAAGAAGGATTCATGGGGTTTAGTCAATTTAGAGCGGGGCCAAAACGAAGCCAAAAGCCATTGGCGCGAACAGACCCAGGAAAGAGAGCAATCCGTTAGTTGTTATTTCAATGATTTTGAGTAAATGTTATTGTCGCTTTCAACGATTTTGCGCACTCTATTCGTCATATAACTCGTCTTCGCGGTGTCACAAATCGTTGTGCATTGCGGATAAATCGTTGCTCACAGCACACATTAGCTGTCATGGCCACAAGTTACCTCGTCAAATTGCTGGTGTAAGCCAGAAATTTGACGAGGTAACTTGTGTTCATGACAGCTAATTCGTGCTTTGACAGCGGTCAAGAAACGCTGAAGTACTTGACGCTTCTAGACTAGAGATATTTCCATAGTAGGACTTCCCTCTTGCTGCATACAAATGCTGCTTTGAAAAGCTAGCTAGCATGCAACTTGCAGTTTAGCGAGTTGCGAAAACGAATGGCGGATGGTTCAACCGCCATTCGTTGTTTTCCATCGATAGCTCGTTGCGCTTTCTGGTAATTCGTCCTTCAAATAACTGAACCATGATCCCGCGGTAAGTCGTCCTCTAAGGAAGACGAGTTATAAGACGAATAGAGTGCGCAAAATCCTGAAAGCGACAATAACATTTACTCAAAATCATTGAAATAACAACTAACGGATTGCTCTCTTTCCTGGGTCTGTTCGCGCCAATGGCTTTTGGCTTCGTTTTGGCCCCGCTCTAAATTGACTAAACCCCATGAATCCTTCTTGTGTAAATTTGTATAGCTGGAATGCATGACGTCAACGCGCTCGGCCGGGGGCAAAGCCCCCGGCCGAGCGCGCCTCTAACTTCTTTTGTGTCTTTTGCACGGCAACCTGCCATTTTTTCCCAGGAAGAGGGTTTGAAAACTTGCCACCAATTTTCATATTACATTATTCTTGCCTACCCCACGTTTGCACACAAAGGAAGTCTACACTGTCCTCCCAGACCAAAGCTTCGCCTCTAGTGAAATTTTGTTAAGTAAGTTAACCGAAACGATGGGTCTCTGCTAACGGAAAACGCCAATTCAGTACGCGGTTTTGGATCAGTTCGGAAAAACTGTGTACCGCCGCCAAAACGCAAAAGTTTTGAATGGGACTGGTACCAATAGAAAGTTAAGACACTGATCTATCTGGTCATCATTTCTGGAAAGGTCAGTACGCGACTGGTGATGCATACATACGGCGTGAATATGAGCATTTTTATAATATCTGAAAGGGGGACCATTTCCTTGCACGGTCATACTAAAATCAAGAGAACACCCCTTTTAACTAATAATGCATGATTTGCACGCTCCCAGCCCCCATTCTAAAATCAAGTATAAAATCGCGCACAAAATTGAATCCGCGCACTGAATTGGCGTTTCCCGTTACTTACAGAAAATTAACACGTGATCCCATTGTTCTTCAATTTAGCGAAGCCGCCAAGTCTCCGCGTGGGGCCGTGCTGGGATGAAATGACTGAGAAACTTGAGTATTAGCGTTTCAATGATGAAAATGTGTGTAAGATGAACTTCCCTCTCGTAACAAACATATATAAATATTAGTACTGGGGACTCGCTCGGGTGTAGTGAGCAATGGTCTACTGAGGACCTTTCCCCCTCGATACTTCTCAGTTGTCAAGACAAAAGCGGGAACGAGCGGCGCTTGATCGATAGCGATGGATAAAAAGCGGTCGCGAATTAAAACCTGAACGCTTTGTTTACGGCGGCGGACATGATATATGACCGACTATAGGGCGACAGATAGGTGTGAAAATTGTGTCTATTGTAATTATCTCAATTCACTTTTCTCCCAGCACGAGGCAGGAACAGATGGCGAGCGGAACGGACTACAGGGAGGAGGATTGGTGACGGCGTGGAGGAAGACTCGCGAGATAGGCACTCCGCGGTGTCGCTGTCGTGGCGGGTGTCCTTCCGGCAGCTGTAACGCCGCGCGAGGGGGAGGGATGCTTGTGGTGCGCGCAGGGGCGGACCTACATATAAACTAGGGGGGCACCGCCCCCCGCCCCCCAGATTTTGGGAAGCCATCACACTTAACCCCTATTTCGGAGCTGCCGAATCGACTCACTCCCCTGTTTTCGAGCCGCCGCCCCCCCCCCTATTTTTGGCCCGGCCCCCCTCAGATTTTGCTTCTGGTCCCTCCCCTGGGTGCGCTGTGGGCATTCTCTGCATGATACCGCTGTCGGAAAGCGCGATGTGCCAAGCCCGAGTTCAGCATGCGCGACATCTTCAAGTTCATGGGCATAAGTTCTACGTTTCTTAGCAGTAATTGCACCCCCAATTCAACGTCGGCGAGCTCACGACGCGTGCCCGCTGCCATCCAGGTCGGCAACGATGGGCCCCTCTCCGTCGTGCTCGGTGTTCTACGCACGCGGCCACGACGAACGCGCAGAGCCAACCGGAGGCGCTGAGATGGCTGGGGCGAGGAATCTGGATTCGACTCCACGCGCAAAAGGATGTGCCACGAGCTGTAGCTGCCGCACAGACCCCTCGAGGGGGCAAGCTGTGACACACCAGCGATGAGGCAGTACACGAGGGACCGCGTGGAGCAGCAGATGCAGACGCGCGATCAGCGCGTGGCCGAGCGCGAGGTCGAGATGGTCACGCCGCAGGAGTACACCGTGTAGTGCGCGACCTAGGAGGACTGCGGACGCGGTTCTACTGTACTTTGAGCAAGAAGGTGGGGAGGAGCATAGGGCACCGAGGACGATAAAGCAGCTGGGAAGGAGCAGGCGCGCGCGCCGACGAGGACATGGGCATCCCGGTCATCGACTTGATACAGCGTAAGTATGTCAGACGCAGCATCACACTGGCAAGCAGACACTGCAACAGGCAAAGGAGACGGAGAACGTCGAGGTGATGATGCACAGCATCAGGTGCTGCGGAAGCTGAGCGATAAGGAGGAGGTGTTGTAGGTGAAGATAAGACCACCAAGATCACTGAGACCCACGACCTGGCTGAGGTGGGCGTGACGACGGTGTCGCGCACGGATGTGACTGGCGCTGCCACAACTGCCAGCTTGGACATTGTGACGACGGAGACGGATGCTCCCACCAACTTGGTAACCCACAGTGTTTGGAAAAAATCTCTTGCTCTATCCACCGTACATTTTTTTCTTGTAACGCTCTACTGCGGACAGCGCCGCAATACCAATTCTCAATTGCAGAGACGCCAACGATTGCAATCTTAACTGCGACCGCGACACTTACTGCAATCTCGTATTGCCTGCTCAACGCATGCTGCTGTCTAGAGTGACGATTCCAAAATGAAGAATTTATCTCTTTCGGCAAACAGCAAGCTTATCTCGACGATCTCTCCGTTGGCCTCTCCCAAATTAGCTATACCAAAATCATCTTTAACCCGAGCCTTTGCTTAGAAGCCCCAGCTCGGTTGTCAAACCTTATTGCAAATATCATATGGTACAAGAAATGTATTATTGCGGCGACGGTGCGTTTTTCAATTCACGATGGCAGCACGACCAATACTGCAGTAGCCGATTGCACCATGAGTAACGACTGCAGTAGGAACTGCAGTGTTGATTGTGTCTGCTAATCACCGCCAATTCATTTTTTTCAAACACTGGCACCAAGGTGACGGCCGATTCGATCGAGGCGCTGGAGGCAGCGGAGATGACGCAAAGAGGACGACTGCGGTGACAGGACCTCAGAGGCTACTGAGACGGCGGAGGAGGTTTCTAGCGACAGCAGCTAGACGGCCGGCTTGTACGCGGGTGCTATCGGCGCTGCGGCTGATGATATAGCAACCGGACACCGGGACTGGTGAGTGTGAATCCGGGGTCTATGCATGTACATTGGTAAAGGCAAGACAGAAACCAAAAATAATTTACCGCCACCAATCCGTATGTGATGTAACAGGGTTGCACGCACAAGTGGCTACAGTCACTTGTTACTCTAACAGATGCGATGTCTGTTAGAGGTTTGAACACTTCCTCGACCTTGGTGTAAGGTACACCAATGGCTACATACATTTACGACCACCACGACGGGTGGTCCATAGAGACTTAGG